CTTAATTATTTTCTTAACTAATCTAAACTTAAGTGTACTATTTATATAAATATATAAAAGAAAAAGTACTTAAGTAGTACTCTTAAGATAACTATATAAGTATAAGGTCTAAACGGCTTTAGTAGAGTATTAGTTAATATTAATATAGAGCTTTATATAGATATTTATAATAAAGAAGTAGAGGGTAGTATAGTTAGAACTAAAGAATAGTTTTAAATTAAAAAGCTTTTTTAACTTCTTAGTTAAATTAGTATTTAGTTAGATAGCTTAGACTATAAGCTAAGCGACATATTTAGTTACTTTAATATATATAATAACTATAGTATCGCGCTATTATATAAGGTTCTTAAGTCACTCTTTAAAGATACTACTATAAGTATATATTTTATTAAACTAGTTTAAGAGGTTAATAAAGAACTAGTATTAGGTATTAGAGTTTTTTAGAACTTCTATAGTAAGCGCTATAGGTAAGTTAATAGCTATAGAAGCTTATAATAGATTAGAGGTATTACCTATAGATATAGGTACTTTAGTAAAGGTAAAAGAATATATAATAGGCTATAGCTAAACTATAATAAGAGATAATTAGTAGATATAATATAATATTACAATATAGGAATACTTAATACTAGAACTTAATTTATTAAAGTAATATATAAGATATTATATAAGGTTAGAAGGTGTAGTAAGAAAAATAGAAAGATAATTCTATAAATAAAGTATATAATTTAGTTATATAACTATAGAATAACAAAAGATCTAAACGCTAAGAAATACTAAGTCTAAATTATAATAAACTTATTAGTACTATACTTTTACTTCTATTTATACTAAAGACTACTTTTATACTAATATAGATACCTTTTATATTTCTTACTAAGCTATATAAGGTTACCTCTCGATTATTTTTTACTTATATTAATAGTAAGAATAATATCTTTTATTTTTTTTTAAATAATCTAGTTTAACTAGAGCGGGCACTATTATTAGGGTATTCTTTAGTATTTTTATTACCTTCTTCTATTCTTACCTCTATTTAAATTTCTAGTTAAACTAAAATAATTAGAAGATTAGCTTTGTAATTAGAGTAAACTTAATAATCTATACTTAATAGTAAGTATAAATACCTATAAATACTTTAGTTTAATAGAGATTTTTATATAGTGGCTAGTTAATAATCTTTATAACCTTTTTATTAACTAGATATTATCCTATAGTATTATAAAGAAATCTAATAATCTTAATTAGTACTATATAAAACTATAACTTCTCTCTAGAAATAGTATAACTAGTATACTTAAGGTTTATAAGAATACTATTAAGCTACTATATATACTTAAGGATAAACTAATAAATTTTAGTAATAACCTTATTATTATTATTATATATAGTCGTCACGCTTTTAAGAGTAATATTATAAAAAAAGAGAAAACTATTTTTTAGAAGATAGTCTTAGGGAATCTTTATTATAATTTTTTAAATTATATAACTAAGTTTATAGCTTTTTAGGTAAGAGTAGTTTACTAAAGTAATCTAAAAGAAGTTATAAAGGTAGTAAGATTATAGTATATCTTACCTAAAGAAATCTAGTTACATTTAAAGAAAAAGTTAATAATACTTATAATTATATACTCTATAAACTATTCTAAGAACTTATCTAGATTTAGAGATATATTTATATTCTAAATTATAACTATATTAATATTCTATATAGTATTAACTAGCTAATACTTCCTATTTTTCTTTTTAACTAAAAACTATAGGTTATAATAAGAACTATAGCTAGATTCTAGTAGACTATTCTTAAGTTACTCTTTTAGTATTATTATTACCTTCTTATTTAGTACTTTAGGTACTAAAAAGCTCTTTACCTACTAGGTATTATATAGAATAGTGCATATTATTTAGAAAGGGGTAATACCTAGATTTAGTTAACTAATTTTAGAAAACATTTAAGTAAAAGCTACCCTTTAGTTTATTACTATAGCTTTAAAAAGCTTTTACTCTTTTAGCTATAGTCCTTCTCTAACTACTATTACTTTTAAGTACTTAGGAGCTAATTTATATTTAACTAGTAAATTTATAAAATATAGCTTAATCTAGTAATTATATAGTCCTTTTAGATAGAAGTAATTATAAATACTTACTCTTTTAATTACTTTTTATTTCTAGTTAAAAGAACCTCTAGACTTAGATTTATTAGACTTTAAAATATCTATAAAGTAAATCTTTTAAATCTTTTACTTATATAATTTTAAGATATTTAACTAGTTTTAGTATACTTCTATTCTTTAGTAGTATAACTCCTACTTAAGAGTCGCCTTATTAAATATTTTTAAAAAGTATACTATTAAAGTGAATTTAATACTATTTAATATAAGTAATAAGATTTAATATAGATACTTCCGAACTATAGGTTAAGATACTTAAAAGGCTTAAAGTAAGGGGTTAGCCTCTTAATTTAAATTAACTTTAAAGTAGTTAGTATAGCTAGTAAAACTCTAGTCTTTCTTAAAATATTTACCTAGAACTTTAAACTCTAAACTCTAAAGGTTATTATAAAGATAAAAAGACTATCCTTTTACTAGAGTATTATATACTAGCGTAAAATCTAATATATAAATATAGCTAGCTACTATCTTACTTACTCTTTTAAAGCTACTAACTCTATAAGATAGGTTAATTAATCTAGAATCTCTTCTATATAGCTTATAATAAACCTTATTTTATATAAGCTATTAATAGAGGTAATCTAGTACTATATCTTTCTATTTAGAGAGTACTAAATAAATACTAACCTATAGTAATAGAAAGGCACCTCTAGAATGATATCCTAAGATATATAGTAAGGTAGTAGCTACTATTAAGGCTCTAGTTTAGAACTAAATAGCCTATATACTATATAGCTAAGTAAATATTTATTATTTCTAGTAATTTATATAGCTACACGCATAGAGCTATAGTTAATATTATTAGAATTACTAATATTATAGCCTATATTAAGAAGAGTATAGCACTATATAATAGAATAGATATATTTAGGGAGTTATAGGTAGCTATAAGTAAGAAATAAAGAGAGAGTACTATCTAGTAGAGTATTTATAGATATTAAGGTGTAAGAGCTAGTGATACTAGTATAGGAATCTAAAGTAACTACTAATATATTAGTATTAGTTCTATATAATTAACTATATTAATTTACATACTATATTTAGTATCTAGATTATAGCGCTTGTAGTAGCTACTCTATATATAGTTACTATAGGCGCTACTATAGATATTAAGGTAAGTATAGTAGTCTATAAATAGGCTATTGTTACTATTAGTATAGCTATTATAAGAGGTTCTATTTAGTAGAATATAGATATATAGCTTTATAAGCTAGTAAAATATAGACTGATTAAGATTATAAATACTATTATAGTTTAGATGGAACTATAAGTATATATTACTAGGTTTAGAAAAGCTATTAAGAAACTACTTATAACTACTACTTAGAATAGTCTTTATATAAAAAACTCCCTTTATAAACTTAACTAGATTCACTCTATATATATTTTAGTACTATAACTATAAACTACTTTTTATAGAGTATATATACCCTTAGCTAGTAACATAGAAGAATTAGTAGCTTTAGTCTAGTAAGAATAATTTAGTACCTATAGATTACGCTTTCTACTACTACTACTATCTTTATCTATACTCTAGCTTGTAGCTATATAGCTAGAAGCAGGAATAATAATCTAGATATTAGCTATACTAAGTATATACGCTAGTTAAATAGACTTAATAAAGAATATATATATATTTATAATTAAGAGTTATTAGTTAGATAGAGGTTATAGGATTTATAGTTTCTTTAATATATATATAGCGGAGAATACTAGCGCTATCCTATATATACTAGTGCACGCTAGTATATATTAAGGATATATAGCCTTTATATAGCGTAGAGACTTTATATATATAGTATAAATATAATTTATCAATAGATTATATTATATATAGTATTTATAGTATTATACGTAAGGTCTATAGTTTAAATCCACCTTAGATCTTACTTTTTAAGAAAATCCTATTTATACTTATAGTAGCCTATATTATATTTCTTACTTTCGTCTTTCTATTATAAAAGATCTATAGTTTAAGCCTATTTTAGAAAGTACTTTTCTATAGATTCTTAAAACTATTTTAGTACAAAACGAGTACATCTTGTACTTAATTATTATATATATTATTAATTTAGCTCTATTATATCTTATACTATCTTCTAATCTCTTATTAAGAATAATACTATACTTTTAGTAGTCTAGTATTATTATCTAGAGATAGTATCTATTATATTTATATATTATTCTTTTAGGATTCTGGTTTATTAGACTAGTATAGTCTATTGATAGACTAATTTAAACTAGTTTAGAGTATTTTAGCTTCTAAAAGACTACTTAGTAAGCGCTTAGTAAGTAGCTTAGTAAGAGTTTAAATTACTTATAATACTAAAATACTTTAGATACTCTAGATACTTATAGAAAATATAAAATAGAGTGGTTTCTATAAGTATTTTTAAGATAGTCTAAGCTATTTATAAGTAGCTTGCAAGTAGCTTATAAGACATTTATAAGTATACTCACTTAGTACTTCTAAGCCTTTAAAGATACTAAGAGAGATAGAAAAGAATTTACTAATATAAGTTAGCTAGTATAAGACTCTATCTAGTATAGAATCCTCTAGCACGCGTTGTAGCTTCTAGAGTAATATAGCTTGTGAATTAATAAAGCGTAAAGATAGAGAGTTGCGTCGCAATCTCTACGGGTTACAGGTAGAGGAGTTCTATTAGCTGCTATCACGATCAAGAAACTGCAAGGCACAATCAGGCAAGGTAACTACAGGTGGCAAGCACGACCGCTTCGTCTATTGTCCCTGCGATAATAGTAGGGGCTTTTCTTGCAGAATACAGCACAATCCACAGGATCTGGGATCAGATTCTATCCGACCCAGTCCTAGTACGCCTGCTGAATAACAGATCTATTCGAATCCCAAGAAGCCATCGTGCAGCCCTCTCGGAAATGCTGCGCAATATGCACAGCCCTCACATCCCAACTCTCCAACTTCTGCCCGCAGAATCCACATCCCCATTCCTTCTTCTCGTAATTTATGGTTCTTCTCCAATGCTGCGCAACATCTTCGGTCAACTCGCATTGATGCACGTTCTTCCAGTGTTGCTTCAGATTGTCTTTGCGCGGGAATGAACGGTCGATTGCTGGTCTGGCGAAGCATTCTGCCGCTCGGTGGCAATCTGAGAAATGGGAGTTCGAAGGATTGGGGAGCTTGCAGAAGGCACAGAGTATGTCGAGGCTGCCTCCACTCGCAACTAGAGGTCCACTCGCTTGACAGACCCATTGGAATTGAGGTAGATGGACAGCTTCTTCGTGGCGTTTCCAGGCCTTGTAAGAAATGGCTTTGTGGCAGAAGGTGCACTGGAAAGTGGGTGTCAGTTTTGAGGACCCAGGAGATTCTGTCTCTATGGGAATGCCTCGGATTCCTTCTCTATCTGTGCTCAACGCATAAGATGACGGGGCGGCGTTGGTGTCTCCATAGAGGTCAATATCGTAGCCCGGGAGCGGTAAGTTGGAGGGATCGTCAACGACATCTTGCGGCTGGAACGTTGGGCACTGCGGTAGTGGTAAAGGAGGAAGCTGGCAGAAGTCGGAAGGGGTATCCAGAGCAGCCTGGTCGGACTCGAAAGGGATATGGGAAAAACGCATCTCTGTCCCTGGTAACATGCCCAGGAATGCATCCATTGATGGAGGTCCAGAAACATCCCCAGATAGAAAGGAGTTTTCGGAAACCCACGGCGCTGCTAACACATCCGAATACCATTGACCAGAGGAAAGGACGGAGTTCGGGGGCAAGTTCGAGAGTTGTCCTTTATCATCCACTCTGCGGATTTTCGTAGGCACTGCCTCGCCCACCACGCCTTCGAGGGATTGTTTTCTCTCTGGACCGCCAACAGCTGGAGTAGTAGTTTCAACCGACATTTCAACGGCCCTCCTCCGTTTCCCTCTGCTTTTGGCCATAAGCTTGCGTTCCAGCACCTCCCGTAACGCCGGATCATCCTTATCTCTATCGATATGGTGGACACGCACATGCCGCTGCAGATTATCGGGTCGGGGATAGTTGTGTTCACCGTCGGGACAGAACGGACACACGTAGACCTGGGAGTTGTGTAGGAGCGAGTGCCGAATCACCTCATTTCTACGCTTAAAGCCTTCGCCACCTTTGCCGCGCGGACAGCCCGGGACGGGGCAGTAAAGTGGGCGATCTGTGTAATGGACGTTTGCGTGGGCGCTGGATTGCGTTAACTCAAAAGAGTGTCTACAATCGAGGGAATTGAACAAGCTGGGAGCCCTTAAGAACATGAGAACGCCTTACTTCAACAAATACTGCGAAGCAAACGGTGGTGCAGTACATCCCGGGTAACTGCACTTCCTTAGTACGGGAGATGGTAATATAAACGGCGGTACTTGCATAGTAGTTAGCTATAGCCCACAACAAGACCGTGGACACTGACATTGGTACAGTGCGGGTCCATTGTTCGTTTGATGGAATGATGAATGTGGCGACCTGTGATCTTGACTTGATATTGAGTGGCTGCGCGAGGTTGATAATCCGGGAAAATTGGTCTCGGAAAAGTTTTGCCGTTGATACACATCCCGAGAAGCCGTGTTACAAGGACTTCCCGGTGTCGATTGATATCTCCTTCTGCCGCGTCATGGAGGACCGGAAATGACTGCTTCGTCACATTGGGAGAAGGCTGAATTTGCGCTTCCAACTGGACTGTCGTTTACATTTCGATACCCGACGGGCTGAGAACTATCCACGCTCGGCAGACTGAACCCAAAAGGAGCGTCTATTCGGAACGTCAAAAATACACCCTGCTGCAAAGGATGGTGTTGGGGCTTACCTTGGCTTTGAAGGGTTTGAATAGCTTTCTCAATATCTTTCGGAGAAGCTCCTTCATCCTCTGAAGAGCTGGATAACCAAGCTTCCAGAGGACCATGCCGGTTCCTAGCGTTAACAAACCACGTGGACACTTGCTCAACAGTGAGACCAGACTGTAAGGCAAGTGTTACTTTTTCGTTTTGGGAAGGGTAATCCTATATCGAATGCGAATCGACCCATCCTTGGAGTACTTTGATGGCCTCGACAGGGTGCTTTGACCTATGACGTACACAAGCAGATGGAGGACGCTCGAGGGTGTTTCGATTGGGCTGTTAGAAAAGATTTAGTCCACTCCGATAACTCCATCAGCGAGAAGAGTTTGGCGACCCTGCTTTACCTTAGGGTGACGACGACGATATTTGCGCTTCGTGCTGGAGGCTCTTGTAAAGGGCTCTGGATGTTTGGTCTTAAAAATGTCATTATCTTCGGTAGCTGGCTTCTCATCATTGCAAGATGCGTCCGCCTCTCCTGCGCCGCTACGCCTCGGACATTCTTCGTTTGCTGATTCGGCCGGACAATTCAGGAATGCAGACCAAGGATCCTCCCATTGGATTGTGTCATAGAGAAAATACTCAGACGTCGTATAAGGATTAATTGGTAATTCCATCACGGAAGCGGAGAGGTCTCCCCTCAAGGTGGGAAAGCACCAAGAGCCCAATCTCCTTCGCGGGCCGTAAAGGTTTTACGGGAGGTTGGAGAAAGCCAGTATGGCCGTAGTGATGAAGTGGTGGATCTCAGCTTATCAACGGCTGGCTGCTAGAGATTCACGGCGACCGCATCAGCCGTCATCGCCTTGAATCTCTAGCACAACCGAAGAAACATGGCGGCGAGTGGCCTCAAGCCGAGGAGGGAGGCAGCGCATCTGTTTGCGAGTATTCTGGGAACGGATGATCAAGCATAGATAGATGGTGAGCCAGAAATTTAGGAATTACCTACTAGGTAGTTACAGTAGCTACGAGTAGATATGTTGATAATCTCGAGGGCTGTACGAGAGGCGTGGGTGACAGCCGGCGCGGCGTCTCTTCGCAGGCACGGCAGGCTAGCGCGGACCCTTTTCCAATGGCATGTGCGCTACTCCCTTGAGTGCAGCGGCCCCTGCGGCTGCTCAGCCTTCAGCCCCAGCTCAGCCCGCGACTTTCTTCTCACATAGATACACCCTCATACACCCTCATCCTCATATCCGCTTCGACCGCTCGCATTGTCTGTCGTACGGCATATAGTAGGCCATTTCTCATACAGCCCATCCGAATCAGAGGCAGCACCATCCTGTAAGTGGAGGTAGCGAGTTGCGCAGTCGACGGAGGCCACCGGAACAACAACGCGCGTTCGCTCGCAGTATGAGTGTAAGTTCAGCACCTGCACCGCGGTTCGTACGATATGTGCATCGAGTGTCCCTTCTTTCCCTCCTTACATTGAAGGTCGCTGACGCCATTGGTTGGCCAGTACGGCAACTACGGTCAAGGCGGCTCCGGCCAGAGCAATCCCTATGCCCAGCAAGGCGGCTACGGCCAAGCGAACGGCTACGGCGACAACTACGGGCAGCAGGGTGGATACGGCAATCAAGATGTCGAGATGCAGCAGTTCAACGGCCAGCCGGGCTACGACGCACCAGCAGCCGGGCGTGATCCGAACGCAATCCTCAACGAGTGCCGAGATATCGACCGCGCCATCGACGATCTCGAGCGACGCCTCGATCGCCTACGCGACCAGCAGCGCCGCTTCTTAAACGACAGCGACAACTCGCAAGGTCTCGACGTGATGGCCTCGGACATCATGACCGCTTACCGGTCCTTGGGCGCGCGGGTGCAGAAGATCAAGTCGAACCCGGAGTCAGGGAATCCTAGGAACTCACCGCAGGTCGGGCGGGTGGATCGCAGGATCAAGAAGGCTATTCAGGACTATCAGAGGCTGGAGAGCGACTTCAGGGCGCAGGTCAGGGAACAGCAGGCTAGGCAGTACAGGATTGTGAGGCCTGATGCCACCGAGGAAGAGGTTCGGGCAGCGTGTGAGGAACCAAACCAACAAATTTTCCAACAAGCGGTACGTATACAGCGCAACCCCGATCGATGGAGGCTGGATGGCTCCAGCGCATGTGCTACAATAGATTCGGAAGCCGCTCCTGGGCGACTAAGGGAGCCTCGGGACACCCTGAAAGCTTCCCGACGCCGTCTTTGAGCCATCTGGCGGGGCCCCGAAAATACAATGCAAGTATCACCGTGCTGATTTCTGATATACAGCTCCTTCAAAGCGACCGCCGAGGCCAAGCCCAGTCTACACTCTCAAATGTCCGAGCGCGTCACGATGCTATCCAGAATATTGAGAAGACGATGATCGAACTAGCTCAGCTCTTCCAGGATCTTAATGAGGTCGTCGTGCAGCAAGAGCCGATGATCGAGAACATTGAGCAAAAAGGAGAAGAAGTCAATGACAACGTTGTCAAAGCCAATGTCGAGATACAAGGTGCCACAGAGAAAGCCAGGAGCGCACGCAGGAAGAAGTGGTGGTGTCTCCTTATCGTCAGTAAGTATCTCGCACTCCGTTGCGGTTGCGGGAACCATGTGATGTTAACAATTCGTCGCAGTCCTCATCATTGCCATCATCGCTGGTGTTGTGGGAGGCGTTGTTGCATCCAGACAATAAGCTCCCTTCTCGACCAAGCTCCAGGTACCAGGTCACCAGTCAGATATTGGCATACTACTGACATCCTTACCTCGTCATTCCTTCGCCGCTGATTTCCTTGCACTCGTGAATTCTGTATTGAACAGTCTCCTTTGTCTTTGTGTGTCATAGCGGGTTTGGCACTTTGCACGTACTGTGCGGGGGTTTCCTGTTTCATCAAGTCTGTATAGCCCATTGGGTACTTCGCAGTTTGGAGTTCTGCCAGGAGGGCGGAGTAAGGTGCCGAATCTGCATCCTACCGCCAAAATATGCATTTAATCAATCACTCAATTTTAACTCTTTCCGTATTGCCGTTCCAGCAACGTATGCCGATGGAGATTCATCAGCGTTTGCTTTTGCAGCCTAAGGAATCCGCCGGGGGCATCGTCAGAGGCTGTTGTGTTCGTCTTCGGCAACGCTATGGCTACACGCCATTGAGGACAGGTGAGATGTGGGTCACAATGACTTCTCGCTACGCTGTCTCTATCCTGCCTAATGCGGTGTCTATCTTGGGTATCTAATGCCTCCTCATCCATGATGACAGGTGACGCGGCCCTCCTATCCAAGATAACCGCAAACCACTTCCAAAATCGTACATCCATTCCATCATCATTCGTCGTCTATCGGTGAAATTACTCGTATGATTTTACTTAACTTATCCGGAGGCGCACCGACTCTAGCCCAACCGCCAACCCTAGGCACTGAGCAAAATTCACTTTAGACTCGTCGCATCCGACGCCTTCTCCCCTTCCTTCCCCCATCTCGCTTTCTCATCACCCTCGGCCCATTCCTTCTCCTGATACCCCAGCCTTCTCTTCACCTCCTCCACCGTCTCCTTGTCTCCCGTGTTTTTTCCGATATTGTCGCTAATCTTGACCGCCGGCCTGCCATCTACACTCGCAATCTTGATCACAATATTTAGCGGGACGCTTTTCTCCCCCGTACTCAGTCTCGTGAAGTCGTTGGTCAGGAAGGTGCCCACGCCGAAGGTTGGCTGGAAACCTTGCGCCTCGGCCGCGGCTTTGTATTTGAGGCAGAGGTCGATGTTGAGGGAGTCGGAAAAGACGATCGTTTTTTTGTCCGTGATTCCCTCGGCGTCGTAGAAGGAGCGCATCATTTTGATGAAGCCTTCTGGGTCGCCGGAATCCTGGCGGACGCCGGTGAACACTTGGGCATATGTGGGGACCGAAGTTTCTCTGGGATTCGGCTTCGAGATGGGCGCGTGCAGTGGTGGCTTCGTCTCGCTGAGGGTATCGACGGACGAGATGGTCGAGCCGGCGGCGGCGGAGGGGTTGGTGGCTGCGGCGCCAGGTTCGGCGGTTGTGTAAGAGGGGATAGGCTTTTTGAAGGCGCGGAGGAACGCGGGCGTGCCGTACGTGTCTGTCAATGCGATACCGAGGACCTGAAAGTGCTGTTAGCCCTAGCCTCTGACATCAATGCTGGATGAGCGTACGCCTTGGCCAAACGTGCCGACCCAGTAACGCAGCGCAGTTTCACTGGCGTTTTCGTAGTCGTTGGTTATCGCTGCAACACCCATGAACCACTCGTGCGCTACTGTCCCCACAGGCGGAAGACCGTGCCTCATTGCAAAGTGGACGTTGCTGGTTCCGCTCAGTTTTCCCGGCCAGCCTCCATGCTCGCCGTCGTCTTGCGCCTGGCGGAGACCATGAAGCACGAGGTCTTGCGTGTGATAGTCCCTTCGGCGCCTGCTGCCAAATTCAGAGAAGATACACCCAGCTTGCAGCAACTTCGTGCCTTTGTCCTTTGCCTTATCGATCTGGCCAGCGTGGTCCCAATCCTTGTCGATGAACTTGAAGTAGGCTTCGCTCACAAGGGCAAGCAATGGAATCTCGTAGAGGATCGTCTCCACCCAAAGTCCTTCGGTATGAAGTTGTATATCACCGACGTCTTCGTCACCGCCCGTATCCTGTTCTGGCGTGAATGACAGCTTGACTTGCTTCTGTGGATCCAAGCGGAAGGTGGACATGTAACGCAGGTACGGCTCGTTCAAGAACGTGAGGTTCTTCCGAAGGTACTGCAACTCATCCTCAGACAGGGAAATCCTCGCGAGCTTGTCTGTTTGCGTCTGCAGCCAACGGTATGCAGCGCGATTGAGTTTCATGTGTGGCGTGCGATTTGTGTAGTTGTACGTGACATGGACATCGGGGAAGTATTTCAGAACGCAGCATTGCATCGTGAGCTTGTAGAGATCGGTGTCGAGCAGCGAGGAAATGCCTTCGGGCAGAACGCCATCCGTGCCGTCCGGCTGAGCCATTCTGATAGACTGGACGGCGATGTTCCTGTCCAGGATGTATAGGGTGCGTTTCAGAGGACTACGTATATGAACGTATGTCCTGGAGGGAGCGCGTCGCGGCGGCAGTGCAAGGCAGGAGAGTGGGAGAATCGGTAGTGGAGGAGGGCGCGCTTTGAAGGTTGAATTTACACCCGAATGTCGATTTGGAAGTCTAAGGGATAGATATCCGAATCTAACAATCTTGGAAATCTGCGGTGCGGTTGCAAAGCATCCATGGATGTCGTAGTGGGGTGGAGGGGCACAAAGACAGCCAAGACGTCAAACATCTGAGTTGCTGTATGACGGAGTCGCGCAGGGCAGCAAGGCAGCAAAACCAAAGATATTGTGAAGATGGCAACGAATGGTTACAGTGTCATCAGGCCAGTTCTCTATAAGCTGCCATTTATAATAAGAGCCTGACTAGACGCCCCCAAGATCCCAAAGACTACACCATAACCCTTTCAACTCCCCCAGATATCCACACTCTTCTGGCTTTGTTATAGGCCTGCAAGCGCTTTGCTCATGTCCAGCTCTTCACGGAGGATCCTGATCTGCTTCTTGATCGCTCTCCACAGCACCAGCTTGTTCAGCTCGTCCTCCTCTGCTGCGCCCAAGAACATGCGTTCACGAGACGCCGCCCAAAGAGTTTTAGTGGAGTCGTCCTTGCTGGTCGACTCCTGCTGTGGCTCGTCTCCGCCGCCAGCAATTGCAAGTAGCGCTGCGACGAAGGCTTCTTGCATGTAAGCGAAGCTGAATTTGTCCGTGATTCTCGCTATGGCGATGCACAGCTTGTCTGGGAATTCGATGTCCTTGTTGTCAGAGAGCTTCGACTGCCAAAACCTGCAGTACGCCACTCGCTGGTCAAGGTCTGGATTTGGGAAGAAGTACTTGCGATCGAAGCGACTCGGACGTTTCTATAAGGTGTATTTGTCAGCCCTCAATAAGAGCCCTAACAATGGAGGGATTATGTACCGAAATGCCTGGGTCCAGTCTGTCCAGGTGGTTCGTGCTGCCCACCATCAATATGCCATCATTGTTCTTCAGGCCGTCTACTTCATTCAGAAAGTAGCTACGCACGTAGTCCGTCACAATGCTGTCCAGATCCTCGAATACAAGGTAACAAGGAGCTTCTTGTCGCGCCTTGCTAAAGATCTGGCTGATGGAGTATTCTGGGCCAGCGAACTTTGCACGGTCAGCCTGAACAAACTCTGGATCTCGCGCGTCTGGGCCAACTCACGCTGCTCAGCGTCCGGACGTATAGCGTAGGTATTGGGTCCTTCCGCTTGTATAGTGAATGCATCATCGCCTTGATAGAGATTGTCTTTCCGTTTCCCGGCGGTCCGTGGTAGATCACGCCTCGCTTCCATGGCACCTTTAGTTTCTCATAGGTTCCTCGCGAGTTGAAAAAGTAATCTACATCCTGTATGATGGCTTTCTTCATGTCGGGGGCCAGGATAACATCGTCCCACTCGGATTTCTGCACACTCTGCCAAAGATCTCCACTCTTCTGCCAGTACCCCTGATCGAATACCCAGACCTCGTTGCGCAGCTCCGCACTGAAACGGGAGGCAACCATGATAAGGTCGTCAGCCACTTGCTCGGCCTTGCTCAAGATGTAATTGTTCACCACAGATGGGTAGTAGCCTGTTCCGTCTCGGCCGTTGATTATGTAGACGATGAATTCCTCATCTTTCCACTTGTAAATGTATTTGCCAAACTTGACCATGCTGATCAGCGACCCAGGAGCATTGTCCAGACGTCGGGCAGGCGGGAGATACTGGCGCCACGACAAAGGTTTGTATACAGGGTCCGAGGAGTCTTCGGCGGGGGTAACGGATGCATGGCCGGCAGCGGCGAAGGCGAGGAGATCGCAAGACGATGTCAATCCATCTACGGGCGCGACGGTGAGATTGAGCTCCGGGTACTGTCTGCGCAGTGCTTCAACAATCACGATGTCTGTCGATACGCGCTGGCCGCTGGAGTGGTGAAAATACTCTCGGGCGGCTTCGTCGTGTGCAGGTCGGAGTGCCAAGTTGATGGAGCCTGTCATGTTTGCCTGGGGCATGGAGATACGGGCAGAGGGGACAGCGTTTGGATTAGAAAAGCTCGAGTTGTGCCGTGACGCTGAAGTTGCGGTAGAGAATGCAGGTTGCCGCGGGAGGGACCTATTCACCAGCTGCTCAAGGTACCGCTGCGCAGGACAAGATAGCTGAAAGGTACTCGGATTTGTAAGTGTAAGTGACGCAGGCGGACTGGTGAGGACACGAGGTTGTGTATTGGGGCAGTGCTGACGCCTCCAAGAAGCTTGACAGCTTGCAATCCTTCGCGCTGCCAACTTGGGCGCATGGCAGCTGTCGCCGCGGAGGAGAGCTCCCGCTTGACCCACAGCCCCGGAGGTACCTACCTACCTACCTAAACATACTGTAGCTCTGAGCCCTGCACTTGCACGTGACTTGAGACCTCGTGCCAACCGCCCTTGGACCTTCTTCAGCACCGCAACAAAACGCAACGTCTGCAATCCACCCTGTGGCACGAAGTTTTGGCTGCTTGAACCCGGTCTTTGTAACACTCTGCACACGGCACCTCTATCTACCCGTGGAGCAGTGGCAGGAGCTTCCTATCAAGCGCTGGGTTGCTGTTTCAAGATGCTTGAGCTCTGGCACGCCATCCAGTTCTATCCATCGCCACCTAGAAAGTGGAATTAGGTGTTGGGATTAAGTATTTTACCTCTTCTAGCCCTTTTCTTGCTGCCCTTTCCTCTCAGCAGCACAGTCCGTCTTCAATATGAGTCTCTGTGATTCTTGCAATGGTATCAATGTACCAGCTCTTGCCAGCGAGTCCGGATATCAGCATCTCGGCAACGTACGCGACCTCAGAAGTTCTGCCGAGAATTGCCGTCTGTGCGCCGTAATTAGATCCGCTCTCAACCAGAACACCGCCCATACTTCCGAGCCCGATAACCCATTCGAAGCGGATTATTACGAGAATCATCTTGAGGCGGAACCCATAACGCTGCACGGCGTTAGTGAGGGCCTCTACGACAGGTCGCTGTCAGGCGAAGGATATGCCCTTACTAGACCTTACCGGCTATGGGGTATCGAGATTCATGTCTCATCCAAATATGGGGATGATATCGGCTACATAAGCCTTTTCGCCGAGCCAGGTGCGTCAGTCATGTCGGATACTCCCATCGGCTTGAGCGCTTACCGTGCAGCAGGGAGCTTAGCTTCAACATCTGGCGCAGTGTCAGGCAGGCCGATTTGCAAGGACGTTCGCTCGGAAGGGTTTGACCTGATCAAGCGATGGATGCGGAACTGCGTCCACAACCACAAGAAATGTAGATGCACTATAGCTGCAGGCGATATTGATGAAACTGCGCAGCCTGAACTGCCTCGTCGAGTCCTGGATGTCGGTAATGAAAGAGTTAGACTGATCGACACCTCTCTAGACGGCGAGCCACAAGCGGGGCATTACGCTGCACTATCCCATTGCTGGGGCCCAAAGCAGTTGCTGACAACTACTGAATCCACATTCCGGAGCCGCATCGACGGCATCAATTTCGAGGACCTCCCTCGCACTTTTCAAGATGCCGTCACCGTAACCCGGACGCTTTGTTTGCGGTACATCTGGATCGACTCCCTCTGTATCATCCAGGACAGCCGCCAGGACTGGCTCACAGAATCTGCAAAGATGGGGACTGTTTATCAGAACGCAAGCATTGTTATAGCGGCCTCCGGAGCTGGTGAGGGCAGCGAAGGCTGCTTCATACCTCGCACGAGTATCGTAGAACCCATCAAGCTGCTCTTTCACTCCGATGATGGTGCAGTCTCAGGCTGCATGTTCGTATCCTTGCTTCCGGACGAGGGCAACGACAACGCAATACTGGACAGAAATCCCCTTGCTAAAAGAGCGTGGATCACTCAGGAATGGATCCTAGCCCGCAGAATCATACACTTCACGCGGGCACAACTGGTATGGTCCTGTAAAACCGAAATTGAGACTGAGAGTGGTCAGCCAATCTATGATGACAGCGCCACTCAAAGCCTTCAGGAGAGTCCAATCTTCAGCGCATCGGCCAACGACAGCGACGTCAACACCTTCATCGACGACTGGTGCGAGATTGTTGTTAATTTTTGCGGTCGTCAGCTGACTTATGAGTCTGATAAGTTAGTGGCTTTGCAGGGAGTTGTCAACGAAGTGTTGCGAAGGATTGGTAACACTTATCGGTATCACTTTGGAGTGTGGTCAGCAAGGCTGCCACAGCAAATACTCTGGTTTGCAAGGGATATCCTGGCACGGCCTCAAACGTTGAAGAGCACGCCTTCCTGGTCCTGGGCCTCAACTATGGGCGTTATCGTCCACCACAACCCTGGCCAGACTGCACAAGATTTAGCTCAGTGCCTGCGAATAGAGGATAAGAAACTACTGCTCCAAACACTTCTGGCACCCATCCCACAACTGCGCGGGCCAATCATGCCACACTCGCCCGAGGCGCCTTATGCGTTTCACTGTCAGTCAAAATCAACATTCGCAACCGGAGCGGCGGTAATGTCATGGAGGATGTACCTCATGTCGTCGATTGAAGAAGACAGGCTAGGTTGGGTCTCGTTTGACCAAGGTGTTGTACCGCCGGACCCGATATACATGCTTCCGATTTCAAAGAATGTCTTCAACGGTGCAGACGACGGCTTCAACATCCTCCTCGTGGCGCCAGCGAAGATAGATGACACCGCATACGAAAGAGTTGGTATGGGTGAGGTTCTCTATACGGATCTATTTACTGGCCGGCTCATGCAGCAGATTTGTCTGGTTTGAAGCGCCGGCTGGTTCCGCATACATACTACCACTGCAACGAGTGACATGTAGGAGTCCAAGCGTCGGGCTGCAGTTTTGCTTCGGCAGGGATTTGCACAGAAGTTCCGAGGACCGAAGCAACGAAGAAAGTAGTGTGAGCCAGGTTTGCGCGTATCTAGTGCCAGGGATCCGAACTCCGATTCCATGCTCCTATGAAGGAGGCGCTATTCAATGAGGAAGCGGCTGCTCGACGACGCGCGACCGTAACGCTCCTCAACATGACATTTCGGTGCTTACGGAGGTGGACTAGCTCATTCGACACATCTTCAATCAACCGAAAGTCCAGTTATGAATTATATGAACCATGCGTTAGTGTTTGTTAATAGTACTAGAGAGTGGCTAAGCGGCCACCGCTTCCTCAGTGGATACATCTTCCTTCGTAGACTGCACAACGCTGTGAGTATGGTCGCCACAAGGAGGACGATGGAAGCCAGACCCCGACCTCCCCCGTTATCGTGAGGCAATTCTCGCTCGAGCCCTTGGCCCTAAAGAGTACGGACCGCTTCTTCACCAGCAAGTGCTTCCGGCAGAGGATGTTCTAAAGCAATCCACCCGAGCAAGGCAGAAGGCCATACCGGCATTCCTCGTGAGTGACATTTCAAACGCATCAAGGAATGACAGCGACACAACGCTGGCAACCCAATCCCAGCCGCGTTACCGCCTGATCAGCCTAAGCAAGCAGTACTCATATCAGGGGCGCTTTCACACCGGCCACAATCACCGTAGGAATCCCAGTACATCAGTTCAGATACATTCGTTGACGAGGAGTTCTGGAGTGATGACGACTTGATACCAGCAAGCCAGCATTCAGCCCCAAACGTAGCACGACCGTCATCCGAAGATATCCTCATGACGCTACCTCGGAAACCAGCACTCTTAAAGCCAACTCTAGGACTCACTGGAGGACACGGTAACTGTGGCGACAACTCTACGACCTACCCACTCCCAAGCGCCCCGCAAAGCAGGAGCTCTACTGCAATCCGCAGCGCGGCAAGGTCAGAACTCCGCACAGCAACCCTGTGAGAAGGAAGCGCCTCTTCTTCTTTCATGCCACCACCTCATCACCATCAATCGACATCGGGGTCGGACCATATTACCTCGCACTGACCGCCAACGCTTACACCGACGCTGTCACAGCTTACGTTCTCGGATTACCTAACAGAACTACCGAACGAATTCCTCAAGCCATCAGACCCACAGCTATCTTCGCTCAGGAGCCTGTCGTCTGGGACAGAGTACCTGCCCTCATCCTTCCCAGTCAACCCGACCCAGTCATCGATCCTAGACCCACTACCACTGGACGCGTCGGACGGTCTGTTGGAAAACCCCAGATGTATTTCAGCGACATGAACGCAGGAGACGACGTTACAAGGGGCGCTCTGCCCGTAGGACCATCAACCCAACCGGAGACGGTTAAAGACCTCAAGCTACACCGGGGGAAACGTCAACCGTCCTTATGCGATGCGTTAAGAGACCCGGTCTTCTTCATCATCACCCCTAGGGTGTTCATAAGGAAGTTTGCTTGCTGTTAGCTGCTTTGGTTCTGACCGCATGGTCCGCATCTCATCCCATGGTACTACTCGCTCAACACACCAAATGAACAGGCAAAGGTAACCGTCTTGACGGTCTCAGCAATTCCAGTGGGGATAGCATGCGGCCATGGGGTGGTAGGGCGATAGCGGAGTTGTAGATTTGGCGTGAGGACCTTCAGCAATGTCGCAGGGTCTAGCGACAAAAGGCCATTCGAAAGACAGGTTGCCGCATTGAAAGCTCCTCGTGGTACTGAAGGTGGATAGCGCGTAGGCGCAGTTCAGAGATTAAAGACATTACGAGTGATTAGTGCACTAAAGGGTTGTAATGCTGAATATCTTGTGCTTTCTATTGCATGCCATCGGTGTCGCTATTTTGTAATCGAGATGATCACGAGTCCAACTTAATCGCGAATTTGGTGTTGAACAAGCTAGAGCATAGATGCGGCAACGAGCTTTTCGAATGGCCCTTGGACTATGCGAGCACCGATGCGAGAAGTGCTTCTCCTTTAACTCTTTCTTCCTCTTCTTGCCGCGGTCCATGGCAAGAGGCGCGTACGTGCTTCCCCAAGAGATGCCGGATTCGAAGGACGGACATTTCCATCTCTATGGACGATGTCCGGTGGTAGAACTCTTTAGGCGTGTTTGCTGTGATGAGGACGGCAGTTCATTTACATCTGTCGCAAGCCATCGGCAGCTCCTTCTCGACTGCCGATAGTGTGAAACTCCTTCAGCGTCGCATCAAGGTTGAAGCAAGCTTCTCCTAACGGCGTCCGCCTCAAGTAGTGCAATATCGATGCAGCCACAGCGCCTCTTCCGGAGCGAAGTCGGTCTCCGGGTTGAGGCGGTTCTCGGCAAGACGGCAAGACGGTTGTCGGATGTGCCGCAACCCTCGAAGTGTGGACCGGCGTGATTTGGTCAGTACTCACGTCTTCTTCCACTTCTCTCTGGTGGAGTTTGTAACCACACTCGGAAACGGGGCGGGAATATCAGATAATCGTGGAGTGATGTGGAGACGACAGTTGCTACACTGCGGGGCCGGATACAGGGGAAGTTGTTGGGCGGCCTCATCTGTGCAGTAACAGAGCACCGCCTACCTACGAGCACAGCAACGAAGTCATCACAGAAGAACTGAATCAAAGAGTGTCTTTTTTTCGCGCGAACCAATCTGTTCACTGCTGTTCGATCCCGATATTTGAGGTTTGTTAACTTATGGTTCTGCCACAAACGTCAGAAGGCTGCCAGCCACCAAGCCAAGGGTGGGTGCTGAGCCTGGCGCCCGCTGCTTGACTCGCGCCCCATGGGACGGTTTCATGCCGTCGGCAGTGTGACATTCACTAGAGAGGGTTACAAATCCTTCAAGGATGCGCGGGCTGGGTACCAAATCACCAGGGGGTAGATATGGGAGCTTCCAGCAGTACACTACTTCCTTCACTCTCGTGACGGACTTCGTGGGGTTCTGCGTGTTGCACACGTGTGGGTTCTCAACAGACAAGAAGCCTGACAGTTGAATAACTATTGGTACCAGTAGTTTAATCAAGGAGCCAGGACTGCAGTGACATTCCCGCCGGCGCGTTGTTGTACTTCTCGGGACCGGGCTGCTGTCTGATGACGATTTGGCGGATTTGAGACGTGCCTGGCATGGCTGCTCAGACGCCCTCGGGTAGGTAGCTTGACACCACCAAATCGACGCCCTTTCTGGTGAGCAGCTCCCAGCCGCAACTTTTGATGAATCTCCTCAGTCCCCGCACTGATGACGGCTGCTTGGCTTGCATGCCGGCCAGTTGATTTGGTCGCTTCGGCCTCGGGTAGCCCGCGACGGTCGATCGCGAGCGGAGTGCGATGTTTTGACCAGGAGCTGATGCCAGCGCCAACGCCGATGCTCTCCAACAGGCCGTCAACGGCTCTTCACTCGGCCTGGAAACAGACGACGTTTCCGTGACCCCATCCACGTTCTGCCATAATTAGTCGCCCACTAAATCGGCCCTGCAGGATGATGCACGCCGCTCGTCGGTGACTGTCCGGATTAGCGAGAGCAATGGTTAGAGTATATATGCGTCATTCCTCCGCATCTGCACGTCTGCATATTCCATCTTCTCTTCACAGTGCTCCTCCCCAGAACAAACCGCTCTAACTTGACATCTCTACTCCCTGGTCTTGTAGCTTCTTAGTCTGCAATATACCGTTACCTTCAATCATCTCAAGCTTTTCTATACCATATATACATTATCGTCCTTGTGAAGACCAACAGCAACCAAATATACAGAATGGCTACCGCGGCTACCGCGCAGCTCGTATGTACACAAGAGCACAAATGTCTTCTTCGCGCTGCCAAGATGGATGCTGATAGAACGCACAGAACCCTGCCGTCGGTAATGGATACGACACGAACGGCACCAACGGCGTGAATGGCACGCATAATACCAACGGCCACGATCACGCTACAAAGCAACGAAACTACGGCGGGAACCCTCTCGCACACATTGGCACCAACAACACGGATATGCTCCCTGCATTCGGCGGTCAATTCCAGCCTGGTCTATACAAGCAATCCAAGAGAGAATTCGCCAACCCTGCGCCACTAGGTCTCTGCGCTTTCGCCCTGACGACCTTCGTCCTGTCTTGCATCAACATGGGCGCTCGGGACCTTACTCAACCGAACATAGTGGTCGCTCTTGCCTACGGCTACGGTGGTCTGGTCCAGCTGCTAGCGGGCATGTGGGAGATGGCTGTCGGCAACACTTTCGGCGCTACAGCTCTATCATCCTACGGTGGCTTCTGGCTCTCGTTCGCGATCATCTTGACGCCAGGCTTCCAGATCAGGGCAGCGCTTGAGGAAGTGTCACCAGCGCCGTTTTACGACTCGTTCGGCATTTATTTAATGGTACGGGTTCCCGCTTCAACATATGTTTCGGTAGCTGACAAACGCTGCAGGGCTGGTTCATCTTCACGACAGTGCTGCTGATTTGCACACTCCGATCGACCGTCGCCTTCTTCTTGCTGTTCTTCTTCCTCGACATGGCGTTCCTTATGCTTGGCTGTTCTTACCTGCAGAATGGTGGCGGACCAGAGGCACATTACAACGAGCCTCTCCATAAGGCGGGCGGTGCCTTCGGCATCTTGGCGGCTTTCATGGCTTGGTACAATGCCCTGGCTGGTATTGCGGACTCGAGCAACAGGTCAGTCAGCCCCTTCTGTTCTGTCCTCGGTGTGAATATTATAGCTGACATGATGTCTTTCCAGCTTCTTCGTCATCCCGGTCGCCCACTTCCCCTGGTCTGACAAGGGCCGCAAGGAACGTGGGAAACCCACTCTGGCCGAGGAAAGGGGTGAGAAGACCGAATAAGCTTCTCTCATTATACAATCACATTTGAGCACTTATTCATGTGATACCTTGGGTTTATTCACCGGTTGGCTTCTGGATAAGCCTTTTAGAGCCCCTGGCGTTAATACTGCTCCGTTTACATGTAGTATGCTACTGTGACTAGTACGATTAATTAGAAAAGTTCAACATCGAGCTATTCGTATATGGTGAGAGCTCCGTCATGTGCTTCGAGTGACACCAGCCCACCAGAGTCTGTGGATTATTTAATCTTCCATCCATCTGCCGCAGCAAGCTTGGTGCAGGTACAAGTAACCCATCTCAAACTTCGTCTCTCCCAGCGCTGCCTTCCGCTTTACAAGCAGCCGATCCAGCAAGGATTCAGCTGGAGCAACCTCATCGCTGAGCGGGCCTCCGCACTTCCCCAGCTCTCAGTTCGGTTGTTGTCTCCTAGTGACGTAACAATTGGAAGTACCCCCCGTCTGGGATGATCCATGTCTCACCGCCCTCGCTTCCCCGCAAAGCTGTGACGCACGGCGGCGATCTTTGATCTGCATTGCGTAGGCCAAGCTGCTGTTCAAAACGTTTAAGCTTTTGGAAAAACGCCGCTGGGAAGTCCCGATGCAAAAAACGTTCCGTGGGTTGTGTTGCGCTGGTTAGCCCCTGCGTTTTCATGCTCTCCACAGCGTCGATATCCACTGTGCCGGCAACGCGAGATGTGGGTGTTCCGCGAATCTGGTCGTCGGCAGGTCGTTTCCCCAGATCTTCTCCGCGACACCCCACGACCTCCGGGTTTGTGGAGCCTTGGAGGATTGATCGGCTCTGCCTACCTTATCTGAGCGTCTCGGATCTGTTATGCGGATGGAAGAGGATGAGGCGTTGCAATGCCTGACTATCTGATTCAACGCTGCGAAGCCCTTCGTTTTTACGTAGCCTGCGTGTGGCCACATGAACGAAGCATATGTACAAAGATAAACCTTCTGCGCACAGGAGCCGTCCACTGCCAGCTTACTGGTGCATCCCAGTGCGCATTGGCAATACCCACGAATCAACCTCCGAATAGTGTCCTCTTCACCATGCGGCACCCACCTCTCCAGTGGTCCTACGACCATCGCTTGTCGCATCATTGACCCCCCACCGTCGAACAGATCTCCGCCCATATCCTCAGCTCTCGGCTTATCCCTTCGCATCCTGCCTCTCCTCCTCTTCAGGCGTTCTCGTCCGGAGCTGCAGCGCGTGTATCCCTCCGGCCGCAGCCATCTCATCCTTCAGCAGGGCGTAAACCATGCGGTGCCGCGCGGGCTGCATCTTGGATCGGAAGGCCTCGGATGTTATGGTGACGCTGCACGTCGAGGTGAGCACCGCGAGCCAGAGGTGGGGGGTTGGGAAGATGGAAGTACCGGAAATGAGTCTACACCACAGTCAGCTCCGCGATGCAAGATGCTTAGCTCAAAGAACACGCTGCGAGGAACGGACATGCCTCTCTAGATGTGCTGCCCTGCATGGCTTTGTGGTGGGAGTGGAGATGGGAGTCATTGTTGATCTCGAGAGTCGTGGGTTTCAAGGCCTCGCTGATCTGTCCGGGTTGTTAGGCCAGTGGCTGCGTGAGGGCGCGCTGTTGGGTTGTAGCTTTCCTTTGCGCGCATCGCGTCCTCGACCGGCGTTGGCGACATGGTGGACATGGGCCTCGGCAGCGCGACTCCAAGCCGTGCCTTGCGCAACATGGACCGGCGCAAGAGACTTGAGCTGAGCAGGGCGAGCTAGATGGCTGTTGGCGCGTAAGAGTACGGCAAGCTCTACAGGGTTGATGGATTGATATGGATTGATATGGATTGATATGGATTGATATGGATTGATATGGATTGATGGATTGATGGATTAATGGATTGATGGATTGATGCTGGGCGGACGCTTTCCCTGCCAAGGATCACGAGTCCAAGCTCCTGGCGGAAATCCGAAGTGAGCCTCATCCCAGTGACCACTCCCTTACTCATCACAACCCGCATCTAAACACAGCCCAACTGCCAACTGCCAACTGCCAACTGCCAAACTGCCAAATCGCCAACTGCCAGATCCATTGAAACTGGAAGATTGCCATCGGCGTTGTCCGCCGGCAATTGGTGCATCATGAAGACCCACTGAGCCACCGGCCGAACAGCTCCCGCCCCGCTCTCCGAGAACCGCCGGCGTCAACTCGACCATCTCCCATTTCCAGCACCATGTGGCCCGCCTCTACGAGACAGACAGTCCTGCGTGCATTCGCTAGCCTCCCCCGACACTCTGCTCTACCTGTTGCACCCTGGCTCAGCCCTCGAATATCAGCAGCGCGCTCCTACGCCCGCATCCGCCGAATGGCTTCCACGCTTGCCCTCCCCAAGCTCCCGCTCTTCGAAGCCATCACGAGTCACGATGCCGAAAGCACCGCGGTGGTACATAGTCTCTCCGGCCGGCGCTTCACGTACGGTGACCTTCTCAAAGACGTAGCCGAGGGCAAGCAGAAGCTCAGCCATCATGCTGAGGGAAAGCCCCTGGAAGGGGAGAGGATAGCATTCCTGGTTGAGAACGGGTACGACTATGTAGGTGCGCGGCCATGCCATCTCAGGGGATGCTGTAGATGCCGTGAAGCTAACGAAAGAGGCAGTGACGCTTTTATCGGTCCTTGGTAGCCATGCGATTGCCGTGCCGTTGTCGCCAGCTTTTCCCGCGAGCGAGCTGAGATATATCTTGAACCAGAGCGAGGCGCTGATGCTATTGAGCTCCGGGAAGTTCCAGCACACGGCGGAGGAGGTTGTGAAGGAGGGATTGGAGCACAAAACCATCAGTGCCAAAGTTGAGAAGATCACAGAGAGCAGCGCCGCCAGCGAGCCGGTGCAGCTGGACGATCCGGGCAGCGATAGGGGTGGCATGATGCTCTACACTTCTGGGACCACCAGTCGGCCAGTGAGCGCTCCTTTGCAACAGTCCAACCCATGCGCGGAACAACCACGCTAACACAAAAACCTACCCAGAAAGGCGTACTCCTTCCTCAGTCCGTCCTAACAGCACAGTCTAAATCCCTGATCGAAGCATGGAGCTACACCCCCGCCGACCACCTCCTGCACGTCCTCCCTCTGCACCACATCCACGGCACGGTGAACGCGCTCCTCACGCCCCTCCTCGCGGGCTCAACCATCGAGTTCATGTTCCCCTTCAACGTCGACGCCGTCTGGTCGCGTCTCGGCGCTCCATTCCTCCCAGCCACCGAGCCCAGTCAACCACTGAAGGAGAAAATTACCTTCTTCACCGTCGTCCCCACAATCTACAACCGGCTCCTCCAATCCCACGCCTCCCTAAGCACCGAGCTGCAGGCCGCCACAAAGGAAGCCACAAGCCCGAAAAACCTGCGTCTCAACATCTCCGGCTCCGCCGCCCTGCCCACACCCACCAAGAACGCCTGGACGGAGCTGACCGGGGGTAATATATTGCTGGAGCGCTACGGCATGACCGAAGTCGGCATGGCCTTGTCCTGCGGCCTCGAATTCTCCGACCGCGTCGACGGCTCCGTCGGGTGGCCCTTACCATCGGTAGAAGCGCGGCTCGTGGATACAGAGACCGGCTCCGTCGTACAGTCGGGCGAGGAGCTGGACGCGGAGGGCAAGGAGCGCCTGGGCGAGATACAACTCAGGGGGCCGACGGTGTTCAGGGAGTATTGGCGGAACCCCGCCGCGACGGCTAAGGAGTTTGTGGAAGGCGAGGATGGAAAGGGGCGGTGGTTCAAGACGGGGGATGTGGCGGTCAGGAGGGTCGTGGAGGGGGCCGGGGAGGGAAGGAGTGGGGAGTGGGCGGAGGGACCAATGTGGTTTATCCAGGGGCGGAAGAGCGCGGATATCATTAAGAGTGGGGGGGAGAAGATTAGTGCGTTGGAGGTTGAGCGGGAAATGTTGAGTTTGTGAGTTAGCTGCGATGCGCGCCGGCGATGGGGGCTGTGCTGATGTGTTATAGGCCGCAGGTTGCGGAGTGTGCCATAGTCGGCTTGCCGTCTGAGAAGTGGGGACAGAAGGCCGCTGCGGTGGTAGTACTCACTGAACAAGGCAAGACTGGTGGGCGCGGCGGCAAGCCTTGGGGCCCGATGGATATGCGGAGAGCGTTGAAGGAGAGGCTGGTGGGCTATAAGATTCCGCAGGAGATGAAGGTCGTGGAGTCGATACCGAGGAATGCAATGGGCAAGAGTAAGTCACCCGCACACAGTGTTCGTTTGGTTAGGATGATCGCTGACCGATGTTCTAGTCAACAAGAAAACGTTGGTAAAAGACGTGTTTGGAGACCGTGACGCCTCACCGAAAGGCGATCCTAGAGAGTAGTAGAGTTATGTAGATATAGATGTACATTATACACTGTTTGCCGAGTCCGTGACAACCATGCAGACACTTCACGACTTGGGGAATGTTCTAGCCAGAGCCAAAGGTCACGAATCATGTCCATCACCGTGAGCTTTAGCAATGCTAACACCAAGGAGCCTCGAGAAATCATCAAATCTTTAGGTTTCCACGAAGACCTGGGAGGCTGTGTGGTATAGCGGTAGCGAAGCTAGTAGAGCAGAAGAGCCGTCACGCGAAAAGCCGCGTTCTTGATATGCACGTCACTGCATGTTTTGTACTCTCATCAAGCCGCTAAAGATGATGCTCATCATCAGGCCCCTTGAGTGGAGCCGATTGCATTCTACAAAGAAAGTTCTAGTGTATCTCATCTGTGTCACCACGGTGCGCGCTAGAAACCAACCCTGATTGTCAGAATCCCCAATTGGCGTTAATCTTGGAGTGCAAACCCCTGGCGCTTGCCTGTCATATGCCTGCTTTACAGAGAAAGTCCTGCAATAGTGATCCTCAACCGCCCTCTAAAGAAGGAGGAGCCGTTCGTACGTTTTGCTCCTGAGAAAACGGGCGAGCAGTACCTGGACCTGGTATTTCTGAGTACCCGTTCACCAAGGAAAAGTAACGGGGTGCTACGGTCGAGACAAGAACGCTGGCCACTCATCCTGAAACTGCCTAAGCGACTCCATGGCAACCGATTCTGGGCCGCCTTGTCCTGTCGGCATGTCTGGCTGTCGATGTTGCTGCTGCATTGGCGGTGGAGGCACAGCAAGGACATGCGTACCCAGAGCAGGTGTACTAAGAGCAGGCATACTGAGGACAGGGGCGCGATGGTGACGAAGACTGTGCGGAACGACTACACCCGGCATGGGTCCGGGTTGAGACAGCATTAGACCACGCGGTTGCTGAAGCCAAGTTGAACCGAGTGACATTGCGGCTTGGGCTTGTGGTGGCATGCCAGCGTTCGGCGCATATGCGCCATAACTCAGTTGAGGCATCGGCTGCCAGGTGACTGGAAAACCGTTGACAACCGTAGGCAGTGCTTGCAGATTGTGTTGGAAGGGGCCAGATGTGTTCTGTACGGAATCCTGCGGCTGCGCCTGAGGCTGAAGTGGCGGCTCTCCATGAACGAACGGGGCAAATGGTGGGTAGGTGGTACCAACCGGCGACTCGGGAGTGCGCGCGACTGGAGCCCTCAGCGGATACGGAGCCATAGCCATTCGCCGAGTAGGGGCCCAGGGTGCAGTTCGCAGTGCTGGATGTTGTCCATGCATTCGCTCATACCCCTCATAGAGAGTCTGCGGAGACGGACGTCCTGGAGGTCTTCGCTCGCTTCCGCCGCTTGTTGCCTGAGGTGCTGGAGGAATGTGGACCGCAGAGCTTCCTGCCAGAGCAGGAGCACCAGCTTGGTAGAAGACTGGGTTGGGGGCTGCAATAAGTTCAGCATTCGTCTGATTAAGATCATGCTGAAGCTGAGCCTGGACTGCTTGAAGGAGTGCTGCTGGACGCTCTTGTGCAGCGGGACCAGACAAGGCTCCACGTCGTTGCGCCAGTTCCCGCCTAGCGGTCTCGAATTGCGCCGCGATACCTTGCTCCACCCGATCACGAGCGTCCTCAGCCATACGACGATGCCTGCGATGATGCGGCTCCCCTAGGGGTCCTCGCGGTGTTCGAATTTCGTAAACTCCTTCAGGGGGAGCAGGGGGCAGCTGTTCTCGTGACCGCCTGGTTGATTTACGAGCGACAGGCTTTCGTTCACCGTTCCTGTTAAGATCATGGATATTGAAACCGCTGCGATCATACCCTTCACAGTCTAGGCCCGTGTCCCGGTGGAATCCATCCGCACCATAGCCATCCTTGTTGTACTTTGGATCTCCATACGATGGGCATTTGTGATTACCATCAATCGCAGTTTCTTTGAATGATCGCAGGCACACAAAGCAGAACTGATGACGACATACTGTGCACATGATGTGATTGCACGCGTCGACAAGCTGGATTAGAGTGTGACACGACGGGCAGCTCTTACAGCGGTTCTGCTTCGTGTAGCCAAGATCCTCGGCCTTCCGCTCGCAGACGTGTTCAGTGGCGTTGGCCACTGCGGCTTTGCATGTCGAGCAGGTGTCGGTGCCGCAGCTAGGGCAGTGAAGTGTTCGAGATCTTGTCGTAGTAGTCAGTATCAAATGATAGAGAAGGTTCAAACAATAGCCTGTATCGCGAGAGTCGCAGAGAAAACGCTCAGAAGAAGCTAGGCGATCTAGTAGGCTACTTACGTGAACAAGTCGGAACCCTTGCCAGTGGCATCCACGGCCGCAGATTCCTGGAGGAACGCCGAGCAACTGGGCGCGGCGCAGTAGACGCGATTCTGGGGTGCCGTGTTATACTCAGCAGTTTTCGCTTTGTATTCTTGGATGAACTTAGGCGGAAAGTGCTCCTTGACGTCGTCGATGCGGATCGCGTACTCAGGGAAACAGCAGTAGACGGGATGATCGATCTCGTACTTGAGAGCCCTGTTGAGTCGCGCGGTGAGGCATGGCTTGCACATCCGGTGGAGTGGACAACGTGTCGCAACAAGGCCCTTCATGGGCATCTCATCCAGGCAGGCGATGCACTGTCCTAGATCGGGTTCCGCTGCTGCAAGTACATGAGCTTGAGTTTGATTATGAATCTCCGTTAAGTCGACGAAATGATGGAATGCGGCTTGGCCGTTCATGATTATGGTGTCCGACGTCGGGACAAAAGCAATGGTGGGCGGTTGGTGGTTGGCGGAAGCGCTGAGTGAGCATGCGGTTGAGATGGGGATAGAGTGATGAAGAAAGTATGGAGGACGAGCGCAGTATTTGTACGCAAGTCGTCTCTGTGAATTGAGCTCGCTTCACTGTTGCCAATAACTAGTGATACGTGAGATTGAAGGAGTGTCACCTGGCGGTCGTTAAGAAAGTGGTGAAGGAAGAAACCAAACGGAGAGGCTTTTGTGTGAACGAGAGCGAGGTAAGCATGGTTGCTGCAGCGACTCCCAAACTGCAAGAGCGTTGGACCTCAGTTCGTCACAGCCGGAGATTAGGCAACGCGCTATTCTGCAAAATAGCCTAAGCCTAAGCCTTCCCACGCTTCACACATAATCATCTTTGGCGTGTTCTACGGAGGTATCGAGCGTATCCCGGCCTTGAAGATGAGTAGGTAGAGGTTGACAGAGGTAACGGAATGCCGTGGGGTATCGAGCGCGGTACATGAAACAACCCTACTAATCCAAGCCCTTGAACGACATGACATGCTTGCCGCCGGTTCGATCCTTGCCCTTGTTGCGTTTTCTCTTCTTTCGGGGCTTCTGAGACTTGTCCTCCTCCTCGCTGCTATCCCCATCCCCATCGTCATCACCATCTTCATCATCACTTCCCAAGCTCCTCTTCCCAACTCCGTTGACCTCACCATCCTCTTCCCCAATCTTCTCCTGCCAGACCTTTACCACAGTCCCACCCCCACTGATCATCCTTCCCCCCTTCTCAAAGCCCAAAGCGACGACGCCCTCGCTCAAAAGCTCATCGTGGCTAACTTCCCCAACCACCTTGTTCGGCCCTATTTTGACAAACCTAATCCTGCCATTGCCCATACCAACAGCCACGATCTTCCCACTCGGGCCCACGTTTTCTGGCAGCACAGTGAGGACATCAAGCGTCTCCCCACCGCCGGGTTCCCTATCCACAACAACCCGCTCGTCTTGATCATCCCATGCGCCCTTCTCCCAGAGCGTCAGAACGCCTCCACCACCCCCTACCAAAACCTTCTCGCCCGTGCTCGTCCCTCTAGCTGGTAGGCCGCCAACGAAGCAGGAGCTTAGCAGCTCCTCTTCCTGATCTTCGCTTCGAACAAGAACGCCGCGCCGCAAGTCTGTGACCGCTAGTGTCGTGCCGCCTGTGCTGACCCATTGCTTGCTGTAGCCTGATGTGCTGGCCGCGGAGGGGGGGAGGGGCGTTAGGGAAGATATGTAGCCGTCGTGTGGGTGGTGTGTCTGCGCGGGTTTCTGAGAGACGAACGAGTGATCGCGGAGGTCATAGAGATGGAGGGCGCTACAGTCGGTGGCTAGGAGCAGGGTTTGTGGGGAGAGCGCGTGTAGCAGAGAGGGAAAGTCGATGGTGTCGGCAGAGCTGCGCGGCAAATTGACCTGTTAGCTACGCTTCTGTACTATTCATAGCCAGTTCATGTCTGACAAAACTTACGTATCTGGAGGGATCGCAACTTTCGCCGTAACCTGGCCGGTCATCGCATCCGCGCTCTTCACCAGCCCATCCGTGCCCGCAGAAAACAGCGCGCCGCCATCATGGCTCCAACTGAGGCAGCGACAGCTTCCCTTATGTCGTCGCGTCCTCCACAGTGTGTCTACGCAGCCAGTCCCATTGTCCGAAGCTTGTGCATCTCCGTCGGAGCTGCCGTCGCTGGCTACCGTTGGAAGTCGGTAAGTCTGGACATGGCCGGCGGCGAGGCCTACGGCGAAGAGAGGCTCAGTTGGATGGATAGCTTGGGCGAAGAGATCGGACGTCAATGGCAGAGAGCAGACGGTATCGAACATGGAGGTAGTTGTTAGCTGGTTGTGGAATGGGAAAAGTTGGTTTGCCGAGAGAGCTCCAATCACCGAATAAAATTGAGGCACTTGAGAAATTGCGGAAAATATCGCATCGCCAGCTGCACGGAGAATGATACTAGAGTTAGAGGGCGCGATTGACCATCAGAATTTTGGAGTTATCTTGAATCGCATAGTTTACAGCTGCTGAACATTAAGCTGAGGTTGACAAACAAAGCATGTAAAAAATACGCTGCCACTCAGCCCGCTGAAAGATGCCTCAAAGAGGAGCAACGGATTCTTGTCTTAATCACTGAAGCTGTCAAGCGATCCAAGCCCACTTCATGTAAGCTTATTGGCGAGGCTTCCATGGGACATTGATGTGTCTACAACCTTTCAATCATTCAATGCAGCACAGCTCTAATCATAATCGTAGTAAGGGCGAAATTGCCAGCGGTGGAGACGAGGTCTACCAGAGCGCCGCCAAAACAAGTTCAGTGACAACCAGCGATAATAAAGTAAGATACATCTGTCCTGGCACGTCTACTCATTATTCCCTCTAGGGGTCGCAAGAGTAGGGAGCAGGTCCCCAAAGACAAACGGTGCAAGCAAAACCACCGTGGGAAGAACCTCGAACAACCACTGCAGCCACCAACAGCTCTGCATCCACTCATGGACGCGCAACCAAGTCCGTAAGCTTGTGTACAACGTCGGCGACCACATGGCAGCCCGGTAAACCGTCTGAAGGAACAACGACACATATGCAACACACGTCAGCCACAGGTAGATCCTGGCGTTCAATTCATGGCTCTTGAATCTCCGCGCCGGGTGGAAGGTTGTGAGATACGTGAAGCGAATCACTTTAGTAAGTGTTAAGATGATCGTGCCCAAGAATAGCCATGGAGCGTGCTGGCGGATGTAGTTCGCTCGTAGCGTGTCAATCGGCTGCCCATTGCGGTACATGTACATCCTGGTTACTCCGTAGTAGTGGAGCAGGACCGACATCCATAGGATCGCCTTGCACAGTCGGCGCTGTTTGCTGCTTGGTAGATCCTTCAACGGATCGTTCGTCCGCGGGAGCTTGTTGAGGACGAGGGTTGTGTAAACTCTCCACCACCCTATGGCGAGGAAATACGGTCCGAATCCGTCAAATAGAGTCGCTGCGAACGCCCAGTAGAGTTTGTCCTTCGGTGGACGGAAAGCGCCAACTGTCTTGGCAACCCAGCTGGTTGCCATGACTAGGGCCCGTCAGTAATAGCTTTTGTATTACGAAGGGAAGGCTGTCTTACACGAGGCTCCAGCGGGGATCCACCACAAGTGTTTGATATCATGCTTGCGGATCTTGAACAAAATGAGGACACGAAGCGCAAGGATGATGACAGCCGCAGGAAATGACGACGCTTTGTCGGTCACTGACATCTCGAACAGAACAGAGAAGGTCGTGAGGACGTCTTTGCGTGGGTGGAGATAGATATGGTTGGTAAAGGCTCTTGGATTGATAATGTGGATAAAAGGAGGTGAAAGCTGTATGCAGGAACACCTATTCGAGTGATGATGAAACGAATTGAAGAAAGCCGGACAATGTGCGAGCTTTACCGCAAAACGGGTTGACAAATTGGGGAGCTTCTCCCCGAGCTGGTAGCTACGAGGGCGAAGAGGCTGATTGAGGAAGGCACGTAGGCGGCAGAACCGAGAACTTAGTCTTTCTTCGGTGAGTTTTCATAGCATTCTCCACGGACTCGTTCATCCTTGCGATCCTCCGTCAATATCACCTTCCTAGCTGTCCGGAAACGAGACTTCAAGCGGCCTTGCCTTACCGCCACCTACCGAGCCCGTTCTCAAGGGTGAGTGGAGGCAAGTGATGCTGCTCTGTTATTGTGCTGGCGATCTTCGAAAGAGTCGAGTTCATCAGCCCCCCGGCACTCTCCGTTGTCATCATGGCTTGTGGCCAAGACGGTCTGATGAAATGATGTTAGAAGGTTGTCGGTGCTACTGTATGTACCAGCATGGAGGACGCCGGAACGGCCCGTTCCATCGCCGAACTCGGGGCAACCCGGTCAAACTATATCGTTACGTGAACGTTCTGTCTACCTAGATACGATCTATGGAGCACTCTCAGCGCTTCTGCCTCAACATGAGAAACGTCCATCGAAGAAGCCTGCACACACATCCGCTCGACAGTCCACTTCTCATTTCCGCAGTGCCAATGCATCCAACCACTCATTGCCATCCTGTGAGGCACAATTGGTCAAAGAGCTCCGGCAGATACGCTCCACAAGTCCCCCCACCACGCCGTCTTAGAAATCGTAGATGGTCTCCTTGCCCCTCTCAACGAGCTTGACAGGTACAACCTCCTCCGTACCAAGCTTGAGAGCAAGCCCCTTGGTTGCGTTAAGCGTTGCCATCGCCCTGTCCCTTGCCTGCAGCCACGCCGTCTTCCTCTCTTTACCGCTCAGCGCTTTCAGCCCGGCTTCATCCAGCTCGGGCACCGCAAGCTCGATGCTGTGCTCCGACAACAGCACGGTCAACACAGCCATGACCTCTGTGTTCGCGAAGCGACGACCGGGACAAGCTCTCACACCCTCGCCAAAGGGAAGGAAAGCGCCTCTCTGTGGCTTCCGATATCCCGACCCTCTGTGCTCTCCTGCCCGAGCATCCGTAAAATTTCCACCGTCGACACTGTTATCCTTCGTTCCGTCAGATCTCATCCAGCGACGCGGCTTGAATCCGTGCAAGTCGTCGGCATCATCCAATTCGTACCGAGTCCACTGATTCGAATTGCGATGCGCAGTCCCAATGGTGATATTGACTTCCGTGTCTGCGGGCACGGTCACCGTGCGGCCATCTCCAAGCTGCAAGCTCTGCGGTCGGACAGTGCGCCTGGGGAGGTTGGCCACTGGTGGAAAGAGCCTAAGGCTCTCGAGTAGTGCCGCGCCTGGGATGTCGTTGAGCAGGGTGTCGGCGTTGTGTTAGTAACTAGCGGAGTTTGAGATGCGAGACGGGTCTCCGGACGGAGAGGCCAGTTCGCTGCGGCGATGTTTGTCCAGCGATTTCTGAATCTCTCTCTGAATGGAAGGGTGTATAGCAAGCAAAGAGAGCAGTTGATACATTGCTTGGGCGGTGGTCTCATGGCCAGCCACAATGAGTAGGAAGGTGTTGCCTGTGATTTCTGTATCTGAGAGGATGGAACGCGAGGGACCACTTGACGCATCGTCTGTTAAGTTGCGATTGCTGCTTGTCAGAGCCTCTAACAGATCCATCTCTTGTGGTCCTCTCTCGGCGGCTACAGCTACAGTCTTTGAGCGAGTGATGGTAGAGATGTACGTGAAGAATTCCGTGTAGGCTTGGTACGCGAAGCGGTGGCTTCTTGACGGTGAGATTGCTTGCTTGAGTCAGTTGTGCGGCCTCTGTAACGGGAACAAAAGAGCTGACCGAGAAGCCTCTGGCTACATACGGCTATACTAGCCAAGTTGTCCAGCACTCCATTCAATGCATTCCCAAAGCCTAGCAAGTGTGCATTTCTAGAATGTCTGCTCCGAAGGCCACAAGTGCTGTCAAGAGTCTTGTCTCCAGGCCGTGCTCTGTATCTCGTTAGCGCATATATCTCCAACGTGATAGCGCCAATGCGATGGGGGTTTCATACAGAGGCACGCCATACACAGTGCGACAGATCACGTGCAGACTGAGCCTGTGCAACTCAACCGCCATGTCATCAATTATGCCGCCCTCACTCTTTTGTCTGTTAAGCAGATATCTTCTCAAGTGCGAAGCCTGACGTATGCTCTCATCCCATATGACGTAGTTGTGCCTCTCCGCAAATACGGGCGACATGACTTTCCGGTGCCTCTTCCAATCCTGTCCTCCAGACGTGAAGATATTTTCACCAAAGATGTCGAGTATCTTCTTCATGATCGACGGCTTCTCAAAGTCCTCCGTTCGAGAGGTGATCTGAGTGATGGCAGCCGCGTCACAAATCCAAAGGACGTTCGAGAACGGAGATACGGTGAGGAACGCATCACATCCGAAGTTTTTGAAGGGCTGGTGGAAAAGACGGGAAGACCAGCCAACTTTCAGAAAGTCGATCCATGACGCCGTCCAGGTTTCCGGTAGTCTGCAAAGCACAGCGAGGAAGAATTTGCCGGTGAAGATCCAGAAAATCTGGTAATTGGTAATTGGGACGATGACGTACGGCAGGCCTGTGAGGTCCGTCAGCGCCGCATCCTGAATTAATGGGGAGTATCAGATACCGGATGCCTTCGCACTTGCAAGATTTGCACGGAACGAACGGTACGAACGAATCATTACAAGAACAAGGCAGACGAAAAGAGCGAGAGTAGAGGCCGCCATAACGCGGACAGAATGCCGGACTGACCGAAAAGATGGGATTGTTAAGAGCTGGGACTTCTGGCAACAGGGATATGATTGCAAGATGCAAGATTGCGTGAATAGCTGCGGAACAACACGAAATGCCTGGCGACAGCTTTCCCAGAGGTCCGTTTGCAGACCTAAGAGCAGTGATTTAAGGGATTTGTGTAGTATGTCTAACCACCTTATTCTAACCGAGCTTCTCCTTCTTGTTGCTGTTGACCGGATAACTCACATTTTACCCGAGTTCTTCGTATTGACCATGAATTACGAAAGACTCAACCACAAAAGGATGAAAATGAATGGTCATTCTGCAAGCGTGAACCGCATAACTGAGAAACATCCAATTCCTAATCTTCGTCCCGAAATCAGGCATACGCTCCCTGACCGCCGACAGCAACCCTCAGCAATCTTGGTCTGCTATCAAACACAGCGCCACTCTGATCCCTTCCATCGTCGGGCGCGACATCGTCGTACGGGAATGCGTAGCCTCTTCCATCCAAATTCACCGAGTGCACAATTCTAGCGTAGTGATTCGTAATCGGATACTGGTACGCGCGACCCACATTCGGAGGCGCTGGAATGATATCAGAATTCAGCAACGTAGATCTGTTGAATGCCGCGGCAAGCCTAGCAACGAGCGCTCCTCTTTCAGGCGGGTTTGTGGCAGCGAACGGACCGGTACTGCACGAAAAGATATCGGCGGTTGACGGCTGGCTGAAGCTCTCGTTGGCGATACGAAGCTGGCCGTTGGCAACTCGGCCGCGGAGTATGCCCCACTGTGCCTGCGTATTGACCGCGAGCTCTCTTCTCGAATACTGGGCCCAGACCTCGTTGACATAGGGTTGGTAATAGCCTTGGAAGAGAGTTCCGTCCATCGTGATGCCGTTATTTGGGCTTAGTGCTCGCAGGTTTCGACCGTTGCGGGTTACGATGAGGTTGCTCCAGCGTCGCCCGTCTCTGGCTTGCTGCTCACGGAGGCCGTTGCACACCCGGTCGAGGCCATCGGGTGCGGTGCCGGAAATATGCTGGGTGTTACCGGACTCGCTCTCTAGTGTAAGCGCTATAGGAAGACAGACAAAATCTACATAGGTAATGTTCGCAAACAGTTGGGAGGCGTTCCAGGTGAACTCGGCGAAATCCCACCTGATGCCGATATTGGGATCGGATGGATTCGAGATTGAGGGCTCAACTAGAGCTGGACCGGGGTTCAGCAAGAAAGTCAAGGGCGAGTCGATCGAGAAGTAGATCCGCCCCCCTGCCAAGTGAGGAATGGTCACAGTTGTAGTTGAGCCTGGAGCGCCAAGTCGTATCGCGCAGTCCTCGCTGAGCTGGCTGCCTACTCTTGCCGGTGAAGACGGAAAGTAAGGCGTTCTACCATCCGCGCGGAGAAGGAACCGCGCATTGTTGTTGTCGATTGCCAGGCCCGTAACATAGGCGAAGACATTATTTGATGTGGTCCGATTCTCAAGCGCGAAGTTCAGCGTAGAGCCCGAAGCTGCCGTGAGTACTTGTTGGCCATCGCCGTGTCGAGCAGCCTGCACACGGTTTCCAACGGTTCTTAATAAATCCATGGAAGCGATAGATTTTGACCCAAAGATCCGTCTACAGAACGATGAGCCGAAGATCAGCCGCAAAGATGCTCGTAACCGCGGACGGATAGTTTACTGTACCTGTGGCTCGCCCGCTACAACTAAGGGGTCGACTATGGATTCAGTTTGCGCGTTGAAGTGTAGAAAGGCTCTCTAAAGATTCTCTACAGGCAAATACAAAGTTGTGTCTTATCAGGACGAGCGCTCGAGATAACTCGACTCGGACGGAGGAAAGCGCGTCTTAGCAATACAGTATCTTAAGCAACAACGGCGGCGGCAAAGGCCTCTTTTGTATGAAAAGGGTGGAAGGGTAAGTGAAAGGTCATATCAGTGATCATGACGTGACGCTGGCAGATTGTTTGGTAACGAGGGGGATCTACACCACTGGTACTCGTGGGGGTGTGGGGACCTGCTTGGCCGCCGGAGTATACTACTTTGACGAATGTCTTCACGACAGCTCAGCAGTGGCACATGAAACATCAGAACTCTCCTCCAGAGGAAACAAGCAACCGTCCTGATCGTCGCCCACGTTGATGGTCCTCAGGCTGTAAGACCGCCTCGTCATGGCGAGCTGTCTGACAAGAAACAGGAACCTCGAGCTGCGACAGCTCCAATCGCGACAGTAAACGCTCGTGTTGGTGAGCCAGTCTGAAACAGAGATGAAGAACTGTCGCCAATACACGTGTTGTTGGCAGATGGGAAGTCACTCGGTGACGTCTGTGGTCGAAGTCCTTGGCTGGATGCGGCTCTGCGGCTCACGAAACCGGGTCCGGACGTCCACGAACAACTTGAAGGGCCATTCGACAGAATCCTATTACAGCAACCTAAGGCCCCTGATTCTATCTCGCTGTAACGATTGTTGATCCGCGAACCTCAGAATCGAATTATTCAGAGCCGAAAACAGCATGTGTGAGGCCTACAGTATATATTGCACTTATCCGGATTGGCTGCCGGTAGAAGGCACCACTATATGAGCTTGCCGTGTCTGTAAAAATGGAAGGAAGAAGTGGATGACTTGTAGGTTCTTTTGAGAGTAGTTCATAGAGCGGCGAGTAGCACGGTAAGGACAAGGTAGTTCTGGAGAAGCTACAGTCACGCTATGAGCATCACAAGCTGGAGGAGCTACTAATCTCGACGAAAGCTACTATGAATGCCAGACGACAATACCGGGTTCATTTCGTATATCTGATGGTGAAAGTCTACAGCTTTTCCTTTTCCAGAGCACTCGCTCCTATGAAGCTCCTCTGAGCCGCTCTCTATCGCACTAGGCCCCAGGATCAAGACGTATATCGCTTCGCATGCTTCCTTCATCGAAGAGCACTGAAACGAAGATATGGACACAAGATCGCCGTCTTGGCATAAGATAGGAGATAGCCTTTAAGATTTCGGCTTGGCATATCTCTTCGGAGTCTTCGTTTGCATGGCTCGGCCGTGGTCGCCTTGTGGGCTCATCGAAATTCTCTTTCATTTCCTCGTCACAACTTTGCTTCACCTCGCTTGTCAATTTGGACACTTGAGGTACCATCTTTGCGAGGCGAACTTTTTGCTTAACACCTTTGCACTCTCGTCCGTTCCTTTCCTTCAGATCCCTAGACTTCAACAGGATACAATGGCCGACAAAAAGACCGTCTGCATCATCGTTGTGAGGAGTTTTTTCAAAGACGCAAACTCCCACTTCCCCACCAATTGACGTTCCCTCCAGGCCGGCCTCCCAAGAACAGGCACTCTAAGTCTCAAAGCAGCGCTTGAGCAGCTGGGCTATGGACCATGCCACCATCTACTGGAACCACTCGCCCAGGTCACGCGCATGCAACTTTCCGCAGAAGTGCTCGAAACCGAAGATCGTGCCACACGGCAGAAAAGGTTCCTCGATCTCTACGAAGGCTACGAGGCCATCCTCGACAACCCCGGCAGTGTTTGCGTCGATGATCTCATCGCCCTCTATCCAGACGCAAAGGTACTTTTCAGCGCGCCCTAACCTTCCCAAAACATCGGGGAGTCACACCAGCTCACAACCCTCCAGGTTATCCTCACCAAGCGCACCTCCGCCACCACCTGGCTCGACTCCTACCACGGCATCGGCATCGAGCCCGCATCCCTCCGCTTCCGCTACCTCGCGCACTGGACCCCTGCTGCCGTCTCCAGCTCCCGCGTCATGGCCGCCTGGCTCGCCATCAGTGCCAAGCGCTTCGATATCCCTGCCCAGCCGTCTGTCGCGCTGTATGAAGCGCACAATGCCTGGGTGCGCAAGATCACGCCGCCAGAGCGGCTGCTGGAGTTTGAGCCTGGCATGGGCTGGGAGCCGTTGTGTGCATTCCTAGGGAAGAAGATGCCGGGGACGGCGTACCCGAGGCGTAACGATAGGCGCTATCTGAGGGGCATCAAGAGGCTGGGTATTGCGGTGAGCTTGTTGGTGAACGTTCTGCTCGTCCTCGTGGGGATGTTCGCGGTACGCCACTTCTCTAGGCTTGCGCCCCACGCCCTTGGTGGTGGCGCTGAGGTATAGATTTGAAGACTTGGGTCAGAGGTTTGCGCTTTGAGCTTGGGCGCCCTGCTCCGGGCTACTGACTGTTGGACCGTTCCGAATTCTGGATAAGAGTTGAGAGAGGCTTGGTCTATGGGTATTGGGTCTGTACATCCGCGTTCACGTTCTGGCGAACAACCTCCGGATTCGGGAACAGATACGAGGAGGTGGGTGTAAGATTTGGGTAGACCGATGCTTTCCTGTAGAACTACATGCGCTCTTCTTGACTTCAGAGTCTCGAAATATCACGTCGAGTGAGAAACAATATTCTACTGCAACCAACACAAACTTCTTACCATCAAGCTGATACTCTGCATCATGGTCTAAACAACTAGTTAGCGACATATTACTGAGCTTTGGATACCAAAGCATCATTGTAGCCACTTATGACTAAGTAATTCGAAACATTTGACGTTGATTTAGCATTGTATTGCTAGATCTGCAGGGGTATTCATCCTCCGTCCGACGTGAATGTGTCTCATGTCGTTTGAACAAGCCATGATGCTAGAAAGTCGTTACGCTAGCGCGGTTCAGCTGTGCCATTTCCGTAGCACCCAAGAACCGCCTTCAGCCACAGTACCCTACATGCTCGCCTTGAGCACCTTGAAAGCATCCGCCTGCGCACCCAGATACCGCTCCTCAGCCACCTTCCAATTAATCACATTCCAGATGTTCTCCACATACGCCGCCTTGCCATTTAGATACTGCAGGTAGTACGCATGCTCCCACATATCGATTCCCAGAACCGGCACCTGGCCAGCGCCAACAACGGGGTCCTGATCCTTTGTGATTACAATCGTCAAGCTCGACTCCTTGGCTCCCTCCTGCTTGACAAGCCAGCCCCATCCGCTGCCCTGGATACCGAGCAACGCCTTGCTGAATGCGTCCTTGAACTCCTTCTCGCCGCCCCACTTCCTGATGATAGCCTCCGTGAGCGTGGGCGCGGAGGACGTCTTGGTGTCCGGGGAGGAGGCGGGAGCCATGTTCAGCCAGAAGAGGGAATGGTTGATGTGGCCACCGCCGTTGAAGGTGATGGCTGCACGGAGAGAGATCTGGGTGGCGAGGTCGGAGGTCGACATCGCGGTGGCTTGGGTTTGAAGGGCCGCGTTCAGATTGGTGATGTAGGTTTGGTGGTGCTTGGTGTGGTGGAGCTCCATGATTTGGCGGGAGATGTGGGGTTCGAGGGCCTGGACGGGACGTCAGTAGCTACACGCGCGATGACATGGTAGACGTAGATGGGTTATGGGGTCGTCTTAGTCGATGCTGTTCTATTCGACTGTAACAAACGCTGATTGGAGATGGTGAAAAACAAACTCACATGGTACGCGTACGGAAGCGGAGGAAGATGGAACTGCGCCGGTTTTGCGTCCATGGTCACTTGAACCGGATGGAAGATGCTCGACAAGTACTTTGAGAGAAGTGTTTTAGACAAAGAGGGATGTGATGCGCTAAAATTGACGCGTGAAGTTGGAGAGCTCGGACTGAAGTGAGTTTGAATGACACTGGCGAAGAGAACGGAGGATGTTAGAGCGGCGAGCAGAACGACGCCGTAGAGAGAAGTTTGTTTCGACAGCATCAGAAAACGCGGGGTGAGAGATTTGACGATGGTAACGGTTGGTTTGTGGCGTTGGACCTGGCGGTGCTCATATTATCGCAAACTTGCTCATATTGGCGGATCACGTGACCTGGTACATGAATGAAAACCGCAGAGCTGCTCCTGCAGTATCACGACGCATCTTTCGCACTATCGGTTCGCAGAGGAAGTTTCCTTACCCTACAGGTACTCGGTTCACGTACACAGAGTCTACCTAGGTATCCACCTCATCGCTACGTTCGACAGTGACGCCTTGAAACTGGACAGCAAGAGCAAAATCGACAGCAACGCAACATACTCGAGAAACAAGAGATCGGGAAGCATGTGTGGTGGTGACTGTGCCGGGCGTGAGGCTGAAGGCGGACTCATTGCGATACTGCGACCGCCGCCGCAGTCGACCTCCAAGGGAGCAGTCAATTCAGTCGGAGTGCATTGCGACTTAGTATTCAGAGACACCGTGGCAAACTCCACCAGCAGCTCAAGCAGTACAAGGGCCGTTTTTCAAGCTGCGCATCAAGACTCCCTAGCCGCGTTGGCTCGGTCTTGGGTAGTGATCCAGTATGTTTGCTCAACTCGAGATGTCGCCATCCTCCGGGTTTAGGTTGGCTGACCGCAACACGCAGTTACGATGGAGATCTATCGCGATCCTCTCAAGGAGACTGGTCTCAGCCACTCTACTCCTTCCAGGTTGCACGTTCAGTAGCCGAGTCCTCGTCCGGCCAGCGCGCTGTCATGGACGTGCCCCAAGCGTTGCCATTGACGGTGGGCGGTCTAGGAGTCGTCGGTCGAAGGGTGTCTCTCGTCGAAGGGACGGGCATCGGAGCCCAGAGGATCGCCGAGGGAATTATCGGATGGAACTGAACTGTGTTGAGAGCCCCTGCGGCGGCGTAGGACGCGGCCTGAGGCGGACTATGGAAGCAATCCCCGCGGTTTTCGGGTTTGACGGCGTTTTGATTCGGGCGGTGTCACGGACGGCGTTATAGGTTGGTTTGCGGGTGCGAAATACATCGCCATCCTTCCGGGACCAACAGGAGTGTGGATGAGTTGGGTACTTATCCAGCGCGGAGTCCATGGCCGACCTTCATGCACGACACTGTGATTGCTACGGAAATAGGACGTGGACAAGTAGAAATAAAGATACCCGCTTGACTTGATGCTTCGAATATGCCAGAAGCCACTGCTACTGGAATTCCTTCGAAAACTTTGCAACGCGAATTACTCGTAACGATTTCGGGAGCGGGGGCTGACGCTGGACGCTTTTGGAGGATCAAACGAGACATCCCAAGAATTCAACTCAGCCAGCCACCTCCTTCAATCCTTCAAGCCATCGGTGACTCATTCACGCCCCTCATCCCATTGAGCTTAAGTAGACGACTTCATGGCCATCCCGCATCGCCAACCTTCGTTGAGACTTCGAGTTTTATCCTAGCTGTAGCGTGCGAAGGGTTCCTCACGAACAGTGTGGACACTTTTCAACACCCAAAAAGGAGCAGTGAGCAAAGGCACCTGCACAGACCCACTGCTGACAAACCACTGACCCAAACTCACCCGCAGCCCTCAAGCAACATGTCTACCTCACGCATCTCCCACTCGCCCTCCCTCCGCCTCGCGGCCAGCGTCTTCGGAGCCATCTTCCTAGCTTTCGGCATCAACGCCATACTCCGCCCCCAGCATGCCCTCTCCTTTTTCGAGTTCTCCCCGCCAGCCTCCGCCTCAGACGCGGCGCTCGTCGACAGCCTGATGGTGATATACGGCGCGCGGGACATATTCATGGGCCTGGCCATCCACGCAGCCGCGTACTTTGGAGACCGCAGGGCGTTGGGCTGGATCATGATCGCGGGCAGTGGTGTGGCGTTTGTGGATGGTGCTGTTTGTCGGGCGCAGGTTGGGAGGGGGGAGTGGAATCATTGGGGGTATGCGCCAGTTTTAACGGCGGTGGGTGGGATGTTGCTCGGCGTTTTGGACGGAGCGTAAGGACGAGGAATCGCAATGGCGCGTGGGATGGCAGCGCACTTGGTGTTTCCCAAGTGCGATAGCATCGCTGGCTAATGGGCTCATGAGCTGCGGTTTCAGTTTGAACAGACGGCATGGGTGATGTAGGCTGCGTGTCGCATCACCAACGCAGGTAACTCACCCAGCTCAGTCGCCTAAAGTGGGATCGTCCGCATTGGGCGATGATGGGGCTCTCGCAGATAATCTTTGGTATAAGTACCTATCTAGGCATCTCTTTTGCTCGGGCTCATAGGTTAGATATGAAAGGGACAATGGTGTGACTTCACGTCGCTGCATTAATGCACTTAGATGTATCATGCGATCCGTCAAACGCCTTCTATACAAGCCATAAGCCGACGTAAAAGGTTAATTCAATACGTTCCCAACCTGCGAGAGCATCGTCGATACTATACACACTTCGACCTCCACTTCTTCTAACCCGCCTTTACCGCTTTAGCCGTTGCTGCTGCTTTCGCCTTCCCTACTTTCTCTGTTGCTTTCTTGGTCACTTTCGCTAGCTTTACCGGAATCTTCGGCTCTGCCTTCTTCGTCGGGCGACCCGTCCCGGTTCCTTTCTTCGTAATTGAGGGACTCGTAGCTGCTTTGGACGACCTAAGCTTTCGAGGAGAAGCCGAAGGCTTGGTGGGCGAAGGAATCTCCACTGCAGCCATCTTGCGCTTAGGAGCTTGTGCCGGCTTCGTCTTCGCATCGGCAGCACCCGCAATCTTGGCCTTCGTAGGCTTAGGTTTTCTAGTCGACTTTCTGACTGGGGTCACAGGAGCTGAATCTGGTTCATCAGCCTCTGTCGCCTTTCCCTTCTTAGCCGGTCTGAAAGTCGCCTCGGGATGGTTCTGCGCCTTCCTCTTCGCAGGCGCCTTAAGAGCAGGCGATGGCTCATCGGACTCATCGTCTTGCACTCTGAAGGTCGCGTCTCGGCGTGTTGCCGCTCTGGCTTTGCGTGCTTTCGCGAGTTCCAGGGCGGGAGGCGGTGTCTTAGCGGATTTGGGCGCTTTTGCAAGCGCTTGCTGAACAGGTTGTTCCACACTCCTACGCGTGTCCTTAGGATTGATGCTAGCCTGGGCTGCGGCTCGTGCTGCGGCACGTGGTACCAATCCTACCGGCTTGGTTTTACGGCAAATCTCAGTCTCTGAGGGCCGGGAGAGGTACTTGCGATAACCAGTCCGATCCTCAGGACGCAATCGTTCGGATACACAGAGGAGAGAGTCCTCCGCGTCCCACAAATGCTCTACACGCTCCTGTAGGGAAGTTAGCACTGCTGTAATCCGTTGGACAGGTATGGCGATGCTTTGAATGAGCGGCTTACAGCATAGGTCCACTCAGACCAGTTTAGTTTGCAGTAGGGACATAGCGGCCAAAGCTCGAGTATATGCGTACGGGCATGCTCTACCGCTGCATCCATGCCGTACTTGGGCATCTCGACGCATATGGGACAGAAATTGGGGTGGGATAGGTCCCCCTCGTTGTACTCAAAGTTCTCTTCACCGCCGTAGTCAGTGTAAACCCCAACATCGTCGTCAATCTCTCTCACAGAATCATCATCGAATTCAACTGGGTTTTGTGAGGCGGGATGGGCAATGGAGCAGGGCACTGGTTTCAGAGGACGCTGATGCGAGGTGCCCTTGGATCGATGCTTGGATGACAAGTTGGCAAAAGGTTTGTAGAATCCCTCGTCGAGAATTCCAAATTCTTCAGCGGCGTCATATTCCGCATCCCAATTAATAGGGCTCTGTTCTTTGGACGGAGGTGCGACTAGACAGTGTTAGCTTCTGAGTAACGGAAGAACCTATACGGGCGCACGTTGTGGATTGCAGTGTCTCCACTGCGCCCCTGCGAGTTTGGCTCTAAAGGGATGGATAGCTTACCTGCTGGCTCTTTCCCCTTGCTACTCTTCTTTGCAAAGCCCACCGGAGACTTGCTAGAGCTTCCAGCCCTGCCACCAGAAGTAACCTCGACTTCTTCGTCCGAAGCCCCCCACTCCGAGCCCTCGAATCCATTATCCCAGTCAAGGTCATCCTCAACATCCACCTTGTCGTTGTCTCTCGTCAACGGATCACTTTTCCCAATCGGGCTCACAGGCAGGCCGAACGCCGCACGCGTGAGCTTATGCGCCACCGTAACGAGAGGCTGGCGAATAATCACAGCATCGTGCTCAAGATCCCTCTTCTTCCGCAAGGATGGCGCACGAGATGCACTACGTCCCACCTTGGCCCTTAGCGCAGCGATCTCGTCTGGGGCGTAATCCGCAATCTCGTTGAGGACTTTCTGGATGCCTTCGCGGCGAAGCTGTTTCTCGAATTCTGCCTCGAGCTTTATGAACTCCGGAGAGGTTGTGACGCATTCGGACTTATTTGAGAACAGAAGTGGCGCGCTTGCCGTTCTTTGGCGCTTTGCTGCCGGCCTCTCACGAGGCGGTGTGGAGCACTTTGAGAAGCTAGTGGCTAGTGGTGGCGAGGGCGTGTCCAGGTGGATAGGAGGGGTCGACAGGCCGCTGGTCTCCGCTTCCTCTTCTTGATGCTCTTCTCCTCCAACATCCTCCTCTTCTACCGGATTACTTTGCACCGGTGCCCTGGAAGCAGGTCCTCTTGAACTGGCCTTTATCCCTTGCTTCTTCCTTTCCTTGATCGGGTCATATTTGTTACGTAGATCGATATATCTGCCCACGTTATAGTTCGCCGATTTATACGGATCCACATCCGGTCCCCGTCTCCAAAAATGATGCGAAGGCAGAAACTCCTTTGCGAAATGCATAGTCTCGGCTTGTTGAGTCGGAACTACGACGGGCAGCGCGACATAGAACAGATTCGCCGCGAACCGATCCTTGAGCTCAGGCAATTCATCGTCCTCTTCCAGATGATCGGTCTGGAACTCCACAGCCTTTCCGGCGGTGCCTTCCGTCTTTCCCGTTCCCTCGCGGTACATATTCAGACGAAGCGCACCAGTCTCGGCATCCACGATGCGCTCATCCGGGTAAGTTTCCAGGTATTCCTCGCTCTCGACCTCCAGATCGGAGGCGCGCAGGATCATGCCGCCTTCGAGGAAGCCTGTGAGGTTCCCCCTGCGGGCATGCGCGATCATGGTCGGAGAGGGGCGTTTTACCTGCCCGCGGGGTGGGGCCATCCAGTGCTTGATCTCGCCGTCCAGGTTTTCCTTGCAGAGGCGGAGGGTCAAGCCTGAGGGATAGGAAATCCTCTTGCCATCTTCTCGCAGCACGAGATGGCGTTCGCGGAGGGAAGGTGGAGGCGACGAAGACGGTGAAGGAGGGCCGGACCATATATTGAAGGGGAAGCGACGCGTTCCTCTAAGGGTTTGTGGCTCTGTTGCCATGGTTGCTGTTGTGTTTCTTTTCACAGAGTTGAGTAGCCGGTCTTCTGTTTCGAAGACTATGATACCGATGCGCTGTAACGAGGACACTGACGATCAAAAGATAAGACGAGAGATAGACAGAGGGAACGAAAGATGCGAAAACGAGCTACTTGCGCACGGTAGCTTTTTGGCTGAAAACAAAAAGAAACTCACGCAGTCATTCATAGTCCACTTCGGGGCAGATTTCACAATCGGACAAAGGCACCTACCTACACGTTTGCGGCATACGCATGCTGATAGAACAGCAAACAGTTCGTGTGTGCTGCCAACAACGCCTGCTTCCGGCATTGTGTCTGTCGAATGAGAAACCGCTTACTCGCATGCGATCTCCGGATTCGGAGTTGTGGGTTGCGGTCGCAGCGGTACGGCATTCCTCATCCACGCGAGGAATGCGGCTGACCCATCTTGCCCGTGATGTTAGCACCAGTGGCTTTTGCGACGGGGAATCTCGGTGACTTGAACGTTGCGAGTTTTGATATGCTAATCGTGAAGAATATTATGCGCCCTTCGCACATATCAGTTGAGATTCGACTGGCACTGATATTACCAGACTCACAATTCATCCCTACTGATATCGAGTTTTCGCTTTTTCCTATCGCTTGCGGCTTTCTCTAAGACTTCGTCTCTCTTGCCTGACGTGTCGAAGAATCCTTCCAGTTCCATCCATTCTCCTGCGAATGCCGTGACAAGCTTTGCCCAGTCCTCAACCGTGTCTAAATCTAGATGGTCGCCATCATCGTCCATCTCATGCCATACCCTCGGAAAGGGTGTTGGTATAATATGTAGCACCTCAACTCCTCGCGCCATGAATGGTATATGATCGTCCTGCACCATCCAGCCCATGAACCTTTCATCCTTCTTGTTCGCCTCGTTCAAGAAGACCGGCTCTCTCTTTGCTGGCGCATTACCTCTTGCTCTCGAATGGTGGTTGGGCGAGGATCTCAACTGCTTGAGGGTACGGAGGCGGGTTTCAAGATGAGCCATGTTCTTGTAGGCCCAGTGTGTCGTCTTGAAATATGACGGTACCGTTGGGTTCTTCGCGCCGAGAAGGTCGAGGAGTAAAAACAGCGATATAGAGCGTATGGGATTCTGATACGTCGACATGGCGGGATGCAGTTGCTGCTCCCATGCTTCTGCCAGTGCTCTACGTCCGGTCAGCACTTCAATTGAGAGAACTCAAAATACGCAAGTGACGCTGTTTCTACTCACCGTGCCCCATACAGCGAATCGGTATCTGTCCAGCTCTGAAACGCCTCCTCCCCATCCAGCAATATAATCTGCACGCCCCTCTCGTCTTCCAATCCCACATTATTCTCCTTCTGCATAGCCTCCCACTTCTTCGTCAATGCATGGTCCAGAATCCGCGCAGCATGCAGCAACATAGCGCAAGGCGCCGCGCTGTCCGTCGCGCCAATAAACCCATGCGGTGTGACTTTACTATCGTAATGCGCGACCAGCGCAAGCCGTCCCACCTCCCCCGGCTGCGTCCACGGCGGGTCGCGTGTAGCGATAAGGTTCACAAATGGCACCTGTTTGTTGCGATCTAGCGGAGTCGTCGAGGTGGAGTTCTGGAACTCGAGCTCCCAGTCTGGGAGCGTGGTGCGGAAGAAGTCGACGAAGTGGTTGAGAACGGCGGTGGAGCCCTCTGTTCCCGGGACGCGGGGAATTAGAATAGGCGCGAGGAGGGCGCCGTTGTGAATGTCGAAGTCGTCGCCGGGACCGGGTAGAGACTTAAGGGTCTCGTCGGAGAGGGCGGTATATGCGGCAGCGAGGCGGAGGAAGGAGAGGATGCCGAACGCGGGTTGGTATAGACGCATTGTGAAGGCAGGCTGCTAACGAGGGGTCTTGCGCGGTATCATGGCAATAATCGAGATTATCCGATGTAACGAGAGTATTATCGCATCTTGGATTCGGTCTTCTGAAGTTGTCGCGACGGTGAGTTTCGGGACAACTGGCATCGGTGGTTTCAGCAGCAGAGACCCCTGGTGGAGATCGTCATGGTTGCGGAGCTTCTTTGAACCTCACTTCAATTCCTCATGTACATACATCGGAGCACTGTGCTAATCAAATGTAATGAGAATGCTGTTGAACGCCTTTAGAGGCACTTCGGCAGCCCATCTAAGGAGGACGTGTTCTTCTATCATCTCCAAGTCTATCACACGAAGAGCTTTTACTAGCAGTCGAACGCGTTTGGCTGTTTCCAAGCCAGCTCAAGTGCCATCAATTAAGCCATATACGGCGGGTAAAACCTGTATGACACCCGTTGCGCCCGCCTCACCTATGGATTGGACGCTGATTAGCCTAGTATTTCCAGAGCGTCTCCTCATTTACAACGCCGGTACGATCAAGACTTTGATCATCAGCTCTATCAAGTTGACGGTGTTCTTCATCTTCGCCGGCTCTTGCCTCATCCTTGCCCCGGCTTTCTATCAGGATCCTGCCTCTCCGGCCTGGGTCCCTGTAGCAGGTGAATTAATCGCGCGTCTGTCTTTCATCATAAGCTCACTAGCCTTCAGTAATTTGCTTCGGCGCGGCGCCCATGCTGATCACTGCATATGCGAGCGCGCCTTTCGTAAACTCCGCCTACCTCTTCGTCCCTCAATATGCGCGCAAATCCGGTGACATCCTGATGCGGTATGCTAAAAATCTACCCCCCGATGCCCGGCTCGAGCTCGTGACGATCCGGATGAGTGGCTTTCAGAAGTCGACGGGGGCGTTGCTTTCTGAACTCAGACCGTATAAACCCCGTTTTGGCATAGCGAACGTCGAGCGCGTGCCTAGCAAGTTTGACGAGTGGGCCACTACCGGGCGGCGTAGATGGATACGGTGGCTGGACGAACCGAGAAACAAATTCCACGTCACTAACGACAAGGATGTGATGAAGAGGAGCAGGGCTCCTGGAGTCTGGAATCATGTAATGGAGGCAATCAAGAAGAATGGTTGAACCTTGGTGAGTGTGGGATATTTACACGAGTTGGCTTGTTGTACAAACCCAGAATTGCTGGTGAGTGGATTTGTGATTTTACCACAATTCGTGCTTTCATGTATCGGGTATCCAAGGCGTTGTGGCTTTGTAAATTACATCATCGTAAATCAGCGCTAATTATCTTACTAAGGCTCCTATAGAAAAAGACTAGCTTTGTCTTGACCAGCTACCCTACGAACCCTCCGTGCCTTACGCCATGCTTGCACACCCACCGCATAGCTGTGACCCAGCTGGACTCTTAGCCAATCACAGCAAATCAGTAAGCTGCTCCTGCAAGACGCCTCCGTTTGTCCCCTTGGACCCCAAAACTCTTACCTACTCCCTTGGCAACAGAGAGACTCGCCGCGACTACGCTTTGCGACGGACTGATGTTGCCACGCTAGAGGAGGTCTCCAAGAGTGTTTGGATAGAATTCTGGATGCGTCAATTTCAAAAATATCGCCAGACGAGCTGGTGTGATGCAATTGTTGCAGCGCGGTACTGGGGAAACATCAAATTTGGTAACACAATCCCCTAAGAAATATGGAAACTGCGTCCAGACGTCCTGTCATCTTCACGTGACAATGTGCCGCACAAGCACGATGTTGGGCGCGGCCGCGGGAAACGTCGAATGCTCAGAATCACTAGCATCGCAACTCGATTACGGAGCCTATGAGGCTCACCAGATGGTCGCGCGCGGCAGAGAGAATGCGGTTCGTATTTATAACGTTGGTGGCCACAACCTAAGGCACCCGCTCAGAAGTATATCTCGCGTCTCCATCAACACTTGTTTGACCTTCGCTGCAGAATCGGGTTTAAGGTACTCTCATTGTGTTATGCGAGACCTTTCAAACTGCTGTCATTGGGTCGGAATGTTCGTGGTTTCCGTAAAATGTACGATTCCATCCATGGGCTTTTGGTGAGAAACTCACTAGCGCTTCCAAACTCTGGTACACCCAAGCTGTCAACACCATTCTCAGTTAGCAAGGCAAAAGTTGTGACAGATCATCACTAGAAGTGAGTCAGAGCGAGTTGATGAACCATAACATGATCACGCACCGTAAGTTCATAAGAGCAGCTCTCTTCCCCCACTTTCCTTTCGCTCTCACACTCATCTCCCACACTCATCTCCCACACACTCACCGAAAATACATCACACACACGCAAAGCACCAGACCACTCCAAATCATCACACATCACCATCACCACCCTCACCCACCACGCCACCAAACCCATCCTCATCTCCTCCACCTCCAAAAACATGAAGCCAACTACGCCGCTCGCACGCCTCGAGGCCAAGCTCACCGCGGCCTGCGCGTCCATCGCCAACATCGGCAAACCAAAAGTACTTACCCTCTCCACCAACCCCCCAAAGCCACTTCCATGCTCACACCGCCCTAGTTCAAGCCGACCAAAAGCCGCAAGGCGACTCCCTCCCCGCGCTCCCTCCCCGCGGCGCTCCAGCACCAGGCGGCCGAAGCGCCTTCCCTTCCGCGCGCCGTTCCCCGCGCGAACCACCACCAGCCCGCCGCAGGCCTCTCGCGCCCGGCGCCGACAGATTTTGCCCGGGCCGCCAATCCCGCGCCGATCAATGTCGCTGCGCTGCACCTCCCCCGCTGCGCCTGCACCAGCTGTCTGGGGGATATCTGCCCCACCAATCCCACGCCCGCGCGCCGCATCGCCAGGATCCCGCCGCCCTCTGGGCCGACCCAACCAGTGCGCCGCCAGCGCATCTCTGAGACGCCGACGTACTATGGGGCGCTGATCCATGTTCCGCGGCGGCGGCCGCTCAAGAGTCAGATTTTTGGGAGTGTCGGTGGGGTAGGGGAGGAGAAGGGGATGAGGGGGGAGAAGTGGTGGGTTAATGTTTGGGGTGAGGATGGGAAGGGGATGCTGTAGATCGTAAAGGGTTTTAGGAGTTTTTTTTGGGGCGTGGGGAGTTGGTATTTTTTGGATGAACAGGACTTCATGAGCTTGACGCAGTGGGTGCGTGACGTGAAAATGTGGGGCTGAAAGTGATTTGTTTGCCTTGTGACAGTGAAGCATGAAGCCGCCGTGGTGGGATATCTCACTGGGATTAACCCAGAGCTACTCCATGTCCTTTACACTCACCCTCCAAACGCCTTACTATCCACCACCTACTCCCTCAAAAACATCCTATATACCGGACTATCCGTCACCTCCTCATACGGATACCTAATCTCGCTCAAGAAAGTCCTCAGCTTCCCCTCCTCACCCTTCGGACACTGTATCCCCGCCAAAATCTTCGCAACATCCCCGCCATGATTCCGATAATGAAAAAGACTGATATTCAACCCGGGCCGCAGCGTCGTGAGGAATTTAATAAGCGCCCCTTGCCGCTCGGGGAACTCAAACATGTACAGCCTCTCATCGGGCACACCGCTGCGGCCCCCGCCGAGATAGCGCACGTGGCTCTTCGCGAGCTCGTCGCCGCTGAGATCCACAGCGGTCATGCCCTCGTCCTTGAGACGCGCCATCGTGTCAGCCAGATCGCGCTCGCGCGTGGTGGCGGAGACAGAAACGCCAAGCAGGATATTCGCGCTTCCCGGCCCCGCATAGCGGTAGCTGAACTCGGTGCAGGACATGGGCTGGACGGCGTCGACGAGTTTGGCGAAAGCGCCAGGCCGCTCCGGAATGACGACGCTGAGGAGTGCTTCTTTCTTCTCGCCCAGCGCGGCGCGCTCGGCGACGAAGCGCAGGCGGTCGAAGTTCATGTTTGCGCCGGAGGCGATGGCGACGAGTTGGCGGGCGCGGTTCGGGGAGGGGTTAGCCGCGACGTATTTCTTGAGGCCGGCGAGGGCGAGCGCGCCGGCTGGTTCGACGATGGAGCGCGTGTCTTCGAAGACGTCTTTGATGGCTGCGCAGGTCTCGTCCGTCGTGACTTGGATCACTTCGTCCACGACTTCGGAGCATAATCGGAAGGTTTCTTCGCCGACTGTCTTGACGGCTGCGCCGTCGGCGAAGAGGCCGACGTCTTTCAGGACCACCCGGCGTTTTTGGGCCAGGGATTGCACCATGGCGTTCGCGTCGTAGGTTTCTACGCCGATGATCTTCACGAGGGGGGCGATGCGCTTGATGTAGACGCCTACACCTGCGATGAGGCCGCCACCGCCTACGCAGCAGAAGACGGCCTCGAGGTCCTGAAGGTTGGTTTGTCGTAGTAGCTCCATGCCGATGGTTCCTTGGCCGGCGATGACGTACGGGTCGTCGAAGGGTGGGATGTTGGTTAGGTTGTGCGTCTTCTCCAGGTGATAGCAGTGCTCTTTCGCGGCGTCGAAGTCGGGTCCGTAGAGGACTACGTTGCCACCCAGTCGCGAAACGTTTCTGTGCTTGATGTCGGGGGTGCCTTGGGGCATGACGATGGTGGCTGGAATCTTCAGTTTGCGTGCTGAGTAGGCTACGCCTTGTGCATGGTTTCCTGCCAGAGGTCAACGTCAACATGCTACTGCGGACTTCTTTCTTGCTGTACCAGCGGAGCACGCGACCACCCCTTTCCACCGGCTCTTTGGATCCAGATGCGCCATTTTGTTGTACGCTCCTCGTAGCTTGAAGCTGAAGACCGGCTGGAGGTCCTCCCTCTTCAACAGGACGTTGCATTCCAGGCGATTGCTCAGGTTCTGCGCATGTGTTAAGGGTGTTTCTTGGACGACTTCGTAGACACGTGATGTGAGGATGAGTCGCAAGTACTGCGAGAGAGTCAGAGCGTGAGGCCTGAGTTCGATGGCATTGGTGGTGAAGGTACATCTGGGTAGCCATTTGGCAGCAGGAACTCTTCAGGTATTATGGATTGGTCTTTGAATTTGAGACTTTCCGAGGGCGGTGATGGGGTAGCGGTGTACTCAGTCAGAGCTAAACTGGAAACTTTGGGTGTGGAAGCGCGTGGTGTATGGGGTGTCTGGTAGCCATTGGGCGTTCTCGTTGGGGTTGTTGGTTCTGCCATGGCAGTAGCGACCGCTATCAAGGTTTATTGTAACAAATATTGGGGTATCACCGTACCGGGTTCGGAGGAAGCGATTGGACGCGAGGATGTTGATGAGAGCTTGCCAAAAAACGCGGCGGCAGAAAGAGCTTCACCGCCTGCAACTGACTCAGGCCGCGCAGAAATCCATGACGGGGCCGAGCCGGGCCGGGCCGTGTCAAGAAGCTTTCAGTGAACCGCGACGGCGACGGCGACGGCGACGGCGACGGCAATACTAGTATCAAGCACCACTCTCTCCCTGCTCCAGCACCTCCGAGACCGACGGATAGCCTCATCATCCTAGCGCACAGGGTGAACCTCTCGAGTAACGCCCTTAGCGTGTCGAAGCATAGCGTCTACCCACCATGTCCTCCGGCCAACCTCTCCCCTCCTCCTTCGATGGCAACTCGTTCGTACTCCCCCATCAGCACACTTATCCCCCTGAAAGCACCCCTTCTACCCTCTCCTCCCGATCTTAACGCTCTTTCCCTCCTTTGCCTTCCAATCCCCCAAGCTAACCCCGCCCCCACAGAGACTTCTACGAAGAATCCCGATGGCAAAAACTCCGCCGCCGCATAATCGAAGAACCCCTCATCCCGCTCGGCTGCGCGCTCACAGTATGGGCCCTCTTCGGGGCCTCGACCGCGATCCGAGCCGGGAACTCCAACCGCGCAAACACCATGTTCCGACGGCGCATCTACGCGCAAGGCTTCACTTTGATCGCCATGCTGGCCGGAAGCGTGTACTGGAGCAAAGACCGGGGCAAGCGGAAGGAGTTCGAGGGGGTTGTGGCGGAACGAAAGAGACAGGACAAACATCAGGCGTGGCTTAGGGAATTGGAGGCGAGAGATGTGGAGGAGAAGATGTTTAGGGCGCGCCTTGAGAGGGCGAGGGAGAGGCATCGGCAGGGGGATTTTTCGGAGGAAAGGGAGGATGTGACGGGGGAGGAGCGAGGCGGGTCGGAGGGCCCGGAGACGTCGGTGGGGAGAGTGGTCGAGGAGGCGAAGGAGAAGGGGCAGGGGGTTTTGAGGACGGTTAGGGAGTCGATTGGGAAGACATGATGCGGTCGGATATTTCGGTTGGTGGGATGACTTCATTGCTGGGTCCCATACAGGTTTGTTTGACATACTGTGAAAATTGGTATACTAGATTGTAAGACTGTCGGCGGCGGGTGGGGCCGGACTTGGCAAGACTGCGCTGGAAACTTGATGCTGTATGTAAGAGCGGCGCGTATTGCAGTAGGATTTGTACAGGACCGATGCGATAGTCACGGCCATGAGACGCTGAGCAAGAACTCAATCTGCTGTTTCGATTACACAGTTACTACTCCAGGGCTTAACGACCCCGAATAGACAGTGCCAACTATCTCGCGGAGCAGCCCAGAGCGGCAGTAAAGGTCAGAACTTGATGTGGATCATTAGCTGTATTTGGACAACAGGACTCCCCAGCCAAACACCTAAAACCCCAACGGACACCTCGAGTGCGGCTGACTCGACCATCCGCTTCCTGCAATGATACACCAGAAGCAGTTTGCGCTGACAACAGCAAGCGAAAATTGGACAACACAAAAGTCCGCCTAGCAGTTGCATCCCCCAGCCCCTTGCGTATTCGACGCTTCCGGCCTCAAATCCACACCAGAGCGCTGGACGCCCGACCTAATGTTCCTCGGTCCTGCCTGATCAAGCGGCAGCTTCCTCGCGATAGCCGTGAACAATTCCCGCACGTTCTCCGCCGTCTTTGCGGAGGTCTCAAAGAAAAGCAGCCCGGCCTCCCTGGCATACTGCTCGGCGTCCGCGGCTGGTATCGCACGCTTGTCGGGGCTGTCTGTGACGAGATCAAGCTTGTTGCCTGCGAGCGCGATGATGATGTTCTCGTTGGCTTGGCGTTGTAGTTCTTTTACCCATGCTTTCGCTTTGTCTAGAGATGCCTGCACGGAAGGGATTGTTAGCACCTGCGACAGCACACACGGCGGGTGGTTTTGGTCCACTCACGGCTTGCGTGATATCATACACTACAACGGCGCAGTTGGCGTTGCGGTAGTACATGGGTGCCAGGGACTTGTAGCGCTCTTGGCCAGCGGTGTCCCATATCTCGAACTTGACAGTCGTGGACTCGTCGAGGGCGATGGTCTGTGTCAGGAAGGCGGCACCGATTGTTGACTCTCGATAGTCGTCGAACTGGTCTTTGACGAATCTGAGTACGAGTGAACTCTGTTCGCGGGAATTAGTGGGCTAGGCAGTGACGAAGCGTGTGCGGGTTGCTGACCTTTCCTACAGCGGACTCTCCTGTGAAGATGGTCAGCAGATTCACGGCGCACCCATGGATAGTGTGCGTAACATACCCAGAAGGACCAATTTGAACTGGGCGAAGCGCGAGCCGCCTTGACGACCGCCTTGTGGCATCCTGGCTGACATGATGGGGTGCTGTAAGCGGGCTGTTGGGCGAGAGGCGGCAGTGGTGAACAAGGCAGCTAGGCGGTCGCGAAAGGGTGTTGAAAGTCTACGGTGGTGAGAGAAGTGGCTGTGGGAGTGTACGGGGTTGGTGGTTGAGTTGGAGCTCTTGATTGAGCTCGTGGTTGCAGAGAAGCGTGACGACGAGCGAGGGCTCGGCAAATGTGGCTGAGCTGTGGCTATCTGCAGGGCGAGTCACGTGCAGATTGCAGAGGTGCAAGTGGCCGTATTTCAAGTGCTATACATCAATAGAAACCCCGTCCTTCGTAGAATGCGGCCACACACTATTTCCTTCGAGCCTCATCTTAGCAACCTGCTGCCAAGATACCTACTGATGGATTACCTAGGGGCGTTTGCAGGGCTTCCTTTCTCGTTCTCATGGACTCACCTCTGATCTCGGCGCCTGCCCCGAAGTATTGTCTACCAACCGCTTAATTCAGATCTTCACCAGATCCGCCTTCTTGCCGATCAACCAGGCGAATGGGACGATTGCATCCGCATTACGACTAGTATATCCTCCTTAAATAATGACCCCGGCTACGAAACTCTCTCATACGCCTTGGGGTGACCCTACCGTAACTGGTCCAATCCCTCTGGACGGCTTTAAGTTCCAGGAGTATGAGCGAGTCTGACGAGGATGCACTTTCAGAGAGCAATGGAGAGCATCCCGAGGAGGATAGTAAGCAGCTGATATCGAGCTTAAGCCCATGCGATTCGGGGGAGCCTAAGCGCAACGGCAGGCCTGAAGCCGCAAGTTCGCATCACCCAGACGGCTGCATATATGCTAGCAGCAGAATTGTGGCACCCGGCTACGTAGCACCAGCAAACTACTGAGGTGGGCGGTCTGACCGGGAAAAAGGTTTGGTCGTAGTCAGTGATAGGCCTGACTCGCCGGCGGAGATCAAGGATGCCTTTGACTTGATCAATGCATTCGCTTGCAAAAGCATATATCAAGTCTGCCTTATTACATCGGTGGAGCTCTTCCATTTCAGCACAGTCTTCCGTTCCATAGGATATGGTAGCAACTGCTCAAGATGGCAGAACTCCCCTGGTGGAGTAGAACGTGGGTCGTGCAGGAGACCATACTCCCCTCCAGGGCCATTGTCATTTACGGAGCGATGAGTGCTCCATGGGCAATGTTCGCCAGAGCGGGCAACAATTTCCTTCGTCACCTCAACTCATGCTGCCCTGTGGTGCCTTCCAATATGCCGAAGAGCATATTCACAGGGCTGACGGAGTTTTTTCGTGACATCGAAGCAATCCAACTCACCCGCAAATGTTACAATCAAGGCGAATTTCTCAGTCCGCTTCACCTCCTAGTCCGATTCTCCTCATGTGGCACTACTGACCCGCGGGATATATTCTCGGTGTCGCAGGACCACAGCGGGAAGAATGGAAGCCTTGGATGCTGCAGTGCTTCGTGCCGGATTATTCCATTATTCACTTGAAGCTGTTCGAAAGCCTCACATTGGAATACATCTCCGCGTTCAAGACCCAAGCACCACTGACTGGCATATGGTATGAACATTGTCCAAGGCAGCTGCCCGCATGGGTCCGGGACCGGAGCGCGCTTGTTCGCGAAGCCAATCGTTTCCACATGGCTCAGATTGATCTACACAATCACCACTACAAAGCATCGAAGGATTTGCTTGTGGTAGCTGTCTCTTGCGGCAACTCAATGCTACGAACACACGGCATCTTCGTGGGTACCGCATCAGCCGTTTTTACACTCGCAAGTGACCTGTCTTGGGAGGGAATCAACAAGGTACTTGATTACTGGCGCGATGGTGTTCACGCGCGTGTCGGAAACGTGGCTTTTGGGCTTTCTTTTTGGCGAACTATCCTGGGCGATGCTATCCCGATTGATCCATCAGCGCCGCGGCCTTCCCCCGGTTCAAATATCCCAGAAATGCGAAGGGTCGGACCACATGACTGCGAAGTCCGCAAAAGTTACTACTTCACATCCGACGAGCGTGCTCGAGCGCGAAGTCCGGTCAGCAATATGGCCGTTGGCACCGCCACAGCTTACCAAAGGTTCTTCCTCACCAGGAAGGGCGACATGGGCCTTGCACCTCCTTGCACACGACCTGGTAACGAGATATACGTTTTGCATGGTGGCAGCGTCCCTTTCATTGTTCGCACAATTGGCAAGAAACTTCGTCAGGAAGGCTCGCTGCCCACGGTTCATAGGGTTCTGGGGGGAGATTGCTTCCTGGACGGTATTATGTTTGGCGAAGCACTTGAGTCTGCTTACAGGTCTGAGAGGGCGATCATTCTTTATTGATAGCACTGTTGCTGAAGCTTTTGGTATTAGGTACTTATCACTACAACAGTTCACGGATGGCTATTAGGAAGTCAGGTAGTTCTACCTCGCGTCATGTTTGATACCTCGACGAGGGTGTTCTTTGAGTGTTTACAGCGAGCCCTCACTCAGCACAGCTGATAGCTTCCAAGATTCCTTTCTCAAACCCAACATCAAAGGTTCAGAAATCTCGTCAAGGATGACCAGCCGGTTGTGTGTGAGTTTACCACAAAGCGGTATCTACGCTAGAGCAAGCAAACCCCCTCGTCACCTAACTATGGCCGGCCCTTAACAACCTCGTCGTCGCCAACCACTTCAATGATGTTCTCCTCAAAGACGGCCGCCGCCTTGCCGGTGTTCACGTTCTCAATCTGAACTGAGTGTCAGTAAATATCACGTATCAGGATCTTGAACAAAGCAGGCATACCTCATAGCGAACATGATTTGGGTTGGCGTGCATCGTGCGGCCATCCATCTCAGTGTCTTGTTTGAGGACTGAGAGGATGATTCCCGTACTGATTGAAGTGTTCGAGTCGGGGCCTGTGGAGAGGTTAGTACAGTGTCAATATCGTAAACAGTGCTAGGAATAGAGGGTGTAGGAAACAAGAGGAGGCAGCATCGGTGTAGTACTTGCCCCCGACCGGCTTGTACGAAACTCTGTCGCCTTCCTGGAATTTGTCACCCATGTTGCGCGATGTGGTCGGTTGATACGAGGCTTGGATAGTTGGACGTTGGACGGGTAAATACGTGTGAGTAGAGAAGCGGATATTGACGGTAGAAGATACGTGAGAAAGAGGACAATGATATATACTCAGCCAACAAGCCGCATTGCATCATGCTTCTTCTATCGCCCGTAAGCGGTACTCTGTAACTAGCGATGTCACGATCGAAGACCCTCAGCATCATCGTTACCAACACTTTGGTTCAGACGTGTGTTACAGACTCGCACGTAGTTGCAAGGGAGTTAGCTTGGTGAGCTCCCGCCGAATAGCCGTCCATGATTTCGTATAATTCCAGCTCAATGACAAGGTAACATCATCGATAGAGTGTTGCAGACGACAGAATCTTGCACGGTCAAGACATAATTGGTCCTTTACCACCTACGTAGTTCCCGGCGACAGCCGCTTCCTTACCGATAGGACTAGGTGTTGCAAGACCCTGTGGTGTGCAACTCTCTATCGGCGATGTCAAGTGTGATGCACGTCAAGGAGTGTCACGGATGGAGTTCGCCGCAAATCGTCAGGTATAACGTACACGCTGAGCGTAAGGCTCACCTCGGCGCCTGGCATGTTGACGGCTGATACCAGATGATATTGCTGCGATGCATGGGCAGCATCAATGGGTCACTTTAGAAGAGAAAGCACCGGACCGGACGACGAGTGATTGTGCTGATGCCCTAAAATAACAGGGATCTCCTAGGGCCGCAAGGCCACGGTCACGTGCGAGATGCCGTAGGATTCAGACAAGCAAGTCGTGGTCAAAAAAACGTGCCTACCAAGGGGTTTCCCCGCATCAACACCAGATCTTTACCATCACCACCACCATCAATACCACAATTAATATGCCTCCAATACGCACTAAACGTTCTAAACGTCTTTCTACACCTATCAATAAGGTGCATTATGAGTTTTAGCATTGTTGTTCTACTGCGTGGTTGATAAACTCGTGATTTTCGTGATTTGGGTAGGCACGTTTTTTTGGCCACGACTTGACAAGGAAACGGGTCAACGAATTGGGCTTCAACTCGAACCCGTGCATGAAGGCTGCCTGGATGCACTCCTCCATTGCCATTTGGATGAGTGGTACTAGGAACAGGAGCACTCAGCGTAATTGCAGTACACTTGCCACGTCCAGCCGTCAAAGTCCTATTTATAACAACACCTTCCGTTGAATTCTACAGTTATTACTTAATACATTTACACTACGATGATCATTGTGTCGGTTTGACGAGCTCTCAACTCATAATGAACTGGACGAACGCTGAGATTGAGACGATATAAAACTCCATACAAGATTTCCTCAGTCACTAGACCATTGCTCCGACGCTAGCGATATCTCGAGAGCAACGGAGGCTACACAGAATGGACGCATATTGTGCTGTTCCTAGCGGAGACAGCAGCCACAGCTGCGGCTACTGCAAAAATATTGTCCAGCAGCTTATACAGCCACCGGACCCGAGACCATACACGCCGCCATCAACACGCGCAGCTTCAAAAAGAATCGACTTCGGCTGCCTAGATTCCATATTGCGCAACCAAAACTGCAATTTATGTCGGCTCGTTGCTCGGATGTACAATGCGACCAAGTCGTTTGACGACCAACCCGTGGTTGACCTACGCGACATCCACTGCTATACTGGGTGGGAGGACACTTTACTTTCGAGATCTGGCAAGCGGCTGGACTGGAACCTCTCCCTCACATTCGCTACACTGGACGCCGGATCAAGACCCGGTCGGATACAGAAACGCATGTACCCGGCTGCTTTCAGGCTGCACAGTCAGGATGCCCATCTGCTAGGTCTGGATGAGAGCGTATACAACCTCGGATGGGACGTGAATCCCGAGAAGTGCGACGTCAATTTCATGAGGCTGAGCTACCAGAACTGTCGGCGAATCCACGGAGCGAAATGCGAGCACCCATCCAGAACCTCCTGCGGAAAAGAGGTGAAGCTGTGGACGAGAGCCTCGCTGCCGACCTCCATGCGCTTCGTTGATGTCGAAGATAACTGCATCAGAGTAGTGACGCCGCAGCCCGACTACGTGGCTTTGTCGTACATGTGGGGCGGGGTGCCTATGTTCAAGCTGACAAAAGCCAACCTACATAGGATGGAAACAGCCGGCAGTCTGCTAAGCGTCACTCTTCCCAGAACAATCCAGGACGCCATGGGCGTGACACGTGCCCTGGGGGAGCGCTACACTTGGATCGATGCGATCTGCATTTGTCAGGACGATGAAGATAGCTACCTAGATCAAATCCGACACATGGACAGGATCTACTGTAACGCCGTGCTCACCATCGTCGCGGCTGGCGCCGATCATGCAGACGCAGGGTTGCCATGTTTTCGGCCTGGTAGCAGACGCCATATGCAGGTAGTCGAGGAGATCCAAGGCATGCGGCTCGTGAGCGCCGCCCCGGAGCTTGTGAAGGTCATGGATAGATTCTCCTATTCAAGTAGAGGCTGGACTTTCCAGGAATATGTCTTCTCAAAGCGTCTTCTAGTCTTCACGCCTTTCCAGGTGTATTATTCTTGCAAAACCGAATGTGTCTCGGAGGACTTCCGGGGTCCCCGAGCTCCAAGGGAATACATTGAGGGATTCGAGCTCCCGGAAGGCTCTGCACAGGGTGCTGGGAGGGACTTTCCGACGCATTACGAGACAGTCGTTGCGGCTTACACCCGTCGTGAGCTGACGTTCCAGGCCGATGTGATATCCGCTGTTTTTGGGATCCTAAATCTGATGAGTACGACTCTCAACGAAAGATTCATATGCGGTGTTCCAGGATCATGTGTCTTCGAACACGGCCTTCTGTGGCGATCGAGAGGCCGATTGAGCCGTCGTGAAAGTTCGTCTAGCCGCAGGTCAAGCAACTTCCCAAGTTGGTCCTGGATTGGGTGGGTCGGTCCGGTGAAGTTTAACCTAGGTACAATGCTTGCGAACGATCCACGATTCGCAGAGGATGTCAGGATAATCACGCGTTGGTCGATTAGGCTTCCTCAGAGCAAGCAACGGGCCTCCGTGTTTGAGCGCTTCAGGGAAGATCGAGGCCAAGCTGCGGAGGTTCAGGTAGGCGTCCCGTATAATCATTTTGCCTCTAAGCACTACTGTTTGACAGCCCTATGGGGCCTTTGTTCCTCCATGTGCGAGGCGTGTACGCACAGGGACTCACAAAGGAGCCCATGTTCACGTTCCACTGACTAGAGCGATCAGTGTTCGGAGGATGCCCATCTCGCCTTTACAGAAGAGGGTATCCTCTGCTTCGCCACCGACTCTGCAGTCCTGCTTGTCGAAAATCGAGCCGTGAACCTAAGCGACTATTCAGCAGTCTTCAGGATCTGCCACAGAGGCGAATGCATCGGATGCGTGCTTCTCGACCGGGAGGTAGCGGAGAGCCTACTTGGAGCAAGGTGGAGGCGAAAAGTTCAGGTAAGGTCCAAACAGCCTCTCACACGCGCGGACCATGCACGGTTGTCCTGTCCGCGCCTTGGAGCGGACGGAGTACCCTGCGAGTTCATTGTCCTTTCCGGAGTTTTGTAGCCGAATCTTAAACACAGGGTATTGCCGGCGAAATGGGACGAGTATATTGACGCCGTTCAGGATGGCGGAGTGGATGACGGGGTCCACGAACCTGCGTATAATGTTATGCTGATAGAACGAAAGGGTGGCATAGCCTATAGGGTCGGGTTGGGTCAAGTTCACAAGGCGGGTTGGGGCCTGGCGGGGCCTGTGAGGAAAGAGATTGAGTTGGGATAGGCTATCGGCGGCACAGCCACTTTCCAGCGCGGATATGTAGCCGGCGGGTAACTAATCAATCAGTTGTCCTCTTGTTGTCGCCGTCGTGCACATCCCGCCATACCCATATAAGATTGGCGTGGTAACGTTATTTGCCTGGCGATTACTCAGATGGCGGTTCGAGAAATCTGTGGCTCAAGGCAGATCGTTCTCATCGAATGGCGAATTCTTCCGCCACGGCTCCCCCCTCTTCCAGCATCGAGAAACCCTCACCGTCCATCAAGCCTAAGACGAAGCAGAGTCCAAGAAAGACGTAGTCCGAATCTACCCGTCGCAGTACCGCAGGCATGTTGCAACCCTCCAGCACGGTGACAACGTCTCCAGACTGCATTTCCTGCGGACCAATGCCCAAATAGCCCTTCTCCGTCTGGAAGACGCTTCGACGATTGATCCAGCCTATCATGCCGTGCTGCATCTTGAGGAGGCTATCCGCATCCTTCGAAGAGTTCACGAGATCTAGTTGTAAAGTTTCTCGTGCGGCATCGTGCGCGGCGTCAAGTCTGCCGGTAGTACCCAAGAGTGTGGCAAACATTGTTGTGTAAACGGCTGCACCTTCCAGGGCGTCCTCTAGGTACAAAGCCGAGAGCTCCGTGGCTAATGCAACCGCGGCCTCTACTTGGCTCAATGTCGGCTCCGCATCGGATTGCGCGATGATCCCGTACACGAATCCATAGGCCAGTTGGGCGTAGGTACGGGAGCGACAGTCGAGGCGCTCGTGTGTGAAAAGGTCCACGTCTAGCAGGTAAAGGCGGAAGAGAGCCTCAGCTTTAGATATTCCAGTGGGGTAGTTCCTGTCGCCGAACTGTGAGTACTGGAGGAAATACTCCCGGAACCTGTCCCTTCCACCGAGAGACAGATCTGGCCCCAGAGAACTGATGACATCAAAATGGAGCCCCGGAGCGAAAAGAACTTTGCCATCATCTGACACGCGCCATGTACACGGTCGATCCAGCGAGGCGCGATACCGTTCTAGTTCATCCATGGAACCTTTGCCGTGTTGTAGCCTGGATCCAAAGCGGAACAGTTTACCCATTTCTCCTGCTGCAGACTCCCAATCCGGCACCCATGAGGGCAGATCTGGTCTTTGCTTGGAAAGCTTGCGCTCTCTATAACCGCTGAGCTCAGCATGCGCCAAAATGCTGGTGTCCCTATCCTCCATTATCCACTTCGCCGCGAACTCCGAATACACCTCGACGACGGATCTACCGTATTTTGGCTCGATCGTGTCAACAGCGAGGCCAAGCAGCGCATAGATTCGGTCTCGTGGGTTGGTGGCCTCAAGGACCTGGAAGTCTGCCACAAGGTGCCGGAGCTGCCGATCCGTGTCAGGCTGGCTGCGGAGCATCACGGTCATGTAGGCGGGCTTCCAAGTGGTGTCATTACTAAAAGCACTGAAGGCGCCGCTGTCCATCCACTTCGGATGTTGTCCGAGTTCGCAGAGATGCAGAGTATTCAGCATCGGTGAAAGCGACTCGATTGCTTCGGGTTCGAGGATATCGTGGCCGCACATCAGGACAAGATTTGTAGCCAGAGCAAACTCTTGTAGAATCCACATACGGATCCAGTAGTCGCGCTGAAAGAAGTGCCTGATAGCTTTCCATGCCGGGGATAGCACGGCGAACTTGGGGTACAACGTCCACGCCAGATGTTTCCAGTCTCCCCTCTTGATAAGCAGACCGACTGACCGCAGATTCCCACCCCACCAGAACTTCGGGCCTAGTTGCGGCGCCTCTCTTAGCCAGCCTAGATGGTTCCGTTCGGCGTCGGCGCTGGTTGCCTGTGCGACGTCGTCCCAGCGCCCAGCGGCACACATGCTCAGGATGTAGTCCATCTTCGCTCTGGCAATCCCTCGGAGGGTGGCTAGTGCGAGATGGCTGTTGTCTGCCTCCGGACCGAGCCATCCGATAACCTTGGCGGCTTTTGTGTAGATAGTGCCCATCATCTGGACTTGCTTGCCTCTCTCCTCGTCATCTTTCTGGTTGATGCAGACTGCATCGACCCATATAACGACCTGACCGAATGCACGTCTGATATGGCGCAGAGCGGAAGCAAGATTGGTTGTTGCTTCAACTGGAGAGCCATCAACCGTAATCTTCACGGTAACAGATGGATTTCCCCAGACATATGAAAGAGCCCAGAACTCTGGCTCATCCTCGAGAGAGACTGTGTGGAGGCTGCACTGAATGGGGTCTTTGAATATCCTGGAGGCTTGTAATGTTAGGAGTCTGATCTGTCGCCGACTCGGAAGAAGCACATCATATTTCATTTGAGCTATTGGCCGTGGTATACGTGCGCTAAGTTGAGCTACACTCCAAGGTGTAAATGAATGTTCGGCAAAATGCACTTGAGAAGATAGAAGTGACGGGAGCGAGTGGATGATAGACAGATAGATGGGTTGTAACGCCCGTTCAGCTCACATAAAGGGGCTCACATAACTATTTATGGAACTATCGCCAAGGCCAACTGCTACAACCTTGATTTGTCTTACCTATTTATCAGACAGAGGAGAGGCTGGAGTGATAGAACCCTACATGCCTGGAGGTACCTAGGTAGGTACGGAGTAAGTAGCTACTACTCACCAAATAGACACCTTGGACCCTGAGGCGACGACCCCGAAACTCTGCCCGCGCACGTCACATCCCAGCGCGCCTATCGCCAGCCCTGCGGAGCCATCCGCGAAGATATTCGAGCACCGCCATGTACAGCTCGTGAAAACAATCGATCGAGAACCAGCCTTTTCGTCACCCTCTCTAGCTCTTCCTTGAGCTTGTCCCTGCCCGCTGAACGGCTTCAGCGACCTATCATGGCTCCAATCCTTCCCTTCCGCGACATCAACGTTCACGCTTCGCCCTCCCACTATGCCTTCTCCTCCCCTTCCTCCCCATCCTCACCGACGCTGGTGGTTGACCGGCCGTCCGGAGACCTGCGGCTGCATGATGGGAAGCTGCTGGGCACGCAGCGGGTCTCGAGTATAGCAGGTATTCTGGGGATTATCAAGCTGCGCCTGGGTATGTCCCACAATACAAACCCCATTAGGTACTACTACAGAAGCTAACCCACGGAGTGCAGACAAGTACATCGTCGCAATCACGAAGGCGCAGCCCATGGGCCGACTAAAAGGCCACATGATCTACAAAGTAATCACGACCGAATTCCTCCCTCTACGCGAACGCCCTCTCCACGACCCCGACGAAGACACCTACCTCTCGCTGATCAAGACCCTCCTCAAGACCGGGCCCATGTACTTCTCCTACTCCTTCGACCTCACCAACAGCTTCCAGCGCCAGGCCAAGTCCGACACCTCCGCGCCGCTCTGGAAACGGACCGACGACCGCTTCTTCTGGAACCGCTTCGTGCAGACCGATCTCATAGACTTCAGAACTGGCGGCGGGAATGCGCACGGCTTTCGGCAATCTCTGGGCCAGCAGCCTGGCATGGACCCGTATATACTGCCGGTGATGTTCGGCATGCTGGAGATCAAGAATACGTCGATCAAGGGGAAGCCGTTGACGTTCGTGCTGATCACGCGGCGGTCAAGACATCGTGCGGGTACCCGATACTTCTCGCGCGGCATCGACGAGTACGGCCACGTCTCCAACTTCAATGAAACCGAGCAAGCCATCATCCTCAACGACGACTCGTCCAGTGGCCTCGGCGGCTTCGCAGGCGATCTGGGCTACCAGAACAGCAAGCTCGGCGGCGCCGCAGCACAGGAGCGCCAAGTGCTCTCCTACGTTCAAACTCGCGGCAGCGTCCCTGTCTACTGGGCCGAAGTCAACACCCTAAAATACACGCCCACGCTCCAAATCCGCGGCGTGGAAAGCGCGACCCAAGCCGCAAAGCTGCACTTCGACGAGCAGATCCGACTCTACGGCGACAACTGGCTCGTGAACCTCGTGAACCAGAAAGGGCGGGAGCGGCGCGTCAAAGAAGCCTACGAGCAGCTGGTCAAGAGCCTCGTCTCCTCCCCAACCGAAGACACAGAAGCGGATCGCGTCACGCGCGAGAAATTCCACATCCTCGAGCCCGAACGGCAGAAGCACGAGCTGGACCGCTTGCACTACATCTATTTCGATTTCCACAACGAAACAAAGGGGCTGCGCTGGCATCGCGCGCTGCTGCTGATGGAGCAGCTCCGCGAGCCCGTCATCCAGCACGGCTACTTCCGCGCTGTCGACCTTCCCGGCAGTGGCGACGGAGTCGAAGTAAGGAACAGACAAACGGCTGTGGTCCGCACGAACTGCATGGACTGCCTCGACCGCACGAACGTTGTACAGAGCATGCTCGGTCGCTTTATCCTTAGCAGGATGCTGATCGATCTCGGGATCCTGCGGGAGGGCGAAAACGCCTCCGACGACGCCGCTTTCGAGTTTCTGTTCCGGAACGTGTGGGCCGACAACGCGGATGTGGTCTCGAAAGCTTACTCCGGCACCGGTGCGCTGAAGACGGATTTCACGCGCACGGGGAACAGGACCAGAATAGGGATGATCAACGACCTCAATAACTCGTGTACGAGATATGTGCGGAATAACTTCACGGACGGCCCAAGACAGGACGCGTTTGATTTGTTCTTGGGCAACTATCTACCAGATACGTCGAATATCGGGAGTAACCTCCTCTTCGTCGACCGTAGACCTGTGCTTATACAATCAATACCCTACGTCCTCGCCGCGAGCATCTTCCTCGTGCTCATCGGCTCCTTCACGCGGCGGTCCGCAGACGCGACGGTCTGGCCGCTGCGCCTACTCATGCTCACCTGCTTCGGTATCGCTGCTGCTTGCGCGCAGTTCATTTGGTCGCATGGGACGCTATACGTACGTATAACCCCCATCCCATTCCGCTACGTCGCGGTTGTGCTTCACTGACTAGGAACAGGTCAACTGGCCCAAACTCAACACCCCGCCGCACGCAATCGAGAGCTACCAAGACGCGCTTAGTAGGGTAAGGACGGCGCCGGTTATTGGGCCGTTGGTTGGGAGGCATGAGCGGGGGAAGAGCGAGGCGAGGTTGGGGTATTTGGAGGAGGGGAAGAAGAGGATTGAATGAGGGGTTGGTGATGGGTTGTAGCAGTTAGGGACAAGACGTCATGTTTAGAAGATACATATCCGGATAGAGCTTTAGACGCCGCTCCCGTTAGTTTCTACGGAAGAGAAATCTTTACGGTGTGAGCGTGGAACTGCCTCTGCCGTGCCTGCTGTCAACGTGTGTGACGTATTCATGCCGTGGGTGGTCTCGCGGCGAGTTTAATCTTGCTGCAGCTAGGACATCACGGTGTTCAACGCGCACGATAATATTTACGGGCACTTCAATGCAATTCAAATGGGTATCTTTTCGTGTCTACAACAGCTGTCCAGTTCAGCGATCATACGCCTACTGCTTGCACCTCCGCTTCCTTGACTTGCTAGTCGGTGGTGCTTCGTCGATACTGCCACTATCATCAGCCAGCTTGACTGTGTCGTCCTGCTCAGCAACGATGGTAGCTGCGTCGAGGTCGTCCTCAGCTGCCTCTATCTCTACCTCAGCCTCAGACGACTCGTCGGAAATGCCATCACTGCTAGCACCCTCCGAGTCCGCCGCCTCCGCACCAACCGGCTGATCATTATCCCCAAACCCCTCAAAGCTCTCGCCCTCATCCTCCTCCTCCTCCTCCTCCTCCTCCTCCGCCCTCCCCCTCTTCAAGCTCATCTCCCCCAGTCTCCCCTCCCCCTTCTGGAATCTCTCCTCCTGGCCCTCCTGCACCGATGGAGGCGTAAACCACGGCAAGCGCCCCCTACAGAAATCATTCAACACCATCTTAGCCACCCCATCCAAATCCGCCTCTCCGCCCTTCAAAAGCCTCCCCCCCTTCCTCGCCAGCATCTCCAAAAACTCCAGCGTGGTGTCCCACCCCTTGATCTCATACGTGCGTTCCACATGCTGCCTCTTCACCTTCCTGAGCACCGCCTCAATATACTGATGCGGCTCCTCCAACTTCTCCACTCTGACCGTGCCTCTCAACAGCAGCTCCTCCGGACTATCGTTCTGCTGCGGCGGCACGATACCGGGGCAGTCGATCAGATAGATGCGTTTCATAAGGGTGATGTACTGCCAGACCTTCGTCTCGCCGGGCTGCGGGGCGACGGTGCAGACCTTTTTCTTGCGGAGCGTGTTTATGACGGACGATTTGCCGACCGAGGGGTACCCGATGAGCCCGCAGGAAATTTGTTTGCGTTCTGAGTGGAGCGAGGAGAATTGGCGGAGGAGGGCGATGAGGGAGCCTTTGCCGAAGGAGTTTGTGATCGACGCGTGGAAGGCGAGGGTGGGGTGGTCTTTTGACAATGTTCTTACCCAGGCGGCCTGGATTTGAGTCACCATCAGCGCTGGCGTTCTACAATGATGACAGGGATGACAATGACGCAGATGGGAGGAGGATATGTATGAATCATTACTAAGAGAACCGCCACAACGGGCCGCTCGAAAGAACGACGGCGAAGTCCTCAACTCAAACGAAACATCCTCGCGCCCTGTGAGACGCAGCCTCCAAGACGGCGGCTGGTCAGCTCCACTGCCATGACGGTAGAGAGCGGCGGGCGCGAGATCGATATCCCAAAGTTGTAACAGGCGGTCTTCCATTGGGTTGCAGCGAGTGCAGGAAGGGGCCTTGACTTAACGATGGGATGAAGAGGGTGAGACGGGGAGGGAGAGGAGAACTTACGGCGACTTTTGAGGGTACGAGGTCCACTTTGTTGAGAATGAAAACGAGGTGCTTGTGCGGTGCTTCGGTGGCAATGTACTTCTCTACAGATCTGCAGCGCGTGCCTTCGGGGTCTCGCGCATCGAGGACGTGGAGGATGACGTCTGAGCTGTCGATGACTTTGTAGAGCTCGTTCCATATTCTTTTCGACTGGCCTTTGCTGAAGACGGGCTCGATGGCTGAGGTAAGAGTGCCGTCCGCGTTGGTGCCGTCGTCTTCTTGCGCACCGGCTCCGGAGTTACCGCTCAGGAGCTTCGCTTGCTCAAGTCGGTCTAGGTAATCGTCGTGCATCTTGACGGACTCCCCAGCCAGGTCTTGGAGCGAGCTCACGCCGAGCTTGACGCGCTTCCTCTGAGCCTTGGGGCCAAATGTATCGCTGAACGGCGACGTCTCCACCGTCATCTTCGCCGCATGCTGCTTAACGCCATTCTTCGTCGTCGTATCTCGAATCAAACTCATAGGCAACTTATTCTGCCGCAAAAGGTACGAATACGGATCCGCCTGCTGCGCCTCAACGGCCCCCCGAAATGCGTTCAGCGCATCCTGGCTGATGACCCGCGTGTTGCCGAACCACTTGCGGTTGGGCTCGATTACGGCCTTGGGTTTGTCTCTCGACTGGTATGAGGCGGCCTTGGTGATTTTGCCGCTGGCATTCCGCTGCGCCTTGCCTTCTTTGAGGATGTTGAGTTTTTTGACCTTTTTGGCGTCGCGGTAGAAGTTCTCGCCCTTCATGCGTACGTTGGCCATGCCGTCGCCGGTCGTGCCGTCGCGCTCTTTGCGAGCTTTTTCTTTCTTGAAACTGCCCATCGTGCCGGCCGACTGGGAGTATCCGGAGTCTGTGTGGTGTTGCGGTCGGTATACTGTGCTAAGAGCCTTAGAGCGTAAGTCGCCGCTCTGTGCAAAGTGGTAAGTCGAATTTGAAGTTTTATGGACCTAGAGGATGCCAAGGTGTGGTGCAAAAAAGTTCCAGTCAAGTCTGTGCCCTGCCAAGCTTTGCGGACTGCCGAACCAGCTCGACGACACCTCCGTGACTGGAAATCCGCTGCACGCTGAGGACATTGTAACCCCCTTCCCAGCCATGCCTCCATCAATGCCGCGGGCAGCGGTCCCCACATCGTCGTTATGCCCATCATGCTCTCGAGCAGTCAACCCCCGCCGATGGCTCTCCTCCACAGCCACTCTCTCCCAGGTCGGACCAGAGTCTCCTCGCTACATCGAAGTCCCTAAAACCCCCCAAACTCGTGCGCACTACAAGCCTCCCGTCAAAGGCGTGCTCCCCGTCCCCCGAGAGATCTTCCCCCGTGGGGCACCCAATAAAGCATCCCCCGTCTACCTCGTCCGCGCAACCCCCGAACCAGACAGCCAACGCAAAGCACCAACCGGCCCCGGGTCATCACGACTAGCATGGAAAGAGCGAATGGCCGAAGTGCGGCGGAAGAACCTCCGAGAGGGCATCATGGAGCTGCAGAAGCGCAAGCGCCAGACCGACAAGTACTTCGCTGAGCGCGGAGCCCGCCGACAAGCCGAGCAGAAGGCGCTCATTAGCCAGCCGGAGCGGGACGATGAGCTGTTGACGCAGTCGAGCATCAGCGTGGAACTGCGAGACATCCTGGAAGGGCGGATGAAGATCCACGGACCGGATCCGGCGAAGCTGCAGGAGAGTGCTGCAAAGTACGAAGCCAAAGCGAAGGACAAGGAGGCCTGGCAGATGGACTCGCTGCACATGCTCTATATGCAGGCGAAGGACTTCATCACCACGGAGGCCCAGTTGGATGCTGCAGTCGAGGAGGCCTTTGGGACGGAGGAGATGCCGAAGAGGTTCGGCGCGCTCACTGATGGGTTGAGTATGTGGGATGTTGCCAAACCGGACACTGTGGCGCAGTTGTTGAGGAAAGCGAATACGGATGATACGTCTACCGGTGGAGACTTGGCCAGCTTGAGGCAGGAGCGCTTGAAGGAGATTGCGGAACAGCTGACGGGAGGGAAGATTTGGGATCATCAGGAGAGTGCTTCGGGTCGGTCGTATTAAAGCATTGGGGCGTTGTATCATCTCGAACTATCCATGTTTTTTCTGAAGGCTCTCAATATATAAATCGTCACCTCCTCGGCAGGAGCAATCTTTCCTCCTTTCCAACCCCTCACCTTCATTCTGCAATATGACCTTGGGCCAATATACAAGTCTTGCAGTCAACACCTGAGCTCTTTCACTTCACCAAAGCAAGACCCTCTTGTCTGAACCGCGAAGCTGCTTCTAGTCGCTGCGTTCAGCTTGTCCAACACGGAATCCGGCATTTCCAAGCGCGCTAGCTCGCAAGTTATATAACTCGGTCGAGAGTGGGACTGGTTTCTCTCATTCAACTCATCGTCCAGTACATCTGTCCTTACGCCTTATTCCTCTACTTCAACCTCACCTTCAAACCCACGCTGACTCTACCAGCGTCTCTATTCTCACTTTGATCGTGAGCACCACTCTTTGGCTTCAGTGGGTTCAAGATCGATGCTCAGTACAGTTTCACTTAGCAGTCACGGCGAAGCTTCGTTGAAAGGCGTCTGACTGACACCTATCCCCGTTCACTCAACCTGACCAACCAAACGAACAACTCCATGGCGACTGTCGGAGCGGCATCGCCGCCCTTCACTGCGTCAGGTGAGCTAGAATCTAGATTGGGTTGCCTGCGAAGGAAATTGACACTATTGCAGCTGCCAGATGCCCGACTCGAGTGATAGCTGCGACCGGCGCTATCGACACCGTCAAGATTCCGGCTTACGTTATCGACGATGGCAAGAAGCCGAAGTTCACCCCAAGACAGCTGATAGCACTGGCTATCCTAAGCAAAGAGAAGCGGTCCGCAGACTTCGATCAGATTCTTCAGTGGCTTCATGGCAACTTCGTCTACTACCAGAAGACACTCTCCACACCAGATCTTGAAGGATGGCTACGTACCTACTACAACCCCAAAGTTGCAGCCAATGTCTCTTTATCCAAGACGCTCAGGGAGGAGCTCTTCGATGAGAACAATCGGTATGAACGAGTCTTCCAGGCGCGCGGCGACATCTACAGCATTGTTCCCGGAGCGGAACGATTGATATTTGCAACGTTCAATATCGATCCTGTCCCGTTCCCCTTCATGCGACTGCCGGCCGAAATACGAGCTATGATCTTTCGTTACGTCCTTCAGTACTCCACGTACTGGGCGCGCCTGAGTGTCAACAAGGATGGAAGCCTGTATAGGAATCGAGTATCTATGGGTATTCCTAGGCCTAATATCACCTTTCCGCCAATGGCATCAATTCTTACCTTGCTTTTGGTAAGTAAGCAAGTGAGCCTCGACGCACTCCCAATCTTCTACTTCTACAACTACTTCAAGTTCGACTCCATGAGGATTCTAGCCACGTTCCTGAAGCGGATGGGCCGCACTCGTCGTGAGCACTTAGCTCATGTTGCCATCGAATGCTCGTTCAAGAGCGAACAAAACACCGGGGCCATATCCGCCTTTCGCCTGCTTGCTGAGTGCAAGCGTCTCAGGACCTTTCGCTTCACCGCCACGTCCTGGAACGGCGCGAAGGTCGAGAATCTTGGATTTCACCAATTGTGCTTTCTCAGAGGCTTGGAAGAGGTTAGTGTAGAATTCTACGGTGTACCTGAGCAAGCATTGTTGCGGACTCGGGAAGTCGAAGCGATGATGCAGCTGCCGAAGCCCCAGGAGACACCGAAGCCGACTAAGACTGCAGAACCGAAGAAGAGGAAGGCTGCGGCTGCTGCCGAAGGGGGAACCGGAGAACCCACGAAGAAGCGCAGCAACTCGAAGATCACGACCGTGCCTGCCTAGAGAGCCACTGACGGTGCAGAACAGGTGTTTCCACGCACTGCGTGGACAGTATCTGCCCTTGACGGCCCCCTTTGCCCTTGGCTGTTTTGGCGGTCGTGCTCACAAAAGTGTTTTCTGAACATCTGCGGCATTGGTTCATGCGAGTATTGGGGCTTACAGGCTTAGTCCGAGCGTTGCAAGCGCTTCTGTGCAAGGCGGCGTAGGCGGCAAAAAGGGATTTCATGGGTTTTTTGGTTCTTGGCGTTCTTTTGATCTGGACGGACAGAATCTACTGGAGAAGCTATTTTCTTCATCTTTCCGTATTGCGGAGCTTCTAGCTGGGAGGCTATCTGCGCTTCGAGCATCCCGGGAGTCGGTTGGTGGTGCTCGTCCTTTTCAGATCTCAAAAGTGGTTTGCTAGGTCAATCAATGCGGATCAAAACATCCGTCCGCATACTCTGTGACTGCCTAGGTATTCTCCGTTGTAACTTGACAATGCAAAGCCGTCTTTCGCGAATGTAGCAAAATACCATGTTGGTTAGACATCCATGCTCAATATTCGCATGTCCTTGCTGTTCGATGAAGCTTTGTGGCGCGCTGCGGGCAGCCTTGGCTCACCACCACCTTCATTTGCTTCCCACGCTCCCGCAATCTCCTCTCAACTACAGACACAAGCAGCCAAACCTCGCGAAACATTGCTTGGTCCTACTGTATCAGGGACAAACCAGGCCCAGCGCGGAAACAGCGCAGATGAACTGCCCGGCACCCCAGAATGTTCAAATTGGCACCGTTCATCACCGTTACATTAATACTGACGGATCAATATGATAATGGCTTACAGTTTGGCGGGTACTGATCAAACACAAGGACCATTGTTCGCATTCCGGAGTCCCATTCTCCACGTTTCATAATCCCGACCGTCTTCTCGAATCTCGCTTGCATGCAGATCTTATGTTCAAAGTCACTCCCAAAAATTCGCTCCTTTGATTATGACATCAGGAAGCGAGGGGTTACAGCCATTGAAGCATCCTGTTTACCTTACCGTCTGCAGTACTCTTCTCTTCTTTACCTCTCAACCGCTGTGCCTGAGTCTTGCCGTTGGAGATTGAGTAGGAGCACAAGAGTTACAGCAACCCACGGCGGAGCCTTGAACAGTGCCAAAGACTGTCTCAGTAATGATATGGCCTTCAGACCTCTATCGACGTTACTACCAAAACAGTGAAAACCAAAACCTTTGGTCCTCGCAGCAACATGCATGCCACGCCTTGCCTTAGCACGCCTTGCTTCGTGCAGAGGTGAGACGCAGATGTAATCTTATGAGGAGTCTTCAAGACTCTGCTGGTGCCCAGTCCGCTTTCCTTTCATCTTCTCACATCAAGTACATCAGTTACTCAAATTTCAAATATATTTCCCATCTCCAACATCATATTACTATGAAGATCTCTCTCACAGCCCTAACCCTCGGCCTCAGCGCCTCAGCCCTCACACCCCGCCAACCCCCTTGCTGCTTCACCCTCACCGCCACCGGCGGTTCCGGTGGTCCCCTCGGCCAGCTCGCCGACGGCCAGAACCGCATCGGCCAAGGCTTTCCCCCGAGCACCTACTGCATCAGCGAGGACGGAGGCCTGACCGACCAGAGCGGACGCGGATGCATCCTCACGGGGCCGACTACGCAGTTCCAATGTGACACTGGTGCTGGAGCTATGCCCGGCTTCTCGGTTGCCTGCGATGGCATGCTTACCTACAATCACACGTCGAAATTCGTTGCTTGTCCTACGGGCGACCAGGGCGGTTTCAATGTCTATGTCAGAGCTCCACTGGGCCAGGGAGGGTGTGTTGATGTGACGCTTGCGGCGGACTCATGTAGGGCAGGTTGTCCTGCTCCAAGCCCGGCTCCAGCTTCAGCGGCACCAGCTGCTGCTCCAACGCAGAAGTCCTGCCCCCCGAACTTATCCGGCATGTGGGAAGTAAGCTCGGCCCCCGCTCCCATCCCACCCCTCCTCTCAAAACCCACCCAGCTAATCCACCCTCCTCCACAGTTCCCCCACCTCATCATCTCCGTCGACGAATCCAACCCCTCCAAAGCCCAGGGGACCTCTTATAACGGCCACGTCACCTCAAACAAGAGCACAATCTTCAACTTCGACTTTCCCGCCTCCCTAGCCGGGAAGACCTGCACGCTGGTCTTCCTCCTCCCGACGCAGGACAGGTTCGTCACGTCCTCCTTCCGGCTTAGTGGGAGCGGGGAGGTGGTGTTCGCGCACCTTAAGGGCGCTGCGACTGAGGAGACGACGTGGGGAAACATGCCGACGTGGACGGAGGACTATGGAATGCAGAGCTTGAAGCCGGGGAATGGTTATGTTGTTACGAGCTTTGCGTGCCCGGCGGGGAAGAGAGAGGGGTATGTTATGGGTGCGATGTTGCCGCATAAGGATCCGACTAGCTTGGAGTGGTTTCAGGACTATAACCCGGAGCCGATTGGGCTGTATGTTTCCGCTTGTTGAGGGATGCCGGAGTGGTAGGTGAGTTATGCACGCAGTGATAGTCCTGGGGGAGTGGGATGAGTTCCATGTGGCATGACTTGGAGATTCACGTCTGATGTAGACAGCAGCATTCTGTACTTTTTATATGCATTCCTCGATGAACGTGCTCAATGCTCACTTGTTCCCGTTCTCCACGCGATGTTTATGTGTGATGTTCTGACTTACGACTTTGTTGCTTGCCCGCTGGATTCAGGGGTTGGGGCGCCACACCACGTGACGCGCCTAAAACGCGCCCTCAAACGCGCCCTCAAACGCGTCCTCCAACGCGTCCTCCAACGCGTCCCCCCAGCCCCGGCCTCCTAATCTCCGTTCCCCACTAGCGCGAAACCCGCCCATATAACCCGACCGCATTCCCTCCCACTCCCATCTTCCCTTCCTCAGCACCGGCGTAGGACTCCGAGCAGACTACGACCGATTGCCCAAGGCGGAGTAGAAAGCTCCATCGCGGGGGCCGAGCAACCGATTTACCCAAATCTGGGAGTTCGGAATCGCGGTGGACTTTCTCTTCCCTTGAATACAGACCCTGCTCTTCACGAAGAAGATTCGATCTAGCGCCTGTCGATGCCTTTTGAGGCTGTCAGATCGCGACGACAGAGCGTCGGTCAACAAACACCTCCGGGTGGTAGGCCTTCAGCATGGACATCCGCGGTGGTGACGCCCCAGGCGACGACATGGCCTCGATTACGACTCCACCGTCGGTCAATGCCCTCACGGGTGCTTGACTGGCAACAACGCACAACTTTATCGTCGGGCAACCACTCTCACGAGATGGAAACCTGCAACACGTACGACTATCAGAGTTGGCCAACGCCCTAACAGGTGTTTGACTAGCAAGACCACATACAATGCCAGCTTCCGCCCTCACGGGTGCTAAGCTGGCAACACGCACGACGATGTCGCCAATTGGACCACTCACACGAGATGGTAGCCTGGCACATTGTACACCATCGTGGCTAGGAGTTCGTTCACGTAAAACGTGTTTTATTACGTTTGCTCGCTGGATCCAAACGGGAAAAGACCCGTGAGAGCCGAGTTGTGTTCGAACTCAGCCAAGCGGTCAAAAAAGACCTTCTCCTGAGAAACAGGAAACATGCGCGTATCTCTCAAACATTGGATACTGCGAAGGCAATAGTGCGTTCGCACCTTTTGGATTTTCAATGCCCTCACGGTACTTGGCTGGCAAAGAGCACCAACATTTGCCGGTTCCGCCTTAACAGGCGGGAAATCGTGCAGCACTTGACCAGCGCCAGGCAACTGGTTGGCTTGGTTTCTATCAATCGGCCAACATGCCATCGGTCGACTCCTTTGGACTATGAACCGACTTTGTTTTTTCGTCGAACCTTTGGCCTCGTGCTGGAGCTTGAGGAAGAAGCAAGGTGAGCGGAGAAGTTGAAGATGTGCTTTGAAGTATCTGATTGACATACCGAGAGTTGTTCCAAGTCACCGAGGACTACGCTTAGAAGGTCTAGACAATCTTGAGTGCTCATGAGTTGAGAGCAAATCCGTGTCGAAATTCTTCAGCACACTCAGATCTGCCCGATTGAACCACAGGTATAGGAGATAGAGGGTTATGTACAACCTCGTAAAGGCCTGCCTCACCAATAAGGCTAGATCAAGATCCCTCTAAATGAATTCCCACCCGTCTATTTACAGCCCTCCCTGCCTTTCCTACAGGCCTGTCCCTTAAATCCTATTCCACTCCTCCACGCGTCCCACACCCATTACCGCCTCTCCACCAGCAAAATATGCATAGCGACATAAGCCAGCACAACGAAGACGCCCGCAAAGATTGCCAACCCAACCGCATCGCGCCACAGCGCCAGAACGTTGAAACCAAAGCTGCTCAGGATAGCCGAACCCGGGACCTCGATGTCGAGGCCGTATTTGTGGTCGATGAGGGACAGGTACTTGACCTCGTTGACGATGAGGCCCTCGAAGCCGTAGTGGAAGATGGAGAGCTGTGTGGCGTTAGCCTCACGAAAAAGACAGGAAAGATGGAGAGAAGCTGAGAGGATGTGACTTACCGGCTGCAGCCAACCAAAAACATTAGGTATGCTCTCGTGATTGAGCAAGAAACCCCCGAAGAGCAACGAAAACAGCATCACGAGCGTCGCGATCAGATTCGCAACGCCCTGGTTCTTGAATACGATGCCAATGAACAAGATGATGGCCGCGGCAGCCAGATTAAACAGCACCAAAAACAGCATGAACTTCAGAAACTCGGGCCACGCCGGGATCAGCCCCGTCATCGGGTACACCACCACCCCCATGATGAGCGGCGGTATAATGCGCAGGGGCACGATATCGAAGATGACCTTGGCCGTGTAGTAGCTGATGGGGTAATAATACCCCTTGGCCCTCTCGCGCACAAAGAGCAATCTCTCAGGCGCAAACACCGTCAAGCTCGTAAGCGTGCTGAAGCCAAACAGCGCAAGCAGGAAGAAGAATAAGCCAAGCCTGTTCTGGAAGCCCTTGATGTCGTCCGTGAGGCCATAGAACAGGAATCCCAGAAACACAGCCAGCACGATCGCAATGGCGTAGTGCGTGAGCATCAGCATCGGGTTGCGGTACAGGTTCCGCCAGGTGCGGATCGAGAGGATCCGGAACTGGCCCGCAAAGCCGACTTTGCGGTACCCCTTTACCTTCCCGCTGGTTGCGGGGCCGGAGGCGGAGCCGTTGGGGTGGCCGTTGGAGGTGTCGGCGTTGCTGACGGCGGCTTTGATGTCTTCTTGGAGGGAGCTCGCGACGTCGGAGGAGGCGTAGCTGGAGACGAGGGTGTCGAGGTCGGTGCCTGTGCCGCCGTTTGCGGGCGGGGGCAGCTGATCCGGATCATCTAGGATTTGCGGCGGTGGTTGGCCGGCCTGCTTCTGTAATCTGAGCCATTGCTGTTGGCTGTCGCGCTGCGAATCGGGGATACTCGTAGTCTCGTCATCGGTCTTAGGCGTTCCGGGGACAGCCTCTGCTGCGCCAATGCTCTTCTTGCGGGTGAAAAGGTGCCTCTCTTGCTGTTGACGAACCGATGTTCTTCGTTTGTTCTTGGGCCGTAGGCTACTATCACTGGGGCTACCGTAACTACCAGCGCCGACGCTGATGCTCGAGATGATGCTCGGGATGGACTTGATGGCGACTGCGCTGCTCGCGCGGGTTTTGAGGCCGTCTTCGTGAGAGAAGAGAACACTATCGTCGATGGGTGCGTGAGCGGTACCAGCGTGCATGGTCAAGTCGACGAGATAATCTGCAATGTTGAAGCCCGGGGGGCAGGCATAGCCGATGTGGTCGAAGTAAGCCTGACAGCTGGAGAATGGTCCTGAGTAGACGGTTCGTCCTCGAGCAAGAAGGATCAGCTGGTCGAAAAGTGCAACGATGTTGGATCGGGGCTGATGAATCGTGAAGATTACGGTCCTGTTGTAGTTCTTGACTAGGGTGACAAGACACTCGACCACATTGAAGGCATTGAAGGCATCAAGGCCGCTTGTCGGTTCGTCTAGGAATAGTATACTTGGGCTGGTGACAAGCTCGCAGGCGATTCCTACTCGCCGCTTTTCGCCGCCGGAGATGCCCCGTCCGCTACCCTCTTCCGAACCGATCTGTTGGTGGCGAATGTGGTAGATGCCAAGCTGCTTCTCGACGTCTTCCACCTTCTGCTCTTTTGCGGCGAGACTCATCTCCTTCGGTAACCGTAACATAGCCGAATCGAGTATAGTCTCGTGCACCGTCAGTGTAGGTAGCATGGTATCCTCCTGGTCCACAAATCCAATAACACTGCGGAATTCCTCGTCAAGGACTCTTTCGCCATTGACGTAGAATTCTCCTTGCACATAGCCACGCTTGTTCTTCCGAGCGAGAATGTCGAGGAAAGTCGTCTTGCCTGCGCCTGAAGCACCCATGATAGCCAGAAGCTCGCCTGGATGCACGGCGCCTTGGATTCCAGACAGTATCTGCTTGCCACCAAGGTTGTAGGATACATTCTCGAAGTATAGCGCTGCCGGCTTATGATCTGCCATCAGCTTCGCGTTTTCGTCTTCCTCGTCATCTGAAAGATGAATCGCTCCCCAGCGCTTCGTGGCAGCTCTTCTTGACAGATACCACACCACCAGAATGACCGCAACCACAAACAAAGCGCAGCCCGCGATAACACCTGCGATCAGCGGGGTATTGATCTTCTTGACTGGCCTCTCGTAGCCAGGAACATCGGTCTTGTACAAGCATTCTCCGGAATGGCAGTTTAATGTAATGCTCTCGTCGCCAAACACTTGCGAAATGAGATCGTTCATGGCAGGCTCAGAGAACTTGCTTCCATCTTGAGAACTGCCACCCTCCGTTGATATGGATGTAAACGAGGCCGGCCCTTTGATCTCCTGGTCCAGGAAGTCGCCGATGTCAATAGACCCTTCTTCGCCGCAAAGCATCCGTCCTGGTATACATCGGCATTTGATGTGGTCGCAGCTGTACTTCGTGGTGTTGCGGTTTGATTCGATGACGAGGTTCGAGGAGCAGGTATCGAGGTCGCAATAGAACGACTCTTTCTGATCAACCCAAACTGTTTCGGTCAGCCTTGCCATCGAAATCGCGCCTGGGTGAACATACACTGAAAGTTACATTTCTCCGTCTCCGCGTTACACGAAAATGTCGCCTGCGGCTTCTGCTCCTTTAACTGATCCAATATCTTCCTGTTCGTGATGTCGCACATCTGGTAGTTCTCCTTGACCACCGCGCCCTCCCTATAGCACACCCCTCCCTCGCCTTCCGGCATCAGCGCATTACATGCGTCGTTCGTCTTGCACACGTTGCAGTTGATGCCTTCCCATCCTTCATTGCACTCGCAATATTTGTCCTTCCTCGGCGTCCTGTCTCGCCCCTCTGCTAGCGAACCGCATACTGGGTCCGAACAATCCTCACCGCCGAAGCCAGGCGGACAGTTGCATTTGCCGTTGGCCTTAGTGCAAGGGGCGTACTGGTGGCACTGGAAGTCTTCGAGGTTGCAGTTGAAGCAGGGGGGGCATCCATCGGGCCGGTCGCCGTAGATGGAGAAGTAGCTGGGCGAGAGTTCAGCGCTTGAGTAGTTGCTATGATACTTGTAGGCGCTTGTCGCTGTCCATGATAGGGTTAAAGCCGCCAACAGAGGTGGCAGATTGGTTAGTTGGCGCATCGTGTCTGCACGCGAGCTGGCGCCTGGAGCGACTTGCTGAGCTGTGAAGCTGGGTTACCGCGGCATCCAAGAAGGCGCACTGAGTTGCTTCTGGAGAGATCGTGTAAGTGGCGAGTGTATTACGCTGTGGGCTTGAGTCGATGATGATCGGAGCTCTGGTGTTGCAGGGAAATGCTTCGCCTCGTGCCGCGCTGCTGGTTTGCGGGGAGGCTGGACTCATGCCTGTCATCGTCGGCAACGGAGATTATTGGCCCGAGGCGCAATCACATGCGAGCTGGTCACGTGGCATCAAATGGAGTGTATACTACGGGTTTGCTCTCTTTACAGTTGTGTTGTCTACAGTAATGGTGTAGAACTGTGTACGGATAGGAAGAACATCTAAACTGGACATTGCCCTGATGTCATGGTCGAATTTCCACCAACAATAGCCTGCTCTTCGAGTGCCAGTAAAAGTTAGCGCCAGGGAGCACTGACCAGACTCAGCATCTCCAAGCCCAATGGAGGACCAAAGGAACGAGGTTGCAATGGAGTAAGAAAGCCTTTCCGTTAGCTGATCCATCATTACACAGGCGATGTGTTGCTTGAAGTGCAGGCGGCCACTCGCGGCTCCACGCCAAACACCTGGTCAGTTGAGCAGAGTCAACGTTGCTGGCAAGTATGCTAGATCGTAGATCCCGGAATTTGCTCGGATTACACATCGTTCGTTGCGTCGATTCGAGCGTTGTGGTGGTTTTAGGATAGGGGATAGGCTGACGGTTTCGGGTACTCGCATGGCAGGCGGAAACGTGAAGCGGTTCGACGAATAATTACGCCGAATCCTGCTGGAATTTTCCAACTGTAACATGGTACAATCCAAGCAGAAAAGAGGAGAGGGGCAGAATCGGCGATATATGTAGACCTCGGGCCAATTGAAAGAAGGGTGAGTGCTCAATAGAACTCACGGAGCCGACCACAAACTTAGAGTAGCAGATATCGACATCGGGCACGGAGCCCTGCCGGCCTTGCTCAAGGGCAAGCTCCATGAAGAAACCACAGTCACACCTATAGCAGTGACACAAGCACGCGTAAAACATGTGACTGTGTCCGTGTGTTTTAAGGGTTCTGATGCGAACCGTTCAAGGGCGGTGGACGAGGGCCTTATGGCATTCAGACGCAAGACGCAAACACTCGTTTAGGCTGCGAATACAGACTCACACTATCAATGAATAAACGGAGCATGCCCGACTGTGGAGAAGATAGGGGATACGAGTAGTGATAAAGGAATACCAACACGCTCGAATGCTCGGCGTGCCGCAGGTAAGCAGCACAGCAAGAAAGAGATTTCGCTGCCACGCTTTGAGTCTTATGCGAGGCTTGGTGGGCCTCATCGAATGGGGTGCCACGAAACGTGACGTACCCAAAGGCGTTTTATGCCGTTATGGTTATTGAAATAGACGCACGACCCCGGGTGCAATATATCAGTGTGGGTGCGCCCCAAGAGGACGTGTACTCGGGGCGCGCCAGTGTTAAAAGTCCAACTTGTGGGAGGCGTCTCCGGTTCTCGAGGACGTTGCCCTGTCAGCTCATTGACGTTGTCCAACATTTCTTGTGGGCACATCTGCGGGATGTCCGTAAACAGGACGCTCTCCGAGCAATATTGCATCCGATATGAGGCTCCATAACGGAAGGTGGATATCGGATTCTTCGGTGCAGTGACGAAAGCACCAGCCGCCGTTGGCCGGCGAAATCCGCGTCCCAGCCACCTCGTCCCTGGAGCGAACTATTTTCGTCCGACTGTGCTACAAGAAACCAGGGACCAGCTGCATGTCGCAATCCGCACTTCCTCACCTCACACCACGACAATTGATTTTCCCCGCTTTTGCTGCGTTGCGACATTGGAAAGGGCCGGGACGAGGAGTTTGCCTGGCTAGCTCAACGGCTGCGTGCCGCCAACACGACCGAGGAGGCTGGACATCTGACTGCAATGCTTTGCATCTCAACGGTTGTCGTCCCTTACAGCGGTGGTGCATGCTACCGTTGCCCTGACTGCCTTGGTTCTCTCCAAGCATCGGATCCAAGTAGCTGCAGGATCAATGTGCCATGTGGAGCGCCGCCTGCTCAGGGTAGCATGAGCTCGCCGTGCCATGGCTGTGTTAACCCAAAATGCTCTTAGGAATGGTAGCCTCAATGTATACAGAAGACACGCTATCGGTGGGATTCAGGATTGAGGCCGGTAGTTTGCTGCTTGCGGCACATGCTGCTGCCTGTCACGGGGATGGCCCTTGGTATAAAAGCGGTGTGGATGCCTTCGTCATTCGACCATCAGGGTTCGCTAAGTCTCCGACATAAACTCTATTTCATCCGTCTTCCACATAAATCCCCCATCAGTTCTACATCACCCCTCACCAGTTCTTACCGACTTCCTTCAATCCTATCTGCATTTACCTCCAACCGCTCCCACAGTCTGCACTTACAGTCCACACCTCTACTATACAACCATGCGTGCATCATTCAAATCCTTCCTCACGCTCACCTTGGCATCTCTCTCCCTCGCAGCACCAGTCCTCGAGGAACGTCTCGAAAAACGCCTCGAGGAGCGTGCTGTCGAGCAAGGCTGGGAAATCCACGACCTCGAAGCCTTCCAATCCAGCGCCAACTCCGCTTACTGGGGCTACATCGAATTCACCCTCGTCGACAAGAGTCCCGGCCTCGAGCTCAGTATCTCCTGCAGCCAAGTCTTCAAGCCGGGCGAGTCCATCACCGGCGGACCCTACGCTTGCAACCCGTCCGCCGAGGCCCAGTCCGTCCGCTTCGAGTACTACCCGGACCGCTTCAAGGTGCAGCGGAGCTACCAGGACTGCGAGGTTGGTGGCTTCGTGACGAGTTTCGGCGAGGCGGCTCTTGCGACTGAGACGGAGGTCCAGCCGGATTGGAACGTGGCGTGGCAGGATCTTGTGGAGGTGCCGGCGACGTCGATCATCTCGTATGCATGCCTCTGATCTGTTGGTGTGTTTGGTGAACTATTAGCTGACTCGGAATTAGCACCGCATTCCCACCGGGCTTCAAGCCGGATTGTCAGGCATGAGGGACTTGAACAGGACTGTGACGATTACGACTGGTATTTAAGCGGCATTTTCATAATCGACATTTCTATCGGCGAAGCCACTCTCTGTAACTGAAGCACCCATGTTGATGTCCGGCTGCTGAATCGGAAATTGTAACCGTATGGTACGGTCTAGGCTAATAGCTAATCGCTAAAAAAAAATCGTCCTGTAATTCATCTAGCTGGCACTGACTCAATGCACTTTGCCGTCTGCCCACCTATTCCTGTCGTGTGTATCATCTTGAAGCAATCTCACTTGTAGTGGTCCACTTTTTGTTCACGTCTGACTCGGTGCGTCCCTATCTTCAAACCGCCGACCCACACATCCGCCCGCTTTCCCAGTCATCGCCCATAAACGCCTGCTCACAGTCCCACGAGATCATCAGCACGCCTCTTCTACACAACTCCACCTCCTCAAACCCCTCTCAGTCCAGTTTAGCCCGTCGCCGCCTCAGCGCAACCCTAGCATCAGCCGCCCGCACTAGAAAACTCCATTGCCGGCCAATAGCCAAATATTATCCTCACTGCTTGCCCGATAGCGAAACTGGCGAAGACAGTCCACCATCTTGAAACAGGTCTTACGCCCTCGGATGCCGGCCTGGTTGGCGCGGCTATCGGGTGCGGAGGTGAGGCGTATCCGAGCGTGGTGTTGGCTGTTGGGACTTCTGTAGTGTTCTCAGGTGGAGCCTGTGCGGCTCTAGGGACGACGTGTGGTGCTGATGGGGTTGTTGTTGTTGTGGTGTCCGTTACGATCTCACCGCCGACTGCGATTGGGGCGGCGGTGATGGCTGCGGTGACATCGTCATTGAGACCGGCGAGGCACTCTCTTATGTTGTCGTAGATCGTCTCGTCAACGGCGGCGTCGTCTAAGTGTGCAGGATGGTCGTTGTAGAATTCGTCGATGCCCTGGCGCACAGAGTGATAGATGTCGCAAGGGATGTACTCCATATGCCACCGGCGGGAACGCCCATCAAGCTCGAAATCTGTCCATTGGGATGTCGCGTTGGCGAGCGAGAAGTGGTTTGAGACGGTAGCGGGGCACTCGGCGCCCCATCCGCTATCAGTACGCTCCTCTTGCGCGCACTGTTGGAAATCGCCGTTCCACTCTCTGACGTATCGCGTCGCCTTCAGATAGTAAAAGCAGCCTGGCGGGCCGACGGAGGCGGGAATCTGAACGATGAAGTCGGTGGACGAGATAGGCGTGTTGTCTGCGAGGAGACCTGGGAGCAGCCATAAGCAAAATGTACTTCTGATGCTCTGGAGACGTACATATGGGTCCGGATATCTGTCCATCGTCTGTTGTGGCAGAAAGGAATATGCGCATGAAGTCAAACTCCGCATCCAACGACTCGTCGCCGAGGTGCAGGTCGTTTCCTATATGGATTCCGATAGACGTGCCAGCGTTCACGGAGTTGGGCACAGTGATGTTCAGAAGGGCTTTGGCGGCCGGTGCGAGTATTGCAAGCGCAAGGAAACAGACAAGGTGATACATCTTGAAGGTTGCGGCTAGACGCTATCAAAGCCTGTCGAGGCAAAAACAGAGGTTGTGGGTGGCATGAATAAGACAGAATTGCGTGGCTACCGCATACAGCACGACGTCACCTCCGAATGTTGTCGGGTGAAGGCAAGTTTATCCATTGTGGGGGGAAATTCACTTGGAGTCTTCACGAACATAGAAAGCACACCAATGCACCAATTCACTCGTAGTGCAGTTGTCTCTGCGTGTAAGGCAGAATTCGAAAGCTACATCTAGGAGCTCAGAACAATGGCTTAGATAAGAATTTGCTATTCGGGTCATGGATATTGAGATTGAAGAACCCTACCGGATCGTCAGGAGGGACATACTTGTAAAGTCTCTAAGTGTTTTGCTATTGAGCTTTCGTAAGTCTCGAGAACTTGCGGTATGCTGGTGAATCCTGCTGACGCATCGGACCGGCGACTGCAAGGGTCCAATGCCTAGGTGTTGCAACCACGTTAGTGATAAAAGCACTGATATCAACTCAGATGGTCGATGAGTTGAGTTTAGAGTTGGAACTCCGTGCGAATAGCCATTTTCCGGGTCCTAAGTTGATAGGTGAGCGGTTTTATGTTGGCAGTTTCGAAAGCTAGCCGCGTTCCGGCGCATACTTGCGGCGCCGTACCGTTTGCACTTTCGAACAGTTGCGTTACTGAGGAAGTGGTGCGACTCGCGTTGATGTCTGAGCATGAAAACAGCTCCATGTGGGCTCGCATTCTGTTACGGTAAAGCGGAGTACTGGGCCAAAGTCCTGGTGCTTCAGAGCAGCTCGGAGAGCTCGTCTCGGTAACCTTGATTGATAGTTATACGGGCTCGAGAAAAGTTCTGAACAGATGATAAAGATGAGTGGGAACGAGTCATGACCAGTCATATGTGAGACGAACGAAGGGATGAATCGTCTATGTTTTTTCATCCATTGCGAAGCGACACAGTAAGACGACGCCCCTGATTGATAGCAAAGTTACCCAGGTACGTTGTAATGCAGGCAGAGGGTGTGGTGCTGAGCGTGGAAGATTGGCAGAAGACGATGGAGGAAGTTGGCGGTCGGGGATGGAAAATCTCAAGCCGCCGTGATGCGTCAGCGACCATCATGTCACGCCGGCAGGATTGTGAGCAGAAGACAGCCAAGCGCCGACTGAGCAGTCCATGTCGCCAGCCATCTTGCGCGAGGTGTCGCATTCATGAGGCCAACAAGTCGGAGGTGCTTTGAAGAATGAACGATGGGGCCTCATCATCTGCAGCGATCGGATCGCCAACCAGCGCCTATGCCTCACCCACGAGCCGTACGATAGGAGTAGCGAGGGGAGAGGGTGAGGATGAAGGTGCTGCGGAGCTCAGAAGGACGATGAAGGAGCGCGAGAGGAGGGCAAAGAACAAACGTGTAGATTTCCTCGACGACCTCCTCCGCACGCTGGACATCCTAGCCTATGCTGAGCTCTCGGCCGCCTACTACATGGAGTAAGAGCTCCATACCAGCGCAAAATGTTAGCTACGACGGTCTAACATCATTCGGCATATTAGCTGCTCCTTCCTCCGCTTCGCACTGCGCGCCTCGACCCAGTTCTTCTACCTCACCCCCAAACCACCGCTTTTCCCCGAAGCCCCAAAGCACCGCCCGTACATCGGCGCCATTGTCGGCAGCAACGTGCTGTGCCTGCTGCTGCACCTCTTCCTCGCTGCTCCCGCGGCCGGCGAGGCGACACGAGGATACCTACATGGAGGGCTAATGATCGACTTCATTGGGCAAGAAGGCCCAACATCGAAGCTCCACCTCGCCGTATTAGACGTTATGATCTTGTTGCTGCAGCTCATAGCACTGGCGACACACCTCAAGCGACAGGATCTGAAACGCACCCTCCCCACGCCCTCGCCAACGGCTCCGCAAGACCCCCACACAGCCGAACCGTTGCCGCAACCTCCCACAGACAGCCAGGCCACCGGCCCGTCACCCCCCGCAGTGGCGCAAGACCACGACGCCGAGGAGCAGGGGATTTTGCGACGCTCGTCAACGGCATCAAGCATGCAGGACCAGCCCAACGAGACGGACGACTTGCTCGCGGAGTCACCGCACGACGGGCCTGCGGCCTCACCAGTCCGAAACACCAATCTCCTGGACGCATATGCGGCTGGCCAGGCGAGCATCGCAAACCTGTACGTCTGGGACACAGTGCGGGATCAGTTTCGCGCGTGGCAGGGGCGCCCGGCTACGGCGCCTGCGACGGGCACGGTGGCGAGCGCGACGGGGTTCGCGGCGCAGCTTGCGGGGAGGAGGTTTGGGATTCGGATTCCGCTGGGTGGGGGGAGGTGATACAGCACGAGTCGATGGCCGAGTGTTGCCACAGTCACTTGGGCATGAAGATAGAGGATAGGCAGCACGCAGAAAGAGAGTCAGGCTTGCCGTTACCGGGGCATAAGCGTTCACGGTTGCATGCGCTTGCCAACGAGTCGTGAGGCGGTAGAGCATCCTGGTCGCATTGCGCTCTCAGAGGTAACGGGTTGCGCAAAGAGGCGACTGCAGGCACGCTTGCGCTTTCGCGAGCCGCTCTCGCATGTCATGCCCGAGGGGCGTTTACTCGCATTGATTGCTGGGGAAGACCTAATTTACCGCGCACAAGGTCGGTATCCATGGATTTGCAGTACCTAGATACCTAGGGTAGAGGTCGTCATCGGAGCGCTCGCATCGGAGCGGGGCGGAGATGGGTCTGGCACCTATTTTAAGGGTCTCAAGCATCTTGACAAATATCGGCGACTCGTACTGGCGTGGAAGGGATTTGCAGCGGGGAGGGAGGCGACGTGCGGCTCGGATCGGCGCGACAGTGCAGAAGGATTCGCAGCGCTGGGTCGGAAATCAAATCACCATTTGGTAAGTTATTGCAGTGGGAGGGGAGGAGCGGGGATGAGAGGTGCGTTTGGCCGTTTGGGCTGCTGTGGTACGGCACAGGGCGACAGTGGCGCGGTTAGAGCAGTCCCCGGTCGATCGTGTACGAGATTATGCACGATGCACGATGCCCGATGCCCGATGCCCGATGCCTGACGTTTCGTTGACGAGCCCCCGCTGTGTCACGGTGCTCGTCACGTCGGGCTGTTTCGCGTGCTGCAAGTGTGAGGGGGGACGAAGGAGGCGCGACGCGAGTCCAGATCATACGACGGCCGCAGAAGCGGCCGCATAAACGAACAAGCATTCCCCAGCGGGGCCAGCGGATCGCTGCCAGGGGCATGTCGCCGTGGCGCTGGGACTGGCTCCTCCGTTCGAACCATCCGGCGGCAAGTCAGTCGACAGCCCCTCCCTCGCTTACCGCCGATCCCGACTATCCTCCAGCCACCAGGCGCACAAGAGTTTCGCTCCGGCGTTTCGAGCTGCTCGCCGGCGTCTTGGAGCAACCCTTTCTCTGCATTCGACTGGCTGGTGAAGAGGATGGCGGGACCGGAGCGACACAAGGCGCACATCTGCCGCCGTCAAAATCTGTGATTATGCCGGTTCGCGATCGTGCAGCCTCTGGGACGGAACTGGGTGATCCCGTGCGGAAAGTAATCCCCCGTGAAACAGGATGGTGTTGAGCCTGCCGCAAGGGAGAGAAAAGGCACGGCCGTTGATAGGGCCGTTGTGGAATTGTGAGCCAGCCGTTGCGGATTACTCGTCGGCCGTTATGGCATTGGGCCGTTGAGCCTTTCCTATCGCCTTACCTGTCGACAATCGTGGAGAGTGCGTGGAAATGAAATTCCTCCAGGATGTGACGCTGGGGCAGCTATGGCCAGGCTTTTCTTAGAGAGGCAAAATCGACGATCGCTGCTGCTGGTCATTCGCCTCGTCTTGCAGGAATACTTTGTGACATCGAACCGAGCACCCGAGTTCCGGCTGGTATCAGTTCCGGTGCCTGCAATCCTCCTTGGCTGTTTCGCGCAGCATAAACCCCGTCGTGTTTATCTTCAAGTTATTTGTAAGGCTGTTGGGCGGCAGAGGCCGAGAGGCGAGAGCCCGCCTGCTGTCTGTCGGGTCAGCTTGGCGTTCTGATCGGCATGCCGATCGTTGTTGTTCTCCGAAGATCCTTTGAGGAAATTCAAATTATGTTCAACACAGCAGTTTTGCTATTTGGATGCCTAAGGCTTGCGGGTAACATTTGCAATGTGCTACAGTACAGAGCTGTACGGAAGCGTAAAGTGTAGTTACATGCCTAGAAAACTCAACGGAAACGATATCGTGTGGGACGATCACGTGATCCAAGGATCGTGAAGACCGGACGAAATTGAAAGCAAAAAAATGCGCCCTTGGGTATAATGCGAGAAGCAGATGAGCCATAGAAGTAGAGGGAAACGAGTGTGGTATCTCTGTGAGGCTTCCAAGATGTGCCGTCATTCGCCGTGAATAAATCCGATGCTGTGGCAGGAAGAAGAGGCCAAACGATGCCACAGCAGAAAGTGAGGAAACAGCAAAACTGGGTATATGAATCGAAAGGTGGTATTGACAATTTCCGTGCAACAGACATCCAAGATGCCTTGACAGTGTATTGCTCGTAAGAGTTCGAGTGAAAACGCCTCCTATCGCCACGACGCCTGCATGTCCAAATTGAGCATTCAAAGTTCTTTAAGATGCTTGAGAGAGTGTGTTGAAGTAGGCGAATCTAGCCTCGACGTCCATCTCGTCCAGGTTGAGGAGGCCAGCTCCTGTTGTATCTGTCCGTGTGAAACGTATCGTGTGGACCTGACCTGTGAGGTGGAGATATAGTGGACAGTGGACTCTGCACAAGCGAACTTGGTGGTGTAGGGACGACGCCTAACGAGGAAAATGCCGGTGGAGCGTTCGGGGCACTGGCTGGAATGCTGGGAGGGGGTAGAGAGTATGTGCTTGTTCTTCGACGAACATTTCTCTCCATCTCAGGAGCGGATCTCTCGGACATCCCCGAGTAACCACCTCTGGAACTGCCACCGCTGGTGGGCGAAGTTACGCTGCCGGAAGGCACCGAAGGCCGTCTGAGCCGTGGCGATTGCGGGCGTGGCCAGTATCGCTCGCTTCCAGGTAGATTGCTCACGATCTGCGCGAAAAAGTCCCTTTCACGCTTGTAAAACTCGCTGTCCTCGTTGGCTTCCCGTGCCTGCTGTTCTAGCCTGCCAATCGTCGTATTAGCCTCTCGCTCCTTCTCCTTCCGCCGTTGTCGAAAACGTGCCGAAGCTCCAGCGTTGCGCTTTCGCTTCTCATCGGCTTGCTTTGAGGCTGCCGATACATCGACTGGGATCTGGACCGAGCCCTGACCCGTCTCCAGAGTGAGGATCTGGTAGCTGGTTTGACCAGTCGATGAAATGGGGACTCCGAACGGTCTCTCAGCCTCAACCGGTACGGAGGGCATTGAAATACTAGTGGGAATTGTACCGATACTGGAAGAGGCTGGGACGTACTGGGAGGAGGTAGATCCCGAGACCCCGCCAAACATTGTGGCGGGCGAAGTCTGAACCATTTGGCTCTGACTATATGTGGAATAGGTAGTGCTAGGGCTGCCGCTTTCGGACGGTGCCAAACCTCCGCTTGCTCGCCTAGAGCCTCCAGGAATGAGCGGTGGGGTCGGCGCAGGAAAGTTATAGCCACTGCGTGGAGGTGCTGGAGGAGTCGGTAATGGCGGCGCGCCCAAAGAGCCAGGCTCCATCGTATAGGGACGGCTCGCTGGAGAGAAGGGAGACCGATAGGCGTCGATGGACCCAGTAGCGGGTCGCATAAGTCCTAGACTTTGTACGCGTTGCACTCCCACAGACCTTGGCGTCAAAATACGCCTTGCTGCCCCTCCTCTTCTGGGAGAAAGAGGCTCCTGGGTAAAACCTGGTTCGGGATAGCCAGAGCTTGTCCTCCTTGTTGCAGGCGGTGGCTCCATGGGCGGTGGAGACTCCATCTGAGCAGCGCTTCGCCTTAGATTGCGCGGCTCAGCAGGTTCCGGCTGTTGAGGGTTGAGGATGTTTTGAACCTGTAGGGATCTAGTGCTTCTTTGCTCGGGAGGCGTAACCATAGGATCCAAGCTTTCCCGTAATGGAGGGAGGTTTGCTGCGCGACTGGCATGCGATTCGAATCTACCATCTTTCCTTATCCCAAGTATGGGCGTCTGGGGGTCCATAGGCGACAACAGATGTGCTGGCGCAGTCGGCTGACCGTATGTGTTGTCGCTCGTGGAGCTTGCCGGAGGACCTGATGCAGGGCCATGGTGCTGTGACATCAAGCGCTCTGCCTCGTGGCTCTTGTAGCCTCGATGTCCCGACCATGGGCGTTTCCTTGAAGCGTCTTCGACTCCGCGGGTCTTGGAGTAATCCCCGGAGCGCGGTCTGTACTCTGACTCGCGAACGTCGAAGGGGAATCGAGGACTCTTAGAGAACGGACGCCCAAAAGGACTGTGGCAGCCGCGAGCGGGAATGTCTAAGGTAGCCACGATGATTGATTGTTGCGGAACGTCTTAGACGTCCCGAGGCGGACGAGCAGCGGGTATGAATACTTAGCAGAGCCGAACCCACGGGCCGGGAGATCGAAGGTTAACAATTAGATCAAGAATGGCGGAAGTAGCTCCATTCCCGAGGTCGCTGATCGTAAAGGATGGACAGTGCAGGGGCGAAGGGTTTTTGGAATTGAACTGATGGGAGATTCAGAGTACAGTCCCGCGGCTTTGCGGACGCAGCGGCGAGGAACGTATCGCCCTGTGACCTCTGAACGTCAAGCGGTGATATAACTGGCAGTTGCGGTGTGAAATGACCGCACACCAACCGTAAAATGAAGCTCGACGCCGACCCATGTGCTGGGAGCCACCACGATCGAGGAAAGGGCAAAAGAGCTTGTACATCATACTTACCTTGTCGATAAGTAGCAGGCTAGCTAACGCAAGTCCAGTATGGGGGGCGGCCCACGCCTGGCGGTTGACGACCATGCGCGGAAGCCGGGAAGGTTACCCTACCTTTGCAGCGTCTGCTATCCACGTCAGATCTTGCATGGTGCAACGCGCGCGAATGTCAGACTAGCTGCACGCGGAATGGCAAAGGCCAGAGTCTGCCCTACGCTCGCCCGAAACGAACTAAGGCTAACGGTGAGTGTGGCTGGCGTTGCTGTCGCCGTTGAGCAGGCCTCAAGACTCGCGAGAGCCGTGGGCGGCGACTGGATGGTTTCGAGCAACGGCAGAGACGCCCGAGCTGTGAGTGGACCGTGTTTCTAGTATTGACCAAGTGCGGCGGATTGGACCGGGAGTGGCAGCGAATGGTGCGAGGAGGAAGGCATGGCAGAGGCGCGTGGTAATTGTCCTCGACTCTGGCAGGGAACCAAGCCACGCTTGCAAGGGGACCCGTTGCCTGTTTGAGCAGCGGCTTGGCGGTGTCCATCGAAACGGATTGATTAGCACCGTTAGCAGCCTGACTTGCTGGCGAAAGTCATCATTTCGAAGAGCACTAATATTCTCCGGGCAGAGAAGGGACGGCAGGACCAGGCGTCCTAACGGCTCGCCTAGCTTTCCTCGCTGCCTTCGCCATGCATCCCCCACTCTGGTCGATGTAACTCGCCCCCCCTAAGTGAACATGGCAAGCCGCACATCGCGCAAAAATCCCGAAGGCAGAGTGTTGCTGGAGGCGACTCTGTCAATCGACAGTACTTCTGCAAGGCCGAGCCGAACCCCCAGCACGCATAAGACAGCGGCCGCGGCGGGGTTGCGGGTCCAGCTCGAGACTTGGGCATCAGGATCACCGACAAGGGGCTTGTCTTGGCTTCGAGAAGCATGTCAGCGCTACAGAGGAGCCGAGCTAACTTACCATCTCCTGCTAAACGCTTGCGGCAGCCCAGCAGGGACTCCTGTTGTGTCAATAGTTGTGCTTTGCTGGATTGAGTCTATCGAACGTTCCTCACTAATCCTCAGTAATCTCGGCGCCAGTCAGTCCGGGGGCAGTACGTCTTGCGTCTAGCACTGCAGGTACTTCGTGCGCCTTAGCGAGCGGCACAGATACGATGGCGTGCAGCTTGTCGCTTCGGTGCAGATGGTCTGATTGCTGCGCAGCAGTCACGATGGCGAAATGACCCTAGCAGAACGTTGGGCAGCAGCAATCTGAACGCTCTGCGGTCGAATGTCGACTCTGTTCCGTTCGCCGCTGTGCCTGACCCAGCTTTATTACTCGCGCGCCACGCGTAAATATGGAAGCCGGGAACCTACGCAGCGATATCGCTGGTGTCTGCGTCTTCGCAAATGCCGTTCCTCAGCTGCCTTACCGGTTCGAGAAAAGGGCCACAACAAGAGGCAAGGCGCGACTGTTGAGCAGAGCTGTTGAAGGGCCGCGCAGAGACCGCCTTGCACGCAGTACTCCGTACCGAACTCGCTCCTGGCCAAAAGAAATTGCGCTCACCTCATGTCCTGGCACCCCATGATACTCTGTGTTCTGCAACGATTTGTGGTCCACGTACCTACCAGTAATCGTTCTGCGCGAGTGACGTGAACACCGGTTGCTAGCAGCTTCACCAACCTGCAGTCGGACGTGTTGCTTGTCGACTTGTTGTCGGGGGTCTGCGTTGCGTTTGGCTAGCGATGCCATTGGCCTTCACCTTGTATCCCTGCCGCATTGCATCTTAAATCATGTGCCGGGCTGACTGTTAGGATGTGCATCTGACAGAACCACCAGCATTTTCCCTTCCACCAGCGGGCGACTAGTTTTCTGATTGGCCGCAGCCGGCATTTAGTTTGCTCATTTTCCAACTTTTTTGTAGACTTGGAGCTGGGCATGCCCTGCGCTCCAGCCTCGACCAGCGACTGCAGGATCGGGTTCCGTCGATTTCCGCCTATCTCAGATGCCTTGGCGGCTGCATTGCTCCAATGCCAACGTGGCCGCGCAATGTGGCTGCACTAGAGAGCGTCTTCGAAGGCCTTAACCATGTGGCTTCATCTTGAAGCGCACGGCAGTCCGGATGATGTTGCGGTGCAAGCGAGCACGGGCATGCTTCGGCGCTTCCCGTCCCACCCCTTGACAGCTGTGAGTTCGGTAAGGTACTGCAGTGCAGTGATGCACTTGTCCACGACGAAGCTTGATGGCGATTTATTGCTCAATTAGCCTTCCGGGCGACAGTGCCGCGCAGAGAAAACCATGGGACGAATGACCATCGCTTGAGGGTAACAACAGTAAATTATCGGTAATGTTCATTCGACCCTGGATCCATGGCAGCCCGCCCCGTCAATGGTGATACGGGAGATTGACCTAAGAGAATTGATCATTCCACTCGGCAACGAACTAGAAGATGATCATATTCACTACCCATATTACCGGTTTCAATCCCTTCGTCATGTTGGTTCGAGTTCGTCATCTGATCAAGCTGCGCATCCGCCGCTGTCATTATGCTACCTGATCTCGAATCTTGGTTAGAAGCTGATAACGCGCCCCTGGGGTGCTCCGAATGCCTACGCGCATGGCGCTCTTCGTTGTCATTCATAGGCACCTTGAGAAAATAACTGCATAAACGCTGCTTCGGACGAGCAGGTAATTTATCGTTAATTTCCGCCAGTGTGGTTCACACGACTTGCTCCTTGCCAAGCATCAGCAGCGGAGGCGCTCACGAGTCGAACCGATCGCATCTCCGGGGTATCCATGCAACCGGTAAAGCCATGTTGACAGGCTGCGTGTATCGGTACGTTGCCAGCATTGGGTTGCCTCCGTTTTAATTGCGAAGGCGATTCCTTGTAGCAAGGAGAGAATTCATTTCGCAAGCGATAGCGGCCGGATTGCGCATGCCCGTTGGCAACCGGCGCACGCAGTAGGAGTGCGAATCGCTGCGAATCCCGCCCTTGATGCTGAAGAATGGTCCGTCTGGACATCTGAACAGAGTGTCGGAATCCGATCCGATCAAACCACCCCAAGCCCCGTCGCATCTAAAATTGGGACTGGGCATTTGGAGTTTCGCGCCGTTCGACTGGGACTGCAGATCGCAAGCTGATCGACGGCGGGCCGTGATTTGACGTCGCCGCTTGAACCATCCCAGCCGACTGCTCAGATCTTTAGGTGTTTGTTACGTGAGTCGTGTACTGCAGTTTTTTGGAGGTGCTCAGACACATTCTCCTGCGGTTCCAGCGCCAACCAACCGCACAATCTGCAGGATTTTGCCTCCAGGCTCGCCGTGCATGTCATCCCGACGTGCATGCATGATCCTTCTCCGCACGGAATACAGTGAGATCAGCAACGAGCGTTAACAAAGTAAAGGTATTCGCCCCTTTGCCACATTGCGCCATTGCAAGAAGACGAACGTTGGACTGCATTGCAGCATTTGTGCTCCTCTCGATGTCTCTTCTTGATCTCATTACCGGCTCGAAACAAACACAGGCTTGTTGCCGAGGCTGCATGGGTAGGCAGCTCGTGGCGTGAGCGTGGCGGTCGCATGAAACGACGATGGCGATCATGCATCAAAAGCGGGACGCACACGCTGCGACCGTTGCGCTCCAAAAGTCGGCCACTCCAAGAGTCAGCAAGCGGACCCGGTGAGGCGCAAAGTCTTTACGCTTTGGGTGGATACTGCAAGCGTAGCCGCGCTTGGAGCGCCTCGATAAACCAGCGAAATGAGTCGAGGCGTCACTGGGCGTCCTTCGAATATTGAGCCCGCTTCTCGAAAGCCGCGAGGACACTTCGGACGCGTCTCGAAGTCCCAGCCTGATGTCGGGTGGAACGTCGACCATGCGCCGAAGCTGAAGAAGCACGGCAAGGCTGATGCAGTGCGGAAGCTGATCCCGTGATCCTAGTTCAGCCTTGGGCAGCCACAATAATCGGTGAGGAGATCGATGCACAACTCATAACACTAAAAGTCGGATTGGCCTGCTTTGTTTGATGGTGTTTGTGTTGACATAGCCTAGAGGGGACGTTACAAATATGATATGGAATTCAAGATGATGAGCGAGGGATGATCGGCCTGCATGGAAGATGCGAATGATACCATTCCCGGAGCAAAGAATTGCTGATCAAGGCCGCTGTCTGGACTGACACTGCTAGGAAGCGTGTCCTGTGTGGAGCCGTGTCCAACGCAGCCAGCCGAAGCAATGGCTTGCAATATGCACTCATGTGTTAGTCAATCGGAGAGGCTCAACGACATTGCCAAGCGACTCTCATCTTAAGAAAGACCCACCACACTGATCCTAAAAGGAGCCGAGTTGAAGCCGAAGACCAAGACGCCGAAGACCAAGACACGGCAGACATGCGTTGATGTTGACCTCGACGTTGAGCCGTAGCGGCTCGGGAAATGTGATTGACCTGCTCTCAACGGCGAGATTCAAAATGGCTCGAAAGGGACGCCACCAACAGCAACAGAACGCGCGCGGTTAGAAACGTAATTGGAGGCGCATCATGAGCATCATCGAGGCGTTGCGAGTGAGATTAGAAGATGCCGGGGTTAATCGGACATGGTCCTAGGACAGCCCATGTTCTCAGAACGGGAAGATTGGAGCATGTTGAAAAATAGAAGTGCAAACGCTCAGATGCTCGCGCAGCATGCAGTACCTCAGAATCTTAACAGGGCAGCCTCGAGGAACACTCTGTCCGTAACGTAACTACTCATAGGGAAACATCTACATTTACTATCCACCGCCAACAGCAGCAACCAGGATCTAAGGCCGACAACAGCAACGGCTCAGACTCTTTCACCTTGATACTTGAAGCGGTACAGCTTGCGACCCTTGATGCCAACACTGCACTTGAACAAACTGCCCTGCAACTTCGCGCTCTCCGGATACTTGTCCGGTTCCTCCTCCTCCGCAGATGTGATGAAGAGATCCTCACCTACGAACGCCGGGCAGGATATTGATCTTGTTGGCAGCTTGATCTCCGCAACCAACTTGCCTTCAGGGCTTATTCTAAGCACTTTCCCAGAGCCGAAGACAGCGGTCCACATGTACCCCTCTTCATCGATGCAATGGCCATCCGGGGCGGAGCCTTCGTCCTCTATGTGGAAGAAGACGCGTTTGTTGGAGATATTGCCGGTGGCCGTATCGTAGTCGTACGCAAAGATGTTTGCTGTCGGGCCGTCGGCGAAGTAAAAGGTCTTGTCGTCGGGGCTCCATGTTATACCATTTGGTATAGAGACACCCTCGAGCATTCGATGTAAGGTCATGTCCGGGTCAAGCCGGAACAGCACGCCTTCGTCTATCGGATCCGTAACGAGCGGGTCGTTCATCGTACTGACCCAGAATCGGCCTTGGCTGTCCACTGCACCGTCGTTGCCGCGCATTCTATCGCAGTCAGATCCGCTCTGAGAACTCATACAGACTACGCCTACCTGTTCTCCTTGCCACCATGCTTGCCATCGTTTATCTCCTCCTCCGTCCAGTACTTCTTGATGTATCTGTACTCCGCAGTCTTGCGGTTGAGGATGCCGTAACCGTGTTTTCCCCCGAACACGAACTCATCATCATTACCCTCTATGTCAGCAGTGCAGCTGATCAGACATCAGCTCGGGCCGGTTATGACATTCGCTATATATGCGGCGCCCACCCAATTGATATGTCCAGATCAGCAAGCACCTTGTGCGACGAAGGGCCCTCATTGAGATCGATCGTATGGACTTTGGACTTGACGATGTCTACGAAGCGCAGCGTGTTGGCCTTCTCCTCCCAAAATGGAGCTTCTCCAAGGCCACAATCGATCTTGAGGTATGGCTGGTGCGGTAAACATTAGCGAAAGTGATACCTTTAGAGACTTGTGACACCATTTAACCTGGACCCTACCTTGGAAACTGTGTATGTCTTGATGTCGCTCATGTTTGCTGTCACAAATTGCCCACTTATGCCTGCTGATGTAGGGTTCAGAGTTACACGAAAACACTACGTTCACAGATGTCGGCAGGTCACTGGAGGTGCGATGATCTCATACATGGGTAATTGTGCCTTCCCATCCTGAGGCACCTTCCAAACAGCCCGTTCCCAATGTTGTACGCGGCATTTCGTTGAGGAGCTCAGCGGTGATTTCACGCCACGCCGTGTCAGTCAGTTATTGTTTGAATCCTTGAACTCTGAGAAAGTTGGAGTGCTCGAGTGAGCTAAAGATATTACGATCACGTGCAAGCATGCTGTCAACCACTCATGCTCTTTGCTCGTACCAGATTAACATCACTGCGATACAACATACAGCATCTCAGACCGGACCTCCAACGTCTGAGGTGGTACATATAGCTGTATGTCACCGTAGAGGATAGACCCGTTTTCATCTAGTCGATTTCAGGCTCTTTCATTCCCGGATCTCTCGGCTTTGGGGGCATGCACCACAAGAAACTGATCGATACCCAGGAGTTCGCGGTCAATGTCCAGCCTACAAGAGAAGATCCACATAGAGGACACAGCAGAGGTGCTGAGCGATTACGGCGGAGCAACACCAGTAAATGGTTGCTGTCGGAATGACATTGGCGAATATGCTACAGGCTTCCGTACTGCCCTTCAACGGCCTAGATCAGTATACTACCGCACCTCCTAGGTCCATCGATGATTTGACAGCGGGTGAAATGCAGCGAGAACTCTCTGAAAACCTTACAGTTCCGCGTGAAGAATAACGATACTAGCCGCAAAAGTCCTAACGATATCAAGGAACAGAAAAGTTCACGCCAGACATCTTTTCAGCGAGCCACATCTGACTTCAAGCCATACTACCGCTTTCCTTCTTGAAGCCGCCGCCCCTTCAACATGTTGCCCTGCAGCGACCTACCCATGTGCTGCTTGATTTCCGAGTTGCACCCAATCGAGAAGACCAGATGCTGGGGCTGGTTACGGCTTTCCTACGTCGTTATCATATCAACCACTCCTCACGTGTTTGTTTGCCTTAGACGACACATTTGGGTTCAACGCTCGGGCGAACACTAAGGCTCCTATGTCCGGTGGGATTGTGGATTTACAATGGAGGCGTCGTGAGTTTTGAGCGGCTACAGCAAGAACCCAAGGTCCTTTGGAAAATGATACTAACAACGGCTCGTGCAATCTTTGACCATAAACTCCAATACTCCACATAACGCCCCGTAGAACACCGAAGCGCTTTCAAACTCGCTAGAACATCACCAACCCCACCAGCTCTTAATCTTATCTCCCATCGACTCTTGACCGTGCTCTTTCCTTTTCAACCTGTTCTGCCTCTGCTCTTCTAACGCGCTCTCAATCTGCCTCCCAAACTGCCTGCCAGCATTCAGCTCCGCCTGGATAGCCCTCAACTCAAGCTCTCTGTCCTCTCTCGACAAGCTCTCCAGCCTCTTCTCAAAATTCTTTCTAGTCTCCTCCGGCACATTCCCAAACACATCCTGATTCCTTCCCGGCGTCGCTGGCGTCGGCAAGTTCTTCGCCGCGGCCACACTACTCGTCTGCGTTTCCCCCAAACTCGACCCCGAACCCCCCGCCATCGCCTGTCTCATGCTCTCGCCCGACAGCACCGGCTTAAACTCCGGCACCGGCAGCCCCGCCTTCTTCGCCTCCTCAATCTGCCGCTCCTGCTCCAGCATCCGCTGATATAGCCGATCAGCATGCATCTGAATCCTCTCATCATCCTCCTCGCTCCTGCCGGCATCGCTCAAATATCCGAGTGCCTTGAGGAAGCGCCCCTGCACCGAGTAGCACCGCTCCAGCGCGTTGTTCTCCGCCTTGCACATTGTCATGCGGGATTTCCAGCTTCCGGACCTGAAGCACTCGTTGTAGGCTAGCTGCTCGAGCGCGCAGTTCTCGAGGGCTGCCCGCCCGATGCCCGCTTTGCGCTCGTTGTAGGAGTCGATGATGTCGGTTAGTTTTTCTTGGTCGGACTTTCCGGCGGACTCGACTTCGGACTGCGGGCGGTAGCCTTTCCAGAGGTGGGCGTAGCGGCCATCTTGATAGAGGGATTGGGGTGGCACGGCGGGAGTGGATGGGTCCGCGGAGAGGGAGGTAGTGGATGGGGTAGATTTGGGCTGGACGGTGGGGAGATGTGGCCGTTCGATGGGTGCGGAGGTCGGAGGTGAGGGCCGCGGTGAGGCGCTCTGGGGGCGTTGGGCGGGTGCCTCTTTTTCGAGGAAGTCTCGGAGGGCGGGATCGAGCTTTTGGAGGGGGTCGGAGGAGTTGTCTGAGGGGGAGGAGGGCGAGGAACCCCAGAACCAGCCCATCTCGAATGCAGATACTCCAATGTCCTCTGCTGAAGCTCTGCGCCTGATATGGATACAGACTGTTCGGTAAATCGTTCTCCCAAGAGTTTTCAGTTGATTTGTCCCGATGATGAAACTCTGATGGAGCTTGCAACACCTCCGCCTTGCTCCGAGCGAGCTCCGCTGCTTATCGATATTCACATCGCGTCCTCAGCTGCACGACGCGCCTAAACTCCCTCCCTCCCCACACCCACCTCGCAAACCACCACAATGGCGCCCCCCGACAGAGAAGCCCGCCGCCAGATACGCCAGCGTGGCGCCGGCAACCGCAACCTCGCAAACGCAAACTTCGGCTTCACATTCGGCGCGCCGCCCGCCGCGGCCGCACCGCTACAACCGCGAGCTTCTGCGCGTCGCACGCCCGCCAGACTCACGCAACAGCCTTCATCTCGCCGGACACCGAAGACATTGGCGCCGAGAGCGTCGGCGAGGAAGACGCCGGTGAGGTCGGAGAAGATGGGTAACACGCCCGGTAAAATGAAAACCCCTAGCCGGCTCGAGACGTACTTTCCGCAGGGTACCGCGAGGAGGCCGGGTAGGAGTAGTAGCGCGTCGGCGGTGGCGCTGGGGAGTGCTGTGCAGGGGAGTAGCGGGAAGTTACGCGCTATCAGGACACCTGGGCGACCTGGACAACAGACGGTTGCGACGCCGAGTGTGACGGGGAAAAGGAAGAGGGGAGGGGCGCTGGATGCGGTTGTGGAGGCGGAGCAAGAGCTGGATGAGCTTGGCGGAGGGAGTGTGGAGGGGAGAACACCCGTGAGGAGGAGGACTGGTGAGGGGGTCGCGAGGGCAAGCACAGCAAGGCGGAGAGCGGTTCAAGTGAGGAATGATGAGCGGGAAGACCTGGATGAGCTTGGCGGAGGAGATGAGGAGCATATGCTGTCAAGTGGGAAGAGGGGGACGGAGATGCGTGCTGGATCCGTCTTGTTACGGCCACTACTTCCGGCACAGGGCGAACCAGACGAGTTGGAGAGCCCTCTTATTAGTTCCAGGCGGCTGGCACGCGAGCCACAGGCAGCCCATAACAATGCGGACGGAGAACCTGCAGTGCAGAATGGGCCAGGCGTCAGCGAAGTCATTGACACAACCAACGTTCCGAGGAAGCGAGGCAGAGGAAGGCCACGCAAAGCCGTATTTGCGGTAGAAGACGTAGAAAGACTTGAGGCGGAACCAGATGCTGTTTCTAATGGAGTAGTGGAAGATTCATCGCGGATTTCCGCTAAAACACCCGCCCGCCGTACTTTCGGGAGCGAAGAGCGTCAAGAAGCCGATGCCGAAAGCGCGGACGAGCTTACACCCGCCGAGTCGAGACGCAAGGGAAGGGCTGTCCGGGGAGCACCAAAGAGTCAGACCCCAGCATCAATGGATGTCGCTGATGCACAAAGCTCGGATGACCTATCACCAGATAAACCGGTATTCAGCGCCGGCCGGCGGAAGTCGCTTCATGAACGTCAGTCGCAGCATGAGTCTGGTCGAGAGGGTGAGAGCGACGATGAGCTGTCCCCTGAGAAGTCAGAGCAAACTGCCGCACAACGACAAACTACGAGCAGACCAAGTCGAGACCGAGCACAGCAGCAGAGAAGCAGACTCGAATATTCCCCGGTCGAGAAAGACAGACTCAAAGCTACTAAGAAGACATCCACCGAAAAGTCACTTTTTGTAGGCGCCAAACCATCATCAGACGACATCGAATCAGAAACACCACCTGCTCCCTCCCAGTCCAGACACGACTCCATCCCTCCAAGACCAGCTAACACGGCGTCCACTATCACCAAACCCCTCAAACGCCGCGCAGACGCCATCTCTAAACCATCGCAACCCGCAAAACGGCGGAGAAGCTCGGCCGCCGCCACCGTCCCGATAACAGCTTACCGCCTCTCCAAGCCCTCCACCCTCGAACCCTCCGTGAACTACCCCGCGCCCCGCATCCCAATCCTCAACGCCATCGACGTCCTCGCGCAAGTAACCTCCGAAATCTCCGCCCGCCTCTCCGACAACCTCGCGCTCCAATCCCAGCGCCAGCCCTCCTCCGACGCGCGCGCCCGCGCTCTCCTCCGCCGCAAACGGGCCACTGTGCGCACATTCTCGGCGCACCTGTCCGACGCGCTGTTCGGGCTTACCGAAGCCCTGGATGCGGGAGCCGCGCTGCAGAGCCGGCTGCGGGCGGCGCGGAAAGAGAAAGTGGCGCTGAGGGAGGAGTTGCTGGATGTGCGGAGGCGGCGCCAGGAGGTGCTGGTCCGCATGGATCAGGTGAGGGCGGGGCACGCCCGGGCCCAGAAGGAGGAGGGGGAGAGGGAGGCGCTGAGTGAGGGGTTATTTGATATTGAGGTGGCAGTGCAGAGGGGGAGGGAGAGTGCTGGGGCGAAGGGCCGGGGAGAAGAGGGACCGGAGGAGGGTGTCGAGGGGGTGGTTCGGGGGTTGGTGGAGGCTGGGATTAGCGCGAAAGGAGAAGGAGGGATGCTGGTGAGGGTGAGGGCTGTTAATGCGTTTTTGGAACGGGCGGCTGCGGTGCTTGAGGGGAGAGCATGAGGGATTCGCAAGTTGTTACGACTGGCGTCACGTACCACTCAAGATGGGCACAGTGTTACGGCGAGGGCAAACGCTACTGTCACGGTACTAAGATGATCAACATACCGATCTGATTGAGACTTCTGCCGCTCGACTAAAAGTCTTCCTTTCGGCGGAGCCCGCGCGACTTAGACTCTGTCGCTGACATCAACAGATCTGATGCCGACTAAATACAGTCACGGGTAGAGCAAAAACTGTTGGTTTGTACCTTACAAAATAGTTATGGATTGCATCACAGCACCCTCGGACCACTGCTCGAACGAGCATATCAAGCCGTCAACAAAGCCCACTCTTTCGTAGGTCTCTGACTCGCTTCTATATGGTCTAAGCAAGAGACCACATGCTCTTGAATACCCAACTCGGACCAAAAGTACCGCGTAAGGTACCTCGGAATGACTCTCGCGATTGTCGTCTGTTACGTCCGGCCAGAGGTCACCAGAAGCACAATCGCCGTTCCGCGTGGATGCGCTGACCACTTCAAGTCCCGTCCCCCATTCTGATTGGACAGGATTTTTCTCGCGAACTGTCACTGCGGCTACATAGCCGTATACTCGGATATAGCCGCTCGCTGCAGGGCCATAACGGTTAGGCCCTGCAGGGACACAGTCGACGCCGGTGATCTTGATACATGAGCGTTCGACATCACTCATCCATCGGTTCCACTCCACCTTCCCTGTGACCGACGACCATGCCCACGATGGAGCATAGTAGGCCGTGTGCCTCCGGCTAACGTTACAGCGTCCTCGACTGTCCGTTTTGGAAACTTGCCAAAGAAGCTCTCTTTCCATGTCTTCTTTCCACAACCCGCAGAAGTATGTGTTAAGAGTGGTACTTTGCATCGCAGCAGACCGGACAAAGCCACGAGACGGTCCGAGTCCACAGTCAAGTCGCGTTCATTGTACTCGAAACTATTTCGTGCCAGCCGAAAACGAACTTCATGCATCCTTTGGCATCTTTCCCGACAGGAGTCATGTACGCGTTCCAGCCTTCGAGTTTGTCTTTTTCGAGAGGCGGAAAGGTACATTCACAACACTGCTCTGTCATGCGTTCCCATGACATTTCGTCAGCCGAGTAAACCAATAGCCGTCGGGAGAGAAGGTACTTCTGGAAGATCCATCCCCGAGTACTCAATTTGCTTCGCAAATGCAGGTCCATGAGGTCGCTATGCGCGCCGACATTATTACCTTGCGGTACGCAAAGTGGCCTTACGTACATGTTACTCCTCGTTCCGTCAGGCACTGGGTATGGGACTTTCGCGCGGTATCTGTGATACGCCCGTTTCTCGGATGCAACAAAGCAGCCTCCGCGGGCGTTGACAGCCCCATCCGCGACGACCGTGACCCAAGCGTTGCTATACACGTCTTTCATCCTGCTAGCCTCGATAGCCCAGCCATCAGGACAGTCCTAGACTATACACAGCGAATCGATCCAGAGATACTCGATACCGAGCCTTCTCGTCATTCTTACAGCGTCTTGAAATGTAGCAGGGAGTTGTATGAATGGAATCTTTTTGTTCCTCTTCCGAAGATTTTCTTGCGTAATCTGCAACGGAATCTCACCGCCCCAACACCAGCTGAGCGCGACATACTTCGCTCGGTTTCTTGCGGGTTGTCGTACGAGAGGTACAGGAATGGCTCTTCGTCGTCAGAACTGACGTGAATGACCCTCGTCGGCAGTCGTGCCAAGTCTGCCGTCTGGCAGAGAGGATGCAATGTATCGCAGTCCTCCACCCACGATTTGGCCAGGTTCATGCACTCTTCAGAAGGGGAATCTGTAGATACCTCCCGGCCGAGGCTGATGTTGTCCCATACGCTTCTCTCGCCTGCATTTGTTAGCTTACGGGCTCTCAAATACGGACTTGCCCTGACTATGACAGAAATTACCGGACTCATAGATCGCCGGAATTCCGACTTACTCCGATATCACCGAAATTTATTGAATCCACCACGTTCCTAAAGTTCTTTACTCTGGCCATCAACCTCTAAGTATGGCTTGAACACGCTTACGGGGCAGTATCTTATAGGAGTTGCTTCTATTCATGATCTTCTAAAACTGACTGAAGACCTATCTGTTTTTGGAGCCCGGCGATTGCTCTCAACCAGGTGGACGGCCCGTAAAACGTAGCGTATGGAATGCCAAAATAGAGGAGGTACGAAACGGACAAGTTTTACCAAGATGGGTGTAGAACTTCATGCTTCGATCTTCCGTTTTCAGGTTTTCCCCAAACGCGCACACTCGAAGAGGCTCACTAGGACTTCCTCCTTCAGCGGAAACCTCCTCAACACCCTCAGGCGATCCCAGGTAGTCAATGACTCCATTGTAGAGCAAGGTACAAGCAGGACACCCGTTTCAAATAGCGAAGCGCAGCTTGTTGATATGGACGTGCAACTCTCCTCCGCGGAGATCTAAGCAGACCGTACAGACCGGCATGCTTAGCGGAGTCTAGAATGTGTCGGCAATAAAGGATTAACTTCAATACACAATGGATGTTTATGACGAACAATGGGATAAAATTACTTCCCCGACTTATAGAGAGGACAGATCCTAAGTTCAGGGCCATAACGTGTTAGCCTCAGCTGCCAAACTGCAGCCCATGGGCCATAGGCGGCTTAGTAAGCTCACTTTAGAGCTTTCTCAGATAGGGTATTCGTACAACGTCCAGGTTCTAAAGATCAACTTGTTGACAACTGCCTTTGGGAAACTTACGCTCAGGATTCTGCTAATGTCTTACTATGAGCCGCTCTGCAGATATCGTAACGAGCGGTTGATAGGCTGCTTCAGTAGCACATACGAGGCAGTGAAGAACGCCGGAACGAGTTTAACCTCGAACTCGAGGCCTATCTGCTCAGCTTCTTCTCCCTAATAAACCACGCCGCAACAGCCGCGCCCGCCACAAGCCCTATCTGCAGTCCAAACGCCGCTCTCGTACTCCTCGCGTAGCAGTCCCTCACGATACTCCTGACTTCCGGTTCTAATGTCTTGATATATTCCAGACTCTGTCTCACCCTCTCCGCGATCTTCGCTGCGTCCTTTCCGCTGCTCAGCTCGCTCTTCAGATGCGCCCGCAAGGCCTGGTTGGCGACAGTCGCGGAGAGCGACACACCTGCCACGGAGCCGAGAGAGCGGAAGAGGTAGGAGCAGGCGGTTGCGACGGCTTGGTCTTCGTGGGAGGCGTTGGCGACTGTGACAGTTAGCTGAGCGTCCTTTACGCAGCGTAACAGGATGAAATCAACTTACTAAGGGCAATGAGAGACGTCGTAACTCCGATGCCATTCGAGAACCCAGAGATCATCATGCCAAAACACAAACCCCACGTTGAGTTAGTGACCAAACCTGCAAAGAGAAGAATGACACCTAGGCCAAGCACCAGAGTGCTGTAGCAGCCCACGGTCAGCCAGTAATATCGGCCGGTCTTCTGCATATAGAAGCCGCCGAACAAAGATCCGGATACACCGGCAAGGATGCCAGGAATCAGTCGCACTCCGGCTTGCGTGGCGGTGTGTCCGTCCACGGCCTGGAAGTACAGCGGTATGAAGAACAGCGCGGCAAGCCAGCCGCTGAACGAGAAGAAGTTACAGAGGTAGCACGCGAACAGTGAACGCTCAAAGATAATGTGACCGGGCGCGAAGGGCTCCGCGGCGACCTTCATCTCCACGCCAACAAACAGCAGAAAGAGCGGCAAAGAAACACATAGCGCGGTGATGGTGACCTTATCCGACCACGCAACATTGCTGCCGCGATCAAGACCTAGCAAAAGCGCAAACACAGCGCATATCAGTATAGCAGCACCCAGAAAGTCAATCCGCCTCAGCTTTTCTTTCCAGTGCGCCTGATCCTGCTTCGGCACGTTCAAGATGAAATATACGGCGGTGAAAGCAATGAGGCAGAGCGGTGCCTGAGCCATAAAAGCCCATCTCCACCCCACTGAGTCGGCCAAGATCCCACCCAAGGGCGCTCCAGCACCCGCGCCAGCCGCGTAGATGATGTTCACATAGCCCTGCCACTTGCCGCGTTCTCTTAATGGAACAGTGTCGGACATGAGAATAGACACGACGGTCGTCATGCCGCCGCCCCCTATACCCGCAAACGCTCTTGCCGCAACAAGCTGGTTCATGTTCTGCGCGAGACCGCAGCCTAGGCAGCCGAGCCCAAAGACCACATACGCGAACAGCAGACACGACTTGCGCGTGAAAATATCCGACAGCTTCCCATACAGCGGCTGGAAGCTGGTAAGCGTCAGGAAATACGCCGTCGCTATCCACGACGTGTTGTTCAGCGCGTTCAAGTCTGTGCCGATCTTGCCGTAGCTCGATACGATGATGGTTTGGTCGGCGGCGGAGAGGAAGATCCCGATTGCGACGGCGGGGAGGATGTATTTCATCCGCTTCTTGACTTCGGGCTGCCCTTCATACTGCCGCTGGCGCCCTTCGCTCGTGTTTGTGGTCTGGCGCTCGAGGTCGTCGCCGTCGCCGCTGCCGTCCTCGCTATCGTCCGAGAATGTAGCACCTGCATCTGGGCCCTCAGGCGCAATGCCGGCGGAAGAATCGATGGGTTGCGGTAGGGATCCATTGCTATGGCTTCTGGGCTTAGGGAGGAGGGGAGAGGTTTCGGTGAGCTGCCCGGTGGGCTGCCCGTCTGGGGAAGACATGACTATATGCCCTTTGATGGAGGATTGCGAGTGCTCGAGCCGGCGGGTCGGAGAGAGTGGAATGAGACGGACAAGGTCAATGTTCCAGGTATCATCGGTCGTTGTATCTCTTAAACTCGACCATCGCCCTCCTCTTACTCAGCACAACCTGTAGCACGAGAAATGTTTCCGTTGGTTTACGGAGTGCTCGGTCAGCATTATCGGAGATAAGGCCATTTCGACTGCCTGACTCCTCAGGCACTGAGCCTTGCAAAAGAGCCTGCCAACACACTTCAGTCCCATACACTCTCGTTACGAGTCAGCTAATCCGAAGACTTGAGATGCACTGAAGAATGATCCTGTTAGAGTCGGCGGTTTCGAGGACAGCTTCCTCTTCTCCGGTCTCGGGCCGGCCGTTCATGCCCACGCCCTTCGGATGACAATGCTCACCACATCACAAGCTGACTGAATATAAGTATCTTGATACAATCGTAGAAGTCATTTCACTACATAGACAGATTAGTGTCCTTTAGCTTTTCACACCCTATACCCAGCCAATATGGTCCAGATAGAGCCTTTCGCCGTTGAGCATGTGAGTACAGTTCCATCTCCTGCCTCTCATCAGTCTCCGATCCTCATCCACGGCTAAGCGATTGCCGGTGTCCTCGCTCTTCATGTGTATAAATTTTAAGTCTCTCTTGGCTTTACAGTCGTCTTGCTTGATCATCGATGTTCAGCGTCAAAAGAAACATTCTATTGGACGATGCCTAAGCTCCACCAGAAAGAGGCGCCTCCTCGACCATAGCCGCTTGCTTGGTACCCGTCTCAAAACCAACATCTCTCGTGTCATGCGCGGACACTGACCAAGATACAGTGGATGGATGAACACGAAACGAAATGTAAATACAACATCGCCGAGACCTGCTGCGCGTCCATCTCACTAGACCAACTGCATGAGCTCTCCGAGGACAAATCAGCCAGTGCAGTTCTGCCGCTATCCAAGAAGCTCGACTACGGCGTCATCCGGGGATCTGAGGCGTTAAAGAACAACTTATCTCGCCTTTACTCTTCTAGAGTGGGAACCCCACTACCGGCAGATAACATTTTGATCACGAATGGAGCTATTGCCGCGAATCATCTTGTGTTCTACTCCCTCGTCGGCCCCGGAGACCATGTGATATGTCACTATCCAACCTACCAGCAGCTCTATGAGATCCCCAAGTCCCTTGGAGCTGAGGTTGATCTCTGGCACGCCAGGCCGGAAAAGGACTGGACGCTGGATATCGAAGAGTTGAAAGCGATGATAAAGCCCAACACTAAGCTGATCGTCATTAAGTACGCCGGCCCACAGCCATCTACCCAAATCCTCATGACTGACCCCTTGCAGCAACCCCAACAACCCCACCGGCGCCCTCCTCAAGAAATCATTCCTCCAAGATCTCGTCGACGAAGCCTCAGAAAAGTCAATCACTATCCTCTCCGACGAAGTCTATCGCCCAGTCTTCCACTCCATAACCCCCATGTCCCCGGACTTCCCGCCCTCGATCCTCTCTCTCGGCTACCCGCACACCATCGCCACCGGCTCACTCAGCAAAGCCTACTCGCTGGCCGGGATCCGCATTGGCTGGCTCGCCTCGCGCTCCCGCGACATCGTAGAGAAGTGCGCGGCTGCTAGGCACTACACGACCATCTCCGTGAGTCAGTTGGACGACGCTGTGGCAAGTTTTGCGCTAAGCCCGGGAACGGTGCATGGGCTGCTGGGCCGCAACATCGGGCTCGCGAGGACGAATGTCACGCTGCTTGAGCGGTGGGTAACGAAGCATGATGAGGTATGTGAGTGGGTTAAGCCGGTGGCGGGCACGACGGCTTTTGTGCGGTTTCATAGGGAGGGGAGAGAGGTGGATGCGGAATCGTTGTGCAAGAGGCTGTTAGAGGAGACGGGGGTGTTGTTTGTGCCTGGAAGCTGCTTTGGGAAGGAGTTTAGGGGGTATGCGCGCATTGGGTATGTGTGTGAGACGGAGGTGCTCAAGGAGGGGCTGGAGAAGGTGAGGGGGTGGTTGAGGAAGGAGTTTGATGACATGCCGCTGTTGGAGGGGTTGAAGATGTCCGGTTAGACGCGCGGTTCGCGCTGTACATGGGTTGATAGTCATGGAAGATGACTGTAGTTGTGATGGTATAGCTCAAAGGGAAGTGGCTATATTTTGCGTGATATTGCTGGAGAGTCATTGTGCACTGAGCACTCAAGACCGACAAGGCCCCATACTCATTCCAGTATCGGCCGCCACATCTTCCTCCCCAGAAAGCCCTTCACGCCTTCATCAGCAAAGACATCTTTACTCAACCGCCCAGTAACTACGCTCCTCTCATGCTCAGCTCCCCGCACGAAGAACGTGCCAAAGCCACCAAGCTCCAGCTCTCCATGCTTACTATCATCCCCTCCGGGACCTCCACGACCCCCATTCAACAAGCCCCGGACCCATCTCCCTTTCTCAGGTCCCGAACTCGCTCGCACAAATCCCGAATTGACCTGATCGAGCCGCAGAAACCACTGCCGCTGGTGGATAGAGCCGATGCTGTTCGTAGCCCCCGGGTAAGCATTGTTTGTTCGTGTCGTTTGGTCCTCGTCTTCAACTTCTGATGCGTTGGCTGCTTCGATTGCTTGGCGGTCGTCGTCTCCGCCGTGAAAGGCTGAAGGTGTTGCAGAAGCTGTCCGCGAACGCGGAAGCGACGGCGATACAGTTCCGTTTCCGGGGTCTTCGTCAGTATCGCTGTCGGTAGCAGGGTACATTGGTCGCGATGGAATGAATGTGCTCTTTCGTCGGCGCTTGCGGGGCGTTGCTTGTGCTTTGGTGGTATTGTTCGCGGGTGGAAGGCGGAGCGATATGGTATAACTCCGTGGTAGCCGGGTGCCGTGGAGGCGAAGCCGGATGTGAGTCTGGATCCATTAGAGAAATAGCTTACTCGCGAGCGGTGAGCTAGCGTACGGCTTGGAATGCTTCGAAAAGCTTTTGGTTCTCGGATTTGCTTCTTTGGTGGGCTGAAGGGGATGGACCTGGCGCATGATCCGAGCCGCCCGACAACTCGTCGTCGGTTTGCACGGCTCTGGCCTGCCGTTGGAGGATGGAGTATTCGCCGGTGTCCCAGATGAGCAGGGAGCCGGTGGCATGGGAGGCAGACTCGATCAAGTTGTTCTGGAGCCGATAGCGGTTAGCGACTGTCTTAATGACGTTACAGCTGATTGAAAGCGCGCGTTGATATTCCCACAGTGACCCTGAAAGCGGAGCGTCTGTGGCTCTATGGTACCTGGAATTGATAATGAGTTCTGGCAACGCTCCACATGGAGCGGTAAATACAGAGGTAATTACGTCGTGAATGAAGCAAACGGTAGTGATTTGAAAGTCAATCTTGTTTTGTCTCCATGCAAGAGTGGGACTGTGGAAGATCGGCTTCTGGATATAGCGATGAAATTCGTAAGAGTGAATGCGTACCCACAAATTGTGCACTCTCGTCTCAATGGCCAATCTACCCTGCCTCTTGGAATTAGGATTACCGGGCAAGCCATACGGTATTGCGAATGAGATAGTGCTTGTCTCAGAAAATTGCAGGCGGAGGTCATCTGCCTCTGTCAGCCGACAGTATCAGTATCTAGATAAGAAGATTCGCTATACAATGGACTCCAGCAACTGGATGATCATGTTGGTGTATCACAAAATGGCGCCCGCGCGGGTGTTGATTCCGCTGATGGAGCTTCACAAAATCGTCGATGGATAGCCTCGGGGCGCCTTTCTCTCCAGACCTCGATACATTACTGAGATGCTCGGAGAAGTAGGCAAGATGATCACGTATTCTGGCCTCGCCCGCTTCGATCGCTGCGAGACTGGGCGCGGCGACCGGAGGTGGTCCATCCTTTGGATTCTCTTGCTCTTTCTGTAGAGGCTTCGTTTTCCTACTGTGCGTTGGGGGTGATATTTCCCTGGTAAGACTCGCAGGCTTTTCCATACTGTCGACTGCCAAGGAGATGGTTCATGGTTTGGGTGGTGGCAGAATGTGACACCAATCCGCTGGCGCACCAAGAGGTCTTCCGTCTTCACACGGGGTTTTCTTCCACTTCACAACAAACTTTCAGTCCATTATCTGTTCTACGGTTGCAGATTATAAGTATCACTATGTGCTGCAGTATGCGTATCGGCGCTGCACGCTTTGTGACCACGTCTCGTTTACATGTTCCTGAAGCCTTCCACCGGCCTCAAATGGCAAAACCAGCCCAGACGTATCCCACAGCCACATAAAATTACAGCCAGAAGAGTACCTGATAGTACTGCTCTGATAGATCGTCATCGACCGCTCATACTCTCCATTAAAATTTTACTTCATCTGATCCTATCTTGCACGCCGAAAATCCTGCGCTCTGATTAGCCCAAATGGTCTCTACCACTGGTTCTATTAACCATCGATATTCTACCCACCGCTCAGACACGTGCTTCACTCGTAAACAAATCGAGTTCACCGTGCTCTTCTCTTCTGCATCTTCCTCGTCCTCACACCTTGCACCTCCTTCACAAGCTCAGAGAAATTCAAGATGCTCGAGATGCAGTCCCTCAAAATCACCTCCCGCGCCGGCGCCAGACCAAAGTCGACTCGTGCCCCTTGGGATTTCCAAAGCGCAAATCTCTTCGTATTTACAACGCTTGCGATCGGATTTTATGTGCAGTCGTCCAGTTGGATCTATCGGGAACATGAAGCGGTTTGCGCAAATATCAAGAACCTCAACGGCACGCTGGCTACGTATACGGCGATCGAACACAATGATACCATCGTCGATCAGAAAGTGCTGCGACAGATCACCGACCTCACGTCAACCGTGACCTTCTCCGAGGTTAGCAGCCCAGTCCAATGTCTCACCGTGGTCGCTGACGTTCCCAGGCCGTCAAACCCTCCAACGTCTGGCTCGCTTGCATGCTCGCCAACACCGTCTCCGGCTTCATCCTCAGCCTGATCTTCATCGCCACCGCCGCCTTGACGCTCCTACCATCGATCCCTGCTGCACCATCCGCCTGCTACAGCGCCGTCGTCACGCTCTGGCTGATCCCCGGCTTCTTCTACCTCTTGGACCCGCTCCTGCAGCTGTGGACGTACAAGTACGCCGATATTATCGAGGCGCAGAGTCTGTGCCGCATAATCGCGTATTGCTATCTCGCTGCGGTGTCCTGGTGTCTCTTTTGGCAGTCGATCCCGTGGCGGCCGGCCAAAGTAACCTGCTGGAAGGAGGTGACTGAAGAGCAGGTGGCGAATGGGGTGAGGCGGAATGTCACAAGGGCCAAGGAGTATTACGTGACGGAGCACTATGAGATCAAGTTCGAGCCGGTTACGGAGGGGAGGAGGCGGTGGCCTTGTGGATTTGATGCTGTGTAGGGGTTGGCTTGATGGCTTGACTGGTATGGCTTGGAGAGTCGTGTGTGATTTGTTCTTCGTCTGGCTTAAAGAGGTTCGGAGTTGTCTGCTGTATGTAAAATCAAGGGTATTCGAGGAAAGGGAACCCCCTGTAGTTCATCTCGTCCTAGCTCAGTTCTAAAGGTATGAAGTACTCTTAATGAGCAAATACTATGCTGCATATGCTCAGTAAGCCGAATTAACGGTGACATGATATTGGAATGTGGAGTCCTTCGGTAACACGAAGCTGGACTTCCAATGGCGCTGAAGTGAACTTTGGTACGGTGTCAGGTAATCCTTAGATACCCTGAAAGGTCGTCTATGCCTTACTTCTTCTGGATCCAGTCGTTTCCGAGTTATTTGCTGTACGCAGAACTAACCGCTTTCACCTGGCTTGGTCCTGGAATGGTGAAGTCCTTCACTGAGCAAACACGGTGTCGGATACACCTATGCAGCCGAATCAACGGTGCTACAAGTTTGCAACGTGGAAGTCTTTGGCAACATGGAGCCGGATTTCCCATGGCACTTAAGAAGGGTTTAAAACGGTGTCAAGTAGTTCTTAGGGGAGTACTACCATCGTAGAACTACACAGAGGAGCTTAAGTGCAAATGCATCATCCACGCGCGAACAAGATAATTGGAAACGTACAACGGATAACCGGAGAAACGGGACTGAGATGCGGAGTGACTGAGAGCGGAGATTAAACTAGATGGCATCGTTTCTTCCCACAAATGTCAAGTCCATACAGGATGCTTCGCGGACAGCTATGTCGAGAGCTGCAGCCGCGTTGTATGAAGGCACAAATATGAATTATACGATCTATAGTACCTAGCTGTATTGGAGATGAGGTGCTCAAACGCGATTGTGCATCAAAGATACCTCGTGTAGGTGGTCCTTAGGAGATTGAGGCTGCTGTATGATTCCAGATCCAGTTCAATCGAGACTCTAAGTCATATAGTCTACTACAAGAAAAGGTACAACTTACTCGTACAGTGCGTTCGAGGTCTCAAAATGGTCTTCGACGTTCTGAGCGAGACCAGTTGGCTGACGCGTGACCTGCCGGCTGGCTCGTGCCCCATGGCCAAGGGGGTGGTGAAAGACCTAATGACGGGTCCGTGAATGCAATCTCCGTGCAGAGACTGGCCACGTATCATTTCACCGGCCCCCCAAGCTCATTTCCCATCAGATGCCGGCATGCTGCAAACGGTGCAAACGCTGAAAACGCTCGCTTGTCTTTTAGCGCTCTCTGGAGTGGATATCAGAGGACTCGAAATTCCAAGCTTCCAAAAAATATACTTGTTCGTACCGCCCAATCCCCACCCTAACATGAGCTTTCCACTAACAGCATTGACAGACCTTGTTGGGATCACCGTGATCAAGACGACGGTCGATCAATCAGAACACCCTGCATTGCACAGCGCGGCGGTGGGCTGGTTTGAATCTCCTTCGGGGGCTTCACTGGCGCAATTTTTGCTGGTCCGCTATGGCTTTTCATTGACTGCTTCGCCTTGCGCGAGGTGTTGAAGAAGAGACTCGGTTACTTCGTCTGCTTCTTGAGATAGACATGCTTCTAGATCAATATTCAATGAGACAAGCAGCCAACTCGGCGTGATGAACAAGTCTTCCACGCGCCCATAGGACTTCCAACAACTGCAAATCCAACGACGGCTTTTTGACCGCCGCGATCTGACAACGCAAGATAAAGAAGAGAAACTGATTACGGCCTTCAGACTCCAAACACACCCTACCAGAGTGTTCCGCTTCAGGTGCTTCTTCTGATAAATCATGCTGTTGTTCAATACAAAGTGACAGCCAGCCTGCTCTGCACGATATTGGAAGCTTCCGCGCGTCCACAAGACCTCAAACCCACCGACGACTTCTTGTCTGACAACGCAAGATACCTGAGAAGAGAACTGGTTTAAGACGTCAAAGCTAATAGTATCCCACCAGAAATTTCATGGCCCTTTGGCCTGCAGCCTGCCTGTCCCCATCTGCACCTACAAGTGTTCCGAACGCGTTCACTGACGCGGCGTGTACAACATGCATCCGCCCCTACCTGCTATGAAGATCCTAGCTGCTGACGTGAGGGCGATACGAAGGGTTGTTGTGCCACTCCTTCCGTTTTTCGATGCACCCTATGAGTGAAGGAGAACACCGTCGTAGAATCTTACATGTACCGCGTATGGGACCACTTACAGAGCTCTAGATTCTGTAGGTTGACTTCGAAGCCCAAGTCTGGAGGCATACAATTGAATTTCAGATGCTGCCACATGTTTCATGATCATCGTAGCCTTACTGCCTGAAACGCGAGACGGCTGGCAGAATCAGGCGGTGCGTGTCTCCGCTGTTGATTGAATCCCGAATGACAACAAATCCGGCCGTGAACCTCCTGAGCGTCCTAAACCAAGACAGGCATCTCCACCGTCCACTTCACTTCAGTCATGTCGACTTGACCTTGTAAAACTTGTGAGTAATCCTTTGACCCCCATCGCGTGTACTGAGTTGACAGTAACCGACAGCCATGTCTATTAGTCGAACCAGCAGTGGTGGTGTCCGTTCCCTCCGCGCTATGTTCGAGAGCTCGAAGACGTCCACTTCTGACAGCCAAAGCTTAACTCCTGGCGACAACAGGACAAACGAGATTGATACACCTCGCTCTGCTCCCAAAGTTCGTGCAAGCTTTGTGCCTGTCGAGTCGAACACCCCAGTCAGATCGGATTCAGCAGCTGCAAAGGACAATATCAACGGCCACAACAGCACAGCTGATCAGAGGCGCGAGAGCTTCAGCTTGGACGAAGCACAGGACGCAGAAGACATTGCAGACCTGCAGCGGACTGTAACAAACGAGAAGGAGAAGCGCAAGCAGAGTGCGGACGTTAGGGAGGTGGTACCGGAGCAAGCTATCGAACCGACGCCGGCGGTAACGCCAGCACACGAATTGCACGAGGACAACGCAATGGGATCGGTCGATAACCTCGGAAACAAGATGCAACACATGAACCTCAACGATGGCGAGGCTGTGTTGAATACATTGGGCTTACCTAAGGCCAATTCGAACGCGGACCTGCCGACGGAAGACACAGACGTTGGGCAGTCAGAGCAAACTGCCGAGGAGGTTGACTCTCCACCAGAATCACCTGGTGACAACCCAGACAAGCCAGTCTCAGCAGTCGAGGACACCGATGCAATCATGAAGCCAGCCGATCCTAAAGACGAGGGTTCTGTCTCGGGCGGTGCAGCACTGCCTCCACCTGCCGAGAAGCTGTCGCCACTCAAGCACAACAAGGGAGGTGCGAACCAGGCTGCAGCTCCGTTTGGAGGCGATGGGACGAGCGATGAAGATCCTCCAGCACCTACACCAGGAAAGACTCTCGGCAAGGTCAATGGGATTGCGAAGACGCCAATGCACAGTCAAGCGAAGCCCACACCTTCGAAGACACCTTCTTCGCGTCCACCCGCTATTTCCACCGCAAGGGAAGCCAGCACAAAGGCGACGCCGAAGACCGCACCAATGCCAAAGTCTCCAGCAGGCATGCCGAAGACACCAAAGACCCCAACTTCCGTCCACCAAGCCTCTCCACCAAAGTCCGCAGTCTCCAAGCCGTCGCCCAAACCATCCCCGGCGCGAACCGACACGAAGCCTCAAGCCCCCGCGCCCAAAACCAGCCGCTCGTCCCTGCGCGCCTCGACCTCCTCCACGGCAACCGCTCCCACCGCGGCATCCAAGACGCGCGCAGCCGCCAAACCCACTACCAGCACTGCTGCGACAACCCACACCTCCCCCACAACCTCCAAACCAACCCGCCCCAAATCCCCCACCCGCCCCGTGCGGCTTCCCTCCCACCTCACGGCCCCAACGGCCTCCTCAGCCGCCAAACACGACGCCACCGGTGGCGCTCCCACCCGCCCTGCGGCCTCCTCCACAACCGCGGCAGGCAGCACTCTCGGCCGGAAGCCCTCGACCCTAACGCGCGACCGGGCCGCGCCCTCCAAACCCCTCGCCGCCGCGGCGCGCAAAGAAACGACGCGCCCTTCGCTCAACGCTTCTCAATCGGCTCCCAAGCGGCCCGAATCACGCACCGGACACGCCCAGTCCACGAAGGCGCCGGACGAGGGATTCCTAGCAAGGATGATGCGGCCGACGGCCAGCTCGTCGAGCAAGGCGCACGACAAGGTCGAGGCGAAGAGTCCGCCGCGACGTGCTGCTTCTATCCGGCCGAAGCAGGGTGGAGCGGGCGCTGGTGCTGGGAGGGCGAGGGAGAGGGCTGGGGACAAGGATAAGGACAGGGAAGGGGTGAAGACGAATGGGATTGGGAAGGAGGGGGCGCCTGTGTTGCCTGATGTTGCGGGTGTGGATGCGACGGGTGGGGCGGATGATGGGGGGATGGGGGAGGTGGATGGGGTGGGTGCGAGGTAGGGATGCTCTGTGTTGAGGGCTTGAGAACACGGGGCTGGAGGAGCGGGTTTGACGTCGCGCGTGAGTTGCGAGACTGCAGCATTTTGGAAGCGTTCGTTTTTGGAGCATCGCGGGAGCGGTTTCTAGTCAGCGCTATGTGCTTCTAGCAATGGAGTGGGGAATATCAGTTCCGCTTCAATGTTTTGGGAAGTCGAATCAAGTTCCATCACATGTTTCCTGCAGTGCATTGATGCAGATTGACGCTCTTGCTCAACTTATAAACGCTAAAGTGATTGAACCTCCGGCTTTGGCAAGCGTACTGCTAGGATACGGAGTTTCTTAAAGCATATCGACTCTAGGCCGAGGAGACCCACAACCTACACAAATGCTTCTCAACTCAGCCGGCAATAAGAGACAGTATGCTAGACATGTTCAAAAGCATACGAAAGCAAAAGAAGATACGGGCGGGGAGGCTCGAACTCCCGACCTTGTCCGATTTACAGGCTGTAAAGGACACATCATAACCTGGGTGGCGATTAGTTTTGATTCCTGAGATAGGCTATGTGGGGTTGTCTTACCGCTAGACTACGCCCGCTTAATTCTCGGCTTGAAAAGCGACTAAAAATTTATAACTTTACCAAAAATGAGTCCACTATAACTTGTTACATGCATCTCCATCCGGCATATTCATCATCGTATATAATCGTTCAAGGTGTGTAGATCTCCAGAGAGTTTCCTATAAGCCACCTCATGTATTATTCATGTCTCTATCCCCTCAGAAAACAGCAAACGCACTACAATAACTAACACTACTATCTCCCACCCCTAGCACATCACTACTCCTTTCGTACCTCACGAACCGGAACCTCCCCTTCCCATCCCCTGCCTTCCCCTCACTCTCCAACACCTCCACAGCAGCCATGACCACCCCAATCGGATGCCTTCCACAGACCGTATTCCCCGTCCGCTCCAGCACCTCCAGAAACCCCGCATGCCCGCCCCGCTCCACGGCATCCATGCACAGCTGGTCCACCCGCGCAATGCTCTCATGTATAGGCGGCGACGTGGGCGCTCGCTCGTTGCTGCGTAAAGAGCGCGGGGGGCCGGAAGAGGGCATGTAGTAGGTGTATCGGAAACGCGTGCCCCAGTGGCAGAAGTCGGAGCTGATGATGAAGATGGAGGATGGGTCTGCGAGGTAGGGTGCTAAGAGGCGGCCGAAGCGCTGCTCGGTTGCGGCGGAGGTTGCGCCCACGAGGATGGGGATGAGGGCCGGGAAGGAGGCCTCGTTGCCGAATGTCCTGTTTGACATTTGTGAGTCGGGATTCCAAGGAATAAGGGAATGTATGCGGAGGCTACCTTTCGAGCATCTTGTAGATGTAGGGCAGGTGCATCTCAAGACTGTGCTCGTCTTCGTCGATGGACTGGGACATCTTGTCAAACGCTTTGGTCGCGTGCAGCTCGGCGATGGTGTCTTTATCCAGCTTCAGGTTGCCGAGGGGAGTCTCGTAAGTGTCGCATTTCGAGAGCGCGCAGCCGCTGAGATAGAAGTGGTGGGAGGGGCCTAGGAGGAAGATGCGCTTGCTGCATATGTCGTCAGCAAGGCGGAGAGCTTCAGCCGTTGGGGGGAGCGATATACGCGTTTGAGAGATCTAGAGCTTTGTATGCCCATGCTGCTGCAGGCCCAGAGTAGGAATATCCGGCATGCCTGCAAGAAAGCAATGAGCTCCAGACTGGCTCACCAGCAAACAAGGGCTCCTACGGCGCAATGATGGCTCGGGCCCCGCTTGAAGGTAGCTCGACTGGCGGTTGGGTTGCAGACTCAGAGCCGATGCATTTTGTGGATGCTGGTACTTGATCAAGCCAGTTGTCGAGCTGAGAGGAGAGGGTTGCTCTGTTTGAGGAGTACCAGGACCCGGCGTGAGTAGCTTCTCTGCTAGGCATGACAGATGATAGCTGTAGGCGGGAGGAGCAAAGAAGTTGAATGTAACTGTCAAGTAGCTCCTTACTCTGAGGGTGACATGAAGGTACCTAGCTCAAGGTGGGATGGTGGGGTTGATCCGGAGAGATTCGGTCGTAACGATGATGTCGCACCCTGTTGCTATGAAGACACCACCCCGTACATCTGCAGAAATCGTATACACAGGCTCTATCGTGCGATTGTATATACCAAATCACATCTCAAAGGGCCACTGAACCTCTCTTAGAGAGGAGAGCGCTGAAGGAGAAGGTCGTCGTTGCTTATCACGCTTTGACGCGCCGTCGCGTCTCGTTCCTCGCCTCGCCATCTCCATTTCATCATCATCGCTCTCCGAACGTTTCCCCTTACTTACACTGCACACTTCCACCAATACTGCCACTACAGCATACATACTATCCGCTTAGAGTCGCATTATATACCACAATGGCACTAAAACGCAAACGATCCAACGACGGCTTCTCGCCAATCTCAACTTCCAGCTTCCTCTCCACATCAACATACGGATCCCAAAGCCCGACACCAGCACCACGCGTCCAATCCACCGGCTCCATGATCGTCGACGGGCCGGTCCCGAGCAATTCCATCACAGCCTGGACAACCGGAGTCCGAAAACCAAACTCCTCGGATCTAAACAGCCGGACGCGCAAGCGATTCAGGGACAACCGGCCAGACGAGAGCGTTATACACGGTAAGCGCCTCGTGTCGCTATACAGCACGCCTGATCCGACACTTCTAACGCGCTGGTGTCCAGAAAACACAATAAGCAAGCTCTTCACGGCGCAACGCGAATATCCACACGCCGCGCCCGTGCTATCCCAACCGCTCGCCCCTCCCCCCACTGCCGTGCCGACGAGTCAGAAGTCTACGCTGCACGCGTTCTGGAACCTGCCACCTACGCACGCGCATACGGTATCTGCTCAATCGCATACAGCGGCGTTCGAGGAACCGCAGGGGCTGAGATGTGACGACTGCGATACGGCCCTTGCGCCTGGCGACAGTATGGATGTCGATATGGGAGGATCTGCTGGCGAATACACGTGTGCGAGCTGTGGGCGACGAGTGTGCGATACTTGTGCGGTTGTAGGGGATGAACGGAGATGCTTGCATTGTGCGATGAGTAGCTGATGGAGCCACTTGATTACACTTGGTGGGCGCTTTTTCTAAAAACCAATGGAGTCTTGGGATTATGCTGTGTTGTCCATTCGCTGTGGTTGGGTTGGTGTATTGACATATCTGTTATGGCGGGCGTCACGGTGTGGGATGGAGATCACGTATCGTTTGGGTGGAGCAAGGGCGCACGATTGACCTGTATCGAGTGCGGGCGTATCTGGTCTTGGGTAGTTGAGTACGCTGTGCATAAGCATTATTGATACCAATGGAAAGTTCTTGGCGGAATGCGACTATCTCTACGAGGCCTTTGTTGCCCGGTTTGGCTACCAACCTCGCTGTAGCTATCCGTTACTTAGATGAATGTATCCCATTTGACGGACATCATGTTTGGTGAGCTTTGGTGCCTGTACACATCCTTTTACTAACATCACCTGTCTTGAGGACGCGAACACACTTTTATCACTCCAGTGGACCTGTTTTTCGATACCTTATGCTAAAATCAACCCTATCCAGCTCTCCTGCCACCAAGTCCCAAACGATTTCTTAGACACTGGAAGAGCATAGCGCAGAAAGGAAAACCAATGTCCGTCCTCGCACAACCACGCTGCGCAGCGCTATCCAGAGAGCGATACAGAGATAAGACCAGAACAAACGCCCAGCGATGTGAACGGCGCGTTCCCATTTGTACCCAACAGCATGATGGCCATGTGACAACTCCCGCAGAAGAGAATTCGACAACAATGACAGGGGCCAAAAGGGCATTCGAGCCAGGTGCCCCCAAACGCCGCGCTCCATGCGCTGAATCAAAGCCAACCGTAAGCTGGCTCATGTTCCCAACCTAGCATGCTTTTCGTTCTCCCCAGTTGCGCCCTCTCCATGCCGTTTCCCTAACTTCGTCTTCCGTTCTTCCCAACAATCCTCTGCCTAGAGCCGAAGCCTTCTGAAAGTTCTTCCTCACTCCTTTGAGCACCCCTACGCAGTCCCTCCCTCCGTCCCCACCAATCCAGCGCCGGACGAATCTCCCAAAAGCTGATAACCATGTCTTCTTCTTCTCTCCTGACTTCAGGTCAAGTCTCTGTAGGCCGGTGTGGTACGTTCGATCACAAGTGGCTGTCGCCTTCTACTTCGGCCGTCCTGGAGGGTTCGTGTTCGACAGCTGGTTCGGCCTCGCATTCCAGCCATGCAGGCTCCTCCGCATGCCGAGGGTCTTCCGCTGGGGGGGTGGTTGGCTTTTTGTTTGCGTCATGCTGGTTATGTGGAATGTTGTGGCGGGCTTGAAGTCGCTTGCTGCAGGTAGCGTGGCAGTGGCCTCGACCGCTTTCGCCGTTGTGAGGGTGAGGGATGTGCTGTTCTCCGCTCGTTTCCGCGAACGTGGCTCTTCATCGTCAGGCTTTTGAGGAGAACTGGAGAGAAGGACGTATCGGGTAGAATCTTCTCCTTCGTATATGACCTTCGGTGGACGGCCAAGCATGGGTTTCGTCCGCACCTTGTGATCTGAGAGCGACCTGAGCAATGACGGTGGAGGTGCTGTAGTAGCCTTCCCTGCGACATTCGAGATGTCATTCAGAGGCGCGGACCGTTGCAACGAAGATAAGATTGCTTTTGATCGAACTTTTGGCGCAGTCTGTTCTCCTTGACTTGCTGGGGCTGATTCGGTTACTGAGACCGCGGTGGACTTCTTAGCAAAGAAGGTGGTTATGCTCCCTTGCCTAGCCGCGGACTGTGTAGTTGTTTCCTTCGTTTCGGCCACAAGCTCCATCTCTGTCTGCGATCGCTTGAGCATCGTTGCCTTTTTCACGGTTCTCTTTACTTGCACCTCCTGTTCTAGCTCCTGCATACGCACTCCAGCGCTGACAAAGCCCGTAGTCATGGTGGCAGCTGCGGTGGAAAAGCCTCCTCGATCCTGCATAGTGACGGAGGTCGAGTAACCGGCCACAGGGACCTTGACGTCAGTCTTGCGGCGCTTACTCTGGGAGTCATACGGAAAGGCGTCGCTGCTCGGGTTTGAGAAGCCTAGGAAGCTCATCTCCGGATCCTCCTCTTCACCGTCCAAGGGCCAGCGGTCGTCTTCTGCCCGTTCTACGAGCGAGCGCCCTTCGTGCATGGCCACTTCTGTTGGACACGTCCTACGAAGGATGCGAGCCAGATCCTGAGAAGTAGTGAAGGTGAAGGAAGGACCTCTTACAGCGAAGTATTTGACCATATTTGTCGGAGAAAGGAATGCTGAGAGGCTGGTTCTCTCTCGTTGCGAGTTCTTCGTTGGGCAACTGATGTACAGCAACGACTGTGCTCTGGTCATTCCCACGTACAATAGTCGCCTCTCCTCGTCTGTATCCTCGGAGCGTGAGTGTGGGATGGATCCTTCGTACGCCCCCGGTATGAAAACGACAGGCCACTCTAAGCCTTTCGCAGCGTGTATGGTTGATATCGTCACCTGCTCAAGCATATCATCTCCTTCCTCGCTTGTGGGCATTTCAGTCGCACTGGCAAGCGTGACGTTGGCAAGGAACTTGCACAATATGTCCTCATTTCTAGAGAGCTCGCGCTGCTCGATGCCCTCAACTATCGGCAACAACTCTTCCGCGGATCTATCGCTGCTAAGCGCAGTTGTGGAGAAGTCCGCCGCTTGAGCGACCAATTCAGCCACGTTAGCCCAACGCACGTCGAATTCGTCGGCGAGTGTCTTCCAGATGTGGTCTTCCAAGGAGATACTCTTCAGTATATGCTCGATAAGCTCGATCAGCGAGCATTCTCTGTCTTCTTCTGCCGACAACTTCCGCCTCGATCCCAGGATGACGCCGACGAACGCTTCAATGCCCTTCAACGTCTGGGCGGATAGCTTCGTTTCCGGTCTTTTGTTTCCCTGCGCTATGCCGAGCAGCATTGCCCACAATGTCGTTTGCTTTGTTTCCGCTTCTGCAAGGAGGCTATTGACTGTGACATTGCCTACCCTGCGCGAAGGAACGTTCACGATGCGTGCCACGGCATCGTTGTGGTCTGGCTGGCTGATTACGCGCAAGTAGTCGAGTATGATCTTTACCTCCACTCGGTCAAAGAATCTAGGGCCTCCGACCATTCGGTAGGGTATTCCAACTCTACCCAGAGCCGACTCGATGTGTCGAGACAAATGAGCGGAGCGGAGAAGGACGGCGAAGTCGTCGTTAGTGTAGAGTTGACCAGTCAGTGCTTTTGTGCGTTGGATCTCGGTGACAAGCCATGATGCTTCTGCAGCCGCAGAAGGTAGTCTTCGGAGCACTGGCATTGCACCGGAACAGTGGGTAGGCTGTAGCTTCTTCGTGGGTCGGCTTTCATCTTGCTCTATGACTTCTTGAGCCGCAAGCAGTATTGCGCCCGATGATCGATAATTCTCTTCTAGATTCGCAACGTGAGTTTCCAGGTACAACTTACGCATACGATTGAGGTTCTCAATCTCTGCAGAGCGCCAGCCGTAGATGCTCTGATCTGGATCGCCGACCGAGGTGATCTTCTTACTGTACTGAGCAAACAGTTGCATCAGCTCGAACTGGACTTGGTTTGTGTCTTGGAATTCGTCAATGAGAACGGCTTCGATGTTAGAGACGCACTCTGGCCGACGCTTGAGAAGGTCGGCGCATCGCAGTAGAAGATCGTCGTAGTCCAGTAGACTCGACATCTTCAGTGTCTCCTCATACTCCATGTAGATAGCGGCGAACTCCTGCTGCTCGGCAGACTTCTGCGTTGCTGCGTGGCCGTCGCAGCCGATGCATTTGGCTTTAAGAGTGGAAATTCGCGATCGTGCTTTGCTCGGGTCAGCTCCGTAGCCACGCCGCTTAATAATACGGTTGACGATCGCTTTGCTATCCGACGTGTCCGCGATACCGAAGTTTTTAGGGATATTGATGTGATGACCGTAAGAGACAAGAAAGCGGCGAGCCACGGAGTGAAAGGTGCCCAAAATTAATTTCTTCTCTACTTCATCTCCGATGTGGTTCCGGATTCTTTCTCCCATTTCTCGGGCAGCCTTGATGGTGAACGTGCAAACAATGATGTTCCATGGTCGTAGGCCTTGAGCGACAAGATAGGCGACGCGCGCGGTGAGAGTTTTGGTCTTGCCGGAGCCTGGTGGCGCAAGAACTTGGAGGACAGAGGCTGGACTGGTGACGGCACTTCTTTGCGCATCATTCAGCCCAGCCAGCAACGAGTCCATCGGTGTACTGCTTTCCGTTGTTGTGGATGTGAGGTTGTAGCCATGAACAGTGTTCGCAGCGCCGTCAGAGAGAGTGTCGCGTTGCGCCGGAACACGAAATCACGTGCTCGCTAATGTAAGCGAGCTTTTGGAGATGATTGAACCTCATATCGAGAGAAATCGTCGAAAAACGCAAGCAAGTTTTCCTTTCGGTCGATGCATGTCTGAGTGGATGGGACGGTCGAACAATAAATAGCTTCGTGTGTAGATATGCTGAGACGGGAAGACTGGAGGAACGCACTCTCAGAGCCGGCAGTGGATGTACGGATTTATGGCGACAGTCTCTGCATGAGGCAGCAGCTACTGCTGCTTTGCTGATTCGTCTTGCCTCTCTAGGACGACGAGATGGCTCAGCTCCTTCGGATTATCCCGCAGTCTGAGCCTCAGGTTCTCTTCGATATGCTCAACCTCCTTCCCAGAGTACCGGAAGCAGTCATCCTGGGCCATGACATAGGTAACGAAGCGGCCGTCGTTCTTAGCATGCTGGATGTGCTTGACTACTGCCTTCAGCTTGTACTCAATTGCGTCGTCAGTTGAGCCCGGGACTTTGATCTTGGCTGTGTCAAAGATGGGAAGCTCGACAGCTTGGGTTCTCTTCTTGGTATCGGCGCCATCGGTGCGACCAATTCGGACGGTGAGGTACTTGGGCGCTTTTTTGATTCCAACATGCTTCCCTGTCCCTTCGACTTTCTTAGCACACTTTTCGCAGTCACCGCATTTGGCCGTGCAGGCACAGCAGTTCTCGCAGCTTCGAGCGATAGTCTGCTCCTTCGCCAAGAACGGATCTGTCAACCACTCAACCAGAAGGAAGGCAATGCTCTTTGGGGTGATTGTGAGTGGTAGTGCCCAATCCGCGCCGGTCATCTTCGTCTCGTGGCCGCATTCCGAGCACGTGACGGTGTTGTCGGTGTAGAACCTGAACTGCTCGTCTAGATATGTCATCTGCGCGTCTTCAGATCCGGCTTCGCCCTCGAGATCTACCGCTAAATCCCTTAGCCTGTTAAGGATCGCCATCAAAAAGTGAGTGGGGTCCTGCTGGCTAACGTCGTCCCACAGCGGCGCTCCGCTCCTCTTACGGTTGAAGTGGGCGAAGACACATTGGAAGAGGTAATCTGCCGGGGCCTTCTTTGCCTCGGTAGCCTTGTTCGCTTGCTCCAAACCCGCCAGCAATTGGGCCGCCTCGAGGCACCGCTGCTCTCGTGCAGGAAGTGTAGCCTGTGGAAGTGCTTTGATGGCACTTGCGACGGTCTTTCTGTCTTTCTCTGCTTGCTTGAAGCTGTTGATCATCTTCCGGGCGTCTGCCGCATGCTCTTCAGCTGGAGTGATAGGGTCAAGCTCGCTTCGCAGGACCTTCGGATCTAGAACAGCCGCAAGTACTGGCATGATGGACTGGATGTGGTTCGAGCCAGCAATCTTCTGACGCGCTGGTTTCTTGGTGGACTGCGTGGCCTTGGCTTCGTTCGGCTCTTGATCTATATTCAAGTCTTTGGCTTCCTTTGGCGGCTGGCTTTCGATCGGCTTCTTGACCTGCACCAGCTCTTTGACCTCCACCGGCTTCTGGATGTTCTCCAGCGCCTTGGTCTTCTTCGGCGCAAGCACCTTCCTCACTTTGTGAGGCGTCTCGCCTTTGTCCGCCGCCGCCACAGAAGGGTCGGCCTTCCTCTTCTGTCCAGGCTTGAGCTGCACTGGTGGAGGCTTAGGTTTGACCCCCAGAGCCTTGGGCGGTGCTGGTGGAGCCTTGGATTGCACCTGTATAGTGCTTTTGGCAACCGGCGCAGCGATCTTTCGTACGTTCACCGCGTCGGTCACGTCTCCTTGCTTCACCTTCCTCTTCACCTCTACCTCATCGTCAGAGTCCTCGATGACGCGACGACGCTTGCGAGCGGTAGGCGTGGTGTCAAGAGGGTTCTGAAAGGCTGTCAGTATACTGATGAGCCATCTGGCCACGAAGTGTTTACCTGTTTCAGCCGCTTCGTAGGCCTCTCGTCGGTTTCTGGCGCGCGGCGTTTGACCGTCAAAGGTTTGGCCGCACTTGGTGCCTCTTTCTCGGGCTCTTGAACTGCGGCCTTAGGACCGCCCGTGGTGCCCTTGTATGGCGGAGTCGGCTTGCGCATCGTGCCCTCGGTGGGTTTGGGCTTGGTGACGGCGGGCGTCACGCGGCCACTGTTTCCCTTCCTAAGAAAGGTTCGTTGTCTTGGCATCGTGAAGGTTTCAGCGCGATCTGGTCAACAGGTTGACGAGAGAAAATTGTGGTTGGTCAAGATCTGGTGGAAGAAGGAGCAGATGTTGGTGTCGGTTTGCGGTGGTTGTTGGAGGAAGAAGGAACTGGAAGGTCAATAGGTTGCAGATGGCTTAGTGAGGAGGTTGGCATAGGTGAAGGGCAAGTGAAGTGGTTGATCGGCAGCGTGACAATAGCTCTAGTGAATCGTGTATACGGATCATGTGACACTGTGAATGTATATACACTGATTAAGAGCTTATAGATTATCGCGCATATCGCAGCTCACTATGCTCACCACCATTTTTGTACTAGTTCTTGCTCCTCTCAACGCTTCTCGTGCTCCAGCGTGCGCTTATTGCAAGGGACATCCAACCGCATCTACGCTGGAGGCTCACAGCAGCGTCAGGTATATGAGGCGGAATACAACCAGTCCGCAGCCTTCATTACTCACTGTCGCCCAAATACCAGTGCTATCTGTAGTCGTCTATGAGGAACTGATCAATACTTTGGCATTCCATTGTGGCTCTTTCAATCCACTTTCCACAATGAAACCGGATCTATTATGAGCTGGCCGAAGCGCTCATGAAGTCTAATAGTGGTAAACAGCATGGAGATTCATAGACGTATCGTAATCCCCATGCTTGCTGCAGATCCTCACGAACAGCGCTAGACCAGCGTATTCCACTTCCATATATCTACAGCCACAATATCACTCCGCTGTTCAGCGCACGAAAGATGTGTTGGAGTGCTGACGTTGAAGCAGCCAATCAACGCCCAGCACACCGTTCCTGCCAAGCTGCAATGTGGCGTTCTCCGATCCAGGGACCGTGTCCCGCCCCCACAAAGCTTCAGATCTCAGGAACAGCCCCTCCAGCTCTCACCGCTATCCATCTTCCCACATCCCACCTAACATCACCAAAGCACCACCACAGCAAAAAGCCTCAGCAAACCACCCAAAATGCGCTTCCTAACCCTCCTCACCTTCATCCCGGCGGTAGCTCTCGCCCTCGACAAACCCCTCGACATCGCCCGAACCCACACAGTCGAATGCACGCGCAAAACCCAGCGCGGCGACACAATCAACGTGCACTACCGCGGCACGCTCGCCGCCGACGGCTCCGAGTTCGACGCCTCGTACAACCGCGGGCAGCCGCTTAGCTTCGTGGTCGGCCAGGGCCAGGTCATCAAGGGGTGGGATGAGGGCTTGTTAGACATGTGTCCGGGGGACAAGAGGACCCTGACGATCCAGCCGGAGTGGGCGTATGGGGATAGGGGCGTGGGGCCGATTCCGGGGGGGAGTGTGCTCGGTAGGTGCTGAAGGGGTGAGAGGGTTATCGGGTTGAGTGGATGCTGACGACCGAATAGTCTTTGAGACGGAGTTGGTGGGGATTCAGGGTGTGAAGAAGGATGAGCTATGAGCGTCACGGAGATGGGAAGCGATGTATGCACACACGATCAGGGGCGCACGACAAGGCTTGGCACCAGACATGCATAGATTTGGAAAGGGGTTATGGACTTGACCAAGGCTCAAAATCCCAAATAAAGCGGTGGCTCGAAAGGTGCCTAATGCGATCTAGAGTCAATTGAAGATCTACGTGAATCAGACCACCTCGCATTCCACTCTAGTATCTTCTCTTTGCTAAAAATTTGCGTGACCCGAAGACACTGTAGACATAAGGAAACGGACTGGCGTCTCGCATCTTCTTAGCCACTTGAAGCTCTTCGATCAGGCCGTTTAGGAGGCAGAAGACGGAACGAGCATTCAGCCACGGAGATGATGGAGATGAGAGGGAAGATTGCTGGGGGCGGTTTCAACAGCAGGCCTGGAGAACAGGCTCGACGGCTGAGGCACACCAAATGAAGGCTCAGTCGAAGTGGCTTTCTCACTTGCGTCTTCCGCTGAGGTGTTTCTGTTCTTTGAGGCTGAGGCTGAGGCTGCTCCGTTAAGGCTTGGCTGACTCTTGGGCGCGGACTGTTGAACTATTACACGTTTTGCCCTCCGAGTCTTTCACGATGTAGAAGATACGCGCTTCTTCATGCTCCTCTTCAGCTTCCTTAGCAGATCGTCCGGCGGCGCTATTGGAGGTGGGAAAACGTCTACATCCCCAATCTACTGTGGACTCGGCATCTGACCCACTCATTATGATTCAGTACTCTGGAGGCAAGCAGGAACGAAGAAGCCGACTAAGTTTTTACAAAAGAAGAGTACAGACACGGCAGAGACTCCCATCTCCTCACGCCTCCATCAGACACGCCCATTGACATGCACAACTTTACATTCTACAGAGACCGGCTGCTTGAAATCATCGCCATGTTCCAGACTCCACCACGTGGCTGGAGAACAATTAGAAAGGGTCGGAGAAATCCCATGCAGTTTTGGTGCTTTTAGTTCGGTTTGTTGATCGTCATCTTTACTCTTTGTTGCTTGGTTGCAGCTTCATAGAGAACGGCATTCGCCACCGCCCGGATCCTGAGCAGTCTTGATAAGATTCTAGGTCAAGCCAGACAGCTTTGCCATCGCAAAAATCGCTTCTGTTGCATGTGACACTCGGTATCCGACGCCGCATAGCCAGTATGGGCCACACGGAGGCTTTGACGGATGTGGAACTCAACAAGGGTCTTCTTTCGTGCCTGCGGGTTACAGTGACCATAAGTTGAGCAGCTCGACATTCGTAGGATTCATATGGACAACAAAAAATGCTGGAACCACGGACGCAGTGTCGCGAATTAGGGTGTCCTTTCGCTGTCCCGGGTCACGGCAAATGACTATACTGAAAGACATCGCCGCTGCAGAGCAGAGGATGAGAAGTTGGGCTTGGGGTGATTGCTATATCAGAGAAGACCGGGGAGCAGTCTTTGAGGTTTGCCGCTGGAAGAGTGTGGTGGGAAACTCTATCTCTGTAGTGTTCTCCAAGTCTTCACTCAGGTACGAAAGATACCTCTTGTTCTTTACACACTCGTTGAGTGAATTTGTCATCTCAATCCCGCCAGCCTCCGCTCTTGCACCTCCGACAATGCCCTACTCCCGCTCAAGAAAGCCACAACGCCCACAGCAACCGCTGGCGGCAGCGTCTGGAAAAGGTTCCACCTTGTATAGTACATGAAGAAAATGCCTTCAAGCGCCACTATCGACCCAAAGAAGAGTGCATGTGACACCGGCGCTGCACCCAACGCCTTCTGCAAATGGTTGACGTTCGCGCCGAGTGTAAGCCAGACACCGAAAAGTGCTGGCAAAGCTGCTACCACGGCCGCGGTGAAAACCAACGTGATGATCTTTGGCGGACTCGTAGGATTTGAGCGGAAGATGTGGTGGATCTCTTCACGCTTGCCGTAGCGGACAGGTTCGTCGGGCACCCAGATAGGGACATTTGGGTCGAGCTTAATGGTGAGGTCGAAGACTTCCCTCTTGTAGGGGGTTGAGGGGCCGAAGGATGCGATGACGAGCGAGGCTTTCAAGGGTGCAGACGAAGTCAGGAGTTGGAAAGGGAGGTCTTTGTGCGTCTAGCAGTTGTTAGTGAAGCCATTGAAGGTTCAGCGGATGTTCTACATACCAGCTCCACCTTGCCTTTACCACTTTCTTTGACACTAAACGCATATGACTCCTCAAGACCCGTCTTCTGTTCCGTAAGGGTCAAGAAAGCCTGGTGCGGCCGCTTAGCTTTCTTGCCATCGGTCGTGGTCAGGATGAGTTTCAGGGTGTCCGAAGCTCCGAGTGGGATATCTGTCGACAGGGGAGCATCCGCGCTGAGTCTAACACGAGAGTAAGCCTAGATCATGAGCGAGACGGCGCTTCAAGCCTACTTCTCCTTGACGCCACTCCCAACACCAGCACCTTTGCCCTGGACAGACACCGTAGCATCTTCAAACCCCCAAGATGAGGCGGCTGACGCGATGCCCGCCGCTGCCACGAGCAAAGAGGGTATTAATGAGAATCTCATGGCTGGTCAATTGCAATTTGTGCTCGCAATCATCTGGCTGTAGCTTCAGAGGAAACGTAGAGATCTTGGCGGTACCTGGAGCTCGGAGAAACTCCACGCCGTGCCCTCAACGATCCTTGCATAGGCATTGCGCTTGAGAGCGCTTGAGAGCGAGGCTTAAAGCCAAACTCCTTTATGAGCTAGGCGGAGTTGAATGGCGGTCGATATGCGGAGAAGGGCACGAGGAGAGCGGGTGGGCCTCGACACCACTACATGGCTTAAGCTATTGAGCTACTACTCCAAAAACGATTTGCCATTATCTATGCACAAAAACAGCATCCAATATGTTACAGAATTAAGGCCGATGCAAAGCAATCTCATCCCTCCTTCTCCCCAAGTATAACCTCTCTCAGCACATCCTTCTCCCCACTATCCTCCACCATCCCTCTAAATGTCCCTTCCGCCTCGAACAACTTCCTCGGCGTATCGTACTCCACGACCTTCCCCTCGCCCATGACCAATATCCGGTCAAAGTCCGCAATGGTGCTCAGACGGTGCGCAATGACCAACAGCGTGCTGTCCGTGAACTGTTCGCGGATACTCCTCTGTATAAGCTCATCCGTAGCCTTGTCCACGGCAGATGTAGCTTCGTCCAAGATAATAATTTTAGGACGCGAGACGATGGCTCGAGCCAGACAGAGGAGCTGGCGCTGACCTTGGGAGAGATTCTGGCCGCCTTCACTGATGGGCGTGGAGAGCGTGCTAAAAGGGTTCGTATTTGTGTGCGTGGGGGTGCTTGAACCGGATGGTTCGGGCTCGTGAGTCGAACTGCCTTCGGAGGAATCGGAGGCGATCAGGTGCACCCTTGCAAGCGCCTCTCGCAGTTCGACGTCGCTATGCTCGTTGAAGGGGTCGAGATTCGAGCGGACAGTGCCGGAGAAGAGAACGGGGTCTTGCGGTATGATGGCTAGTCGACTTCGCAGATCGTACAGCTTGATCTTCGAGATGTCGACGCCGTCAATGTAGATGCTACCTTCGCGAGCTTCGAGAAACCTGAACAGAGCTAGTGTGAGCGAGGATTTGCCTGCACCTGTGCGGCCGGCGACGCCGACACGCTCGTTCGGCTCCACATCGAAGGTTAGGCCCTTCAAAACTGGGGGAAGGTCTGGGGCGTAGCCAACAACAAGATCGGAGACAGCAAGGCGGCCTTCGGTTGGCCAGGCGGCCGGGGCGTCGGCGCCGCCCTCAGGCTCCGTCGTGATGTTTGTGTACTCCAGAATGCGCTCCGTCGCGTTCATTCCCAGTTCTGTGTTTGCGTACTGTCGCAGCATCCACACGACAGACTCAGAGTATTGTAGCGTGAAGCTGAGCGCAAAGCCCGCAACAGACGCATTGATCTTGTCAAGTGAAACAACAAACGCAGCAGTGGCGACAGAGAATGCTGCTCCGATTGCTGCCAGGCGGACGGTCAGCCACCGGTTGAACAGCCACTGATGCCATAACGCCTGGGCATGAGCGTCGAGCTTGGCGAACATGCTGCTGATGTATGCATCGGACTTGCCAAACGCGCGTATAGTGCTGACTCCGGCTAGCGATGCACCGAAGTACTCGAAGATTGGACTTTTCGCGATGGATTCTAACCGCTTCGCTTCTCTGGCGCCGGCTAGGTAGTAGATAGCGTATCTGACATTAATGCCGAGCAATATCACGGCAAAGACCAAGATGAATGGCGAAACAAATGCACTGGAGCATATATGTTAGCAAAGGCCCTGGGTGTTTAGATATGCTGTATCAATGTGCATACCCTGCCACTACAATACCAACAACGGTCATGACATTGTACAACCCCAGTGAAGCAGCTCTGATGAGATCAGAGTCGATGATGTTAAAGTCCGCCGTGAATCGGTTTAGAATTCTTCCAAGAGGAACGGTGTCGAGCCATCGCAATGGCGCTCGTAGCACAGCGTACGATAGCTTCTCGAAAAGCCTCCTGCTGGCAAGAATCGAGCCGTAAAACATCCAGAGATACCGTAGTGTACCGCCGATAACAACTATGACGGATAAAGCGACGTAGATTGACAGGTAATACGTAAGGTTTGGGTCACGGTTCTGCGCGACATCTGCGGCATATTGCGTGGAGAACGTTTGGTGGAGTAGAGTTGCCGGCTGGCCTATGTGAGCAGACTTTGTGTCATACGTCCGCGTCCACAGCGTGATCCACCAAGACTAGAAGGGATCAGCAAAGACAGTGAGTAGTCGAGGATTAGCGACTTACGCGTCCCAGCAGAAATCCTTGATAGCCGCCATAATTAACGAGCACTCCAATCCAGAACCAAGTCCCACCGCTTGCCTGAAGGTACTCGTAGTACACTTTCCATGCCACTCGTCCTTTCTCCTTCGTCTCTTCTTCGACGAACTTCTTCGCGGCAAGCTTGGGATCTAGGGCAGGATGGCCAGCACCGAAACTGCCGGATCTCTTGCTGGCGTGCGAAGTCACCCTGGCTAGATTGTTGCTTTGGCTCATAGCCCTTGGTCGGCCAGAAGCCCTGCTATCAATACGTGCGAGTCCGCTCGACTGCCGCCTGGCAAGACTTGGTGAAGGAAGCAGTGCGGGTTCGTCATCGTCCGAGACTGCTGCTTCGTTCTCTTCCTCAAGGATGTGCTGTAGCTCGCCGGTCTTTCGCAGGTCTTCGACAAGACCCGCCCGTTCGACTTTACCATCTCCAAGCAGGACTTCGTACTTAGTCTTTGGCAAGCACAGTGAGACGTGGTGTGTTACCAAGATTCTTGTACGGCCCTGTGCAAGCTCTCCGGTTAACGCCTGCTCAAAAATATGCTTTCCGACGTGAGCATCCACGGCGCTGAAAATGTCGTCCATTATGAGTATGCCGGCTCTTGAGTAAAGCGCCCGAGCAAGGGTGATCCGCCAACGCTGTCCGCCGCTCAGGTTGATACCATTTGCGCCAATCTCTGTGGAGTCCCCGTCCGTCAACATCTCAAGATCTTTCTCCATAGCACACGCTTGTATGACTTTGTCGTAGCGCTCCTTGTCAGACGGAAGACCGAAAAGAATATTCTCTTTGAAAGTGCAGTTTTCGATCCATGGCTGCTGGCTGACGAACGCTATCGCCGATGGTATTATCCAATTGCTCCTGTTCGCCTTATGATCGTGCCTGTCGTGCAAAGGGGGCGCTTGCGGTACGGTGATAGTGCCATTCAATATGTCGACTTCTCCTAATATAGCCGCAAGAAGCAGACTCTTACCGAAGCCCGTCCGTCCCGAGATGACGCTGAGTTCCCCGTTGGGAAACCTGAGGTTGAGATTCCGCAGGGCGAAGGCGTCACCGGATTGTTCTTCGTCGGATGGCCACGAGATAGTTGCATCTTTGAACGAAACAGAGTCACCAGGCTCCGTGGATTGCGGCTTCTCCGGAGCATCTAGATACTCTTGAACTCTTTTCACGCTGACCCAGGCATCCAGGCCGTTCGCCACGAGCTCCGGGACGAAGCCTAGTGTGCCCTCAATCTGACCGAGAATGGCTATCGCGGTGAAGGCGACTGACGCAGACAAGCCGCCGTGTATGACTGCATAGACTCCCAAGCACACAGCGGAGAGCATGACGGGTCCGATGAGGTAGCAGAGTATGAGCCAGATGTCGGCAACGAATGACTCCCATTGCGCTTTAAGCTCATCCTCACGCTTGTCCATGATCCGTTTTGACCACTGACGTTCGAGCGCAGAAAACTTAATCTGTCGGATACCGGCTAGAGCCTCGTTGAGTACTGCCAACTTGCGATCTCTGACTGACATAAGCCGTTCTTGAGCTGAAGTGTACCGCTTCGATGCCCATATGTTGAGCGGCAGAGTGAGAAGCTGCACCCCGATGCCGGCCAGCAATGCCTGCCACCCAAGCAGGATGCCGAGAAAAGTGAAGGAGGCCGCCATGTTGCACAGCGCACCGAGAAGTAGGTTGTTGTACGTGGCAAAGTCGGATACCCGCTTCGTATCTACGCCAACCAAGTTGACGGTTCCTTGGCGGGTCTTCGAAACATCCTCCTCGACTCCATTTTGCTCATCTTCACTTTCCTCACTTGCAGCATCAGGCTGAGCCACATCTTTGGCTACCTTGACGCCGTTGTCGTCCTCTTTGCTGTTCTGAACGCCCTTGACATCTTTCCGACGCATCGACTTAGTAAAGATCACAGCAGAGAGTTGTATGCGAACAGGCACCTGGCATTGTGAATAACTGACCTATATACATCATTAGCCGTGATAAGAGCCCTGAGCTCGGCTCACTTACCCACCACATCCAATTTTCGAAGAAGGTTTGGATGAGAATACTTAATCCCATAGCGACAGTCCACATGGAAGCTTCAGGTGTCACATATGCGCCATTTTGACGAGCTTCCAACAGCCGCAAGAGCTTAAACATAGCAAGCTGAGGTGCTACCAGAAATAAGCTTTGAAGAACAGTAAGGATGTACTGCCGCGAAAACGCTGGCCAGTGAGATAGAATGAGCAGCCTGATAAGACTCGTGCCCAGCTTTCCGTCAGGAGTGCTATCCTTGGACTTGATTTTGGCTTCGCGGTCCTCGTCTTCGAATAATTCGTGGAGCTCTCTTGACCTCGTATAGTGGTCCATCTTCGGAAGGTCACTGATAGCTAGAGCCTTCCCCGCTGCGCCTGCCTTGAGCAGCGGTGCAGCCCAAGAATACGCGTAACGGTGAAAAGCCGGTAGGCCCCACTGGCGGTCAACAATCTTGCCCTCGTAGTAGACATCCGGCCGGCGCGGGAGGGCAAGACATGCTGCGAAAGCTATGATGGCCAGACACGATTCGCCGGTCACTAAGCCCATGTACGGTCCGGTTACGCGAAGTTGTGCCTCAAGGAAACCATAGACGACAATGAGAATGAGGTAGGAGCATGCAGCTGCTTGGGAGAAGTCGAAGCGTCTGGGAGGGTCCCTTTCGATGGAGATGTTGACTGATTGTATGACTAGAAGGGCCCATATGGCGCAATGCAGCCAAACCTCGACGGAACGGCGCAAATGGTGATGGGATCCATTGCTTTCTGTTAGAACTGCGTTGGCTAACGATAATACAAGCCCGCATACGGAGATAAGGCAGATGGCGAGAGTCGGCGGCTTCGCCGAAAAGGCCTTTTGGCTTTCTTCCGTAGCGGTGCCATCTTCGTCCTGGTATAATCCGTTCCTGTGGACCTTGCCTTTTCTTCCAAGGCTACGAACGATGTTAACAGCACTAGGCAACGTAGCCAACAGAATGAGTGCCAGGCCCGCGGCTGTGATGGGTAAGGTATATCCTTTTATCATCTTGATCGCGTTCTCACCAGGACACAATCAAGGCTCCGAATAATTCTGATACATCAATCCCTATCTCAAATCAGTGTTAGAAGGCGATTACTGCAAGTAAGAACAGACGTTCATGACTCTATGGGAGCCCATCTCGCTGCAAAGGCTGCTGAATAATCAAGAATGCGCTCTTTAGATTGCACTAATCCTCTTTGACCAATCTTCTCACGTGATATTCGTGAGACGGGCTGAAAGGCTCCCGAGGTCGCTGTCAACAAAGCACGAGATGTCTGCCTCATGTCAAAGACGCTTGCTCTGACCAAGGCGAGTGGCTGACATTGGGACGTGGAAGGCCTTGCAGTCGCGTTGGCAGTGCAGTCCATCATTCGTACTCTCAAAAGTGTCACAATCCACGAAACCGAACGAGTAGAAAATCTATTACTCATCCGTTGCTTCGTACACGATTAAAGGTCACCAAGCTCTCAGCCATGAAGTTGAAACACAATTAATCGCAGTATCGCCAGGGAAGAAAGAGGCCATCCAATCCCTACCGCATTCGTTCCATTATTAAACCTCCATGTCACCAGCGGGGTATCACTCGAGCGGCTTGAACATTGCCCTAACCGCTTAGGCGGTGGCACGCTCCTCCTCGCGACCCCTCTGCTCCGTCGCCTGGGTAGATCGCTCATCCTCTTCCTCGTCCTGCTCATCTTCGTATCCGTTGCCCGCGTGCTGAGAGGCTGGGATCCACAGACCAGACTCGCGGTTCTCCATTGGCGCATCCTGGTGAGAGAGATCGACACCTTCACCTTGGTGACGGCCGGCCTTGCGGCGCTGAGAGAGCTGTCGCGCGCGAGTGGAGAGGCTAGACTTCACGGAGGCGTTCTGCTCCACCCAGTTGGTGAGAGCATCCTCGCAGTCTTGAATAATGCTAATGATCCGATTCAGCTGACTGTCTAACCATGTGAGCACAGAATGAGTCACTTACGCCTTGCTAGCCTCATATCCATCGTACGCGTTCCTTGTCTCACCTGGAGTAACCGGAGTATCATCAACAAGTTCCAAAAGGTGCTTGCCGTATCCGGCAATGATGGCAAGCTTCTCGCAGTGCTCGCGCATGGCGTCGAACTGGTAGTTGAAGGCTGCCTTGAGCTTCTCGCGGGTGATATTCGACAGCTGGGCCTCAGCGACTAGAGACTCAGCTTCAGCACGGACGAGCTCTTGTTCAAGAACCACGATCCTTGGGGAGTTCGGCTCCTTGTACTTAAGCTGGGCGATCTGGTCGGTGATCTTCTGCTTCCTGTCACGGCTGGGCTGGACTGAGGCTTCAATGTTGCGGATACTCTTGATGGTGACGCGGTACTGGTCGTAACGGTCGACGTATTGATCCTCAAGCTCGCCAATCTCGTAGATCAAGACACCGAGCTTGTCGGTCACGTCCGACACGTCGTCGTCGCAAGCTTCACCCCAGATAGAGAGTTGCTGAGCGACCTCCATTCGCTCTCTGCTGACGAGCTCCATGCTGCGCATAACGTTCTTCTCCATCTTGACCAATTGTGACAGCTTCTTCGCCAAGTCCGGCCCGAACGCGCCAGCGGCGCTCCTCCTAAAGTTGTGGCCTGCGTGAGAAACTCATATTAGCTGCTCATTCCTCCCTCGTAACGACTGATGATTGGCAATGCATGGGTTATGTGATGCGGTTAAGGAAGCCTTCGATGACGCCAAGTCGACCAACCCTGGCTGGACCGCTCGACGGGACAACAGGACTCAAATGCATCGGGCGAGGTGCACGAGGCAACCTGTTATCGGCTCGAATGCGCTGCGACAGCTGACAGAAATGCTGCAGACTCACCGATATTGGCCTTGCCGAAGAAGCGGCCGGCCTTTGTAGTTGACGATGGTGGAGGTGGGTTCGCAAGCTGCGACGCCGTTGGGGCGCGCGACTGGCGCATAGAATATGTCCTATGCATCTTGTGATATCGTGATAGGCGCGGTTCGAATGGTTGTTATAAGTAGTTGCTTGATCGTTCTGACTGCAGATAGATAGGAGTCTCGGAGTTGTAGAGGCTGAGGTGGAAGATGGCGCGTAAGGGCGGAAGAAGATGAGTGGGTTTTGTTATGGCAGGGCGATGACGTTGATCGCCATGGAAATGCTTTCTTGGCAGCAACCTCATCTCCTGCCGTCGCCATCCAGAAACTTGAGTCGTCACGTGCGGGTCATGTCACATTCACCCCATGCTAGCCGCCTGGAGCCAGAACCTTGATTTACTGGTTGGCGGCAGGGGATTCTCGACCAGTACGCCGTTTCCAGAAGAAATATTGAGCGTTTTCGTACGATGCTTTCCAATCAATTTCATTATTTTTCTCTATGAATATCGAGAGTTATTGACCACGGATGGCTTGCGGCTTGTTGGGCAGAAAAAAACCCAGATGCCAGGATCCTTGGTGATGTCTGGGCATTACTCTATCAGTATCCATTGAAACGAAGTGATCAAAGGTGATCGAAGTAGCACGCGTGGCGGTCATGTCTTCTCCGCGGACTTACGTAGGTCCCTTGTGCTGTGAGGATGTAATCCATGTCTCCTCCCTTAAAGCTATGAGGCTCCAGGCACAGTATGGGAAGCTTGGTATAAAGACCGTTGAAAAGTGTCAAAACAGATTTCGGGATAATATCTAAGACATTTAGTTTAGAGTTCGAAACTCAGAAACACCAACCATCTTTCCAACTGACGATGGCCGCCCTTTCGCGGAGATCACGAAAATTATAAAATCATCCGCCTTCATATCGGCCAGCAGTATGAAGACCAAGCAGGTTTGAACGCATTGCATAGCGGCGCCTTGAAGGAAAGCAGAACGACAAAACCGGTTCGTAGGGTGTAAGATCTCGTTTGACGGCCGCGAAGCGTAACATAAGGTCCGCGGAAAGAAATGTGCTTTGACATGGAGTTTGAACTCGCAATAAATACGACGGTTCTAGATGGCCAGCAAGCTGTCAATGAATTACAGTCGGCTCCTCATGATAACTTGAAAGGACCACAGCTGCTGAGTGGATTAGGACGCTAATCTTCCGAGACGAGACCACCCTCCCTACTCGTACTCTAGCTGTTCGCTGGGCAGGAGAGTACTTGGGGTACTCATCTCAGCTCGGAGAGGAGCGGACGAGTTCCCCTCTTACAGCTTCTGGGGCGCAGGTCCGCAAACCTCTCGACGGACAACACCAGCATCCGCAGTGGAGACATCCGGTCTCGCTGTCTCGCCTGCTGGTGGAAATGTCCTCTGTGCGGCTGTGGACTACGTCCTTGTTTGACTGGCAAGCCGAGTCTATTTGGGAATTTTTCCGACAGATTGGTAAGTCAAATATCGCGTCGCGACTGGGCGGCCTTCTTCTGTTGTTTCGAGCTTCTACAAACTCATCCGGGCCCGATCGCTCGACAAACTGGCGCAGATGCGCAGAGTAAGCAGCAAGTCGCACGAATCATGGGCGTCCCCGCAATCCGCTACCCCAGAATTTCTCCACATCCCGAGTCCTTGAAAACCTCCTTCCGTGGCCAGACATGTGCCCGCTTGCAGATCGCAACAGTTTCGAGGCTCTTGCTGCTCCTCTGACACGCGATTATTCGGCTGCACGGGGCAGTCTCCAATCGCTTCCACCAACCACCTGGACGATCATGAGGTGCGCCAGGGTCTGATAGCATTTTCCCTCTTGTGCAGCTCTTGGCAAGCATGGATTGCAGTTTTTCCACTAATAAGATATCTGCCGTCCAGCCACGACCGTTATGCCGGAGGCTTCGTCCACCGAGACATGCCCGGCCATCTGCTTCCGTCCCAGGGCGTCAGAGAGATATAACTACTCTCGAGATATCTCCCTGTAAGATCTTCATCAGTGTTCAGTTGCATCACTCTCCTGCTTCAAACTCAAAGTTGCATCCTTCGCAAACAATTTCCAATCTCCCAGTCCAATACAAGTCGCAACATCAGTCAAAATGGGTCTCGGAGAGAGGTTCCTCCACAAGATTATCCACAATGAGGCCATGAAAGAGGACCCGCCAGAAATCTACGGCTGGCGCGTCTTCGCCCTCGCCTGCTCGGCCTGCTTCGGAGGCATGTTGTTTGGAGTGGACATTGGTATTATCGGAGGTGTCTTGACTCTCCCCGCATTCACCGAGGACTACGGCATTTCTCATCTCAGCAAAGTCGCCAAAGCAGATCTCCATGCGAACATCGTGTCGACACTGCAAGCCGGCTGTTTTGTAGGGGCTCTATTCGCCGTCTACATCGCTGAAAAGATCGGTCGCCGATGGGGACTCATTGCGGCCGCTGCTGTTGCCATTGTGGGATGTGTCCTCCAGGCGGCTGGCTCGGGAGTAATCGCTGTTATGTATGTCGGTCGATTTTTGGCAGGTCTGGGTGTGGGCGCTGCGAGTATGGTCTGCCCACTCTACGTGTCGGAGAACGCGCCACGCGCCATTCGAGGTGGCCTGACTGGCATATACCAGCTATTTGTAAGTCATGAACTTTTTGAACACAACTACCGAGTGACTGCTAACTTCCTGGCAGATTGTAACTGGTGTCATGCTGGCCTTCTGGATCAATTACGGCTCGCTTCTACACATGGAGGGCAAGGCAACCTACAGTATGTATTGGATTATGTACCTTAAAAGCGGTGAGGGCGATCTAACAACCGTCAGTCGTTCCGCTCGCTATGCAAGCCTTACCTGCTCTCCTCCTTCTCGTCAGCATGTGGCTTTGCAACGAGTCTCCCCGCTGGCTCGCGAAAGCGGACCGATGGGAAGAAGCCACTAAGACGCTCGCTCGAGTACGGAACCTGCCACAGACACACGACTACGTCCGGGGCGAACTGGCGGAGATCGCAGCACAGCTCGAGCACGAGCGCCTGTTGGTCGGTGGAGCAAAGACCATGGACCTTCTCCGTGAGATGTGGACCATCCCCGGAAACCGCAAGCGGACGCTCATCAGCATCGCCCTGATGGTCTGCCAGCAGATGACCGGCACCAACGCCGTGAACTACTACGCCCCGCAAATCTTCCAAGGTCTCGGCATAACCGGCAACGCAACCTCGCTCTTCGCCACCGGTGTCTACGGCATCGTGAAGATGATCACCTGCGTCGCCTTCCTACTCTTCGCCGCCGACTCCCTCGGGCGCCGCCGCTCGCTCCTCTGGACTTCCATCGCCCAGGGCACGGCCATGTTCTACATCGGCCTGTACGTGCGCATCGACCCGCCGGTCGCGGGCAAGACAATCTCAGCTGCAGGATATGTCGCGCTGGTCTGCGTGTTCTTGTTCGCCGGTTTCTTCCAGTTCGGCTGGGGCCCTGTCTGCTGGATCTATGTGAGCGAGATCCCAACGGCGAGACTGAGGAGTTTGAATGTCGCGATTGCCGCAGCGACGCAGTGGTTCTTCAACTTTGTGGTTGCAAGGGCGACGCCGAATATGCTTGCAACGGTCGGAAGGGCAGGATATGGGTGAGTTTTTCCGACTTCTTGTGCATCTGTGATATAATGGCTGACGACCGACTCGCAGTGCCTTCCTGATCTACGGCTCTTTCTGCTTTAGCATGTTCTTCTTTGTGTGGTTCTTCATCCCAGAGACCAAGGGCCTGTCGCTGGAGAAGATGGATGATCTATTCGGTGTCACGGAACTCGCAAAAGCCATCGACGAGGAAGCGGGCAGCAGACATGGTTCTGCGGCTTCTGCACCAGCACGGGAAATCGGCCTTGATGGCAAGGAGATGAGGGCAGAGCACATCGAGCGGAAGTAATGAGGCTCCAATGGGTTTGCACTGCTGTTGAGTCATGCAGCTGTTGAAGGGCTCACATATAATCAAACACATCTGTTTCTTCTGCATCGCGCCCGCTCGGTGATTTCACAAAACATTCCCCAAAAGTACAAAGCAGCAAAGATTCGAGAAGACCCTTCCGAAGCCTTTCGGTGCGATGACGGTGCGATGAACCACGGGTCGCAATACCTCAGATTGAGCAGCTTACCGCATCACTTGCATGGCGATACGATGCTAACACAAGCCTACAGCACGCAGAAGCCAGATACGCCTAACCAACCTGTCGCCAGCCTAAGAGGTCCACAGCCTTCGCCGTGTTCTTCTGGTTCTCCATGCATTGCCTCACGCATCTTTCAGGGGATTTTCGTCGTCTACTTCACAATCAGCGACTGCTCACTCCTTTGTCTCCCTTTCTCTGTCTCAAGACACATGTTCGAAGTGAAAATGGCAACAAAAGGGAGACACATACCCTCTAAAATCCCTCCCTTGACCAGATCCTCCGGCTTCGGCCTGCTCTGCAGCCGCTTCTCCAGGCTGTCCCTCCGCATGTGCCTCTCCAGCTCCTTCTGGTGACCTTGGAGAGCCGGCGCGGCGGACGAATTAGGGAGGATGTTACCTGTGCAGTTTCGAGCGCCTCAGTTCAGTCGCCCCCATGCTATAGAGTCGGAGAACGGGGGTAGTGGAAGAACATACGATCCACAAGATCCTGTCTCTCCGGCCTGTGCGCCAACCCCTTCTTCAAATTATCCGTTGCGCGTTGCCGCTCCAGTTCTTGCTGTTGTGCCTGCAGGGCTCTGTGCACGCGCCAGGATTGAAGTCAGCCTCTTGTATCCCAAATCGGCGCTCGAGGTTCTGTCATGAAGCTCTACGCTTCCTCGGGAGGGGCGGCTTACGGCGCAGCTTTGGTGTCCAGCAAGATGTGCCTGTTCTTCAGATCCTGCACATCCGGCCGCTGCTGGAGGTGTTTCTCGAGTGAACCGCGACGCTGCTTGTCGCGGACTGGAGAGATGGGCGTCTCGTCGACCACGTCGATATCTTCGGTGGAAACTGCAAGCCCGGTCGCCATGTTGCTTTGCTGGTCGTATGTGTGGTGGGGTTGAGCTTGGGAAACGTCTGATTGGGAGAGTGAGTGGAAATATGGGATGGGAGATGGAACGACCTCGGGGCTGTGTAGGTATGTGAGAGTCGTAGTGTAGTCCAAACGTGTATGGTGCTGTTGTGGTTTCAGTCTGTTTGGCGGGGAGCTCGAGGCTGACAGCTGGAGCTTGGACCCTGCGTCCCCTGGTTCGCGGCAACGGCGTGGGGAAAACATGAGAGCTAAACCAGTCCTGGATTAGCTGCGACAGTCACGGGCAGGGATAAAGGCTGACGTAATCTTATCTTTCTTTTAGCCTTGAACCTCCCTCGTGCGCGTACACTCTTGTAAGAGACCCGCTCTGTTCAAGGCTCCTGGCGCGGTCTTTATACGCTCCGTTGTTATGGCCTCACGGAGATATTCAACCGAACAACCACCATCTACTCGCAGGTTTATAACAAGAATCACTTCTTGACGCGTTAAATCGCTGGGAAAAAGTGGTCCTTTTCACGAATCTGCGATTAGTTCAATGAAGCTGTGTCAAGTTGATCATCACCGGAGACTTGCGAACTTCGATGCTCTCGATGCTAGCGCACGGGATAGTGGATGTGCAATCTGTGCGGTATGGCGCGACGGCATTCGTCTGATACTTTCAAAGGATGACCTGACAGATGTCGAATTCTACTGGTGTTTTCGGACTTGAGATCGCATGATGTGTCTCAGCAAGCCGGACTTGAAACTAGAGTTGTTCACAACATCCAGTAAGCCAATCACTCCGGCCGGTGTGGCCATCAACTAAAAGGAGAGGGGCTGAACTCGTTCGCTCAGTTAGTGCTGGTACCGTGGCTTCCCAATTTAATCAATGCAGCCATTCCACCATGCGATACTGGAGACGATCTAAGCTTTGCGACTCTTCGCAAATGGCTGAGTGGCTGCGCTTCCAAGCACCCCCTGTGCGGCGCGAGGGACCCTCGACCTCTCCCCGCTCGAAACCTCAGGGTTGTGTTAAATTTGGGATACTTGGAAGTAAGACTACACATCCTAAAAGCCGAGGAGAGAGCCCATTACGTCTGCCTGAGTCGTTGTTGGGGCGACACTCAGCATAAATGTCGTACAATCTAAGGCTTGATACGGCAGCACGCAAACGATTGAGTGGCAGAAGATGCCAAAAACGTTTCAAGATGCTGCGATCGTTACTCAGCGATCAGGCTTGAAACATCTGTAGATTGATTTACTGCAAGTCATCCACAAGGGTTTCGCAGCACGACACCAATCTTCAAGCAGATGCATCATCCAAGACGATCCCCTCGACTGGCAAAGGGAATCAGGCAAACGGCTGATATGTTTCGCAACTCGTACCTTACTCTTGCTGCTATCAGCTCTACAGACGATGAAGGAGGCCTCTTTTCCCGCCAATCTCTAGAGTACAGAAGCCATGAAATACCTGTCAAAGGGCCCGATGGCAGACAGTACTCAGTTCACATCCGGAGATCTCTACCCAATGCCGCAAGATTGGCGAAATATCCAGAGTATGAGTGCATAGGAGAGTATCCTCTCTTCGCCAGGACGTAGACTTTTCAAGAGCTGTTCCTTCCCAGCCGTGTTATCCACTTCTCTGGACACCCTTTGCCACATCAGAGTCATGTCGGAAATGGCGTGCCCCATCGTGGTCCTGGACTTCAATCAACGGGGGCGTCGGATTTGGTACCCCCAGACAATCCTTACAAAGAGCACGTCCAAGTAATTTCTTCTGTCTGCACACCAGGTGGACTTGATCCTACGAGGGAAATCAAGTCTGGTTTTCTTCTGCTCTCTGGCCCCTTGGCGAGAGTCACCTTGAGCCCCGGGAATGGACGTCGAAGACGCTTTTCAGAGTTGGGAGATGATGAGTTCCTGTGTTTCGAGCCCGATTACGACTTGACTGAACCTGGGGGTCGCCAGATTTAATTCTGGCGCTACCTTGTACTACCTGAGGATGTTCACTTCCCACCACTTTGATACTCCGATGCCAGATCTTAATCCCCCAGGAGGAACCGTTCGAGAAATCTGCCTGATTTTGCATCCTAAAGGGGGCCAGTCTCTGGTATATCGGAGGGTGGGCATATTGGATGATATGCGGAGGTGCCCCAAGGGCGAGATCTCCGTCTTTTTTGAATGAGTTAACCCTCAAGACATCAAGATCATCCGAGTGTTTATCGATATCAGCAGAGATATATCGGTATCGCGGAACGGCTAATCTCCCTTTGTATCTTCACTTAGACCTTCTTTGAGTCGTCGACTGTGTAGCCCGTCGTCTTTGTCTTTAGAAGAAGCTCAGCAGCACGTGGCAATCTGGTTGATCGCGTTGCTGGGCGGTGGCACGTTGCCGAGTAAGATTCAGTATCTCCGAAATTTCTCCGACACAACGACATCGCATATCTCACAGCGAATTGCACTGTTTAGAATGATGTTGGAGTCCTCCACACGGCGCGCTATATTCAAACATTCTACTGAAATATACATCTACAATGTACTGTCGGTCACAGTTACCGCTACAATGTTGGACTCACAAGCCGGCTCATCGGGACAATTCCACATTCCAAGGCTTACGAGGAATAATGATGTAGCGGGCGGATTTATGCGATGTACAAGACAATGGGTTACTCGCTTGCTGGTGATGTTTGACTTGCTGGGCGGCTGCTTCCGGCTGGTGCGTGGGCAAGTTCTCTGCTCAAGCCTACGTGAGGGTAGCTGAGGTACTCGAGCTTAGCAGCGGTGGTGACTTGACCCGCTTAAGAGCGGTATGGCATCCAGCAGCATCCTTATCAACGATGGCGTGCTCTACAGCAAAGTGAACGAAAAGCTTGATCATTCAGTCGGTCCTCAGTCCGGTTCCTTGTCGTCGATTCTCGACCAATTCCCAGCACTACTCTCTCGGTTTCCTATCTTCACCGTTCCAATTGTGACGACCCACAAAGACGTAGCATTCCAATGCACTCACATTGTCCGTCACAATGGTCTCAAAAGATCCCAAGAGCTGCCTCCATGTTGTCGGACTCGTCACTAGATTGGAAAGAGCCACCGGGGCCCGAGGCCTTGGCGTTTGTTTATCGCCTCGCTTTGTGGTGAAGGGCATCGTGACTGCCTCCGGACACGCCGCTAAGGATCTGATCGGCATGTCCGTTCCACGTGGGCCCACTATGCCGGCGTTGTTCCTGCCCTGCATAACCGCTCTACTTTTACCTTTCTGGCGTATATTCACACCTTCGCGCAGTGCCCTCCTCACAGAGCTCGCCCTTAAATATCCAGTCGTTTCCGCGCTCTTGCTCTTTTCATCCACCACTGGACACCCATCCTTCTCTCGACTGGCATACCAAATTACAACCATCGCTCAAGCACTTTTTCAGAGCACAGTCGCCCCACGACACTCGCTCCACTACGATCAATTGCCCACATACTCAACAGCAACGATCCAGTTCTCATGGCTGGCGCCACGCTTTTCACTCTCTTGATCGTCCTCGTGGTGTATCTTCTGAGCATCATCTACAAGGAACACACGATTCGACTCGCTCATGGCAAGCTTGCTGCTCAGCATGGCTGCCAACCAATCGCCTCCAAATACCCACTCAAGGACCGCATCTTCGGTCTGGACTTCGTTATTGAGAACCTCAAGTGTAGCTCAAGCCATTGCTACCTCATCAACAGTCTGCGCCGCTTCCAGGAAGTTGGAGGCACTTACACCTTGCGCATCTTCGGTCATCCGATGATACAGTCGATCGAGCCGGAAAACGTGAAAGCAGTCTTTGCCACCAAAGAGAAGGATTGGCGACTTGGAGAGTATAGGACTGTCTCTTTCCGAGATCTGCTTGGAGTGGGCATTTTCACCCTCGATCGCCCGGGATGGCAGGAATCTCGCGCTTGGCTCCGACCGGCGTTCGAGAAGAAGCGCACGGCCGATGTCGAGCTCTACGAACGGCACATTGGTCACCTTTTTCAGCAACTGCCGCATGATGGCAAGACAGTAGTCGACCTGCAGGACCTGTTCCTAAAGTACACCATGGACTCCTCCACTGAGATCCTGTTTGGAAAGTCGGTCGACAGCTTGCTTCCCGAATCGAAAGAGGATGTGATCGCCAGTGGCTTTGCAGCGGCATATGAAAGCGCAAAATGGGATGTATTCAAGAACGTCCAACTGTATCCGTTTGGCCAGTTCCGCAGCAAGAAGGCCTTCAATGCCAACGTTGCCATTGTCAACCAATTCGTTGACCGCTACGTAAAAATGGCCATTGATTACCAGGGCAGCTCTGAGGAAGCCGATCAAGAAGGCGGATCCGTCTTCATGATGGAGTTGGCGAAGAACACCACCGACCTAAAGCGCATCCGCTCAGAATTACTGAGTCTCCTGCTCGCCGGACGCGATACCACAGCGGCTCTCATCTCGAACACGTTCTTTGTTCTCGCTCGTCGTCCCGACATCTTGGCGAAGTGCTATGCCGAGGTTGCCACCTTCAATGGTGGTTTGCCTACACTCGAGCAGACAAAGAACTCCAAGTACATCAGCTGGCTGCTGAAGGAGTCCCTCCGAGTGCACACCATCGTCCCTGTCAACACCCGCACCGCCGCCAAGGACACGATTCTCCCAGTCGGCGGTGGCCCCGACGGCAAGTCACCAATCTTCGTCGCGGAGGGCACTCAATTCGTCTCGTCCATCTACGCCATCCATCGCCGCAAGGACATCTACGGCGATGATGCAGACGACTTTAAGCCAGAGCGCTGGGCAGACGACACCCTCCGGCCCAAATGGGGATATCTTCCCTTCCTCGGTGGTGGTCGTATATGCCCTGGTCAAGGCCTTGCCATGACCGAGGCCGCATACACAATCATTCGCCTTCTGCAACTGTTCAAGGACATCAAGGCAGAAGATCCGACGCTCGAATGGCAAGAAGATCTCGCCATTACCTGTTGCAACCTACATGGTTGCCGAGTCATCCTGACTTCGGCCTAGACGGCTTTCGTCTCCGACTCGGCATGATTTCACCGCGAATTGCCAAGTGAGCATTCGCGGATATCTGAGTCCAACGTGTGCCTGTTACGCTTTACGACATCATGCCTGGTACAACCTCTGTTGCGAATTGATACCCGGATCTCGCTTTTCTTTGCTTTGTTTCTTCATGAGATTGCTCTACTTGGGACTTGCTTGCAGACTGCTCATCTTGCTTTGGACATTTTGGCGTCACACTTGGTAGCGTGCTCTCTGCGGCGGTTTGATCCTTGCTGCATTGGCTCTGCTTTACTTTGGTTTTTCGTTTTGCTGCGCTCGCATTCCATAGACATAGACTAAAATCAGAAAATCGAAGGGCTTGAACTTTAGCTACGATTCTCTTACTAGATACGTGATATAAACATGAAGTCCTTATGATCCGATTCGACTACTGACCTGAGGTGCCTCTCTTGAGGTAACAGTAAGGTTAGCCGCTTGTCCCACAGCTATCTAACCTGCCACGCGTTGTGCGAGATCGACTCGATGCCCACGATCACACGTGGCCGGAGGATCGTCCTTCAGCCCTACAGCCTTAGAAAGTGGCGGCGCTTCCGTTTGCAAGGGCGATCTTGTCTTTCTACTGGAGTACCGCTCAAATCTAAAACAGACATCTCTAAAGACATTCGACCAAGGTATGCAGAGTTCTACCCAACACCAACGCTGTGCTAATCCGAAACCTCGCTATGCAACTCAAGGAAACACGACATAAATTATGGAGTTATGAGAAGAAAAGCTTCTTCGCCTTCACCGGCCGCTCGACCGCAACCACGGCGTCATTTCTTGGCCTGCCTCTTTTCCTCTTCACAGTGACGGCTGGTCTCGGCTGCGCAAGGCCCTTGGATGGCACAAGGACGTGCGGCGAGCCCTCCGAGGCAGCCGGAGTTGTGGGTGTCACGTCTTTAACCGTGTCTCTGATAGCCGATTTCGAGAGACAGAAGTCCATGTGCGCATTGAAGGTCTGGTCGTTGGCGGGCTGCGGCAGTAGACAAACGGGACAGTCCCATGTTTCCTCGGGCTGCGCGTCCTCGTCGCTTTGTTTGGCGCTGTTCGGAACTTTGCCGCGGTGATTGACACTGTTGGATGTGGCCTCGGAATCGACACCCAGCGCTTCTCTCCAGGCAAAGCCGTTGTCGACGGTTGGAGCTTTGCTGGCTTCACCACCCTGCTGTTCCTGGCTCAATGCCTCCATCTCGTCCATTTCGTCCTGTCGTTCCTGCCTTGCTGCCTCCTCGAACTCGGCCTCCGGCCAGACCTCCCAGCCATCGGCGTCGACCTCTCTCTTTGTCTTCTGCTCTTCGTCGACAGACATTGTCCGCTTGAACGCACCGAAGAAATCGGTCCCACCTTTCTTCATGCTCACGATGTGTGTAACCCGCAGGCCCATCAGCCGAAGAGTCATACCGGGTATCTCCTTCTCGAGCTTGCTCAGCATCGGCTCGCTATACCTGTACAAGTCTTCCTTCTTGTAGATTGCGTAAGGCGGCGCATACTGCCTACTCAACACCTCGTACGTGTGCAGCTTGATCTTGAGCACCAGCGTGCGACCCTTGAATTGCGTCCTCTCAAGATCTTTCTCCAGCTCCTCGGCAATATGCCGCAGCTTCTCCCTTAGCTCAGCTTTGCCCGACGTGTCGCGGAAGGTCGATTCGGTGCCCACGGACTTCCTCTCATGCTCCTCCGCTGGACGAACATCAGTGCGGCCGAGGCCAAGGTAGCAATTTATGAGGAAGTGGAACGCTTTCTCGCCAAACAGCCGGGCCAAGTACTGCCGCTGCTCGTAAATATCTCCGCATGTCTTGATGCCAATAGCATCCAACTCCCGCTCAAACACTCGCCCCACCCCATTAACCTTCCTCGTCGGCAGCGTCGCCATGAAATCCACGATGACCTGCCTCTCAGCCGGCAGTCTAAACTGACCGTTCGGCTTATTCTTATTGCTGCAAATCTTGGCCAGTTTCGCATTCGCCGCAATGCCCGCGCTGATGGTGATCCCGCACTTCTCACGCACCTCCTCCCTAAGCTGCCTCACGACATCCTCGGGCTGCATACCATGCTCGCGGCAATACTCCGTGATGTTCAGATACGCCTCGTCGATCGACGAGCTCTCGAACCTAGGGTCGTACCCCTCGAGCACCGCCCGCACCTCCCGCGCCTTGGCGGTGTACTTCTCGAAGTTGAGCGGCAGGCACACCAGCTGCGGACACAGCTTCAGCGCCACGAAGCCGGCCATGGCGCTGCGACAGCCAAACTTGCGGGCGTGGTAGTTGCACGTGGTCAGCACGCCCGTCCCCACGGCCATGGGGACGTCGCGCAGCTCGGGCCGGTCCAGCTCCTCGACGGCGGCGTAGAAGGCGTCGCAGTCGATGTGCACGATTGTCTGCGACAGGTCGCGCGTCGCTTCGAGCTGTATAACCACATCATCGGCTTTGCGCAGCTCGCGCGACAGGTCTAGCCGTTCCAGCTGCCGCTTCTTGGCCAGGATGCGGTTGATTTTCACGGTGAGGGTCGCGTCTTTGGCGGACTCGTTGGCGAAGAATTTGGAGCCTTTCGAGGCCTCGAATATCACTTCCGAGACCTTGCGCTGGTCTACGGCGTCTTGGCCGGCTTTTGTGAGGGAGGGGCCGAGGAGGTGGTATTTGAGCGTGTGGTGCTGGGAGGCTTCTGGCGGGGCGGAGGCGTCTGAGGGGCTGTCTGAAATGTTTGGGTAATCGTCTTGGGCGTCATGTTGGGCGATTGACTCTCGTCTGGTATCTGATGGGCGTGATGGCGGGTCTGGAGATGGTGGTGCGGACATTGCTGGAGTGCAAGCACTGTGCACTGTGCTGCGGGAGGCGTCGCGGGCACAAAGTGGTTCAGCGGTGACGCGAAGAAGCGCGAACCCTTGTCGGAATTGGCGTGGACCACTGGACCGAGACGGACTGGCTGGCCTCTGGCCTCTGGCCTCTGGCCTGGCGGGAAGGCTACTGCACCATTGCTTCACAGGGTTCATCGCAGAGTCATGGAACAACAGGCGTAAACAGCGTAAACAATGTACTTCTACAACCCCCAGTGGGAGTGGAGTGTTCCGCAGCTCTGGTGGTATTCTGAGTTGCTGTCTTGATCGAGGGCGCGCTTTGTTGACGATCGTGACTCTTTGACCTCGACCGCATCAGACCAGTACAGGGTTCCCCCGAATATACACACATAGGTACGCCCGCCCAAACACCACCACGTATGCTCACACCCTACCCGCCAACATGCTTGAGCTGGACTCATGCACGACCAATCTGTAAATCCACTATCTTCAAGCAACAATGTCGACGAACAAATCAAACAAACCCACCAACAATGGCCGACCGCTCATGCCCGCTCTCGCCTCTACCAGGACAGCAAAGACTCCTGTCACACCAAAGCTTGCCGTCTCCACTACACCCGCGAGCACGACCAGACGGCCCACCAAACCTGACATCGAACCAATACCCAAACCCGCCTTGAGGGAGGACATGTCGACACCCGTCAAAGCGTTTCTGAGCACCAACATCACACCACGCTCTTCATCTCGGAAGTCACACATCGGAAGCCGGCAGTCCACGCCCAGTGGCACACCAACAGGCACGCCCAGCGACGCGCAGCCAGCCTCGACACCTGTGCTGGACAGACCCCGAGGGAGAGGCAATCGCGGCATTGAGTTTGGGTCGGGCAGCGGCTATAGCACGGCCGCGGTACGGAGGCCAAAGAGCGTGGTCAGCGGCGTATCCACCTGCCATACGGCGCCTACAGTCAAGTCGCCGAGTATAGCGGGCTCCCGGACCCAGAGCCCAGAGCGGGAGAACTCCATGTTCTTCCACACCAGCGACCCGAAGCCACAGGAGCCGTCCCAACGACCTCCTAAACCATCCTCGACCTTCTTTTACGCCAACGGGGATCAAATAACCCCTGACGAGCGACCTCCTGCCCCATCACCGCCCCTTTCCGCCGTCAGCAGGAGCAGCCGGCCACAAAGCGTCTTCTTCCACGCCGACGGCACCTCCGAAACACCTCCACTCATGGCGTCCTCACCAGACTCGTATCTGGCTGCCAGCAATCCCGCACAGTACCCGCCGAGTCTGCGGCCGCCATCACCTGCGAAGGACAGCATCCACCTCTCCTACCGTAAAGGCGCATCCCAGGTCATGCGGCCGGCTATGCACCGGCCATCGATCCTTCCCCCCATCTCAACGCCTCCCACGCACACCCAGTCCGTCGAAGGGAGCTCGAGCCGAAGGTCCAGCGCCGGTTCCGCAGCCGGCACTTTTCGCCACGGCCACGCCAAAACCGCCTCCATCTCCTCCGTCGACTCCGCCAGATCCGCCAGCAGGACATTCCCCAGCAACGCTACCACCCCCACAGCAACCAAGCACGCGAGTCTGCACACCCCGCTGCACAACACCTGGTCGCCCTCCTCCCCGACAACCAACGCGCCCGCGCCCCGCTCCCGCACCGCTTCCCTGGCCTCGGAACCACGGCGGCAGCCTCACGCCACCACCCCAACCTTCCCCCCCACGCACCCGCAGACGCAACGCCAGCCCTCCATCTCGCTCCCTCAAAGCCCGACCAAAGCGACCTTCGCGCCCCACGGCCAAAGCGGGCAGTCACTGCAGCAGCTGAACGAACTCGCCGCCTCGGCCCGCCGCGAGCGCAAAGTGCTGGACCTCGAGATCTCGAACTCGAGTCTGCTGGCCATCAACCGGCAGCTCGAGCGGCAGGTGTGGCGGCAGAAGGCCGAGTTGCGCCGGTGGAGGCGGCTGTCGAGGCGGGAGCGATTCTCGGCGGCTAGCGGTGTGAGGAACGAGGTCGGCGACGAAGAGGGCGAGGGTGATGGCGAGGGCGTTGTAGACGGCGCGTCGGGCCTGCTGGACAGCGACGACGACTCCAACGACTCCGCCGAAGGCTCCGACGATGGCTCCGACTCCTCGCTCTCGCCCTCAGCCCAAGCGCACAGAGACTCGCGGCACAGGCTCAAAGACGAGAAAAGGCTCCGCCTCGACCTGAGCAGACACAGGTCCCTCCTCGTCGACTCGCAGAAGCTGAACCAGAGCCTCAAGCGCTGTCTCGGCTGGACAGAGGAGCTGCTGACCGAGGGCAAGAAGGCGCTCGCGTATCGCGTCAGGGTGTCGGATGTGAGGCTTGGCGGGCGCATCCTTGGTGTCGGGGCTGGAGATGAGGGCGAGAGCTTGAGTGTGGCGGACGAGGAGGAGGAGGAGCTCGAGGGCATTTCGGCGCTGTCTGGGCTGGGCGGCGGAGGTGGAGGTGGAGGCGGGGGTTTACTGGGGGTGTGGAAGCCGCCGGATCGGGGCCAAGGGGCGGTTGGGGGTGGAGCGGAGTTTGAGGAGGAGGGCACGGATAAGGATAGTGGCGTTGAGATGGAAGGGAGTCATGCTGCGTCAGGGCATGAGGGCAGGCGGTCGTTTGTCCTGCGAGAGTCGTTCTGACTATCTGTGGCCTTTTTGGCTGTTCTGATAGCTTTCCTTTGTCAGTGGGTGGTGAGCCAGCGTTCGTGACAGGGCGCCATGGGTCAAGGGGGTGTTATTGGGTCGACGGCGCTGTTGTACTCTTTCGTTCACGGAGAGCGAAAGCCGGGGAATCGCGGGGGGCCAGATACCCTCAGCGGTTTGGGGATATGGACACCAGTGCAGTCTATAGCTGAAGCCGGCCAAGATGTTGAAACTCATCTCCCAATCGTGGAAACAGCAATTCTCTAATGGTACCGTAACCGTCTAGAACTCGGTGATAACAGAATCTCATTGGGATTGTTTACTTGGCGAACCTCGCGGTGATCTATACATAGTCCAACACAGACCGACAGCTCTACCGGCTGCTGGGGTTAGAGTACAGGAAAAATACGCTTGGGTAGGGCGGGCGGTCTGCCGCATACACCAATCCCGACTCCTCAGTCCACCAGCAGACTCTGCAGACGTGCTTCTGTCGTGATGACCTGTAAATCTCGTCAGTATATCCGCACTAATATAGTTGAGCCCCAGGGTGGAAAGAAGACTCACATCCAGCGCCTGCTTAACCTCAAGCACCCTCCTCGCCTCCGCAAGCCAATCCCTACACAGCACCTTCGCCCACCCCTGCAGCTGATTCACCTCTCTAGCCGCCTGATCCACATTCCCCTCCTCAAGCAGCAGCTCCGCCCTCGCAAGCACAGACTCAACATCATTCCCCACCGGCAGCCCGATAGCACCCTTATCCTTCCTGAACATGAACTTGCTCAGCAGCAGACTCGCGGCATGGCTCGCCACTCCCGCGTTCTCGGGCAGCAGGGCCGCCTTGCGGACCTCGTGGGCCACGAGCCGGAAGCGGTCGATCAGCTGCGACGTCGTGGAGATGCCGCGCTGGTATGCGCTCGGGTTGATGCTGGCGATGGCTGCATTGACGACCGGGTCGTCGCGTGCGGTCTCCTTCAGCGCGACTAGCTCGTCCACGAACGGCTTAGGGCGATCGGCGGCTTCGAGCGCGTTGCGCACGGCCTCGACGGCGACGACGAGGTGCTGTGTCTTCAGGTTGGCATCGACCACTGAGTTCCACTCGGCTGTCAATCTCTCGAGCTCAGCGACGGAGGAGGAGAGCTCGTCGAGCTTGCTTAGCCGGCCGCCGCGCTCCGTCTCGACGCGGTCGCGGACGGACTCGGTGCACTGGCGCTGCAGAGATATCGCTTGCTCGAGGAGCTCGTTCTTCAGGCGCTGCTCGTGGACTTTCTTCGTCGTGTCCAGCTCGCTGCGGAGCTTGTTGTCGTACGTCTCGGACAGCTTCTGGCGCTCGGCTTCGTATTCGTCCTTCCAGCGCGCTTCTTGCTCCTTCATCTCGGCTTCAAGCCGGCGCATCAGCTCCTTGGCGGCGGCATCGAATTCCGTGTGCGATGCGCGGATCTTGTCTTCGGCCTCTTTGTTGATGGTCGCCTTCATGGTGGTGATGTCGCTGAGGACCTTTCCGAGCTCGCCCTTTGCTTTGTCGATGGTGGAGGAATACTTGCTTCCAGCATTGTCTGCGTTGACCACCGTGATGATGTCGTTGAGAATTTTAACAACTTCTTGGACGACAGGTTCATCCGCACCCTCCACCTTCAAGTTGTCGATCTGGGCTGCTGGAACTGGCTTGGGCGGCTCAGGAGCTGGCTGGGGAGGTTCGGCGGCTGGTTTAGGAGGCTCGACAGCAGACTTAGAGGGCTCAGTGGAGAGTTTGTTAGGTTCGGATGCAGCATTAAGACGCTCGGCGGGAAGTTTGGCAGGCTCAGCGGCGGGCTTGGGCTCAGGCTTCGATGGGCCCGGATCTTTCTTGTCTTTTGGCGCCGGCTTCTCGCTAGGTGATTTCGCCGGCTCCTTCTTGGGTGCCGGATCCTTGTCCTTCTTGGGATCCGCCGAGATGCCGCCCGAATCCACCGTATCCTTCGGCTTGGCCTGCTCAGGGTTCTGTTTGGCCTGCTCCTTGGCAATCTTGTTGTCCTCTAGCGCGCTGACATGGCGACCCTTCGACAACAGATCCGCTTTATTGGGGTCCGATTCTCCCGTGACCCTCGATGACAGCCCGCTGTTGCTCGGTATCTTGACCTTGTTGTCGTCTCTAACTTCGTGCCGTCTTGGCGTTGTATTCTCTGGAAAACGCTTGCGGAACTCGCGCTCTTCAAAATATGCGACGGCGTCTTCGCCGAAGGGCACGTATTCGGTGAAGAAGTCATGGAAGTTGTCGTTGACCAAGGCCATATAGACGGAGCCGCCGTATCCAAGCGCGCTCAGAATGAGCATCGCCGTGAGAAATCGTCGGAAGCGACGCGGTTTCCGCTTCGGAGCTGGGGGTGGAGGTGGTGGTGACCCAGACGGCGGAGGGGCGACGCTCGATGTACCAGTCCCCGTAGGCGGTAACGGAGTTGGAGGTGTGGAGGTTGACGGTGGTGGTGTAGCTAGTACTGAATCCGACGACGTAGTATGAACTGACTCGGACGGCGTAGCTTCCACTGACTCTGGCGGCGTAGCCTGCACTTCTTCTGGTGAAGGCGGCTCTCTAGGAATATTCTCTAGAGGTATCGTCGCAATGGGATCTGTCGATGGGTTCACCGGCGTGGTTATGGGCTCAGCCGTAACATCGTCGAGGTTGATCTTCGGCGGCGTGCCGGGAAGGGTCGTGTCATCCGGCTTCTTGGTGTCTGCAAAGTATCTCTGATAGCGTAGCTTGGTTAGATCTTGCTTCTGACTTGGTCAATGGTATGCTGAAGGGGAGCGGTACCTGGGCGAACATTGGGCTTCGCTGCGGAGCGAGCTGCCATTGAGGTCTGCTGGTGCTGCGAGCTCCAGCAGCGACAGCTCTACCGCTTCGTAAAAGAGAGACACGCAGCATGGTGAGCTGCTGGGGGCGGGGGAAGCTTCAACAGTCTTTGGTGGTGGTGGTGCAAGATACGATGCGCGGCCGCTGGTTTTCGCGCGAGACCAGGAGCTCGGGCTTTCTCGTGAGGCTCTGCTCGACCTCAAACCCCCAAATAATTACCTACACCACCTGGCCGCATTCGATACTCAGTCTGCAGATGGCGTCAAGGTATGTCAAGAGCCAAGTGGCCAGCAGCGCGTCTGCCGCGGCTGCTCAGCGCTCTTAGCCAATGGTTACTTGTGGGACGACATTGTGTGTAATGCAGGAAGCTACCATGCAGAGCACCCATCAGACGCGGCAAGGTGGTGTACCTACGGTATACGCAAGCAACAACAAAGGAACGTAGCGGTGCGCGTGAGTGAATAGGCTCAATGGTCATACATACTGTAGCGTTCATTTCTTTCAATATACCCAGCATTTTACCTCTGTTCAGGAAGGAGTTGCTCAATAGCGCGGTGTTGATTCACGCAGCCTACCATCTGGAATACATCCGGCTGCATATGCACAGTTAATTATAGGCCTTGCAGCCTCGCCAGCCTTGGAACAACCACTCGAGGCTCCGCCTCCCCACGTATCTACATCTTTGGCCGCTCATTCGAACATGCTCTCTTTCATCTCGTCCATTCCCTCAAGTCTCCATCAAAATCTCCATCTACCAATCCAGATCCTCTATTATTAAGACCTTAGCGGAATCTTCGCGGCGGGCCGTGTTCCGGCCCACTCCAGGCAACATTCGAATCGGAAGAGTGTCAGCCTTGCTGGAAGACCGCACCTCGACACAGCTCGCCTCTCGCTGATTATCGCCCGCACCGCGAAGGTCACCCTCTGACGATCGGTGTATCCTTGTCGGAGACCAACGGACTCAACTCCCGCTTCCAGACAGCAGCCTAAATCCAGAATGGCGGAGCCAAAGTGCCCTACATCTACCGCTCAATCGTATGCATCGATCACAAATACCCAACCTTGGGAGCCCGGTGTGTTGACGCGGACACCGTGGTCCGGGCTTGCTGCACTCCTTGGAGCCGTTGTATGCGCATGCCTTACTGTTGCGGTTCTGGCAGTCTCGGATGGTCAGCCAGTTGTCGATTGGTCCATCCGGCCTCCTGTCTACCTGGCTATACTTTCCGCCCTAACAAACGCACTTCTCCGATTTGCATTCAGCAAGGGAGTAACAATTGCTTGGTGGACGGAGTCACTCCACGGTGGCACTGTTGAGAGTCTACATCGAAACTGGGGCTACGGAGATAGCATCTGGGCTGTTATCTCGCCGACGCGGCACTTTCACTCCCTACGAGTGGCCGCCTTCATTGTAGCCTTTGTAGCTATTGATGGCCCTCTTCTTCAACGTGCTTCTTCGGTTAGCACGGCACAGCATCATTCTACCGTATCCTTGACACTCCCAATCCGACCTGGGCCTGTATTCAATACTACTTTGGTCCTCGGCCGTCTGGGCCCCGAGGATGTAATTCGGAGCCGGAACGACTACACTGCGGAGTTTTCCGACATAGCCCAAGCTTACACCAACAGAAAGGAGCTCATCCTACATCCGAACCGTTGTCGAGGGACATGCGAGACGACAGTAGCCGCAGCCGGCTTCAGCGCTGCCTGTACGGCAAATCGTACAGCAATAGCTGACGTACCAGGCTCGGGTGCCATTGACGATGAGTTTGGCATATACACAATACAGAGAGAAGTGTTTTTCGCGGTAAGCGTCGAAAATGCCCCCGACTATACCATTGCCGTTCGGGCCTTCTTTCGAGATAAAACGAATGAAAAGACAGTGGCAATGCACTACTGCAAGTTTTTCCCTGCCATTGTCTACTACGATATACGCGTGACGAACGGAACTATATCACTTCTTTCTTCGCCTACCTCCAAACGAATCCTCGAGCTAGTCCACCTAACGGGCACCAGCTTCGGCCTACTGCTGAATGGTGGTTTCGCGCTCGCCCTAGAAGACCAGTACAACGGCTCCGCCGTTGTTACCGACCGGAGTGGGGTCGCGATTTTACGGACAATCTTTATGTATGGCCCAGTTGCCAGGCGATATATGTCAAAATTCTCTAGTGGAAGCGAAGTTGACACTTACTCCTTCGCAGATCCTATGCCAGATATCTTCGCTACCCTGGATGAGCTGTCTCTGAGGTACGCTATGACGGACATTCCCATGATGGATCCGGATAGCTGGGGCGCCGTTCAAATTCTTGAAGAAGGGAACGTGAACAGGTGGCTAGAAGCTCATCCAGGCGAAACACCCGCTACACTACTCAGGCCTAATCAAACCGTGCAAGCGAGGCAGACCGAACTGGTTCCGGTCTACACTTCAAACTACCCTTACCTCGCCGCGGCGCTCGCAGTCATGCTCCTAACAACAACGAGCATTATCCCCACCTTCTATGGCTGGTGGCATCTCGGCCGCCCGATGACGCTGTCACCGATCGAGATTGCAAAAGCATTCGACGCCAAACTGCTCAAAGACGCTGGCAGCAACGCCACCGCGGAGGAGATCGTTACGTTGCTCGGTAGCCGCAGAGTACAATATGGCGTATCCAAGGGCCAAGAGCTCGTTGATATGCCACCGAAGGTCGGCATCACGATGCCGAACATCAAACCTGTGGTGAATGAGGGAGCTGAAGAGTATGATGGGATGGTCTCCTTGAGCGAAACGGAAGACAATGCTTTCATTGAGGGAGATCGCACTTCGATCGAGGGAGATAGCACTTCAGTCGAGAGGGATAGCGCACAGGTGAAGCATTGGAGCGTCTGTCGCAACAATGCTAGTTTGGAGTGTGTTGAAATGCAAGGCGGAGCCGTGTCTCAGCTTATGATGATGGATGCCGCTGATGTTACGGAGCCGAGGAAGGGCGAGATGTACGGATAGTTAGAGGGCCAGGCAAGATCACACAAACGCTAGAGACCGTATGTAATAATCGAAGGAAAGCAGTAGACCGAAGACTACTTCTTTGAATGTCCTTCAAACGTCCGAACTGATCACGTGACAGAGATGCAATGTTGCAATGGTAAAATCTCAACAGATTCAATGACACATGATGCAACCATGACATCCTAAGAACTTCGGGCAATCTAACGCAGGCTGCAATCGAGGTGGACCAGCGAGTCTCGGAGATACCTGTGATCAATGCAACGGCCAAGCTTCGCATCCCTAACTGATGAAGATCAGCAAAGCCCTCGAAAATCGCCAAGCAATGAGGCTCCCAGCCAGTCTCTCCAACATCACCCCTTCATGCCTTGGCCGCAAAAAGCTGTCGATTAACGTAGAGAGGTAGGCAGGCTATTGCTGTAGCACTCACCTTTCACTAGTGAGACTATCCGGCCCAAATTTAAGCCATGTTAGGCGTCGGCCATCTAGAACCAGCGCTATTAATAAGCGGCAAAGTCTCTATCCAAGTAGATACGTGTATCCCCCTTCTCCTACATCAACCAGCCACTTATTAGACTCTTCACACCCCTCATCCCTCGCTGTCTTGAAGTATACTACGAGACTTCCGCTCTCCGTACTATCCACATCCCATTCAATCAAAGTGCAACTTCGCCTCCAGCACCGAGCCCTTTCCTCTCAGAATGTCCTCAAATATATTGCCTACGACTATTGCCGGCGCAATCTTTGGCGCATCTTTGGCATCGTCCGGTGTGTTCCTGCCCTCAGTCATCGTCTCCCAGATGCAACTGGCCAGCTTCCACATGTTGAAGGTATTCATGGCGGCGAGCGCCAGCAGCGCGTATGTCACTCGCCCCCTCCAGCAACCGCAACACCTACATCTCTGACAAACCCTCCCAGTCTCATTATGGCCTTGTTCTCGAGAGCGGGCCTTTCGCAGAATAAACCACGCTCCCCATCCTCCCTGGGCTGGTTCGGTACGTACGACGGCAACATCATCGGCGGCATGATGATCGGCTTCGGCATGGCCCTCACGGGCGCATGTCCGGGCACTGTGCTCGTACAGCTCGTCACGGGCGTCCGTTCGGGCTGGGCTGTCATGGCCGGTGGCCTTCTCGGCGGGATCCTCTACTCCAGACTCTCTGAACCTTTCCGCGGCAGGCGCCCGGCTACTGTTGTCGATGCCAACAGGCTCACCGTACACAGCAAGCTCGGCATAGATACACGCTACGCTATCCTGGCTTACGAGGTTATGTGTCTGGCGGTCATCACGCTGGTGACGGTGTTTGGTCCCAAGAGCCCCTTCACCCTGCTCCATCCCATGGTCGGCGGAACCCTGATTGGCGGCGCACAGGCGGCATCGCTCCTCTTGACCGGCAACCCCGTCGGGGTATCGACTGCGTATGAGCAGGCGGGGTGGTACTTCTGGCGGGCGTTTAGCTCGGTGCTTGGACAGGGCCCGAAGAGCACCCCGCCGCCATCAACGAAGTCCGTGTTCTTTGCTGCGGGGATCGCGGGAGGCAGCTGGGTCATGGCACGGTCTCTGCCTTTCGTCGCGGTGGAGACGGAACCGGCGGTCCCGCTTGCAAGAGCGCTGATTGGGGGATGTGTGATGGTTCTTGGAGCAAGAATCGCTGGTGGGTGCACGTCGGGTCATGGGATTAGTGGGATGTCTCTGCTTTCAGTGGCGAGTATCATTACGGTGGCTGCGATGTTTGCGGGCGGTATTGGCTTGGCTGCTGTGGTTTTGTAAAGTTTCGATGGCGGTGTTCGAGAACCGTTGGATGTAACATATTCGAAACTCAGCTGCCATTGGGCTGGACATGCCAACGTGTAGCTGACGGTCACGAAGAGTAGATCTAGTTAAGTCGTGGATAGTTTACATCTCCGGGATCTGCAAGCTGATCGATGCACGAAAGACTTCAGCTGCTGAGTGGATCAATGTCTTGATTGTGGAAAAGGAGTGCAGTGTCCTCAGTAGTGTAACAATGCATAATTAGCTCGGTCGAGCTTCAGTGTCCATTTTTGAACACCTCAGCCGTTGGACTGCCAGATTGTTCACATTCATTCACGTCAAGTCATAAAAAATGCGATGTGGCCATAGTGGAGCTTCAACAGGAGCGAGTCCGTTCTTGATGTTATGGTACACGACGGATGATCTGTGAACCCGTGGAAGCGGCAATTAACGCTCGCCCGGTTGGTTGCCATCAGAAGACAGCGATGAACGCGTCCCACTTGCTATCCCAGATGAAAGGAATCAGCAGACTCTCAAAGAAGCGGAACGCACGAAGATTGACACGAAACCACGATAAAGCAAAGCAAAGCAAAGCAAAACTACCACTCCTACTCATGGAAAAGCAAAACATGAGAACAAGCAGAGGGCTCATAGGGGAAAACTGGAAACAGGACGAATATGACGTTGGCGGGCAACATGTGCGCGGTCTTAATAATGACCAACGAGGATCATGTTCCAGAAAGTGACGGCAGCTGGGCTGCGACGACCGGTCCTCGTTAGGTCAGTAGGGTCGATAACCCGGAGGAGGCGGGGGAGGAGGTGGTGGTGGAGGTGGCGGGTGGGGCGGCCATTGCCTACGGTACTGCCACTCGTGGTCGTAGTCGTAGTCGTAGTTTGATCGCGGGTACTGCTGTGCTTGCCGCTGTGGGTACTGTGGCCGTTGCGGCGCGTATTGTGGTGGATGTTGTGGCACAGGCTGTAGGTACCGCTCAGGATACCGCGGCTCGTCGTATCTGTATTGCTGGGGCGGAGGGTACCAATAAACGTGGGGAGGCACATGTGGTGTCTGATATTGCTCGTATGCGGCCCACGGCGGCGGATAGCCGTAGTACTCTGGCTGTCGCTGAAGCGGGGAGGGATGACGGGCTAGTAAGAAGAATCAGCAAAGTCCGTAAGATAGAAAAGGCCGCATAAGGTCTTACTGGGGGCTTGCCGAGCGGCAGTAGGCTGAGCTACACGTTCGAACTCACGCTCAATACGTGAAGATTCGTTCGAAACTCGATCTACCCTGGCTGCTACCGCTAGTTCGTAGCTCGCCTCCTCCTTCTCTCGAGCCTCTGCCTTTTCCTTTTCGGCTGCGTTTCGAAGCTCCAAGGCGAGCTTTGCTTTTGTGGTGCGCTCAAAATCCGCGCGGGACTGGGCTACACTCCCTAATCGTTTGTACAGACTGTGATCGAGCGGGCGTTCCTTGCCATTGTGGTGCGCGGTTTTGCCCTGCCTCTGATGGTGGGCACAGGCTTGTTGACAGCCCCGCCAGTGATGCCCGGATTGCTCGCAGGTGAGGCACTTGTTCTTATATTCGGCCCTTCTAGCCAAGGCTCTTCCGCGGGACGGCTTCTTTTTCTTAACCGGTAGGGTAACTTCGCCACTGGTTGGGTTAGTGCCGTTGTCTGTTCTTTTCTCCACCGACTTCTCGTCTTTCGCGCTCTTCCCTTTATGCTCCAACCCTCTCTCGATCTCCTCCAACAGGGAATCTACGACGGTCTTCTGGACTTCGCCTTGTGTCTCCGCGTTATTTGCCATGACTGAAGAGCTGATTGATGAGACGTGAAGTTGAACGGTGAAGGGAAAGCTCAACGTTCAAACGACGCGTATGACGCGACGTGATGCTTACATCATCCCAACGAGCGGCCGCTTAGGTGAAGGTCAAATATTTCCACAAATGCGCCCACACGACATCAACCCCTTCATCACGCAAGAGTCGCGTGATTGACACCGCAGAGATCATCGTGCTGTACAAACGGGACTACGTGCAATAGTTCTGAGAGTAGAATGTCTGACACGAGAAGAAATCCGCCGGGCGAATCTTTGACCACGACGCTGAGAGGACCAGCTAACGACGGTGAGATCTCCCCATGCCTTTCATGTATCTTTCCAGAGCTCTGTCTTTTGGAACGAGGGGGTCTGACACTACGTTGCTGCACAAGAGTTTTGTCGTGAAGGTGTTGTTGTTACATTCCCGATTTCTAACTATTACATGTCCGTTTCTCGTCATGGTCGAGCCGCGTCTCCAATCTAGACTACGGAGAAAACTTCTGACACGGTGTAATCTTCAAGCACATCGGACACATCCAACCTGTCGCTTCGCACGGTGGGAGTTGCGGCGGCACAATAAGAGAGTGGTCGGCAGAGCTTCGAAGATGCGTGGGAGTGGTGGGAGTTTGATTGAAGATCGCTGCGCTGCTCGCTCAGAAGAGAGGGAGAGGACGCTCGATATTGTGCGCACGCACATGAGGCACGACGGCACTGGGGACAACTAAGCACCGCTTGCTGCCTTCATCCCGCACGTTGGGCATCCGCAGGCACTGACATTCGCGGCCGAGAAGCCTCCCATGCCGGCGGGCCCGGAGAAGACTTTATCTCAAGCCGCGACAGCCCTACCGGAGTCGCCCGGCGTGCCATCGCAGGCTTCAAGCGCTGCGGGTAGATCGCAGGCCACAGCGGCACGTGATAGGAACTGGAGGCATTCAACGGTGATTAAAGACGACGAAGAAGTGGTAACCACGCCGCGGCCTAATGAAGATTGAGAAGAGAACTTCTCGTGCGGGTTAGGTGGGTCGAAAACACGCGTCCACGTCCGGAAGGGCGAAGTGGAGCTCATTCGAAACGTCGCTGGGTCCCAAGATCCGTCGCTAACCTTGGAAGAGTTGAGCGAAAGCTCGTCTTGAGTCCTGTTGTCTTTGTCGCGGACATCACGTACACCGTAGAAGCATAGTAAATGCTGTTTTCCACAGAAGAGAATTGATTGACTATGACAGATGTGCAGAGTAAATGATGATAGTGACGTCGAACCACAAGAAACCAACCATGTACGTCCACATCCAAGCCCCTTCGACCCAGTGTGTACACCAGTAAATCAACCAATGCGGGGCGCTCTCAATTGTAAAAAGATCAATATCTGGTAGCTGTATCATTATGGGCACTACTATTGATATTTGACGGCAACTCCATGCTGTGTCTACGGGTGTAGATCAGTTGTTTGATGGAGAAGTTCTTAAGGTTGTGTGATGTCACGACCAAGGAAAGGCTGAAAAGAAGCTTGGTCGCTCTAGACACGTGATCGGGGAGCACAGAGCGACAAGCCAGCCACACTCCATTGCAACTCACCATGCTGCGCGCATCTCTTCTACGTTGCAACAATTACACAGCGTCTTATCGGAACCCCGAACTGCACGTTGTAACCATAAGAACAGCGCAGCAGAGAAAGAGACGGAATTTGCTCTGGAATCTTGTTGAGACATGGGAGAGCGGAATGCCGCGGATTTTCTGAATAGCATTTCCCAAAGACTCAGTCAATGTCACTACTAGTGGAGATGACGCTGAGATGATCCCCGATAATCCGCCTAGTTGCGGCTCCAGGGGATTGTTGAATATTAGCACGCGTAAGGGTCGCTTGATATTGGGGTGCGGTACACGTTCAGTACCGTGATGATATCCATCCACGTCTCCTTTGACGTTACCAAGTGCGGCCTGTATATTATGCGGTTCCAAACTTCAGTCAGGTTCGCGGTCTCCGCGTCGGCACCTGATTGACGCTTGCCAAGCTGTGGGGAGCTATTAATACCATGCGGCTGAAATCATGCAGCCTCACAGCCCGCTGTCAGATATCTGTCTGTAACCAACACGGGAACTGCATTGGCTGCGAACGCGGTCCTTCGATAGGCCAGTAACAGACAGATCATACTGGACACTTCACCCTAAAGTCCCGCAGCGCCGCGTCGAGAACGACTGCTCGATCCTTGAAGTTGGACAGGACCCTGATACAAGTCTGCTTCGACATGAGTACAGAAAGCACTCCGGATTCGATCGCTTCTGTTGCGGCTGATTGGTCTGGCCGAGGCTCGCACGTCGACTTTGAGACCGATGAAACAGTTCCTTTGCAGCAGGGAAGATTCCTTGGACACGGCGTCAATGGGGGTGTGTACGAGACCACTTGCAAGGGTGTGGCTCTAGCGTGGAAGAGGAGCTATTGCCGTGGTTTGATTGGCCCTGAAGAACGGAAAGAAATCGAGGTTTTAAAGAAGTTAAGCCACTGTCACATCATCGAGCTGGTCGGAACCTACTCACACGGTCCATTCCTTGGGTTACTGCTCTGGCCCGTTGCTGTGTGTGATCTCGGAATCTTTATGGAAGACTGCGATGTTTTCGAGTTCCATTACCACAGGGGACCGCTGGATAACAGGGCACTTCGGCATGACGACGCAACCGATCTCGCCAAACGCGAACCTCAAATTCAACGGATGCTAGGCCACTTCGATCAATTGGGTCTTCAACTAAACCCGTTTTTCACTGGGAGCGAAAGCTTCAGTCGTCTGGCTAGTCAACTGGGTCAGGGACTAAGCCCATTTTCCACGTATTCCAGAATCTTGAGCGAGAGCTTCGGATGTCTTGCTCAAGCTATAGCATACCTGCATGAGCAGCGCATACGACATAAGGACCTTAAACCATCAAACATCCTTCTTTACCGGGAAGGACTACGCGTAACCGACTTCGGCACCTCTACCGACTTCTCCGCCCTAACAGTGAGTCTTACTGAGAACGGAGAGCGCGGAACGCCGAAATACTTTGCCCCTGAAGTTGCAGCGTTTAAGCCGAATGGCCGGGCGGCGGATATATTCTCCCTTGGTTGCATTTTCTTAGAGATGCTCTTGCTGTTAGTCAAGGCAGCGCCTATGGATGCTTTCAAGGCCCTTCGCCCAGAGGATGACCGTTCTTTCCAAGCCAACCTTCATAGGCGGCACCAGTGGTATAGACTGCTACATGTTCGCGGACCAGTTCTCGAGCATTTGTTGGCCGAGATCAAAATGATGATTGCTGTCGAGCCTAGTCGAAGACCAACTGCAGCAGAACTAGTTGAGCATTTGACGCTTATCAATTGGTTCACAAGGGAAAGCGATGTCGCACTTTGGGGCGAGTGCTGTGCTCCTGCCAATCCCTCGCTCAGCTCCGTAGCAGCAGCTACCGATTCTTTGCAGAATCAATTGCACGCTCGGACGAAAGAGCTGGAACTTGCGCGGGTGGATGCGGCGCTTGCGAGATTTGATGCAGATCTATTGAGAACGCAGAACGCAGACCTTACGGTTAAGGTTAGGACAGCAGAGCTCCAGACATCCATCCTGCATAAAGTGCTTGCAGCAAAACCTGCTGGGGTCGACACCGCTCAGGCGACGGGGATGGGCTTTGATATTCTTGAACCCAAAACGGAAGAGATGGAAGAGAGCTACGTGAATACAGCGCATCCAGAATGGAAATCTGAAATCTACGCATGGAAACCCGGGAAGGAGGTACCGCCCCTGCCCAGAGCCGATGCCTCACAGCCAGTCGGTACTGTACAGCCTACCAATACTGTATCTTCTGGCAAGTCACCTTATAGATATCATCTCGGTCGATGGGCATTAGCAAAACTCACGCCGCAGGTTTCCGACTCGAGCGACGAGGTACGCAGTTTGCGGACTTCTCCGGGTTCTTAGCTTTCTGAAAATATTGTCCTTTCCATGATTGGCTCTGCAGTACCACCTGTGACAATACGATGCTTCCTCATAGAATGTATGGCTCCGAGTGTAGGAGCAGACTGGACTGTGGTGCTACGTGAGTGGTCAAGCTCTGGTGCCTGCATTCATGCATGGCGGGAACCGGTTTGCGAAGCTTTGTGGCAATGCAGAGGCTTTTGGTACATGATCTGGTTGATGTAGCATTTTGCGGGTGTTCAACATGATTGTTCATGCTTCGAAAGTATCCGGAGAATATAAATTTGGAATTTCTTGTCCTTCCGGCACGAGATTGTGGAGACCTTTTCAGCAGCGTAGTACACAGCGATCATAATTGACATCTGGTGAATGCTCGCACTGTGAACGCATTTTCTTAGTATAATAACAGATGCCGTGATGCGGTGCGTGGGTTTTGCGCAAAGTCCAAGCGAGCGGATCGCGGTACACGTGCAAAAAAAACCACAGCCTCAACATTGCATACCGCGGCAGCAAAACTCCTACGAAACCCTTGCTGGCAGATCCTCGCTCTTTCAGATCGATATCCAGTTTTTCCTTGGCGTCCCTCACGACTCCGATCAAGCTTTCAAAAAGAGTGGGTAGATAAAATGCAAAACATACAGCAGTGGGGATTCGCTAGTGGTCACCCACCTAACTACTAATCCACCGATTCAAAGCTTATAAGGTGCCAGAGCGGACGGGATGGCCAGTATTCTTTGATCTATGGCCGTATGTGAAAGTGAATGGTATTTTGTCAATATATATAGTCATCAAACCCCACCTGCAATAATCTCTCTCTCGCTGGCCAGGCCCAACCCAGAGAAGCTCGTACCGCCGCACTCAGCTTCTCTACCAGTGGTAACAGTATGCTCTCAGTTCCATGATCAATTCAACACAGCTAATGACATGGATTTGCCAGTGTCTACCAATCAAACGGGTTGCTCGCCAGTCACTCCACCGGTCCCATCTGCGATATTCACCGTCGATCCGACCACAACTACCATTCAATACCCAATTAGGGTGACCAAACCGCCGCCCGCGCTCAAGCACAACGGCAAGACCCTTAGCAGCAGTCTACGTCCGAAAAACCAAGCGAACCTCCCACGCTTCGGATTCACGAAATCCATAACGACCGCCTCGCCTGCGCGCGATAGTCAAGCAGCGAAGTGTGCGACAAATCGTCTAGAACAGACATCTGAACCTGCCAGAGAGAGGGATGACGACCACGGTGAGGACATAGTGTCGGTGCCCGTCCGCAAGATCACGAGCCAGAGAGACGCAAGCGTCGCACAGTACTGGACGGCAGCAATGATAGTGAAAACGGCCATGGTACGGCAGTAAAGGCACCGGTTCGCAAAGTGTTGCGTTTAAGTTGACCGTCAGCTCCGATCCCCCGGCTAACGAGGACGATGCCTCGGACGACACCGACGGCGACACTATGCCGCGGCCGTCGCCTGCTTCCATGGCACGCGCTTCAGGTTCCAAGGCCGTGGGTCATGACACCAACGATATCGAGGGCGCCACTATGCAGCCGTCTTCGCGCACTTCCGTTCAACGCCCCGCAGCTATTAAGGTCAAGGGTGCCAGTGGAAATAGTACCGAGAAGCGGGGCCCTGAATATTGCTTCCCAGGAGTCTTGAAGTATGGCCGACGTATGGCTCTGCAAGTCAAAGGTGGGGTCACGCTCGAGGCCAGTACGTCCGACGACTGGATGGTAGCTTCAAGGCTGTACAGTGCTAGAGCAGACAAACTCAATTCGGAGACACTTTTCGAACCAACACTGGAGCCCCCTCACACGAACATGATCATCCTAAGGCCGACCACGTCCGAGGGCGGATAAGCCACCCTACCGAGGGGCGGTCGGGAAAGTTAAGCGTCTCCGCTTCTTGATAATCTTTCTTAGTCTTGATTTCTTAGCAACTTAAGAGGCTGGAGCATAACAGACCTTCATCATGGTGCTCTAGACACGTTGTGGCAATTCGATTTATCTATGTGATGTAGATTTGTTATTTTTTGATTAGGCCTCGTACCGCCGCCATTACGCAGGGTGGCTATGACAAAATCTACCCGACATTGGTCATGCTCAGCGCGAACTGCTTCTCGCTCCGCGCAGATCGTTTCTTGCTTATCGTTGACCCATTCATCACGATGGACACCGAGCAAACGCGTAAGAAAGGCATGACCGGTTTGCCTGTTGGACTATCAGTCTTTCCTACACCTTCCTGAATAGGAAGGTGTAGCAATGACTTAAGCTAAGAGCTCAGCGATTTGTGTTTCCCCACAGACGCAGGGGAACAGAATGATTGACACGGTCCGAGGATCTGCAGCCGTTTTAACTTCAACTTTACCTGTTCGAGCCGCCACAGTTAAACCCGATATCCTATCAGCTGGTGGGGTCTTTAGTTCGTGCACTCACTCACTCAGTTCGGGTAAGGGTAGCGCCGCCGCCAAGACACGCATGCACGGACCAAGTCTGGTTACGATCAATACCATGTCGAATTGCTTGATATTGCTTGGAGTTACCCAGGTGACCCTGCTTTCACCTTCCTATTTGAAACTTAAGTGTGGCTATCGAATCCAGCGTCCAATTCAGTGTCACTGCAGATCGTCTCTGACATCACAAGAATCTCTAATTCTCCCCTTCGCAGTGGGAACGGCTCGGTACTTCCGCAACATACCCCATTTCATATCATTAGCTCCAAACCCAACTGTGGAGTTCTAAATTCTAGACTTATCAGATGTCGCCCTTCGCTTCAAGACCCACCGAACAGCTTCCTGTTCGAGACTTGTGCCCGCTCTAGTGCGCTTGCCGTCGGCAAATCTCATGATGTGACTGTGTAGGTCGGGGACCACCAAGGTGGGTGGAGAAGACTATATGAAGGCAGCGAATGCCCTTCATCAACTTCAGGTGTACAGTCTTGAAGAGATATATCCTCGTCTGCTACCTCAAAACAATATCTTCTTAAAGCTATGCGGGGCCTCCTGCTGGCAGCTCTTGTTTCTTCCGCCGTACAAGTTGGCGCACATCCGGCTGCAGAGTCCAAACACAGCCTTAGCCGACGGACGGTAGATCTCGACGCATTTCGCCTCGTATCAACGACGGAGTATGTGAATGCGACCCAGGTCGAGGAGAAGCCAGGGCTCAGATTCAGCAAAAGGGCGAGCTATGTGGACACTGCAACAGAATTTGTGAAGCGGACCGTACCTGGCGCAACCTTCCGCGTGATCAACGACCACTATGTTGGGGACAACGGCATTGCCCACGTCTATCTCAGGCAAACAGCTCATGACTTGGACATTGATAACACTGACTTCAATGTAAACGTATGTACTGCTCGAATCAGTCTCGACATCATCATTCTAACAGCACACAGATCGGCAAAGATGGACAAGTTTTTTCGTATGGAAATTCATTCTATACCGGACCAATCCCGGAGCTGAAGCCACTGGCGAAGCGCGATCGCAAAGATCCTGTGAAAGCACTGAGGGGTGCTGCACGTAGGCTACAGTTGCCTGTCAACGCCGAGGCGGCGTCAGCCACGCCTTCCGGGGAGAGAGAAACATATACGATCCAGGGAACTACAGGAGCAGTAACAGAACCGGAGGCCCGTCTCGTTTACTTCCAGACTCCCGACGGTAAACTGGTGCTTACCTGGAGAGTGGAAACCGACATCTACACTAACTGGCTGTTGTCCTACGTCGACGCGGATGCTCCCGAAAATGTTCTAGGAGTTGTGGATTACACTGCAGATGCGCAGTATCAAGTCTAGTAAGTAACCCTGGAGTGCTTGCGTGTCATTGCCGTACAGTGGCTGACTGTATCCCGAAGTGAATGGGGTGTCAATGACCCAACTGAGGGAGCCAGGAAGGTTATCAAGGACCCTGAGGACATGAGAGCTTCCGAATTTAGCTGGCAAGGCTCGGGCCCCAACCGATACACGACCACTCGCGGTAACAACGGTATCGCGCAGGTGAATCCTAGTGGCGGCAGTTCTTACATGAACAACGCACGCCCTGACAGCGAGGGGTTGCACTTTTCTTACCAATACAAAGACAAGGGTACCAATTATACTGAATACGCCGACGCTTCAATTACGCAGCTGTTCTACTCAGCCAATCATTTCCATGATCTGATGTACCAGCTTGGCTTCACCGAAAAGGCCGGAAACTTCGAGAGCGACAACAACGGACAAGGAGGCATCGGAGGCGATGCAGTTATTCTAAACGCGCAAGACGGCTCTGGGCGGAACAACGCCAACTTCGCTACGCCACCTGATGGCCAACCGGGACGCATGCGAATGTACATATGGGACCTGTCTGACCCGGTACGCGACTGCAGCTTCGAAGCCGGTGTGGTTATTCATGAGTACGCACACGGCGTGAGCAATCGCTTGACAGGCGGACCTGCGAACAGCAGATGTCTGAGTGCCTTGGAGTCTGGCGGCATGGGTGAGGGATGGGGCGACTTCCTAGCCACTGCAATTCGCCTCAAGAAACACGACACGCGAACTACGGATTATGCAATGGGCGCATGGGTCAGCAACAATCCAGCAGGCATCAGGAAATATGTCTATTCCACCGACATGACCACAAACCCCCATGTCTACTCCGACGTCGATGGCATAAATCGTGTGCACGGAATAGGAACGGCAAGTCTCACATTTATGCGTTCTACCCAATATGAATGGGCTGAAGTTCTAATATCTGCCTTATTAGGTCTGGGCGACGATGCTGTACGAAGTACTCTGGAATTTGATCGACAAGCATGGCAAGAACGATGACGCTCGCCCGGTCTTCCGTAATGGTGTGCCGACGGATGGAAAATACCTCGCGATGAAGCTAGTTTTGGATGGAATGGCACTGTGAGTCCTATCTGTTCCACGACCTTTGAGTACTGAGTATGCTAATCGTTCCTAGTCAACCCTGTCTTCCGAACTTCGTTCAGGCTCGTGACGCCATCATTGATGCCGATAAGACACTTACCGGAGGTGCTAACGCTTGCGAATTGTGGAGGGCCTTTGCTAAGCGCGGATTGGGCGCCAATGCGCAGTACAACCCTACCAAGAGGACTCAGAGCTTCGAAGTTCCTAGCGGAGTGTGTTAGACTATCCGTTTTTAGGGATAATACAATCAATCAGTTGTGATTGAAATCACTCTTCCCAGGCCCTCCTGTCCGACGCAATTGCGAAAGTCAAGTGTCTTGGCTTCTTCGCAATCTACACTGTCTAACTATGATCGGTTTCACTTCTTAGTGACTTTAGATGCTGGAGCAGATAAGTCTTTCATACATGGTGATTCGAACACGTTGTGAATACTACACTTATCCATGTGATGTAGAATCACCACTTCTTGGCTTGTGATATTGATCGCAACTGCTTGATTAGTCATTACGGGCTTATATACCACTTTCCCTATGGCTCCAGAAGGTTATCAAAGATACCCAGATACTTCAGTCGCTAGTTGAATGGCTGTAATCCGGAGTGGCAGGCTTGCCCTATGCCATGGACCGATCTTCACAGTCACCTCCTGTTCGACTCTCACGCAGGAAACATTGGGCAGTGGTTGAGCCGTGTGGCTTCGCAAATCATCTTCGCGTCCTTTGCGTTGTATTGACCTTCAGTCCCGGCGGGCCAACAACCCTGCACCTCCGGCAGATTCAAGAACAATCAGACCTCAGACCCTTGCCAAAGCCGGAATTCGTACCTATATTGTACCTGTAAAGCAAGTCCCTGCAAGTTGATCTCGCTGGCGACCCTTTCCCTGCACGAAGCCAATCAACAACCGCCCGGTGTGACGTTTTAATTTGCGAAACGTCGTCTTCGCGTTAGCAGCGTATCCTGAAGACTTTTCGGCTTGCGCGACGGGTGCGTACGCGAACCGCCTCGGGCAATCTCCTACCTACCACTTCAGCGGCGAGCAGCCGTATTCCCTGTTGTCGAGAAAGAGCGTCGTGTCCACAAAAATCCTGGGAAGCATTACATCCCTCATTTGCAGGATAGGCGCAGACAGTTCCCAATATACAATGCTCAAGTCTGCCTTCCATCTCCTCGAGTCCGAGTTGACTTTGGCGAAGGTTGCGCCATTGCGACGGCTGCCGCAATCGCCCCGCTTATGGCTGCGGGACCGATCGGCCTAGCCCCCAACCTGCATACTCTACAGAACTGGTAATTTAATAATTCCTTTCACCGCAAATGTTAAGCTCTGTAAAGAAACTTCCGGAAGAGGGGCTGAGCCAAAGTCAAAACGGAACTAGTCGTAACGAAAAGCTCGCCTGCAGCCCGTGCCCTCCATCCCACTCTTCGTGCGAGTTTCCCTCCTCCTCCTCCCCTCTCAGCAGCAACCACAGCGTCGAGGGGAAAAGCGTTCAGTGCTGTCAAAGCTTATGAAGTGGCAGAGCGGGCGGGATGCCCAGTATTCTTTGATCCATGGCTGTATATGAAAGAAAGTAGTGTTTTGTCAATATATATAGCCATCGATTTTTTGATGCGCCGAGGGCGCTCAAGGTTGCACACCGAGCGCTCCCCTTGCAGTTGTAAATTTCGCACTAGCTTTGACAAATCCGAGACTTACCCCTAACAATCTCCTTAGGCCATCCTGAAAGATTATCGGCTGAAGGACATTGGTTCGATAACTGTTCCGCAGCAACTTTCTTAAGTTTGACGACCATATTCTCACGTTGCAGTACAGTCGATGGGCACAATAGAGATCAAATCGATTACTCGGCTCAAGAGCTGAAGACCCAGTCAAAAAAGACGAAAGATGACTTAAACTCTAAGTGCCATCAACTCCAAGCCGCCGCAACGCCACTCACGATGCCATACCACATACTCAGCGCCAGCATTGCTCACTAAAGTACTGCAAAACCCTCTTCAACAGCTCTTGATCCGGCGCTCCAGTGCCCCTTAACGTCTCCGACCAGTGCACCGCCGCCTCCGTCTGCCAGTCCATAGCCCTCCTCTTATTGTCATTATCGTACTTGCTCGCAAAGAACTCCACAAGCCGGATTGGTGGATTGACAACCGGATTTGGATTCGAACTACGAAGCCTCTGCACCCATTCCCTCTGACCGACCTCGCTGAACTCGATTCCAAAGTCCCGGATAGCAGGCAAGAGCTCCCTCGTCCAATGAAGCGTATGCGGGTTGACAACATTAAAGACGCGCGCAGGCGCCTCGCTTGTCGCTATATCCACAACCGTGCCTGCTACCACATCCACAGGCAGCCAGCGAAGATTCTCGTCCAGGGCGGGGAGCGCGCGGGTCGTAATGGCCGTCTGCAGCATCATCGGTATAGCCTCCTTCGCGTTCCAGATCCCGTGTTGGGTATCGCCTATGATTTGGCCAATACGCAGCACGCGGGATGCCATGCCCGTTTGCTTAGCAGCGAGGTCGCATAGGTGCTCGGTGACCATCTTGGACTGGGCATAGCCCATCTTCTGCGCGGCGGATAGCTCAGCTAGCGATTCGGCGACCTGGGAGCCGGCGGTGTTCGCGACCGTGGAGACGGACGAGCAGAAGTTGAAGGATGCTGGGGTAGGGCCGCGTGCTTGGAGGCAGAGGTTCAGCAGGTTCTTGGCGCCGGCTATGCAGTCTTTTACGAAGCTGCTTAGCTGAAGGTTGAAGTTCACGGACCAGGCGCTATGAATTACGCTCGTGACTTCGCTCTGAACTTGATGGAGGACTTCGGCGTCGAGTCCTAGGTCCGGATTGGAGAGATCGGCTGGTAATGCTAGGATCTTTTCTCGGTGTGGAACCGGAAGGGTTTCGTACACCTGGCGCTGCTGCATTGACTGGATGACTCTATCATGCGCATTCTGGAAAGATGATGCGCGAACGAGGCAGTAGAGCTTGCTGACGTCGGCCCTCGAGGCTAGTTGAGCGGCGATGTGCGCCCCAAGGGAACCGGTCACGCCCGTCAACACGATGCACTGGCCTTCGGCGCTTCGCGGTTGTGGAACATGCTGTTGGAACTGGCCATACTCCTCGATCAGACTTTGCATCTCCTCTTCCTTAGATACAGTGCGAGACTCTGGTCCTCCACATCGGAGGGCATAAAGGTAGTGAGCTAAGGCCCCAATGCATGGGTAATCAAACGCTACGTTGACAGGGAGTTTTACACCGTTGGTATTGATGTTCTTGACGATGATTGACCGTAGTCTGGTTGCTTGCAAAGAGTCCATGCCAAAGGCGAAAAAGTCTTGCTCGTCAGTCAATGCGGGTATGTCCACCATGATATCCTGAAGAGCCTGTCCTAGGAAGATGCGAAGCTCTTGCTCGGACAGTTCCAGCGACCCCTCCATCTTCTCTTCGTAGAGTGCCTCGATCTCATCTTTGAACTTCTTGTAGAAGGCTTGGCGTATAACGGTGCCCTTGTCAGTGCGTGGGAAGGCCGTGTCTACGTCCAGCATGAAAACCATGTCTTTCGATACCCTGGCGTATGCCGGCATTGCGGACTGCACACGCTCTACAGATTCGAAGACCTCATCAAGGATATCGTTGTCGCTCATGCCCGTGCACTCTTGCGATTTGATCAACGCGAGTCCAAGGTTCGATTTGCCAGCGCCGAAGACTACAGCTTCAGCGACAAGCGGGTTCTGTCGCACAGCGCCCTCAAGCGGAAGCGGGTTCGCCTTCTCTCCATTGTTCAGCACAAGCGTGTCGTCGAGGCGTGCAAAGTACTTGTAAGCTTCTAGCGTCGGGTGCTTCGTAAACAGATCCTTGGTGGCGTATGATCCATCGGGTCTGTTTGAGGCAACCTTGGACGGCCAGCCGTCGAGGCAAACAAGCTCGTACATGCCAGGTCCTCTCTCCTCAAAGCGAAGGTAAGGCTTGACTGCTGCGGAGGGACGGACGTAATCCCATGCTTTGTCGCCCGCCGGTCTGAAAGAGGTCATGAGTTGGCCTGTCTCGGTTGTACCGTAGTGGCTGACCAGGTTGACACCCCCCTCGACCAACTTATCTCCCAGGGAATCTGGGCAAGCGGAGCCACCAAACATTACCACGCGGAATTGCGACAGAAGGCGGATGCCGTCCTCGGACTCAGCCAATAGCTTGAGTGCGTATGGTACGCCGTAGAATATCTCGAACGAATGTGACTGGATGATATCCATCAGATACTGCTTGGTCATCGGGAGGGTTGCATTGTATAGGTGGATCTGCTTTTTCGAGTGTATAGCGCGGAACAGGCTGCTAACGCCATGTGCGTGGAAAAGTGGCAGTGTGAGGAACCCACACATGTTCATGTTACTGGCATAGTTGTTCAACGCCGCTTTTTGGGTCTGGTATATCGGTTTCGGCAATCCCGTGGACCCGCTCGAGTGGATGATCCAGGCGATGTAGGTTGATTCCCGGGAAGGGTCAAGCTGCGTGGTCATCCTCGTATCGACCTCGTCTAGAATGGGATACTCGTACTTCGCTTGTGTAGCAATTTTAGAGACGTAGAGAGACATATCCTGCTGAAGAGCGGCGCCTACATCGACAAAGGCATCTCCGACAACCAGATGACGTGACCGGGTAGCCTGTAGGAGCGACGCGTATGCTTCTTTGGATATCCTCGTAGAGAGAAAGAGGACAGTGTGCCCCAATTTGGTTAATGCTAGAAGCGTCACAAGATAGTTGAGATCGGAGTGCCCCAGTAGGCCCACAACTGTCGGCTTTTCTGCTGAGTCCCTTCTGGATGGGATGCGAGATGCATACTTCTTGGCCACTCGGAAGGCAAAGCGGTCAAGCTGTCTCGGCGTATAGTCCACATAATTGAGGCCTGACGACGGATAGGAAAAAATAGGCAGATCAGGATCCGACTGTTATAAATGTTAGTTTACAGAATTCGACCGATAGGCCAACCGGAAGAAGGAATGCGGACAGCGCTTGAGGTTATGATGAGCGCCCGAAACCAACCACCTCAGGCGCTGATCGTAAACCCTGGCGGTTATTGTAGTTTCCGATCTTAACACGCGGCTTTTGTACGTACCTCTACACGACTTCTCATCAACTCATCAACTGTCTGCGGCTCTGTGTCGATCTCCTCTATGTGTACAGCCGCAGAAGTCTTGGTGAAAAGTCCCGCTGGCGCCTGGGGAAGGGGCACACTGCTTGGTATAACGGACAACATTTCGAGGTACAGAATAGTGGACGAGTCAGAGTGTGTAGGAGAGTTCGAGAACTTCTGACCAGCTCATAAACTGCTTGGGTATCGAAATTGAAGATAGAAGAAAGCTGTCAAAAGAATGGCAGGGTAGTGTGCTGTTGCGCTGCCGGTGGATGAAGCCTTATCAAGAGCTCGTGAACAATCGACGCCCGACAGGCCACTGTATAAAACCTTCGGAAAACTGTTGATCCCACGGCCAGATCGTAAAGGATTAGAGTCGGGGCAGCAACCGGCAACGTTCCAGCCAGCTTGCGCAGCTGGCGGCGCGGACGTGTTTGTCCATGCGGCACAGCTGTCGGAGGGCACTGCGAATGAGAAAATCCCAATTCTGGCGGCAAGTAGATCAGCCCCTGCGGTGCGGATATGCAAAGGGAGGGTTCATCGTGGAGAGAACAAGGCTGACGTGTAGTGAGGTGCCCAGGTGATCGGATTCGAGCGGATGCTGGGCGGAACTGGGGTTGAGCGATGCTCCGCCGCCCCCCGCACTTTTTCCATCGCGGATTAGTATCCGCTTGCGATCAAACGTTTACCTGATACGAGGTCGGATAGCTTAATGAGTAAACGGGCAAGCGGCTCCTTGGCACACAAAAACACGCGAACAACAGCACTATTTTACACCTTCTTATCCCATTCCACACCCTCACGCTCTTATTGAGGGCTAAATAAGCTATCTATACTCTTCTACAAACACTGTAGTATATAGCTAATAAGAAACCTTTCGTGCATAGATCTTCAAAAACATGAACAACCGGCGAATCTGCTAATAAGTATGCATATAGATCGGGCACGATTTATAAAGTTTAGTAGAACTGAGTAGCCTAAAATCTTGATAGTATTATCATTATAGCATACCGGACTTATGATCCAAATATGAAACTATAGAGTCTTGTTGTTGGATTGTTATAGCTAATTGAGTGGCCGGTTACTGCCCGTTTACTTATTAAGCTATCCGACCTCGTAGATTCGTCCGCTCACAGCTGCCAGTAATGCTGCTTTTCGCCAATCATAGATTCGAGGGCGTCTACCACATTTCAAGAAGTGCTTACCAAAAGTCTGAATGTAGAGATTCACCCGGCAATCACCAAGTTTGAGGTTGGTTTGCTATGACTGCAGCGTTGTTTTAGGAGTGTTGTCATCCTGGGATAGAGAAAAGACAGTTTATAAAAGGACTGGTGATGGTGTGGTTTGATGAGCTCTCCAGATAGATCAAACTTATCAAAACTGCCCTACGACCACTAGCTCATCTATAAACATTCCATGATCTATGATTATGGTCACAGGCATTCTTATAAATGAAATTCTCTCTCTTGCTAACCTTGGGCAAGGTGAGGCCTCTAAGCCTGACTTGCGGGCGATGTTCCGTGATAGGGAAACGCTTGAACTGCACTCTTCAGGAGGGGTCATCGACAAAAGACTTGCTCGGATGGCTCTAGCCTACGAGCAAATACACGCCAGTAGAGCAGATGCGGGAGCAGTACAACAGAGACAGCTACCTTCGGGTTAAGGAAGTAATTCCTAAGGAGGATGTTTGGAAGACGTGTGAGACCCGTTTTGAATACCTCCCCTATCTTACGAAAGAAAACACTCCAGCACGGGAGAATGTATTCTGCGGTAACGATTGGCGCTTGGTAAGTACCCGTTCCGAGAAAGGTTCCGGCGTGTCCATGACATTCGATGTCAGTGGACGCAGCCTGGAAAGCTCCGCCACATGTTCGGTTTCGAGAACCAGAATACGGAATACATCCGACGCATGGTAGCAGTGCATAGCGGGAAGTGGTACCGAGACTCCTGCGCACACCCAGATTTCCAAGCTTTCATCAAGCTTTCATCAAGCACCCGACCGGGTGGGAGGACATCACATTACTCGAGCGATAGATCCTACGGCCCAACGTGCCTGGAGCAGAGACTACGTAAGTGCATTATGATCAGATCTTTCTATATGCCGGATTTCAACTTCGATTACTGGCTGGGTGCTAATTGGCGACTGCGCAATGAACGAAGGCAGTCTGCTCTACCTCGAAGACTCAGTTCGTTATCCTCATGGAGCGCACAAGACGGAAAACAATCCAGCCATCCTTGCAATCCGAACACTGACCTGAAGGATCATCCGGTGGAAAATCTTGTGATCCTGGTACACGTACAGAGCACATGTACACTTCGCAAGTGATTCGGAACTGTGACGTAACATCGGGTGCTTTGCTGGCTCGACCGTCGTGCGGTGCGCTAACAGATGGACCAAATTGCCCCAGCAAGCGTGATTCGCGCATAAACGTAGCATGCAAGAGCGGGGTATGCCTTCTTCTGTGATCAGATTGCGTTTTCCCGAGATTACAATACGAACAGACGTACAGTACCTTCATCCTGTTCCAGTGACCGACATCGGATACGCGTCTCCCAAATCACCGCTTACTTCATCGAACCAATTGTTGTAAGCTGTATACATACAATCAGCTCCCAAGCTAAGTTGTAACTACGGTAAACTTACAGAGCGGCAAAGAATCCAACTGCGGCCAGAAATCCAGGTTCCAGTCAATGCCGTCTGTATCTGCCGACATAGTGTCCTCAAATGCATCGTGGGCGAGCCCACTACCAGGTGTCTGGCCACCATGCTGGATGATGACGCTGCCAGCTAAGTTCGGCTGAAAAGTAGAACCTCCCATAGGCACATTGAACTCTTGAGCAGCAGCGACTGTGGTGTCTTTATTGGTGCCGAGAGCCTGCTGTGGCGGTGATACATGATCCAACTGCCGGTGAACCTCCAGACGCAGCTCCTCGAGGATGATGGCATAGCGCAGACTAGGTGCATTGGTGCGTGTCGCTTCAGCCAAATGCTGCTGGCATGTCTCGGCAAGATTGAGGATTTTGGTCTGCGAATCAGACAAAGTGCGATGTCGGTGGCACTGGATGATGTACAAATAGATGATCGACAGCGCATTAAAAGCAATGTATTGCGTGTACCAGAAAGCTTCGAACATCTGCTGCTCTTCGACAAACTGCAACACCATATGTGCAACGTCCTGTGCTGCTTCAACGCACAGCTCGATACCATGTTGAAACAGTGGTGACTGAGTGACTCCGCCTCTTCGGGGTTTGGAAAAGTTACTGAGGAGCAGAGGCCTGTTGACCAGCATGACCGCGTGAGCATACGCTAGAGTTAGGACAGTAGACTGCCGACGCAGGATGGGTATCAAACTCGATGGCCTAATAGCTCCAGAGAGAAAAGGCGGCAACCTAGTCTTCCATTGTTCCAAGGATAGGTTATGGGTTGAAACAAGCGCAAAGCGTTGATCAGGGGTCTTGGATCCAGGCGAATACTGTTCGCGAGATGCTTTGCTCACGATCAGTGCAAGTTCTGCGTGAAAGATTGGCGCATCCATGAGACAGTCATCTCGGCCGGGTATCCGTATAGCCGAAGGCGTAAGGTCTTCATCGTTAACCGGCTGAGGGAAGTCCTGGTCGATGTCTTCGTCCTGTAGTAATCTTGGCCGGCCGAACATGACGCTTAAGTACTTGTCCAGAGTGTACAGGCACCAAAATGTCCTTCTTTGACACTCCCTCACAACTAGGGACGAAAGCTCCACCATTGCGCGTTTACGATGGAGCCCAAGGGCCATGCTGAGTTGCACAGCCGTGCCGCAAGTGAACCAGGCCTGGTTCGGTCTTGAAGTGCTCAAAAGATACAAGCATTGCGCAAATCGAGCTTGAACCGATTCAAGAGTCGGTGGTCCAACCTCTGCGCTCAGCTTCTTTTGGGCAGCAACAAAAAGGCGTTCGCTCTTCAATCGATCATCAGTGGCTGCTGGAGTGGGCGCGTCTCCAGAGATAACATGGTATAGCGAACCGTTTGCCAACACCATGTAGACGACGGCTTGCCGAGCAGCCGATACCTTCTTCTCTACACGAGGCGCGGCGTCCAGCACTTGCTCAAGCCACCCTGTGACAGTCTGGCGGTGCAAGAATCGGTACGTAGGGGATGCAAATTCGAAGTAGCGCGTAAGGAGGGCTTCAGCCCGAGGAGGCAGCTCGAAAGCATCATCGTTGGGTGAAACTGTCGGCGCAAGTTTGTCTCCATGTGTGAAAACTGAGGCATTGTTCGATACCTCTCCATTGAGATGGGTTGGGAACTCTTCGTGGGCTTGGCCTAGCCGCCTCCATGCCCGTTGCAGCCAAGATATCGCCGACGTCGGACCAAGATAAGAGCCCGCAAACTCCGTGCCGCCCAAGTCAGGTGTCTGCCTCCGTGATGGATCGAGGCTACGGGCATCATGCGGCAGTGAGTCCTGATGCGGCGGAGGGACAGGGGCATTGGTGGAATGTGTAGGAGAGGTCGCGTCCGTCAATAGCCTACCGGAGGCGTCCCCTGCCGCATGTTGCGGCCGTGAATGCGTCGACAAGGAAGTTGATGATACGCGGTTGGTGTGAACAGAAGGCCGGGAAAGCTGCTGTCCGTGTACAAGATCCACAGCTGGCCGGTGATTGAAATCCGGCAAAGCGCTTTGATCAACTTCATTGACGCTGGTAAAGGCAGCGGATGAATGCGAACGGTACGGACTGTCCGCTCCTACCCTTGTCCCGTACTGAGGGGACTGTCCCGTGTAGTGGTCCTAAAAAGACTACTCAGCGATACTGCACACTGGGGCTGTACCAGAGCACGAAGATAGCAGAAGCGCTATTGGCGTAGATATTGAAAACATCGCAGTTTCGAGGCTAATTTGGACTGCATTGGGCAAAACCTGCCCGATCTCAAGTAATGAAACGATGCAAGACTTGAGTGTGATAGTTTTATGTGTCTCTCGCATGCATATGAAGGCGCTTTCAGTAGTCGAAGTCTACATAACAGTGATACTCTGACGCGTTCCTGGTCCGAGTGGGATACACACTCTGGTTTGCAAGTGTGTTACCGCTGCTGGAAACATGTAATACTTGTAGCAAGAGCGTTCTGGTTGGATACACAGCACTAAGACGAAAACTGACAACAACTGAGCAAGGAGATGTCTTACCGGAGGTGGAGGAGAGCATCTTCCCCGTGTGTAGGTGGCGTTATAACTACACTCTTTTCCTGATTTGACGCATGATGGACATGGCCGCGTACCGGTGCATCGCTTCTTCCGCCTGCCAATGTATTAGCTTTCAAGACTGCATCTAAGCTCCCAATGGGACTCGGGTACGCTTTGCAAATGTCACATGCACGCGTGGTTTTACGCCGCTTTTCGGGCCTCTCGTCAGACTGGGAGTCCTGCGGCAGAAAGGCCGGCGATGGCGACGGCAAAGACATCGTACAGTTCGGAAAAGGGACGGATTCTCCGGAGGAAGTTCATGTCGGCGGACGCGGATGCAAGCTTTATGGGATTGGTGGTCCTCGGAGAGGGGCACCTGGGTGACGGAAATTGCCGGACTCCGAAAAACAGATAGGTCTTCAGTCAGCTTAAGGAGGTCATAACAGGCATAATCCTTCACGGTATGCTGCCATATAAACATATGCAAGCTATATCTAGAGGTAGATTAGCTAGGTAAAGATCTTTAGAGACATGGTGAATCTAACGGATCTCGACGATTGGGAGTGAGTTGTAAGTCCGGTAGTTTACGAGTCCGGCAGTTTCTATCACTTGCGTGAGGGGTTGACAGCGGCGCTAGCCAGGCGCTAAAGAAATGATCCTTGCGGATGGTTTGATTTGGCAATAATTCACAATTGTTGGACACAACAAAACATATTCTCGGGAAGGTAATCGTACTCCTCTGCTATAGAATATGAATCCGAGCCCGCACCATCCCATATCTATCAAGAGAACATTCAAACTATGTATCTAAAGCCTTCCATTCATCCTTGAATGTATCTGTCGATCATCCAGCCGCCTGCCACGCACTGCTAGTCAAAGCCTTATAGCTGGTACCTGAAACCGCGCCTCATGCCCGTAGCCTTCGAGACGTGTCCGTCATAGATGACTCCTGACTCAGCATCGCCCGCTTCTTCGATTGCCGCTTTCTTATTCAAGCTCGCAAGCCAGAACCTCAAGCCCAAGGCGCAGCAAGCGCAGACGACACAGAAGACGGCCAAGATGATAGCAGAGTTCATGTAGCGAGGCGCGTCCTCCTTCGGGAAGATGTAACTTGTATACGTGTGGCTAGCATTGCTGAGGGCAGCAACCATAGCCAGAGCAACAGCTCTCTTGGTTCTTGGCCGCGGGATGGCGGACGAGACCCAGCTCATAACTAGTAAAACGTAAGCATGACCATCAAAGCATATATGCCATTAGTATAGGCACTAACCGACGTTGAATGCACAATATGCGCCGCCGGTCATGAGGAACATGGCGAAATATCGAGCGCCAGTCTGGAGGGTGGAGACAAAGATGACCTGGCCAAGTCCGGATATGAGGATGGGAACGACAATGTGGTAGCAGCGCTCATTCGTCTTTCCCGAATGCCATGAGACAATGATAGCCGTGATGAAGGCGAAGACGTAGGGAGGTGCGGTGAGAAGGAGGGTGTGGATGTTGCCGTAGCCTAAAGTTTTCACAATCGAGGGGAAGAAGTAGCTGTGTATCGTTAGCCTGTGGTCGTATTGGAGACTCATTCCAAGCGAGAACTTACACGTAGCTCATGCCAACCAGGAGAGCGTGCTGCATGAGGACTAGGAGCCAGACTTTGGGGTCGGACACGGCCTGCTTAAGGCCCTCAAGCGGTGAATCATCCTCGTCATCGGCTCTTCCGGCAGTCTCGTACGCAAGCCTAAGCGCCATGTTAGAACGGGTCCACGAAACGTGGACTGAGATTGGGATTTCACTGACCTATATCTGGCCATTTCTTTCTCCTCAGCGGAGAGCCAGGACGTGTTGTGCGGCCAGTTAGGGAGGATGAACATGGCGGCAATTGCCATCAGGATGGTCGCAGTACCCTCGACGATGAACAGCCACCGCCATGCGAGCATGCCCTTCACTCCGTCTAGTCCATGGAGGACACCAGCTGTGGCCTCATTAGCATGACATGACCGAAGTCAGTGGGTCGTCGATATTGCTCACCGGCAATGAGGCCGCCGAAGCAGTTCGCCAAGGTATTACCGCAGTACAGAGTAGTAATACGTGTGGCAAGCTCGCTCTTCTTATACCACCCTGAAAGTAGAAAAACAGCGCCGCAGAAAAACGGGGCTTCGGTGAATCCAACAAAGAAGCGGCAGACGAGTAACCCGGCGAAATTTTGAGTAGCAGCGGTCAAAGTGCTGACCAGTCCCCAGGCAATCATGCAGCCAGGGATCATCAAGGATGGCTTGACGTGAGGCAGGAGCATGTTCGAGGGCACCTGAGCGTGTCAGCATGGATTATGCTTCATTGATGGGGAAACAGATTGACTTACCTGCATGAGGATGTACCCGACATATAGAATCATCAGGGCGGTGTAGTACTGGTTGCCGTGGAGGTCCAGATCTTCTTCGAGGCCTTGCAGACGCGCAGCCGCGATGTTGTTTCGGTCGAGGATGTTCAGAAGGAACATTCCTATCAAGGTAGGCAGCAGGCGTCTGTCCACCTTCCTCCGGAAGCCGGTTTCGAGCGCATTCAGTTGGTCCACGGAGTAGTGGCGCAAGCACGCAGGCAAGCCCGTAATGTAATCAGCACCCCGTCCATCTGTCAACTTTGCTAATTCGTCCGCGGATACGATTGACTCCTTCGAGGCATTGGAGACCTCTTCGACGTACTGGTCACTAATGTCTTTAGTCATGTTGCCCATTTGGCTGTAAAGCTCTTTCCCGTGTGAGCGATGAGTGCAGTGGACGAAGATTGAGGACTAGACTCAGAGAAGTAACTCGATTATCACGAGAGAGACTAGTGATGATGTGTTGAGGGAAAGCAAGAGATGCTCGGATGTCTTATGTCGACCTGGATGCAAAGATGAAGTTTCTCTGATATATTTGTAGAGGTCAGGTTGACGCGGAAACTAGAGAACGCTTGTACGAGGCCATGGCCTGGCGGATATCTTGCGGAACGGCATCAACTACGGTTGCGTCCGATTGAATGAGTGGCTATGCAAGACTGGATTCCGTATCCGCCTTCAACACCAGAGCGACATGATTTCCGACCCGCACTGTCGGACAAACTGCCTGGATCATGCGGGGTAGAAAGCTGGGCAGATCTGGGGTGCCGACAGGAAGGCAAGACTTGCCACCGATCCGCACTCCATCGCGGCAGCCCGGTTCGGTGCTTTTCATAGCGAGAGAATTTCAGACAGAACGATGATGGGGGAAAAGGACAATTGGAGTACTCGTACGGTCCAGTTTGACTCGCCTTATCCGACTAGCGAACAGCGCATCGTCTGCCTGGAGCGAGTAACTTATTCAAAGCGGACCGTGGCTGCTTGTCCCACCGTGATCGAGCGGGGAGCGGCATCGTAGAGCACTGAGGTTTTCCAGCTGCTCTCCGGCGCTGTCGACAGCTTGCGGCGACGATCCGACTGTTCCCAATTGGAATGGGGAATGTTGGGGAACGGAAAGAGATCCATGAGTGATTGTGGTGCCTGACTGAGGTGGGCCAGCAAATTCCTTGGTACATGACTCATTTGCAACTTGTCCGGCACGCGGGTGACATCCGAAAGATCAATCACGGCATGGAAAGCTACTCACGGCCCTGGAGGTGGACAGTCTAAGCGCATAATTCCTAGATGAAAGCCGCCTTAGGTGATCGGTGCACCAACGAGCTGAACTGCTGAACACCTCCTGCTTTCCATCACGTGGAATGGTCTAGCTGCTCTACGAATCGACAGGGTTATGAGTCCAGTTTGATCATGAATTTGGTACCAAGCAAGCTGGAACAAAGATGCGGCAACGGTCTTTTCTAAGGGCCCTTGGACTACGACTCATTCGCGACGAGCAGGTCGCAGAATATGAGTTCGACTTGTTTATTGCACGAAGCTCGCACAATTTGTTTGTCTGTTGTCTGCATTTCTTATGACAGGACAAGAATTGTTTCAAGTCTCACAAGCCCAGTGCAATGCTGGAATCAACTGAAGAAGCTCCTACGAGTACATTGCATCAAGCCGCGGGACTGCCGTGGCATAGACATGTGGCCGTATCGAGTCAATCCCGGTTGCCTTCTCTGAATCCACAAGCGGACGATGAGAACGCCAAAGATTCCTCATTACGTTCCATATGCTCTAGGAATACGGAAGGCCAGTGGATCGCGGTGCGTGCTTCTCAGACATGACCGAAGAAAGCAAGAAGCAGGTTAATGATCACTTTATCTCTGAAAAGCAACCATTGGATGCAGCAGTATTTACAAAAGGCATCGCATGAGCTTCTAGAAGCCAACAAAGGACTAAGACAGAAGACGAAAAGGTTGCATCGACCTATTTTAGCTCACAACCTATCGCCGGGCACTCAAGTCTTCATCCAGCGTATGTCGAATTGCTTGCCCGCCTCGACATACCTCAAGTCAGTGGCAAGCCGGACCGTACCTCTCTCACCCTCGTTGATAGCGCTCGAGTGAATCATGAAAGGGTTATGCAAATCGATGTCCCCGGCTTCGTAGTCCGCGCAGAGCCACCTCAAGCCCAAGCCTTGGAGAACTTCCCGGAGTCCCGCTCCAGGTTACTGGTCACATAATCATCTCATTGAATGCCGGGATCCTCTCCGCCTCAGTTAAGTTCTCTGCAGCCTTGTTGAAGCGCCGCTCAAGCTGCTGTCCGACACAGTTCTGTTGCAATAACAGTGGCAGTTGGGGTTGCTATTTCCTTAGACACCCTTGAGTGCATGCAGTTACATCCACTTGCATGCTTCCGTCTTCAAACCTCAAACGAAACCCGGTATATGCTAACTACGAATGTACCTCTCAAAGAGAAAAATGCGGCATCCCGTGTACAAGGTCTTTGTCTACATTACCTTGCCGCTTGCATCGTCCTAGCCACGAAGCGTGCGGAATGTTCGCTTGCAGCATTCCTTTGTCTACGAGAAGCGATAGCACCTTCGGCACCCGATGTTTTTCGGCCAGAAGGTGTTCTGCAGGTTGCCGACCCGACAAACCCACTTCATTTGAGCCGCTCTGACGCGCAATACTGCATGTTAAAGCAAAGCATCCTCTTGACGCAGCGGATCCACCAAGCACGATGCTGCCAAAACGATCCGTAACCGCAAAGAGCCTCAGAGGGCACACTCAAGCAGCTCAGCCGCCTCCATCACGGCACCCGACAAGGGAAGAGGCCGATCTCGCGCTCTTCCACGGGACCGAGTTACTTGGCTGCCGTTATCCCGAACGAGAGTGCAACCGCGGTCTCTACGAGACGCTGGAAGTTATGTCCAAAGCGCATAGGGAGCAGCTAGCTGAGATGCGGCGCAGCAGGGGTATTCATGCCGGTCTGAATGGACACGGAACTGGGCGAGGCAGAATAGGCAGACATGCTCATGGGATGTCCGCTGCCAAGCCGGTCTATATCGAAGACGACGAGGACGAGGGGGGATTCGAGCTATCCTCTGACGAGGACGATGTCAATCTACGATTTGCGAGAGAGCTAGGCTCCATTGAAGGTGTTGAGGAAGAGGACGATGTGGAGGTACTACTGCGTGACAAGCACCCCTTGGACGGAGTGTTTCAGGAGGACGAGAGCGGATCCTTGGTCGACGAGGAGCGCGGCACGCATCGGAGAAACGCACGACTTGCAAAGGCGCCGATCTCCAGCAGCCATTACTGGGCAGAGGACGACTTGGAGGGACTCTCTGCCGAGGACGACTCATATACAAACTTCGGCGAGGGTTATTCAGAGCCAAGATCTGGTGAGGACGATTCAGAGCCGGCGTTCGACGGGGACGACTTGGAGACACCATCAGAGGAGGACAATTCCGATTCACGGTTCTACGAGGACATGAACACAGACGACATTCTTCGTAAGGGAGGGCCCAGTACGCGAGGGAGAGCACGGCCAGCGGAAGCGCCGATTCATCGTCCTCGCTACATTCCGCGTGATGAACGTATTGATAAGGTCACTGGTGAGGTCTGGCATGCGGACTGCCCGGATAACTTCCCCTTCGGCGAGACAAGGTTCATGGAGAACTACATTGGATATACGTTCAGCCGGGACCTGGCGGCAGGTGAGTCAGAATTCGTTCCCGTTCTCAGGCAGAGAAGTCGCTAATCTATCTATAGCCGAGGCTCGTGAGAAGGAAACCGGCGAGAGGTTCAACGTCAGTGCAGCACCCCCTGCTGAGGACATCTCAGGCGAAGACCTTAAAGCAAAGACCAAAGAACAGGAAGACTCTGATCTTGCTCTGTACGACATCCTCAACCAGCCGCGCTACCGGCTGCCCGACCTGCCTAAGGATGCCGAGGCTCAGCACAGGAAGATGGAGAAGGAAGGTGTGTTTGATGACAAGCACTTGGAGGCACTTGAGAAGGAATGGCCGGCCACGACGTCTGAGAAGTACTCGAAGTTTGATGCAGTTTACGGACCCAAGATCAAGGAACTCAATGACGCTGCTATCCTGGACCAGACGGTGAGGGATAAAAGGAAGCGGAAGATCTACGATCGTTCTCCTAACCCAGTCAAAGAGGCGAGGTGGGCGAAGGCGTGAGTGGAGCGGGAGATGGTTAGAGAGATAGTAGCTGTGTTTGTATTGCAAGGCTTCACCTGAGGTTTGAATGTTACAGCTTAATGAGACATGTCCAGCATCAGAACGCGTTGCTGTGATTTGGTCTGATTATTAATGCGAGCCATGTTCGACTACAACTCGTTGTTCGGCATATCAATGGGAGGTTTAACACGTTAGCTGTTACTACGACCGGAATACTTCCTTAGTATGATACATCCATGAAGTCGTGGTACGCAGTTCCAGCATCAAACCTCAGGCTCGAATAGTCGGCCTCGCCTCGGCCCATGTCGTCATTGGCTGTGTGCGTCGCGCGAAGAAAGTGAGAGCTCCGAAGGCAACAGCATGCAAACCTCGCCGCCACTGTAAGATACCCAGTGTTCCATTCCTCTGAATCCTTATTAGGGGACCCACACTCTTTTTCGTCTCCGACTCCAACCTCTCCTTCCGCCACCCCATGGCCGACGAACCTATACTCAATCAACCACCACACTCCTACTAAGTGCCCACCATGGGCGTAACATCCCTCTGGACAATCCTCCACCCAACCGCTCGTCCCATAAAGATCGATACGCTCGCCCACAAGCGGCTCGCCGTCGACGCCTCGATCTGGATCTACCAGTTTCTGAAAGCCGTACGCGACAAAGAAGGCAACGCCCTGCGCAACTCGCACATTGTTGGCTTCTTCCGGCGCATCACCAAGCTGCTCTTCTTCGGCATCAAGCCCGTCTTCGTGTTCGATGGCGGGGCGCCGGCGCTGAAGCGGGCGACGATCGCCGGGAGGAAACGGAGAAGAGAGGGCAGGAGGGAGGATGCGGTGAGGACGGCGGGGAAGCTATTGGCGCTGCAGATGCAGAGGGTTGCGGAGGAGGAGGAAAGGAAGAGGAAGGAAGAGGCGGGACGGAGGAGGGGCACGGCGAAGGATCAGGATGAAGAGGAGGTCCTGCCGGAGAATTTGGTTTATGTGGAGGAGCTACAGATGAGCGCCCAGGAGAGGCAGCAGAGCCGGAAGTTCAAGAAGAAGGACCAGTATCATTTGCCGGAGCTGGATGTCAGTTTAGCGGAGATGGGCAGGCCGGATGATCTGAGGGTCATGAGCTTGGAGGAGCTGGAGCAGTATGCGAGACAGTTTGATACGGGGGAGGATGTCGATGTTTATGATTTTAGCAAGATTGACTTCGATAGCCCGTTCTTTGTGAGCTTGCCTGCTAGCGATAGGTACAACATCCTTAACGCGGCACGGCTGAGGAGTAGGCTCAGGATGGGATATTCGAAGGATCAACTAGATACGATGTTCCCAGATCGCATGGCCTTCTCGAAGTTCCAGATCGACAGGGTCAGGGAGAGGAACGAGCTCACGCAGCGCTTGATGCAGGTTGGTGTCACTGGCGACGATGGCACATTTGGAGTCAATGGCACAAGCAGGGTCGCGGGCGAGAAGGGCAGGGAGTATGTCTTAGTCAAGAACGACGGTGTCGAAGGCGGATGGGCTCTGGGTGTTGTAAGCAACAACAAGGAGGAGGGTGAGAGGAGTAAGCCGATCGATGTCGAGGAGCTCGAAAGGCGTCGGAAACTAGCTCAGGAGGCGGAAAACGAAGAATCTGAGGAAGAGGATGAATTCGAAGACATCCCAATCGAGGGACTCAACCGGCTACCAAAACGTACAGTTGCTACAGGCCAAGGTACGGGTGGACGGGACGTTGCCGCGAAGAGACGAGCGCTCTACAAGTCACGCAAGCAGAACGCTTCAGGGCGACCCCGGGCTCCCAAGCTCAGAACCGAAACTTCCGACTCTTTGTTCGTAGCCGACGAGAACCCCGAAGAGGAGGAGTGGGAAGATGTGGCAATCGAAGAAGTAGATGATTTGTTTGAAGAGCAGCTACAGGACGGAGACCCCGAAGACGAGGAGCTACAGCGCGCTATAGCCATGTCACTTGAGCAGGACCAACCAACACCCAGCGCCGAGCCGAACCTCGAAGCAGAAGACCTTGATGACTATAATGAAGTGTTCGAGCAGAAAAGGGCCGAAGATTCCCGGCCATTCTTCGAAGGCAGCGGATTGGCTATTGCTAAGATGGCCAACATGCGCAGTAAGAAAGTAGCGGCTGAATTGGTAGTAGCCAGCGACAGCGAGGAGGACGACATGGATCTGCAGGCAGCACTGGTGGAGTCTAGGAAATCGAAATACAAGCCAAAGCCGAGCAAGCCACGGAGACCATCATCGCCGCCTGCACCAAAGATACAGGAACCTCCGCCAGCGGCCTCGTCGTCTAGACCTCCGGCACCTCCAGCACAGAAAGCAGATCCTTTCGGTGGCGCTTTGCCATTCGAGAAGCTCAACCTGGGCAGCTCGTTGCTTGGGAATAAGAAGATGCAAAAGCTTACCGAGGACAGTGCCGGCGGTTTCGAGAAAGACACGCCTGCGACATCGAAGAAAGAAGCAACTCCGCTGCCGCCGTGGTTCTCCGAGGACATGCAGCAAGGCCTGAACGCGCAAAAGATCATCGAAGCTGAAGACAGGCGAAAAGACAGAAAGGTGGCAGAGGAAGAGTTCCAGTTCATCGAGCAGCCAACACTGCGTAGGCATGAGACACATGAGGTCATTGATGTGGATGAGCCGGCCCCGCGGAAACAGGATCCTATTGCTATTGAGTCATCTGACGATGATCAAGAGATGGAGGATGTGGTCGTCCTGGATCCAAAGATCCGCATGGGCGACATGGCGGACAAAGTCAGAGCAGACCCGCCGCCTAAAACCAAAAAATCAGAGAGTGCTGCCATTGAGAAACCAGTATCATTACAGCCTCACACGCCGCAAGAATCTGATGAGGAGGTGTTAGAGTGGGAGGAAAGTGACCATGAGGCTCCACCACCTGAAAAGGTAACCCCTTCAATAGAACCTGCTGGTGGCCGCATTCATCCAGCTCCTCCTCATGCACCTTTCGAGGAATCTGAGGATGAGTTTGAGGATGTACCCATACCGGAAGCTCCCCTTCAGCTCCCGGTCGCTGAAGCAGTCGTCCCAATGCAGGATAAGATTGAGGATGAAGACGGCCCGATACCAATGTCTGGCCACGTAAACCAAGAAGGCTCATTAGAAGATGACAACCCGGAAATCACATTTGGCGACGAGCAATACAGCGACCCCGAGGACGAAGCCCTAATGCTCCAACTCGCCGCCGAAAGCGAAGAACACGCCCGCTTCGCCTCGACCCTGAACAACAAGCCCCAGCAAGAAAATCTCCTCGACTACGAGCGTGAGCTGAAGCAACTTCGCAGCCAACAAAAGCGCGACCGCCGCGACGCCGACGAAGTAACCCAGACCATGATTATCGAATGCCAGCAGCTGCTCTCGCTCTTCGGGCTGCCCTACATCACCGCGCCCATGGAAGCCGAAGCACAGTGCGCCGCGCTCGTGGATCTTGGGCTTGTCGACGGAATCGTTACTGATGACTCCGATACCTTCCTCTTCGGCGGCACACGCGTGTACAAGAACATGTTCAATGCGGCCAAGTTCGTCGAGTGCTACCTGCTGTCCGACATCAGCAGCGAGCTCGGGCTGTCCCGCGAGAAACTCATCGCGGTCGCAGAGCTGCTGGGCAGCGACTACACGGACGGCCTCCCCGGCGTCGGCCCGGTGACTGCGCTCGAGATCCTCTCTGAGTTCGACGACCTGACGGCCTTCAGGGAGTGGTGGGCCGCCGTGCAGTCAGCGCACAGGAAAGCGGACGAGGATAAGAACAGCCCGTTCCGCAGGAAGTTCAGGAAGAGCTATGCCACGAAGCTGTTCCTGCCGCCCACCTTTCCTGACCCTCGGGTCCGCAACGCATATCTAGAGCCGGATGTCGACACGGATCCGAGCCCGTTTGTCTGGGGCGTGCCGGACCTGGATGCGCTGCGGCGCTTCCTTATGGCCACAATTGGGTGGAGCCAGGAGCGCACGGATGAGGTGTTGGTCCCGGTTATCAGGGATATGAATCGTAGGGAGACAGAGGGTACGCAGAGTAATATCACGCAGTTCTTTAGCGGAGGGGTTGGGGTGGGCGCGAGGCAGAGGGTCGGGAACGGGGAGGGAGAGGCTGCGAGGGGGAGTGGTGAGGCGTTTGCGCCGCGGAGGAGGGCCGAGGGGAAGAGTAAGAGGCTTGAGAGTGCGCTGGGGCGGATGGCGGAGAAGGCGAAACGGCGGTCGGGGGAAGGTCTCGATAGGGGCGAGGTGGATGGGGAGGTGGATGGGGAGGTTGAGGCTGTTGGTGGGCGTGAGTCTGTACCGGGGCCTCAGAGTCTTTCTGCAAGAGCGAATGGGAAGAACGGGAAGAATGGGAAGCGGGCTAAGCCTGCGACGCCTGAGGAGCCCTCTGCGGAAGAGGACGAGGCATACGCTGAGCCGCGGAAGAAGACCAAGAAAGCCAGAAGCACAAGCGCTCCTGTCAAGAGAAAGGGAAAGACCAAGGCATCGGCTTGATCCGTTATTTGGATATCATATATTCATCGTCTATCGATCAACACAGTGCCTGCCAGTCTTCCAAAGAGTCTTCCTGTTCCGCTATCGCTACCTCGTATGATAGCTATCCCAAAAGCCATATTGGCACAAGAGGAGAAGTCAGCCGTGTGCCATATTCATCTCTGTCGGTCTCACATCATGCTCTCCCTACAACCCTCACGCTCATCCATCCTCACCCCATCCACCACCCTATTCTTCCTCGCTTCTCCCGCTTCTCCAACCCCATCCTTATCGCCCATCCCCGGCACCCTCACCAGAACCCTCTCACTCAACCCCATCGGCAACTCAAACCCGGCATCAATGCAACCGCGCCCAAACTCAATCTCTCGCAGCCGCTCGAAGCCTCGCTCAAACGGACACCCGTCCACGACGAACCCTTCCAGCCGGAGCTTTACAAGGGGTAAAGATTCGATCTGGTCGTGTATGCTTGCGGCAATGCGCGCTTTGCGGATCGCGAGGATGTCGAGGTATTCGCCGTGGCCGTGGAGGTGGTGGAGGGAGCCGGCGCCTTCGTTGCCACTAGTTCACGTACACGTCAGTAGTTGAACGATAGGTAGAACAGGGCCAAGACAGTCGCTTGAGTCTATACCAGTTATGGTGCTTCGCGTGAGGGTCTTACAGATACTTCAGCAGCGCGCTGCACTGCGGTCTTCCAGGCATATCCACGCTCCACGCCTCGTTAATCCGTAACCACTCACCGTGCTGATAGGATGCCCGCACAATGGGTTCGAGCGCCATGCGCAGGTCCAATGTGTGCAGATTGCGGTTGCGCCATACGGTCTCCCAGATCGTTGATTGGAAGGACTCCATCATGCCGTGAATGCTCAAGGAGCGCAGTTCGGTGAAGGTGCAGAGGGGCCGAAGATCCTCTTGCGCGAAGAACGGGGAGTTGTGGGTGATGTCGGGTGAGGAGGGGGAGTCGGGCCGGAAGGGGAGGGAGATGTCGAGGATAAGGTGGTGAAGGGTTTGTGGGAGAGCTGGCCAGAGGGATGCGGAGAAGGGGAGGGTAGTTGTCCAGCTGTATTGTGTTAAGGTGGTGTCTAGGAGGGCTAAAGGGGTTGGCATGAGATCTTACGTGAAGGGTAGCAGGTTTGCAAGCTTCTGGATGAGAGTTTCGATATACTGGACTCCGGTTCGCCATTCCAGCTCCTCGTTCGTCATTCGGATGCTGCGTTCGATCTCGATGCCTAAGCCGTCGCTGTTGGAGCTTGAGCGCGAGCGGACGGTCACTAGATTCCAGTCTTCTTTATCTTCTGTAAAGGGTGTGTCGTCAGCGCTGGCTGTCCACTGGCCGATGATGGCGAGCTTCAGAACGCCTGCTAAAGCATCACCGTCTTGCAATAATTTCTCGATGATCTGTTGGAGATGTGGAAGCGAGCCGTGGGCGCCATCACCGTCGTTACCGACTTTGGGCGAGAAAGTGGTATCGATCGTAAGGCACCCTGTGCTATCAGTACGCAAATGATTTTCGTCGCGGGTATCACCCATCGTGGCATCCTTGATGTATATCTACGACGCATGGACAACGGGGAAAACCCTGAGGGAAAGCTGTATAAGAATGAGCGGGAACAGAGAGTATTTGGAATGATGACTGGAAGCGACTGCGAGAAATTCGATGCAATAAAAATGACGTCCGAAGGCATGTGAAGGTAATTTGACTCATGTAGCACGCTGCTTCACCCTAGTACAGGTCGGAAATGAACTTCAGTATGATATTCACGAACACCTCGTGACGAAGGCTGCCCGAATGATCACGCGGCCTAGCACGCAATGTGCACAACGTCTTCATCTACGCTCTTCCCAATGCATCGCAAGCCTGTTCCATCCCACCGCATCACCTAAGCCCACCTCTCACACACACCAACGACTCACGTCGAGATCTTCCTCTTCCGTCCCCTCGTCCTCGGCGGGCTATCCAGCGGCACCTCAAAATCAGACTCGTCATCATCTTCCACATTACTAACCGACGACGGAGCCGCATACTCATCTTCCCCATCCTCCGCTTCTTCCGCATACTCCTCATCCAAATCCGCTTGAAAAGCTGCGTGGATGTCGGTATCAGCTGTCTCGATATCATCGAGTATGTCTTGTATGGCCTTCGCCCCGTTCCTGGCGGGACGACCTGAGCCTTTGGAAACGATCTTGGCGATGCCGCGTTTGTTCTTGCGCTTTCCGGGAGGACCGCTCATGTTGCCTTGCTTCTTCGTTTTTTCTTTGATTGGCACGAGCTGAGCTTTGCCGTTCTTGAGGCGAGGCTTCTCGCCTTTCTCCCAGAACCCTTGGGTGAGTTCCTCGGAATAGCTGGCAAGAAGTTAGAACTGAAGTATCTCCCAAGACTGCTAAGAGAGAAAGGGCAACGCTTACCCGTAGTTGAAGAACAGTTCCTCCCCAACCTTGATGTCCCGTTTAGCGTACATCCCGATGCGGGTGACGGTATTGCAGAGCATGACTTTCGGGTAGACATTGATAGTCTTATCCAGTACCGAGTTATTGATGAAGCGGAATTTGTTGCCAGCGTAGGTACTGTCCACCTCCTGATCTGATAGAGCCAACATCAGCGTCGTCATTCCGAGTCACCAGTGGACGTCTTACCCTTGTTCAGAGCAAAGAGATAGTTTGTCAGTTTCTCCTGATAGATTGCTCCGCGCCGATTGGCCTCAGGCTTTGCCAACACCTCTCCCTTGTACTCGCCCAGGTATTCATCCTTTCTGGCGTTTTCGCCCATGTACAGCCCAAAGCCTTGAATCTCAGAGTGGCCCATCAAAGTCCTCTTCGGCACATTCCGTTGGATATTCGCGTTGGCGCAGCTGCGCGCCAGAATATCATCATCGTACCTATTCACAGGATCCAGAACCTCTGCAGCTCCACATGACTTGCAAAGGTCCCCATCGCACTCTCTATTGAGCCTATAGCATGCGCAGCTTTGATTTTGCCAGCATGCTTTGCCGGTCTGGGCGCAAGTGCAGCCAAGAAAGCGGCGTTTGCACGCCTGAGAACACGCACACGTCTTTTCGCAAGCAACCTTGTCGTGAAAGCAGCTGCAGTGGGCTTCCTCGCAAGAGCCTTCGTGGCTGCAAGGAAAAAAGGGTGGGCGCTCGTGCAGCAAATGTGTGTCGGAATTGGCGAGCCACCATGTGAAGCTTCGTTGTGTGGTCTTTCGTGCAGCGGCGCCATTAAACTTGTTGTGCATATATGCCGGAGCAACGACGAGCTTCTTGTGGTTGATATCAACTTGATCAACGGTGTCGGTGGAGTTGGCGGTCGTGGCGGAACTGCGGCGTGGATGTGAACGTGTGGTTGAATGATCGCTCTCTTCGCCACTTTCGGAATCAACCACCTCTCTAATTTCCCCGTGATACGGGCAATTGTGTCTGGGTTTGTTAGCAAATCATCGTGACTTGTGATAGCTGACTTACAAGTGGCAGACCCGACATGCCAGGTCTCGATACGTCTCGTTTCCCGAATCATCCTTTGAAGGGGAGATTCTTGTGATCTGAGCGTGAGAGCTTCTGCTAGCAATATGCCATAGGCTAAAGCCACACACTTTGAGGAAGACCGGGCACGCTAGACTTGCCATTTTAAGTGCTTTGTCCGATGATGGCGGCAAATTCGAGAGTACGGTAAACCATTTCTTCTTTTCTCGATTGAAGTCCTCAGTGCATGATTCGTCTCGCATCTTGAGCATTTCGGCGGCAAATTCGGGCTCCTTCATTCCTGCTAAAGGATCCGGATCCAGCAGCCACCGAAGAACGTCTTTCAGATCGCAGCCGATCTCCTCCAGGAAAGCTTCTACGTAAGGGCTGTACTTCCTGGACTGCTCTTCTTGCAGCAGTCGCCGCGGCCTTTCATCGACCGCCATCTCGAACCTGTCTTCCAGTTCTTTCCACAAATTGCTCAGCTTGGGATCATCCCCCTGCTCATCATCTAGGTAGGGCATGACCAGCAGCTGTCGATTGTTCTCGGCAAGAACGTTTTGCTTTAGACCAATGTAGCTCTTGTACAGCGGAAGCGTCACTGCTTCAGACTTGTACGGTGTCGCTGGAATACTGAGGTAGGACTTGGCGCCTTTGCTGGTCTTGTCCGGAAAAACTTCCTGGCTGATCTTGATGTGGGTGGGATCCTTCCCTTTAACGGGGGTGGGATACTGGATGGATTTCATGTCCGCCAAAGGAGAGCCTTTTTGAAGAAACTTCTCGGGAACAATACTCCGGCCCGATGTAGGATGCGCTGTCGAACGCTCCTTAATTAGAGCGGTACCTCTTTCGTAACATCGTCGAGCACGAGGAAGCCAGATCTAGTCCATAGTTAGACGAGTTGAAGTCCACTTTGAGTAGGCCCGTTGTATGGTTACCAACCTTTAGGAAGTATTCATGGTCATCATGCAATTCCTGCTTGTGCTTTCTCAGTACAGCCTCGACTGCCGGCATCGACATGGCCATCGGCGATGCAGATGCTTCACCCATCAGCGGCAGGTCCTTCCCCACCATCGCTGTTACACATAATCAGTGAACTGCACAGCCCTAGATGAGAATCCCATACCTTTGCTAGGAGCTGTTGGTGGGCCCATGCCACCTATGCTCGAAACCCCTTGCATTGGCCTCGAAGAACCGGGAGTGATAGATGTGCTTGAAGGAATTGCTCCCAGAGTCTTTTCGCCGGTTTCGAGTCCGAAACTCTTCTGCATCGTACGGTCAAAGCTATTACCCAAGGAATTATTGATATTAGGCTTGTCTGCCGTCTGAGGGACGATGACCTCCGAACGAGGCAGCGACTCAGCAGCACGCATCTCATTCGTTGAGCTGGCTCTGGACACAGCATGTGACAATTCGCTGGAGGTTGTTGCTGGGGCTCTTATAGAGCTTCCTTGGATGCCGCTTATTAGGGTAGATCCGATAGGCGGCGTCCTGTATCCGAGTCTGGTGTTGCCCACAAGGTTTCGTGTCGCAGCTCGCTCCTTCTGCGTTTGAACGCTTCCCTGCCCTTCCGATCTGTGCGGTGAAGATGGTGTTGCAGCCATGCCAGGAAAGCGCTCGCCGCGCGTTCCATTGTTTCTAGCTTCATCCTCGAACAACTTTGCTATATCAGATCTTGGTTTTGACTTCTTGCGGATCTTGGCAGTTTCTGCAGGTGAGAGATGCTGAGGCTTCTCTATGCCATTCCCATCATTTCGAATAGGAGTCCGCTCAGGCGATCGAGACCGCTTGAGGGGGCTCCTTCTAAGGGCTTCATTGTGCAGCATGTTAACCTTTGGTGATTCTCGACGAGGTCCCGAGTCTTCACTTGAAGTTACACTCTTTCCGATCGTCATGGCGGGCAACATGTCACGAAAGCTTGTGGTGGATGAGAAAGTAGTTTTGGGTCTCTCTTGGGGCGGCTCTAAATTGCTCTTGGCATGGCCGGCTGCCGCTGCCGTACCAGCGACTGGATGTGAGGAGCCCAACTTCGCCGTATTTTCCGTTCGTGTAGTTGACAAAGCAGCCTTTCTCTTCCATTCGTAGTACTTGTCTTTGATGGCCTGTAATTCATTTATGGTCATCCCAGACCTAGCGAAGGCTTCCTTTGACGAAGCATAGACAGCCCATTCCTCTTCCAAAGACCCATACGGAGGCGTGGGCTTGGGTGGCTTGTACTTCCGAGCCATTGGTGTAGTTGCAGATACTGGACACGCTGTTGCATTGCTCGCGTTCTCGTTCGTCGCGGTCAGTTTCCGAGCTACGGGCACGGGTACCTGCAGCGGATGTCTTGGTGCCTGAGGCTCCCCATCATCACTGTCGCACAGGTTAATGACTTCTGAAGTCCTTCTTCCCGAAGAATGTTGAGTGCTCCTCTTAGGCTGCGTGTCATTTTCTTCTCTTACAGATGGTCTAGCGAGAGTAGCGCTGGTAGAGCTCTGCGTAGGCGGTCTTGGTCGGTCTATTCGTTTTTCATGCCTCGATGCTGGTGGAACAGGCCGTCTGGATAGAGGCACATCAGAGTCATCTGAGCTACTGATGTTAATAACTTCTCCGCCTGCCATCTTTCTTTGTAATGAGCAGATTGCTTCAGAGTAGGAGCTTCACAAGGGTTGACGCGATATGAATCGGTATTGTGACTTGAGAGTAATGCAAGCTCTTGCTCGCAGTTTTGAGGGTCAGACCTCAGTGCGGCGATTGATAGATGAGACAAAAAGCCGGAGTGCTGTCACGTGTCGAGGTTGCGGATGGTCGTGTTTGCGATTCTGCGTGGTTTGTTGTAAGAGGTTTCCACTGCTACAAGCAATCAGCCTCAGAACGTCATGCCTCCTTGAGAGTGGCTGACAGCGTGAGACTACCTTTCTAAGCTGATTGACATGATAGGTACCGTTAACTGAGCTCAGAAGCAGAGGAGAGCCGAATTGCTTCTTGGACGCGACCACGTCACCGCGCAGTCGCGCGAGCACGTGATATCGAACCGGGACCGTTACACTTAAGCTAAACCCGGCAATAGTCAGTAGCACGTAGGAGCACCGCTACAATCGTGCATGTCACGTCCACAAGTTTGAGGTGTACTAGTCCGTTTCAAGTTCAGATCTCAATTCTTGTTTATGCTAAAGTATACAAGACATAGGCCGACAGCTTAGTGAGAGATGTCGTTCGTCCATCACAGAGCCGATCTTGCAGTGGATGGTGCCGGAGACATGGATTCGTGGAATCTGTAGCCTCGAAAATGATTTTGATGTAACTTCGAATCACCTTGCCACAAGAGTGATCCTCGGATGAACACGCTATGCCTTGCAGGTCCGAGTCTCCAGCGAACTCGAACCATCACGATCGGTAGTACTCTCAGCTTCCGCTACATGCCTCCATAGAACGTAGCTCAAAACCAGATGCCCCACACAACACCCCAAAGAGAAACCGCTTAGAACTTGTTGAACTGCTTGACCCGCTGGCCAGTGCGAGGAAGCACACGGAGGACATTGAATCGGACGGTCTTGCTGAGGGGACGGCACTGCCCAACGGTGACCTGGTCACCCTCCTCCACACGGAATGCCGGGCTGACGTGTGCTGCAAGGTTCTTGTGCTAAGAAATGTTAGCCAACATCCCGGGTGTTGACTATAATATCAAGCCTACCCTCTTCTCATATCTGGCGTACTTGGGCACGAAGTGTAGGTACTCTCGGCGGATAATCAGGGTGCGGTGCATCTGTAAGGGTCAGCTTTAACTGCACTGGATGAATCAAGGCGTCGGTGGGCACTCACCTTGGTGCTGACAACGGTACCCGTCAGGATACGGCCACGGATGGAGACCATGCCGGTGAAAGGGCACTTCTTGTCTGCAGATACCCTGTTAGCTTCGAGAATATAACTCTAACGATGCCAGAAGCATGTCGCAAGCTTTGTGCAATCGGCCCCGTGAGAGAAATGGCGTGATATTTGAGCGAATCTCCTCGGAAGTATCTTCTCAACGTCTTCTCGAGGCCAAAGCCGTTGTGCATCATTTCCGCCGGCACTTTTCCAAGTACCAAGTTGCATCCATCTGAATTGCCATTGCCCAGCGACCCGCTCCACAACATGTGTGTACGTACCGATGTACGAGCCCTCAATGGCGGTCTTGGGCGTCCGGAAGCCCAGTCCGACATCCCTACGATCGTCCATCAGGCCCGTGTCCTCGAGATATCCAGCGATCTGCGAAGACCTACTTGTACCATCTCCTGCCCTGCCTTCCCGGTCTGGTGCGCTTGTTCTTTGCGGGGGCTTTCGAGTTCGTGAAGATGTGCGGCTGCTTTTGGAACTATTCGAGGATTGTTAGAGAGACTCGGTACATGATTCTGAGACGCTGAAACGTACGGCGCGCTCGCTCTGGACAGTACTGTATGAATGTCAGCATGTCGTTACGTTATCCGGATATAGCGCGACGTGACATACAGCTCGGTGGCCATGATTGCGATGTGCTGCGATCAGGAACGAGTCAGGCTTGCTGAGGGCGGGTTTGTGGTTGTCGTAGGGCCTTGTCGCTGGAGGTTCACCACGTCGAAAATTGGTGATCGGGTGTGGAGCGCAAGGGCCGGCTCTCGCTTAACGCACTTGACTGGGATTGCGAGCGGTAATATTACAGTCTCGAGTGCACGTGATGCTGTAGACCTTGAAATGGCTTCAAGGCATCAAAGCTGATATATTTGAGATACCTTTAAGGCGTCAAGCTGTCATTTGAGCTGTTGGTATCTCAGTCCCACAGTCTCAAGGGGGCTTTGTGGCAAGATATCTGCCTTTGCAGCCACGTGACGTCGAGGCCCCTGCTCGTCAGATAACGTAAGCCATTGTTGACGCCCGCGTTCCCCATCAACATCTCGAACCGCCGCCTTGCACGCGCATACCGAACACCAACTTTCTCCACAATGGCGGTCGAGACGGACAAGGAGAATATCGCTGATGGCCTGCGCGCCGACCTGTTCACCAAGAGGGCTTCTGTCTCTCCCAAGAAACCCACAAAGAAAACAAGAAGCAAGAGCATTGGGCCTGGTGGACTCGATGCGCCGCTCAAGGAGGACACCGCAAATCGCCGAAAGGTATGTCTACGAGATGCCCATACGCTTCTCCAGGGCATGCCTCGTACGGATTGCTGACGCGAAGCTAGTCGGCCTTCATACCCGCCGTCAAATCCATCCTCGCCTCCAAGGAAGACGAAATCAAGCGGAAAGAAGCGCGTAGGAAGTCTTTGGGTAAGTGATTGCTGCCTCAGAGTGTGGAAACACCGGCTGAGTTATGCGTCAGCAAACCGACGCGTCTCATTTGCTCCGGAAGCAACGCTACACACATGGGACGTCATTGAGTACATGCGCGATGCGACGACATCCTCCGCGTCCTCCAATTCCACCAGGAGGGCTTCCTCCATGACCGAAGGCACAATCGCTCAATCACCTCAGCCGAATGCGCAATTGCCAGCGCCAAGTTCGGATCCTGGTGAGCCTCCATCAACACCGCCGGAACAGGTCGAGGAACCGCTGCCTTGCTCGTCTCCTGCCAACCAGCGCGACCTGCATCAGCGAAAGCGCCGTCGACGTAGCTCTGGCATACCGCCTATGAACTTCAACAATCCCGATGACGCGTTTTCATCCAGTCCGTACAGCAGCAGCCCGACCCACGGGAGTGATGATATAGAGCAAGTGTCCGACGATGGAGAGAGCACTGCTATGAGCTTGGACGTTGGCGACGCGGCGGAGGATACCTTACATTCCGATGATGGCGACTCCACAGGATCAAGCGCACGTCTGGACGAAGCGCTTCGCCTAGCGGCGGCGCAAGCTGGCACTCAGGGTATAGGCTTTGACGAGAACGAGGACGTCTCGATGGAGATGGCCGGAGACGAAATCACAGCTGCGTTCAAACCATGGGTGCAGAAGACCGCAGAAGCATCCAAGTCGGAAAACCTTCTGTCCTTCTTAGAAGATCAGGAAAATGTCAACCCGTTTTCGCCAGCATTCAAGGCGCATGCCGTTTCGAATCTCGCGCAGCATGCTGACGAGCCGGCTGAAGAGACCGAAGACATGAGCATGGATATCACTCGTGCAGTGGGAGGCATCGTGCAGTACCCACAGCTGCGGCAATTCGAAGAGATGGAAGATGCCACGATGGATCTAACTACTGCCGTAGGCGGCATTCACGCTGTTGCCTCCGAAACAAAAGGCAACCGACGAGGCAGTCTCAAGAGGCGGCGATCTTCAACCATGGCCCCCGCTATGCTTGGGGCAGATGCTCAAGGAAGCCCTGCAAGAAGGCCAAACGCCCGTCGTGCTAGTTTGAGAAGGAGGAGCTCTTCTCAGGAAGAGTCATCGCTTGAAGATGCCACGATGGATTTGACGATGGCTATGGGTGCCATCAAAGAGACTACGGTAGAAGAGCACATCGAGCGGCGCGATAGTATTGACACTTCGTTCGGCGACGGAACCATGGAGTTCACCATGATAGTCGGCGGGATCAAAGAATCTGCGTCAGAACGGGAGATTACCGAAGTGGAAGAGGAAGTCGCTCAGGATGATAACGAGGAGCTATCAATGGAATTTACTGCTGTGATAGGCGGTATCCAGAAGAGCGTAGCTGCTTCTCCGAAACGCTCGAGTGTTTTGGCGACGCCCTCTCCGAAAGGCCGGCAGAGCCTGTCGCCTCGCAAAGATTCAACGCCTTCGGCCACAGAGATTTCGCAGAACCTGGGACCTTCATCTGATCCTAAAAGAGATATACCGGCGACACCGCAGAAGTCACGGCAGTCGCCCGCGAAGAGTATTGCACCTAGGACGCCTGAGAACTTGCCACAGATCCAGGATTTCGCTGCGGAGAAGGAGAACAATCCATCGCCCATTGCTGCGAAGATGACGCGCAGTGCTACGCGAAACGCTGCTCAGCTGTCCACGCCGCCTAGCAAGCTGCTATCCGCGACTGAACCTGTGCAGGTTTCGCCCATCCAAGTTCAGTTGCTCCGGGAGCCGCTGGCCGAAAAGCCAGTAAACATCTCGCCGCAGCAACCACCGCCTACGAGAAGCACAAGCGCCCTGACGGACTCCATCAAGCTGCTCTCGACGCCTAGGAAACAGGTCAATACCTCACCGCTGAAACGCGTAGCTGCTTTGACACCAAAGAAGCAAGCGACTCCGAAGAAAGAGCCGACCCCGAGGAACAAAACCCTAACTCCAAGAAAGAGCGCCTCGCCGAAGAAGCATGTCCGAATAACTGCTGTTGAGGCTTCGCCAACCAAGGATTCGCTATCCCCTGCGGATACTGCTGATGAGGTGGTAGCCAACGAAGAGCGAATTGAGTTGCAAGATTTCTTGAACATGACCAAAATTCGGTTCATGGACTTGACTACGAGCAAGAGGAGGCACACCGCATTCCCCAGCGCTGCACATGATGGTAAAGCGCTGAGCGCTTTGGATCAGACAGAGGGCGCGGCTCCAGATCTAGAGAGCTGCGTCGTTGCTGCTGTGTGCACAGTACCTCAACTTGAGATGTTCCAACACGTACGTACTTTCTGACATAATTCCTTGATCTTATGTTTAACTGACACATTGCAGTCCTGCCATGAGCTCAAGAAGTATATATCAGAAGGCAAAGACGTCGTCCGCCAAATCGAAGCAGACACGTACGGCGAGAACCCACCCCTTTTCCGAGACTACCTCGCTGCACCCCTCGACCAGCGCCATCTGATCGACAACCAGCTCAAGAATTTGAGGACAAACATGCGCCTTCAAAGCAAGGAGATCTGGTACGGCTGGCGCAGCAACCTCCTCGAAAATCTCAAGACCGGCCTCATGAGGACCGAAGAGGATCTGGCCAACGACGATCTCACGCTAAAACAGCAGGAAGCGCTGCTGGAAACCTTGATGCCAGTCTTAACGTCCAAGCACGAGCGGCTGCAGGCGGAGTGCACGCAGCTTCACGAACGCGCCGAGGAGCTCCAGGGCTGCGACAAGGAGGAACTGGACGAAGCACGCGAGCGTCTCGTCGCTGCTGACGCCGATATCGGAGAGAAGAAGCGCCTGATCGAGGCTCTGCAGCAGGAACTCATTGAGAAAGAACGCTCCATCGAAGCTGCCAAAGAGCGCAAGCTCGAGTGCGCAGAAGAGATCAAGGCCGCGGAGCGCGTGCGCGAAGAGTGTCGCGGCTGGTCCGCCAGCGAGGTCGCTGCTCTAAAATGTAAACCCACTTCCTCCCTATCCCCCAACTAAGCCTAAGAGTCCAAGACTGACGCCTCGGACAGCCAAAGTCCAGACCCTAGAAATGAGCCACGGTTGGGCCCTCACGGCCGCAACAGACCAAACAGTCACACTAACCTACCGCACACACCTCCAACTATACTTTCACCCATCCTCCTTCAACTCTTCGACCACCACCCAGACACCCAACGCACCCATCTCCCTCACCTACACCGGCGCCGACGCAACAAACCCCGCCCCGCTAACAACAACCCTGCGCTTCTTCCTCCAGCTCCTCCGTGCGCATCTGCACTCCCTCCCCCAGTCCACAACCCCCGTCCCAGCGCTGCTGCGTCTGGTAAGCGGGGGCTGGGACAAGGCGCTTGCGGTCGCGGGGGCGGTGAGGGGGTTAAGGATGGAGTGGATCACTGAGGAAAGCATCTTAAGCGATGAGGCGATGGCGGTGAGGTCTATGGTGTTGCTGCCGGGGCTAGGCACGAAAGTATGGTGCGGTTTTGAGGTTGGCGTGGGGCTTGGTGGGGGAGGTGAGGGGTGGGAGGTGGAAGTGGGGACGCGGGCGCAGGTGGCGTATGGGGAGAAGTATGATGAGGGGAAGATGGCGGAGTTTTTGGGACAGTTTGTCGGGAAGGGAGTAAAGGATGTGAATGAGATGGGTATCTGGGCGAAGGCGGTGGGGGAATTAAAGGGGAGGCTGATCGCTAGAGGCAGGAAGGGATAGAGGGGGTTTTGGGGTGCGCTGGCGTGGGAGGGAGCGTGGTGTTGGTCTATTTGGCTTCTCTGACTGGGTTTCCGGATGATGTTGCTTGGGCCTGGTGCTTGGTCGTGATGTGCTTGGTTCGCGGTACTTGACACTTGGGTATACCCACTCCTTTATGACTGCATAAGAAATTGAGACGACATGATTCGCATCAAAGCTGCTCTTTGTGAGGGTACCGGCCGGTGCTGTTTACATCTCCGTTGTGTCCAGTGTAGGAAATATTTGATCACACCGGTTGGACTCCAACATGAAGACTTTCCTCTACCTTCATCCGGCTGCCGTTGAAGATCTTAGTCTTCGGCGCATTTCTAGGCTCTGGCTGAAATCAAAGTCTGACCCAGCGCCTCATATAGTCAACCAGGAAAGTGGCAGGGAACAAAACAACTTATAGCCTCTACGAAGACAAGCTGCTTACGGTCAAGGCTACTTTCCTTTTCGTCTACATCCCGGAACAGAAGAACTCGTGGTTTTCTGTTTTCTAAATCCGCCTCGTTGTCAAAGTCCTGTTCAAGTGAGCTCTATTTACAGGTCGTTCTAACTAATTCTGAACTTGAGCGAACTTCCGTTCTACAACGTCTAACTAGGAGCTTTTGCGGTCAATTTCCTAGCTGGTCTATGGCAACCGTCGGGTAAGAGATGTTACTTCCATCTTCAGAAAGCCCTCCTTCCCAAGAACAAGCGGGACTCTATGCTGACGGTTGAGCTGTGAGTACTCTCGTGCCAGACCATCATCAGATCTCATGTACAGTATGAACCGCTTCTCAACACATGCAGACGACCAAAGTATCTTGTCTTGCATGGCGAAAGCCACTGAGAATATTGGACGGTTACACAGGGCGCCCCTTGCAGACTGCTACCAGCTGTATTCTATTCTGAAGTTTCTAAAAACTACCCACGTTTCGCCAGTGTCCAGGCACCCGCTTGTCCTACTCCATGCACCACATCCTCTCTACTTCTGTCATCTCCTCCCTCAAGACGATGACCAGCCCCTCTGCCTCCCCCTCCCGACGCCCCTCCTCTCCCGCCCCAGCAAGGTCTAGTACCTTCCTCTCCCGCTACAAATACCCGGTCCTTATCACCGGTTACACCGTCATCACGGGTTTGCTCCTCCTGACCGTCTCCTGGCAACCACCCAGTGCAAGCATTAAGGCGATGCATCATTTAACAACTTTCACCGGCCTGACGCACGCGGCAATTTGCATGGGGTTTGTTGTTGGAGGGGTGACTGGGTATACACTGGAAGCCCGGTGGGTCAATGACGGTGCGCTTCGGTGTACTCCTGCTAAATCTGGCTGAGCAGACGTAGAGGGGTCATATTGATGAAGTCCAGGCTGGCAAGATGACTCCACCGCCGTGGGCGTACGTAGAAGGGCGTAAGCAGTACGTAGGAATGTGAGACCGTTCGTCGAATATCTGGCGTTGTGCCGCAGCCGCAGCTTCTTGTTTCGACTCCTGTTGAGGGCTTCTCAACTGATACGTGGGCAAGAGTTCTTCTACGCCCTTTGAAGCTTTGCGGCTGGTGTGCTACCCGAGCGTTATGAGATGTATGAACATAAGGATGCGTGGTGGTCTTAGGCATCCCGCCGGACATACATCCCAGCAGTGTGGAGAAGCCTACGGATCGACACTGTTCCATAGATGATACGCGTGGATGACAGAGACAGGGGATCGTGTTAGCCGTCGTCAGCACAACGAGCTGGACTGGCCTTTGGAGCAGTTAAGACAGGGACTTGAGCAAGAGAGAAAGTAGTGATGATGGGCGGTAACGACCACAAAGGAGCGATCTGGTCACATGAAAGTGAACGTAGAGATATTGAAGGGATGAGTAAAAGATCGTTCAGGAACAGCGGAGCGCTCCATCTTGAGTCTGAAGACGAACAAACGGCCGTGCCGAGTGCTTAAGTTCTCGCCCGGGATAACAGCTCCAGGATCTCCTCGAGGAGTCCATAAGGCCGAGTTTGTCGGACTATTTTGACGGGATCCACTCTCATGTCCAGTGTCATGTTCAACTTAACAATCACCTGTACAACCCTCCTCCCCTCCCTCCCCTCCCTCCCTCCTCATTCTTCACCTCTCCACCTCACTCCTCCGCCGATTCAACCGGCCGCTAATCCAGAACCCAATAAGCAACGCCGCCAACCCCGTGCCCTTGAGGACTTTCTCGTACTGCCCGGCTTTGAGGCGTGAGTTATACGGCTGCCGCGAGATGCGGATGAGTAAGGTGCTGGTGATGAGGACGTAGGCGGTAAGAAGGAGATATCCGTTGCGGTTGAGGGAAGGGGGTGGAGCGGGAGGGGAGGTGGACGAGGGCATTATTTTGTAGGGTTGGTGAGGTGGTTTGGATGGGAGCTGGTGAGGGTTGATGACGTGGATGAGGGCGCGGTGTCACGTGGTCTTGCCGGTTGCTGTCTTGTAGACTACGAGTACGCGTAATCGTCAACAAGGCAGTAGGGGTTTGGAAGGCAGTAGCGCATAGCAAACAAGGGAAGCAGTGGGCGAAGGCCATGGCGTAACACACAAGACGGGTACCTGAGGGTTTGCAATATGCTCTGTCCATTTTTGTGAACCAGCCTACCTAACTACCTGACTCCCTTCCGGCGCCCACTCCTCCATCTTTCCGAGAAGTAAACGAGCAGAAGAAGCAAACTCAGGCCCACCGACGAGCAAGGCGAGTTAATGTATGCGTGTGAAAAACAGCCTGCTCCCCATATGCAATTTCAGCTCCACCCTCAGAGATCACCCTTCCCATCCACCTCAGCGCGGATCTAGCACTATCCAGAAAGACGCGAGTCCCCGCACCGTTTTCGCGAGCAAGAGCGAAGTCCGCCGAATCCCAGTGTGCTTTTTTCCCTCCATGCCGTGTGACCGGCGAAAAGACTATTCGAAACAGGGTATGTGTGTTTGATGCTGACAAAGGAGAACGCTCATAACCAGAAAGAGAAAAGCAGAAGTACACGCTGGAAATGCAAAAGAAGTGAAGGAAGATGCTCGGCGCTCGCACATGGATGCTGTGATACATATTTGGCCCTTCGAAGAGGTCGTGTGATCGGCTGGGCCCGAGTCACTTAAGATGGTCAAGCAGTCCGAAGCAAGATGGCTGAAATCGGGTGAGGATGCTGCCATCGGAAAGCCTGCTGGGTAATGTCGACTAGGCTAATGTACATGCTGCGGCGGAAGGTACTGTTGGTAGCTGTACTGAGGTGGTCCCTGCTGCACATTTGACAGTGGTGTTGGTGTCGAGGGGTAGATGCGCGGAAGAAGGCTGTGGCCTTGGCCGTAGTTGTTCTCGCCGAAGTCGTTGTCGGGTGTGATTGGTGGGGTCAGGCAACCGTGCTGCATGACGCTGCCGTACTGACTCTTCTGAGGGGTATGCGGCGCCAAGTATCCATCTGCATTGTGCTTCTGCTGTGCTACATCGACAGACGATATTGGTGGAGTGTTTCGCCTTGCGATCTGTGCTTGTTGTTGCAAGAAGTCTTCAACCGTAGTCGACACGGATGACAAATGTATTGACGCATATTTCCTGGCCAGGACCTGGGATGGCTGATAGAGGTGGTTGGACAGGTTGAGAACCGTCGCGGGATCGTAAGTGCCCGCCCACTGGGACTGACGCACTGGTGGCCGTGCTAGTATGCACCTAGCCAAAGCAAGCGATGACCGTGCTAGTACCGAAGGACGCGTGGAGACGAAATCTTTGTGGAACAGAGCGACTTCACAGATGAACCAAGTCATGTGCTCGACCTCTGGGTCGTAGGGTACTTCGGATAAGGCAAGCTGTAGGAAGCCATCCACGGTCGGGTGTCCGATTGCCCAGTCCAGTGTTTGTAGCACGTGCCACTCCATTTGTGTGAACATCTCTTCATCGTAGAGGGAGCAGCACATTGACCTGAGCTCCCGCACCGTCGGCACGCGCTCTTTCCTGTCTCCGAATTTTGCAGCGATGAGCAGCGCGGCGCAGCCCACAAGCTGGTAATGTCGCTTGTACACCACTCGCCTCGAGCAATACCTATCCAGCAGATTGACCGCGAGGAAGAGCGTGTCCGGTAAAAGTTGGAATGCAGCGTGAGCTTCGACGAGAAAGTCAAGTAGATATGGGCGCATGAACCACTGAATTTCGGTCTGGATATCGATGGAGTTGACATCGGGCATTGTTTCAGACTACTCAGCATTAGAACAAGCCGGAAACAAGATCGAGCATGGTATCATCTCACCTCCATATGTTCCATGTGGTCCATAATGTCCTCTTGATACTCGTCGGCAGTAGCCCTGGAAAGCTCTTCCGCTATAGCCCGCTGCTGCATCCTAGCTATTGCGCGTGTACGTTCTCTTGCCTCGGCACGTGCGGCATATATTCCGTCGTTATCTGACTCGATGAAATAGCTGTCGCATTGGCTGTAGCGCGACTGAGTCGGTTGGTGGTAAGCCATTTTGCTATTTTTGAAAAGATGAGTCAACGGGTGTTGAATGTGCAGACGCAGTCCGAGAGGTTATGTTCAGCGAGCGGATGCTACTTTGTCGAGATGGATGACGTTGGTGAAGGGTTGATGATGGCTGGTGTCGAGGTTGTGTTCGTGTAAAAGAGTGTGCTGGCGATATCTCCAAATGACAGTATTAAAGAGCGGAAGCCCGTAGCGTGGGCGTGAATGAGTGTGATTAGTTGGATAAGATAAGTGAACGACTGCTGAGAGAACTGATGATCCCCGACGTCGAATGATGCAGGGTTACGAAAAGGTTCAAATAAAACCTAGCACGCGAAAGCTGTTAGCCGTGTTTCCCTTGGCAACGCGGTAGGCCAAGCAAGGCTGCATGCGATCGGGCATACCTTGAGAATTAAACTTATTAGCTCTAAAGGAGTGTACAGTGGCCGCTAGAAGAAACGGAAAACGTATGGCTTGAAAGCTTGCGTCCCTTGCTAGTTGCATCCAGGAATGGAAGATAGGTCTGCAAGAATTGTTCTTCTGTGGGATATGCGGCAGGGGTAGCTACTCGGTGGGCAGAGCACGAGTTAACGAGTCCGCCGTTGTAGCCGGTGAGTGCCTGGACCGTCCAGGGAGAAGCTGGGGAATGTGGAGGTCTCCGCGAGTGTCTGAATCGGATTCTGAATCTTAGCGATTAGCGAGCAATCTTTGACGAAAGAATCCACACTCCAGCTTACCTCGGCCTTAGAAGCTTCGATGACTCAAGTCAAGCCGGTGATGAAGCCGGATGAAGTGTTGTCGACGCTACCTTTGCACAGGCAAGACGGAAAGAAGTACTAAAATGACGAAGACACGGGTTAGTCTGTAGAAACTGGTGAAGCGAAGTTGTGGACTTTTCAGGGTCTTCCGAGATGAGATCTGCGTTCCAAAGCGAGTGGGAAATTTCCGTACGGAATGAGCCGGATCCTATAATGCAATCCTGGAACCTTCGAAGCTTCTACGAGCTGTCATCTCACTACATGCCAGTGAAGTAGAAAGGGTTGTAACGTCAAGCCAGTCGTGACCGAGGCTGATGAGAACTGCGGTTTGATGAAGTCGAATTTCCTTGAACTTAGAAGAGACTAAGCAGTGGACAAGCGACAAAGCTGGTCATCCATACAGTAAATGCCACAACATAGAGCAATGAAGCAGCGGCCGGTATACCACGTTGGTATTCTCACGAGTTCGACCAGGGGCCGAAAACCACGGATGAGCCCTAGGAGGGTCCTCAGAACACACCAGGGATGGGCAAAATCTCCAAGAATACAGGCCAGTAATTCTGCTGCTGTCGGACGTTGACAAAGCTTGGTGCTATCTCCTATCGACAGCCCCTGCCCACCGCACCGCCATCGACCTAACCAGCCTTTGCTCGAGTGAAGGTCCCGCGATGCCTCGTTCCAGGTTGTCATAAGGGTACTTCGATGTACGGGTCCTTGCCCAGTAGATTAAGTGGATCCATTGTCAAAGGTTTAAGGGATGTCGGAGTACCCAGGCCGAGTGGTGTCCTTTGGCTGGGGGAGATAACGGCAACTGCAGGGGAGTTCTGGCTAACTTACCAGAGTATCAAGACGTGGACAGTTGCAGACACCGACCCACGTGCGGATGTCGAGATGGTTGTTGAATGTGATGGAGGAAGTCAGATGGCTCTACGGTCAACGGAGAGGTCACGGTCTATCGACGGGCAATTGCGTGGAGAGTGGTTCGTGTAGAGGTCCAGGCACAGAGAGGAGGAGACTGCAAAGGGGTGCTGAGTAGTCTGTGAGGCAGAGTGTTGTGTGGAGTCCAATGCAGGACTGTGAGGAGAGGGTCGGCTGGGGGGAGGCCGAGCAGGCTCGAGGTATATTAAGGAGAAGGTGTAGGGCCGAAACGAACGCGTCGGAGCGGTGCCTGTGCCAATGACTCCAGGCTTCAATCCTAAAGGACGAAACGATGACGGAGCGAGGCAGGAGAGGAGGTGAGGAGGAGGGGAAGAGAGTGAGGTTCGCGTTGGTGACGGACGGGGGGTAAGGTCAGAGAATCGGACGCAGCTGGACTACTGTTTTGCAGGCTTATGGGGCTCTCGCGAGCGGTGGAGGCTAACCCGCATTGACGGCGCTGTGCCTTGCTCTGAGCAAGCCCGTCGACAGGCGGCCGAGAGCCAATCCGCGCCGGACTGCCGGGCAGCACAAAACCGCTAAAAGGCCAAGCCAGCAAGACGACGGATCTCTCTGGATTGCCTCTGGCGCATCGCAGCGCTGCAGCTTGACCCGCAGCAAGCGTGGATCACCCTCGTTCAGCTGCACGCACTTTGCACAAACGCTATGAAACCCTTAGCCGAAATCTGCCACCGTGGCACCGCCGTGAGCGTTTCTGGAAGACTGCTGGCTCTCGCTGCAAGGTTTCATTTCAACTTCAAACCTTTATCTCGCTTCATCGGTGGTAGTCAAGAGCTCTGCAGTGTTCACCGCACTTCGTTGGGGAGCTTCGGTGTCGTGGTACAGGCTTACCGCTGCTGCTTCATCTCCGTTGGCGCTCAGACAATCAGCTGCTGCGGGCAGAACGCTCAGTTCGCCTGCAACGCGTCTGTCTACCGATCATCAAACATTAATTGCACGCGTTCGACCGACACGAGAGGACGCGGCGGGACACGGTTGAGTACCAGCCTTCCCTTCTCCATGCCTTGGCCGTGGCACTCGCTGGCTCGAAGGCTAGCTGAAGTTCAGTCAAATCAGATGTCGACCAAGGCTCCCAAAAACCTGTCAGCCTGTCAGCCTGATGCCAATCATGTACACCACACGAGCTGCATCTAAAACTCAGATCTCTCCCGTCTTGACTGGTGGAGTTTTCAAAACACCTTGACCTGAACCCTGTCTGCCGGATGCTCGGTGGCTCTTTTAGTTCAATGCGCCGCCTGCCAGACTGCCACCGTCCCGGAATCTCGCTATGCGAATGCTTGGATGCCCTTAGCGAACGATGCAGGCATTGCTGGGATCCTGGTGTTGGCGGAATCCTTCGCATTGAACTCAAATGTGCAAAGCGTCTCGAGGCGTCAGGACGGTAATTTATGCACTCCTGAACATCGCCTTGATTTTTCCACACCACGAACACTCAGTCCTCATCACGGCTTTGCTGGCAGACAACGCTGTTTGACTGTGGGCAGCCTGCTGAACCAGCATTGCAAGAGAATTAGGCACAGGTCCCTCGGTTCCTCTACACACTCAACGCATCCCTGATGCCAATAATACAGCAGCTATGGAAGCGAGACGCACTCATCCCGTGTCTTCCATGTGAATATTGCATGTTGGGGCCAGAACAAGCCAGCGACTGAGTGCTCCATGTAAGGTGTGCTTCGGAGCCGCATCAAGTATATCAGAAGTCGCGAACTCCGGAAAAGGCTCCTGCAAATATGACAATAGAAGGCGGTTTGTGTGAGCTGAATGTGGCCGCTACTGCGGCATGCACTGCGCGGTGAAGATCACTGTGGAGAGCCCTCGTCATCATCTGGCTATCGGAAACTTTTAGGCGTCCATGTTCATCGTTCCTTGCGCGAAGTCCCGCTCACGGACTCCTAACCTAAGCTTCATGAGGATATGCGGAACACTCTGTCACATCCGAGCCGTTGCAAAGCCATCATGCTGTGCGCTAACGGCTGATGGAAGTCTCTCCTGAGCACTGCGTGAGCCTAAGGCCGCCTTGGCCGGCAAATCCTCGTAATTGAAAAGTGCCCTCTCCCCCCACCCGAGGCCGTCTCACGACAAGGACACACGTTTTTGACGCGACCTTCTAGCGCGCAGCGGATGTCTGAAGTGCTTCGCGCAGCACACATATCCCATGCATATACGCCCGAGACTGCTCATCCGCAGCCCCCCCGTTCCGCAAGTGCTCTTAAGAGTCGCTCCGCCATTCGCACGTAACCTCATGAGACTCCTCTCAGCGTCATGCTGACATGCAAGGCTTTTCTCCCTCTGGACTCTCCGACAGCATGCGTCCACAGCCTGCGAGGTTCTTGACTCGGACATAGCACCGCCAAGTATCAACTTTAGATGTCTCACCATCACAACACAACAAATCGGAGAGCCAGTCGCTATATCGCACTATCCCCATTGGTAACAGGAATGTCGCTCTACGACCACAATAGAGCCACCAAGAGCTGCTTCTTCCATCTTGCTCGTTCACTAAGCAACGAGGCTCCCGTGCACTCCACTGAGCTCCAGAGGATCTCGACCAGCTACATAGAAGGATCAACCAGGATAATTGCATCTTCCCTATTGAGGCCTTCAACCACACAGCCTTGTCTCGCTTCACTATTGAGATCTGCAATGATCTCACTCCAAGACACGCCAACATTGTTTACTGTTCACGAAGAGGCCATAGCTTTCGGGACGGGCACGAGGGCTTGCTGATGCGAACCGCACGCGACTTACACGCGATCCATCATCACGACGAGGTTTTCCTTGCGAGCTCAGGCACACAGTGGCTTCTACTTCGCAAGCCTCATCTGTAATTCGGGCAGCAATGAGTACAATCAACAGGCCTGTTTCCGATGTCAGGCATGGCCGTCTCCAGCATTCTCAACCACCACAACACTACATGGCTTCGATCTCTCGAAGGACGTGAGAAGACTAACGGAGATGACCTAACAACCGTCCGCTAGGCCAGCAAAGTTTTCAATGCCTGTTGCCCCAAGAAAGCTCTGTCCACCCGCTCTAGCAGCCGGTGACCACAGCAACGGAGCATACGCAATGGATAGAAAACGGCTTCATCACTTTGTAGGGACCTCTGCCTCGGCCTACGTGTTGACAGTGTGCGTAACATCAACCAACACAATACTCGCAATCCTCCGGACTCCGTACTCTGTTGCCATTCCAACCCAAGTCTACATTTGCAGACTCAGTGGCCGCCGCAAGTATCATATCTCGCAGGAGATTTGTTCTGTACGCCCGACTTCTTCCACTGCAAGCCGACATGTGCTCATGCACGCCCCCGCCAACAGCATACAGCAGTGCTGCAAAGCCGTTTACGTCTCACGTAATGCCACTTACATTTGACTTTTGTGATGTATGCCAAACTGCACCTGGCCCAACAGCAATGGTGGAGTTTACTTCCCGTCCCGCCGACGGTGTTGACATCTGATGATGCTTGTCAATATGTTCTCGGCACTTTGCTTGTGCTTAGTAGTCCTGTGAGGTGCCGTACTCCCTCATCTGACGAACTTGCTCTCGCCCAACAAGGAGTCCCCAAGAGGTCACTCTTGCACGTGATATACGGACAGCTGCCGCAGCATCAAAGAAATCAACAAATGGCAACCCAAATGCCGTGATAAGCGCTTGTAAAGCCACGCCTGATATCTCCGTGCTTCTCCCAACTTTTTGCAGCAGTTATGCGGAAGCTGAGCTCAGGAGCGCGGCAGGGCATTAGTTGTCACTAAGTTAAGAGCATCCCCATCACGGCGGTCGGATGGAAAATGGCTTCAGGAGAGCCAATCCTATTACTGACACCTGATTTGAACTCACGGAGATATCTCTCCGTATGCTGAACGGATCTGGGCGTTCTAAGGAACTGTGGGTGCAGGTCATCGAAGTTCCCCAAAGCTCAAGGTACGTCGATGAGCACGTGACAAGATGCGGAACAATTCCCCGCTGTTTCTCCGCCGGTGGGAAATTTTTGGAACTTCGCGCCAAGATTTCGTAGGGATTGTCAAAGGCGCACAGGAACAGAGCAACTGCCTATGCTACCTGAACCCACGTTCCTTTACTAGGCAGCATCCAATACCCGTGAGGAATGCCTCGATAGGCTCTGACAGCTTAATCTCGAGACGTCGACTCGCTCATTCAACCCCAGCGCGCTTCCAGTATAGAATCTGCCGCAATGGACATCCACCGCTCGCGCTTCGTACCCTACCCAGCAGCCGCGATCAACGCCCTCGCCTTCTCCCACACCAGCGGCGAGGACTTCCCAACCAAAGACCAACGAGACCTCAGACTCGCCATCGGCCGCGCAAATGGCAACATCGAGATATGGAATCCCGCCAAAGGCGCCTGGGTGCACGAGACTACAATGGCTGGCGGAAAAGACAGAAGCGTCGAGGGCCTCGCATGGACGCAAGAGCCGGAAGAAGTTGACGAGAATGGCAAGGCCACGGTTGGGCGGCTGCGCTTGTTCAGCATTGGCTACTCCAGCACCGTCACGGAGTGGGATATCGTGAGTGGGCTGCCGCAGCGCCACTCGAGCGGAAATCATAGCGAGGTGTGGAGTTTGGCTGCGCAGCCGCGATGGCGAGCATCGCAGAAGAAGGGTAGAAAGGAGGATGCCCAGACACGCGAGGGAGAGTTCCGCGGGCAGAATCTCGTCGCCGGCTGCGCTGATGGCACGCTGGCGCTGCTGTCTACTGCGGAAGACGATCTCAGGTTCCAGAGGTTCCTCTCGCGGCCGACAGCTAAGAAAGCTCGGGTTCTCAGTGTGACGTATCAGAACCGCGACATTGTTATAGCTGGGTTCGCGGACAATATGATACGGGTTTTCGACACTCGCAACGGAGCTTTGCTGCGCAATATCTCTCTAGGTGCTGCGCCGACTGGCGGGCCGCGCGATATTCTCGTCTGGACGGTGAAGTGTCTACCGAACGGCACTATCATTTCGGGAGACTCGGTAGGCAACGTCACCTTTTTTGACGGCAAGACCTACTCTCAGACACAACGGATATCGGGCCATGAGGCGGATGTTCTAGATGTTGCGTGCAGTCAAGATGGCCTATCGGTTTACAGCTGTGGAATGGACCGCCGAACAGTGACCTACAAGTTGCTCGGCAAGAGATGGGCGAAGACTTCGCATGTACGGCAGCACGAACACGATGTCAAGACCATGGCAACGTTCGAAAGCGAGAGAATGAGCGTTATCGCTTCAGGAGGTACGTTACTCGGTCGTAGCTGCACCCATGTCGATTCTCACCTTTGCCAGGTCTTGACACTAACCCCATCATCACACCTCTTCGGGAACATGGGAACGAACATTTCCGTACTCTGTCTGGTCTACCGCAGAGCCCTCCCATTGCTAGCGCGCCGGGACAGCGGCTCCTTGTCAGCTGGTGGGAAAGGGAGGTGAGCATCTGGCGGATCCAGCCAAAAGGCCGCCAGAGCAAAAGCCGGAAACTGGTCGCTCGCATGGCGCTCAAAGGCGAGGAAAACATCGCTTCGGCGTCGATATCTGATGCCGGCGATCTTCTTGCCGTTTCTACCGCGGCCGAGATAAAGATATTCCAGATTAAGAGTCGACCGAAAGACTTGGAATCTGGTTTGCGTCTGCGCCTGCGCAAGCTTGAAAGCCCACCGCCCATGGCCAAGCTTGGTGCAAAACTCGTTACGCTCTCTGCAGATGGCAGATGGCTGGCCGTCATCACGCACAACAGCAGCGTGCTCCTAGCCCGCGTCTCAAAAGACGAACAGGCCGACGGAAGATTCAAGATCCTCCCCAAGCTCGTAGAACTAAATCGCCTTCCCCGCAAGCAGAAACTGCAGACCGCTCTAGTCGCCCCCTCAGGAAGATACGAACACACCATCACCCGGGCCCAGTTCTCTACCGATAGTCGCGTCCTTGTCGTTGGAGATCTCGCCGGCCACCTAGACAGCTGGGTCCTAGAAGGCCACCCCGACCCCACAGCGCCCGAAGTCGACATCGCCGACCCCCGCTCCTCCGCCTCATCCGTCGCCAGCGACGACGAGGACGAAGACGATGAGAAGCACCCAGTGATTCTGTTCGGCCAACACTGGATCCCCAACCCCTCCGCCCACCTCCTCCCCAAACTAGACTCCGCGCCCCTCTTCCTCTCTTTCCGCCCCAACGCAACCAACACACCAGAACCGAACGGCAACCCGGCCGTCCATCCCACGCGCCATAACCCCCATCCGCATTCCCATGACCTTCCGCAAGGCGACTACCGCCTCCTGGTCCTGAGCGCGCAGCACAGACTCTACGAGTTCGATGTACTGAAAGGGGGCCTCACGGACTGGTCCCGCCGGAATCCGACGTCTAACCTCCCCGCAGAGTTCCAGGGCGTAAGGGATCGCGCGATGGGCTGTGTGTGGGATACGAGCAATGACCGAGAGAGGGTTTGGCTGTATGGGAGTAGCTGGCTTTTCATGTTTGATTTGGCGAGGGATTTCCCAGCCAGCGAGGAGGTGGGTGGAGCGGAGAGGAAGAGGAAGCGTGGCGCGGAGAGAGATGGGAGGAAGGGGACGAGCGGGGCGGGGAGCAGAGTCCCGCAGCGAGAGTTACCAGGGCTGGGACGCAAGATGCGGAAAACGACTGCTGGTGCTGCGGCAGCGAGGGAATGGGTCGTGCTTGGGGAGCGGCAGAGCCTGGTCTCGGACGAGGAGTCAGAAGCGGATGCTGTTGCGCTGTCCGGTTTAAGAGTCCCAGGAGAGGAGGAAATAGGTGGGGCGGATGGAGACGAGGGGCAAGACGTGGATGGGGAAAAGGCGGTACAGGCGCAGAAAGAGCAGAAGAACTGGCTGTGCGCGTATAAGTATCGGCCTATCTTGGGCCTGGTGCCGATTGGCGGGCAGGAAGATGGCGAGGCGCTCGAGGTGGTGCTGGTGGAGAGGCCGCTGTGGGATCTGGAGCTGCCGCCACGTTTTGTGGGAAGTCATGAGAAGGAGTGAGGCTTATTGTATATCTCTTCGCAGCAGACAGTAGAGAATGTGTAGTGCCGTCGCTGACGCAGCCAGAATCGGACTATGGGAAACAGCACGTGATTCAACCGGTCTAGGAGCGTTCCAGCAACTTCTTCAGTGCTGCTGGGCGGAATGTTAGCTAAAGACTAGCGACTACCTACTCTAACATGTCACTCGCTGTTCAAATCGCTGCTGCTTTCGAGGCTCATAAGATGGTCAGCGCACGGGCCTCTTCGACTTTCGACGCCGGTGGAGCTTGCAGACTCCCGCAAACGGCACGAAACACCACAAAGACCAGCGACCATACTTCCCATGTGCGTGACAGACGACGGTTGAAGCTAGACAGCTGTCGGCAATTGAGCATCTACACACCAACATCGTCATCCTAGCATCAACGTTACCGCCCGCGACCGATACCACGCAACTCCATCCCACTCGCATCACATCTTCTACGCCCACACATATCCCCAGAACACGCCCACCATGGACATCCGCCAGCTCATCAACGCGCCCTCCCCCCTCCCGCCAGCCGCGCGCGCAGAGACGCCCCCATCCACGAAGCGCAAGCGCTCGCCCTCCCCGCGCCCGACCTCCGCAAAGCGCCGCCGCTCCAACAATCCCTATGCGCAACCTCCTCCCTGGGCCACCCGTGGGAACTGGAGCGGCATCACCATCCTACCCGAGATGCCTCCCCCGCCGCGATCCAAAGCACAAAACCAAAACCACTACCTCAAGGCCGCGGCAACAGCCACAAACGGCCACAGCACCAGCAACAACCACAGCACGCCGCATCCCTCCACCACAGTCCGGGCACACACCCCCAACCCCTCACTCGCCTGGGAGCCCTCCATCACAGCCATAACGCCCTACGACGAGCTCTCCCGCCGCGTCTGCGACTTCCTCTACCCCTTCGCGATCCAGACCTACCCAGGCGCATCTCTCGAGATCGAAGCAAAAATCGGCACGCTGCTGAACCGCTACAGCCAAGAGCGGGTCGAGCTGCCCGTGCTGTGCGAAACCGTGCTCGACAGCGCGCGGGTCGACTGCACATTCCGCAGCTCCATGACAGAGCCGCAGCACCGGCAGATGAACAAGTTCCTCAACGACGCCGTGGCGAGTTCGTGCGTGGCCCCCGCCGGCGGGGGAGCGCCCACCCGCGTCAAAATCGCATACACCCACCCCAAAGAACGCGACACCTTCCACGCCCTGACGCCCGCGGGATTGGCGCTGCTCCCGCCCGCCCTCCGCGCCGCCGCTTCGGCCGGCCCGCACGCCCCGAAAGTGCGCCTCACGACCGACCAGAAGACGCGCAGAGTCACGGCCGCGATCGTCAAGACGCGCCTCGGGGACCTCGACATCCTCTCCCCCGGCACGCCGTTCGACTGCCGGGTCAGCGTCAATCTAGAGATGAGCTACCCGTTCACCAGTGTCGAGGAGCTGGGGCCGCCGGTCACGGAACACGACGTCGTGGTCGAGAGGCTCAAGGATAGGATGAGCTATTCGCATCTTGCGTACCGCATTGATCTGACGCAGGTGACGCGGCCGGGGGGGGAGGGGAAGGAGAAGGTGCATGAGCTCGAGGTTGAGGTTGCAGGGGAGGAGTTGGGCCGCGAGGCTAGGGCGCTGGAGGAGGGGAGGGAGAGTCGGTATGAGATGGTTGTTAGGGGGTTTGTGGATAATGTTAGGGTGTTGACTAGGGCGGCGAGGGGGTAGTGGGGGGGAGTGGGGAGAGCCTGGGGGAGGGTGAGATTGCTTCTCAAGAGCCTATTCATATTTTGGTGGTAAGGGAGTGCGTGGGGAGGAAAGGTTGAGAGATGCACAGCTTCTCTGCTTTTGCACCAGGACGAACACAGGGAGTTGCGACGCGAATGATACCCCAAATTTTTCTGCACGCTGCGTTTTGCGCTGTGGAAACAGTTTTTTTTTTTCAGAAATCTCCACGCAATGACCAAGAGCCATGCGCAGGTGTCGAATGAAGTAGCTCCCGCGCATAAGCTGTTGGGACCGGAGCAAGAAAGGAAAACCGATACAGTGTTGACGCTTGAACTTCTGAGGATATCGTTGACAATAATAAGGACAATTCATAAAGGACTATACACTGTCTGAGACGCCAGCTCCGAATACTTCTCCAGTGGAGAAGGAGCACCGATTCCAGGCAGACAGCCATCTTCCCAGCTGTTTAATCATCGCTCATGGCCCCTCTACGGCATCATGCTACGAGCGGCAACAGCTTGACCCGTCTCACCAATCCTTTTGGAGCACGCATTCCTTTTGTGCAGCCAGAACCGTATCCAGGAATGTCCACGTGACCGAAAATCTTCAAATCAAAATTCCCTTTCCCCCCCCCTTCGCAACACACCCACACGACCTCACTACACCCTCTCATCATGCCTAAACGGCTCATAAGCCCTCCCCCTCTCCCTGTTCAGATCACCCTTTCCGGCCCTCAACTCCCTCAGCGGCACCCCCCTCTCTCCTCCCTGCTCCCCACCCCGTGCCCCCATCACCCGCTCATACGTATACGGCGCCTTCTCGACCGCCGCCCCGCGCTTCCCCTTCGAGTCCTTCCGGTCCCCCTTCCCGCTCCCGCAGCACGTGCTCAGCAGCCAGAACGCGCCGGCGGCGAGGCTGAAGACGGCGGCTAGCCAGGTGGCGAGCATCATGCGTCGACCGACCGAGGCGTCGATGTTGTAGGGTTTCAGCACTGTGCTGAAGGTCGTGGCGAGCGTGACGTAGATACCCGTCGCGAGTGCCGCGGCCGCGAGCGTGAGCAGTGTCGTCGCGGTGCTGAGGATCGTGGTGACGAAGGAACCCCAGCGGGAGAAGATGGCCAGGATGCCGATTACGATCTCGGCGGCGGTAACGCAGAGCGCGATCACGTAGATGGCGAACATCCACTTCACGACTTGCGCGTAGGTGTCGAGGCCCTTCTTCAGGTCGCCGGGGATGTAGTCGTCCAGCTTCACGTCCGCGCCCGTCCCGGCGCCGGAATCGAGCTTCCACACCTCCACGGGGTTGAACCAGTAGCTCGCCGTCCGCGGGGAGCAGAACTCGATCGTCTCGGCGCCGGTGGCGGCGTCTTTCTTGCCGCTGCAGTAGTTCCACAGGTGGATGGTGTAGAAGTCGTTCATGCTGGCGCCGGCGGCGCTGTTCTTGAACGCTTGCACCAGCTTGTCGTCGATGTCTGTGCCGGGGACGTCGACTATCGAGGGGTTCGCGGCGAAGGCGGAGGTGTCGGCCTGGATGAGCGCGGAGTGTTAGTTTTGGGGCTGCGAGAGGGGGGGAGGGGCCTCTTAGGTGCGTTGGGGGTTGGTGGGGGGGACGCAGAGGGGAGAAGAGGGGAGTAGCGGACGCACCTTGAAGAAGTACAGCGACGAAAGTGTCGGTGAGGATTTGTTTAGGCCGCCCATGAAGACCATGACGAGGCAGACGAGAGAGGCGATGGTCAGGGCCATCGGGGTGATGATGCAGGCGACGCGGGTGAGTTTGCCCATTTTTGGCGGGTTGAAGGTGGTTTGCTGGGGGCTTTGCGAGTGTGTCCTAGGCGATGGCTTGACCTGATGCCGTATGCTAAATGCTGTTCTGGACTATCGCGCGACTCTGGAGTTGAAAGTAATGCGCAACGACGCTGCGAGCGATTCGTGTGTATGCGCAAGTTGATAAACGGAAGGTGTTGGCCTCACACCCTAGAATGAAGGATACTATGTACGACCACGAAGCGACAGAAATCCTTCTTCACCCCTCGCGACGGACCAATGCCTTTTGTACACAGAGTCAGTGTCTGCGCAGCTGAAAAGCACACGAGGAGACGACGACGGAGCAGGCGAAGCCAGTCCCAGCCCGTGCAAGCTCCTTGGCTGTTTGGCTGATGGGAGAAAAAAGCGCCAAGCCACAGGGCTTAGCCTTCCCCCTCTGGTGCGACAGATGGCGGTGCAGCGCTTTGCCCGAGAGGGCTTGGTTGAGTGAGCTGTCCCCTGTCCCGTTGGAAAGGGTGGGGTTCCCGACCCGTGTTTGGGGAGTTTTGAGAGTTTGTTATGCGGCTGTCCTTCCGTCTCCCCCCTGAATAAACTCAACGATGCCGCACGGTGGCTGGACACCATGTGTGCAGAAGGATGTCTTGACTTTGCGGCAGATTACTCGGTGGTCATGTGGTCGCGCAGCAGCACCAAGATTCCCATAAGATCAAGCTGAACGGAAAAACGGTCCACCGCTTCAGCCCTGCCCGCGCCCAAAAATAGCCCCCTGCGTCGTCAGCCAGTAAGCCATGCCACGCGGGGGCCAAGCTAAGCCGGGCTAGGCAAGGCGAGGATTGCCCTTTACGCGTAATCAGTTATTGCCAGACTATCTCCAACATTTGCGGAGACCGCTGCGTTACGAAACGCTGAGACGTTTTTGGAGAAATGTACTTGGTAACAAGCTACTCGTGGTGCCCTCCTTCCCCCCAGATGCGATGCCTTGCGCCATGACGTTCATCCCCGGCTCCACGCAAACGCGCACCCGTGTCCGAGCCCAAACCAGCCGACACCAAACACAAACAAGTCGAAACCTCGCTCTGGATGGAACCACGACATTACGACCCAAGCGTGACATGATGATCCCCATCTTCACACAGCCCAAGCCATGCTGCACTCCTGACACTGAACCACCCCCTAAACCTCTTCCCTGAAGACCCTACAGAGCGCAAGAACGGGCAGACAGACAACCACGATCTCGACATCCTCTTAAAGCCAGCACAACAAACCGCAGAAATCGACGCGCAAACGTGGTATAAACGTAGATCCCCAAATGCGCTATGCGCCCGCGGCATCGAAGCGAAGCAAACAATATAAAGAATAAGGAAGAAAAAACAACATAAAACACCGTTCCCCATCTGATGCCGTAATGCAAGGGCGTGAGACCGAAAGTAAGCCGTTACTTGCCTACGATGAGCGTGTCCAATGAACTCCCCACACCCGCCCGAAGAACTCCCCGATGCGCCGGCCGCTGCGAAGTGAGCAGCGGTATGCAGAACTGTGATGCTTTTTGCGACGGTGTTGGTTGGTGTCGTCGGCGTGATGTGTGCTCGGGCGCGAAGCGTGTTGGCCGCAAGTGTACGCTGGCGCTGAGGACCGTCAGGGAGGCCGAGTCCTGAACGCGAGCGAAACGGTCAGGCGGCGGGACCGCGGCGTGCAGCCCCACCGTATTTGATTGAAGTCGACACATCGACATGTCATAACTCCTTCACCGCGGCGGCAGGTCCGGCGGGTTCTCATTCTGGTGGCCCGGCGTGCCCCGGCCGCCCTCCCCTCTCCTCCTAATCCACTCCGCCTCTCCGCTCTGCCGTCCTTCGGCCGCCTTCTGCGCGTCCGGATCAGCGCGGCGATTACCCGCTCCGTTGCCAGGCTTCAGGATATCCTCAGGATTGATTTTGCAGATCTCCTGCGCGATAGCCGTGATATAGTTGTATCTGAGCTCTCGCTCCTCACGCATGTCTTCGCCCTGCAGGCGGAACTTGTCCTGTTTTGACATGTTGGCGCGGCGGTTGGCCCGGATCTCGGCGATGATGTAGTGTAGCACTGCCTCCGGGACGCGAGTGCGCTCGAGGCCGTACTTGAGGATGTTGCGCACGTAGCGGCGCGTCACGTCAGTCGCGCCGTCGGCGGAGAAGGCAACGCAGTAGGCGATCTTCTTGCCCCAGCCTGTGGCATGACATGTCAGCTACGAGCTTGTCGTAAAGGGCCTGCTGTGTCGCTGGGAGTGGTGTACATACCTTCAGTGTAAAGTCGCGGCCTGTCCCACGCCTCCTCGCACGAGTCGACGTGGATCCAGCGCTTCCTGTGCACGGAGTACACCTCCGTCCAGACGTGGTCTTCGCTGTTCCACACCCAGCGGACGCGTGAGCCTACGGCGCGACACAGCATGCTGAAGCAATTGGCCCACTCGCCGCACCGACCTTTCCTGGTCTGCAGCAGGACGAAGGCGTCATTGTAGCGTGGGAAACGCTCGTAGCAGCCGCACTCCTCAACCGAGCACTTGTACAGCTCGACCTGGGTTGCGCTACGGGCGCGCTCGTCGGGAAGAGGTGCAGCCATGCCGTAGGCGATGGTCGGTGAGTAGCACTGCGAGCACGGCGGGTTGTTGACCCAGGTGAAGAAGCTGCGCTTGAACCACCGCAGCAGTGCTCGCACGACACAGTCCTGGTAGCCCCACGCAGGCTTCTTGCCGGTCCCCAGGCTCTCTGCTTCGGCCTTGAAGATCTGGCTCTCCTCCTCGGCCTCGTTGTAGATCTGCTCCAGCGGGATGGCTTTGAGCGCTTCGTCAAGCAGTCCAGGATTCTCCCACCGGCACGGCATGTTGGAGAGAGAGTGCATCAGGTTCTTGAAGCGCAGTTGTTTGTGGTCCTGAGGAGGCATCGGCACGAGGGGGATGTTCCGGAGCGACGAGTACGACGGCGGTGGAGCACTGTGCGGCGTCTGCGATGCGAATCCCCTGGGCGCTGGAGAGCTCGACCGAGACTGCAGCTCGTTCATCCGCGTGGTGCTGAGCTTCTGCCGCCAGCGCTCTGTGAGGTCCTTGGCGACCTCGTCGGTCATCGGGTTGGGTGTCTCGGCCCCTCGACGAAGGGTGTTCCGGTCGGCCATTGTCGCTCGACTGCGAAATGGCAGATGGCGGGCTGTGCGTATGCCAGAGTTGAGCGTGTGTCCTATGGTGTCGCAAACGGTGAGAGAGTCGAGCGGGCGGCGGTCGAAGGGCTGAAAGTCGTTCAGGCTGCGACCGCAGGTTTGCACAGCCTGAGGACCTGGGACGAAGCCGCCACGTTGAGGTCAGTGCGCACGCGGAGCCCCGGTGAGTTACGGCTGGCTGGCTGTCCTCCACGATGCTCAATGTTCGGCCTGCAAAGTCGACAGCAACAGCGACGGTTGATGCACTCTTTCGAAGCAGCAGTGGACGTCGATATCAGAGCCAGCTGGAGGGCGAAAGTGAGGGATGACAACGGGCGCGGGCGGGAGGAGCAGCTCTAGTGTGTGTGTGGAGCGACGCAAGCACTTCGACGACCTTGAGCCAGCTCAGGCCAAGCGCAGCCGGCTTGCGTCGTCAGCTCCAGCCAGACGAGTCCAATCAGCTGCCGGCTTTCTTCGCAGCGCGTGGTAATCCTCCTCCTCCTCCGCCGTCGTGCACCTCCGCCTGCGCACGCTGCGAAGCCCTTTTCCGGGCAGACCAAGGTTGCAAGCGCGGTGCTGCTGACTGTGCTGCGAGGATGAGTTGCTGCGAAGATGGGTTGCTGCGAGCACGGCTGCTTGCCTCCGACAGATGCCAAATGCCACTTGCCGCGGCTCTCCTGATGCTTGATGGCGGGCAAGCTCAGAAGCAGCAGCAGTCAAGCGTCTCGGCAGACCTGTTGGCGACGAGATAGGTCTTGTGGTCTTGTCCCGAATGCTTGCCCGTCAGATGTCCCGCCGGTGTTGACGATGCAGCAGACGGAGAACTTGGCGACGCTGGAGGTTGAGATTCCCGTGCAAGGTCTCCCAATCCCTCATCTGATGCTGAAGCCAAAACAACAACAGCAGCCAGCAGCGATCGGTAACCCACAGCTCATCTGCCTCAATCGCTGCGCTGCGCTGGCACTGAAATCACACCTCGAAGCCACGCGTAGAGCCTTCGTTGACCGCAACCGGCCTAGCGGCTTGCCTGATTGCGCGGCCGCCGAACTGCTCCAACGGTCCGCCCTGTCCAGCCCGGCGCTGCTCTAGGGTACCGCTCGTCTCTCCAGACGCGTGTCTCTGCAGAGGCAGAGGCAACCGGCAGATCACGGGCGCGCTGTTCGAAGGAAGGGTGTCGAGTAGCGCGAGTTGCATTTCCGCTTGCGCAATCGACGCTCCTGGGTAATAAAAGATAACCAATGCCAAGCATCTCAATTTCGTACCTGATGCACGCAACGCCGTCCCAATGCGACGCCCGCAGATCAAGACCATGGCGTAAGTAACAACGTAGTACCGCACGAGACGCGCACATGGGATTTGATGTTTCATTCACAAGCCGTCAGCAAAGGCGCAAAGAACAAGGAAGAGCACGTAGAGATGTGAATTACTAAAACGTAGACTTTCCATCTCATCTCATCTCATCTCCAATCTGATGACGCGGCCAGCGGCTCCCGCCATCCTCGGCCTGCTCGAAAGGCAAGTCTCGGCTCGCCGCGTAAGAGTCGTGAAATGTACCGGGAACGCGTCGGACCATCCCGGGGGTAGTCTGCGCTCGATCAAAACGAACAAGCACATGCGACCTGCAAGCGGACCAGATATCGGTGCTCGAATATCACGTGAGTGCGTAATGCGTCCTCAGAGACGCCAGAAGGAAGACCTCGTCTGTACCTCTCATGCCTCTTTCCTCCTTTCATGGCCAATCAGCCTGAGCCTCATCACTCTCATCCCCCTTTCCCATGCTGATCTCTAACCCCATCCTCTACCTCTACCCTATCCTCTTCCCCATCCTCTTCCCTTGCCTTATTCACCTTCCTCTTCTTCCTCGCCGCCCCCGCCATCGGCTTCTCATTCTTCTCCCCACCCTTCCTCCTCTTGCTCCTTCGAGCCCTCAGCGGCACAAGCTCTAAAAACCCATCATTGTGCACGCCGCCCAACAACCCCTCGCCCTCATCACCTGCGTCCTCCCCATACTGCTCCTTGCGTGGATCATACCCATGCTTCCGCATAATATGTTCCGTAAGCCTAAACCGCTGCGGAAACACCTTACCATGCCATTCACAGTCTTCATGCGGACAGTTTAGACTGAGCGGATAGAGGTAAGGCCGCCGTTCCTCTTTCCTTCCCTCCTCTTGCTCTTCTCCATCCCCGTCCCCGTCCTCACCATCCACCTCTAACACTGGAAGCCTCGCCCGAGCCCGAACCTCCACAACCTCCCCCACCCCCTTCAACGCAGCATCAGCATCCAACCTCCGGAACGCCATCCCCTCCCCAAAGAGTCTTGCGCACCTCCCCGCCGCGCGGGCTACGACAGCAGGATCCCAGCCCACGAGCGCCGCGACGCCGAGGACCTCGCTCCAGTCGCGGGGCGCAGGAGCGCGGCAGCTGCTACGTGAGTAGGAGCGGCTAGGGCGACGGCGTGAGGCGCCGCGTGCGGAGCGAGTGATGGTGGTAGAAGTGGAGCTGTGGCCGGATTCGGTGTCAGAAGCAGGCTGGGATGGCGGCTCGGCGGAAGTGACTTGGTCGATGGGCTCAGCCGGAGGAGGGGGGTCGTCGTGTTGGCCATTGAGAGTGGCAGTGACGCGGCGCCGCATCATGTAGTGCGTCTCTCCCGGCAGCGGTTTAGGCCATTTGCGCGGGCGGCCTCGGGCGTCTTTGCGGGGAGGAGATTGGTGAGAGTTTTCCGCTGGATCGAGAGCGGTGGGCTGCTGGAAAGGTTTTCGGGGGCGGCCTACTTTGCGTCGCTGCGCGGGCGGTTCTGGGTGCTGCTCTTCGGTGGCGTGATCTTGTGGGTGAGTAGAAGCCTGTACTGAGGGCTTTGGCGGTTTCCGCCCTGGTTTGGGTCTGGATCGTGATTGAGATCGTGATCGTGGTGTACCTTCGTCATCGGTATCGCGGCGGATATGGCTGTTTCGCGAGTGACGGAGGCCGTCTAGTAGGGCGTCGAGCTTGCCCATTAGAGCGGTGATGGTAGGCTCGAGGATGCGGGAGGCCTCGTCATCGTCTACGAGGATAGAAGGCATTGAACGGCGCTCTTCGGTATCCTCATCGCCATCCGTTTTCGCCAGTCTACGCTGATCGCTTGTGCTGGTAATACCCGTTGCATCGGACTCTTCGCTGGCAGCCCTCGAAGTCCGTACACTCGACAGTCCCGTGGAGCTCCCTCGACTACCGCGACTCGTTGATCCTTCTTCCGGCTCCACTCGGCTCCTGCTTCTCCCTCTCAACCGACTCCTGCTGTGTGACATCTCTTCTCCCACCTCCTCCACATAAGCCTTCCCACCCCTTCCCCACCACCGCTGCTTCGCCCTCCTCTGCACAAGCCCCACCAATACCTCCCTAAACTCCTCATCGCTCTCCTTAACGCCTCCACCCACAGTCCAGTCCCCAAGCCCATCATCCCAGGGCCCCACAAACCTTTCCTCAGGCCTTGGCACCTGTTCCGGCTGCAGCGGCCACGCCGTCCATGCCGCGGGCGGGACCCACTCTTGCTTTCTTGACTCGTCAACCCAGGACTCTTTGCTCTGCCATGGCTGAGGTCTGGGCGGGGAAGGAAGGTCTGAGTCGATATTCGATTGCGGCCTCACACGCCGCTTAAGCGCATGCGCGTTGTATAGATGCATACTCAGATCCTCGGCCTGGAGGCTGTTGAGCGAGGCGATGAGCTGGCGCTCTGCGGCTGTCCGGTGCCGCCATGTTCGCGCGGCGCCGTGGTATTTATTCGGGCGGTGTTCGTCTTCTTCGTCTTCCTCCTCCTCCTCCTCCTCCTCCTCCTCCTCCTCCTCCTCCTCTTCCGGCTCTGGGCTAGTGTGTCCCGCTTCTGGTGCTACATCGATATCGTTGGCGTCAACAGCCATATGCGCTGGCTCTGAGCTTGGTGATGCTGAGGCGGCGGGTCTCGGCTGAGCGTGTTGGGCTGGATCGTCAATTGAGGACCCAGAGTGTGGGGACGGAGACGGGGAGGCCGAATCCTCATAGGGCGCCGGCGCGGCTTCACCACCAAACAAGGACATCTTGCTGGTCGAAGATGTCGAATATAGGGGTTCGACTGTGTGTGGGCTTGAGCGCTGGTCTGCGTTGCCGGATCATGTTGCGATGGTGGGTGTGGTGGAAGGCTTGGAAACTTTCACGCGAAGAGAGCTGCGGGACCGGAGTCGAATGAGGCGCGTGGTCACGCGACCACTTTCTGATCTACTTAGTTCATCGCAGCAAAGGGACCCTGCTGTCATCACTTAACTTTTAGGAGCGTTGAAGTATGCCAATCGTGTTACAGTCTCCAGGGGCGATTCACGAATTACCTCCTCGATTGGAGTCGATGCTTAAATTTCTAACAGCGCGCTGTATAGCGACCCATTCGCTACCTTAGCTACCTACGTGCCTACTCATTGCACCCCTTCTATGCGCCGTTCTTTTCCCAGAACTCCCATATAGTGTCCGCACACTTCATTGCGTTAGAGATCGGAAGCTCATGTCCAGCATCCACGATCCGGATCTCCACGTTCTCTTGACCTAACACATCCCGCGCATCTTCAGCAACCTCACTGGGTAGGACAATAGGATCCTTCTTGCCCAGGATAATCAGCACCCGATCTGACCTTCCCTCATCCAAAGTTATTTCTCTTTTCGCTCTGCTGCCGTCCTTTGCCTCGGCTCTTTGTAGCCTCCGCTCGTCGAGAGTCTGGCCAATGCGTTTCCAGACGCGATGTTGATTATGTATCGGCGCATACCTAATACTGCTGATGAACGCTGGGATAAACCCTCGATGGTGTTCAATCTGCCAGTTAACAGCGTTGGCCACAGTCGTGAGTGGACGACCTGGGAACAGCGGAGAGTCATCGTTATACGGCTTCATCTTTTCCACCGGTATCCCCTGCCCTTCCTCTGGAACTACACCGCCCACTTCAGCGGTAACAGCGTCATCCGCATCTTGCGTGGCAGAAGACTCCCGGGGCGCAGCGGGTTTAGCTGGTGCGGACGTGAGCCGCCGCTTTACGAGCCAGTGGATAAGGCGCTCGGGTACCCAGCCGCCGGTGCCGTACAGAATCTTGCTTTTGTAGGTGACGTGGCTTGGTCTGACAATGCCGCTGGGCGCGATGAGAACAAGAGACGAGACCAGCCCGGGGAAGTGCGCAGTGAAGTCTGCTGCGATGCCGCCGCCGAGAGAGTAGCCGATTACATTGAAGTTGCAGTTTGGATCCGACTGAGATCCGGTCCAGGGAACCGGCGATGAAGACAGCGCCAGCAGGATCTGTGTCGTGTACAGCCGACTGTCGTACGGTATCTCAGATGGGTCAGGCCCAGATGAGTAGCCCCGGCCGAATAGGTCGAAGAGCATCACTCGGCAGCCTCTCTCGGCGAGATGTTGGGCGATGCCTGCGAGGGCGATGCATGGCGTGCTGATGCCGTGAATTAGGAGGACTCTTCTGCCGTCTTCGGGACCCCATTCGTAGACCCTGATGATGCCGTAGGGGGAATCCACATCTCGTGCGCCGGGGAGAACGTCTGGCGGATATGGGAGGTTGTGAATGTCCGCTGGAGAAAGCCTTGGGATCGCTGTAGATAGCGGGGAGAGGATTATGCTGCTTCGATAGCGACGAGTTGACTTGTACAATTGGTTGAAGAGGAGATAGACGCCCAGAGATGCACAGCCAGCGGTTAACAGCGGTACTCCATATAGGCCATTGAGTCGACGATGGCTTATCCCAGCCTTGTAAACAGCGGACATTCTATCAGACTCATATATTCATTCCAGTACACGACCGCTATTATGAGTAGGAACAGGATGAAAAGCAGATCATGGATCTCGGCGGCGTACATTGGCGTGTAGAAAGATAATATCACAGTATGTGCGAAAGGGTAGGAGCTTGAAGCTGAGCAAGCAAACCTCGGCAAAATGGGCGAGTAGGAGAGATTCGGATGGATGACCGCAGGACAATGAAACCTCTACGATATCAAGCGCAGCACCCGCGATTTCTGTAAGGGGATTAAAACTACCAAATTAGGAGGTAGCAAGAGTTATAGCAGAGCGTAATATATTACGTGATTGGGCACGTGATCATCCTTAGATATGCTATTGCTGAGAACTAAGCGGGAAGAATATCACAGTGCGTCTGTAGTCTACCCGACATACATCTAGAAGGTGACCAGGAGCTCCTCTGTGGGAAGACGGATGTAGACGCGTGCTGCCGCTGACTTTTCCAAAATGCAGTCGAAAGCCATGAAGCTCGACCACTGCACTTAATACGACCGCCCCGGTCTTCGTGACCGAGCAACTATGCACTATAGAACATAAAAATCCCCTCTCCTTTCACACCTGGATTAGTAGACGGTGACGGTGGCAAGGTCCCCAGAACCGGGTCCGGACTTCGGATGCTCAAAAATCCACCTGATCTCTTCCAGGAGACGATCTTCCCCATCCAACGAAACCTCGAGTACGCCAATTCTAGTAAACTCGAAGGACCTGGCTTGAGCTGTTGTAGCAGAAGACACTTTATAATATTCGGCCCCTCTGGCACAGGATTCGGGTTGCAAACCAGGAGCGGCAAGCAATGCACTGACTCGACATCAAATACCGGCCCTTGGTTCATGTTCTATGACCAGTAGTTACTCATCCAGTCTACCTCTCGATTCATGAGGGAGAATATCTGCCCGATTCGGCCCGTTAGACGGATATAACTTCCTCGCAAGGGACCAAACACGTCGGATCTGAGAGGCTCGACGTGGGCCTCCAGCACGCTTACCAGTGTAGCCACCCGGCAGTCCGCGTCGAACAAGTAGGTCTTCAATTGTCGCACTAGTATAATCAAGAGCAGCCCATGACAAAGAAGGACCGGTAAGGTCGTTAGCGAGTTACTATGCTAGGAGTAAATACCGTACATCTGTATTTCTCTGACAATTTCGGTCCATCGACTACGTGCGCCAGGGACCAAATCAGGCTGTAAGGAAGGTCTTTCTTCCATAATCCTGCAAGATACTCGTCAGCCACCAGCGGCTGGAATGATTTCGCAGCACCAGCCACAGCCATGGGCTTATCTTTAGGCTTAGTTATGCTACGTCTCGAATAGCTTTCCACGATCTGGGTCCAGAATTCCTTGTCCGTGAATTCCCCACGCCAGTCCTTGAGGGTTATGGGATGTTGAACGCCATCCAGCTCCGTGTAGCACTTATCGTCGCCGGGCATGCCTTCCGGATATGTCTCACAAGCCCGGAGCATTCGGCACTCCCAGGATAGCTGGGAGACAAGATGGAGTGTACGCGGACTCAGCAGCCTCTCTTGAGGGACCCATCCCCTCCTATCCAAAGAGGGCCTGGAGATCCATTTCCCCCATGGATCGTCAACGGAGACCAAACATACCCTGTCATGTTCTTTGTACCTTAGGGGGATCTTGTGCAGACCAACCCAGGAGATGTCTCTTCCCTGAAATAGACCGCCGCCATTGTCGGAGCTACCTGTTGCCGCAATGTTGCATGCGCAACACCGGTAAACGTTCCCCATTTGTGCTGACTCTGCCTGCCAGTCATCCAAGGAGTCTTGCACAACGCGCAGAGAATCGATCCAAAGACATCGAATGCCGAAAGCCCGTGTGATCCTGATAGCGTCTAAGAACGTGCTCGAAAAAGACGCCAACGGGATACGCTGCTTGAAGGAAGCAATGTTTGAAAACTCCAGCTCAAGGGCTTGTGTGGCTGCCTAATAATGACTTAATGCTATGTAGCCGCTGATGCTTCGACTCTTGAGTTCTAATGTGAGCGCAGGTGTATCAATGCAGTCTCTGGCTTGCGCTTCTCGGACGCTGGCTCATGGTTAGCTTCAGCGGCGGCCATGTCTTCTGTTACTCCTGGCCAGAGTGTCGCCTCGAGTTTATGCCGGCAAGTATGCGTTGGGCGCAACCAGGCGGTTCCGCAGCTCTATCCAGTTTGTCCGCTGGAGTTGTGTATATAGAAGATTCCGGGTTTTGTGCCCCTTCATTTCGAGGCTGAACAAGAAGACCTTGCCAAACCGTTGGAGAGGGAGAGACTCGGATGGACGGTTGGAGGACTATGGCTACTGAATCATGCATGACAACCGGTCATGGCGATTCTCACTCGCATCGGCCAGATCCCTCGATGCGTGTTCCATCTAGCTAGATACTACACATCAAGTCGTGTTGATTTGCACAGCGCGGCTGAGAGCGCTTGTGCCAAGAAACACCAGCGCCTCGCAGCACAGCTCAGCCACGAGTCAGCGCAACCAGCGCACCTCCAACATCAGCTCTGTTTCAGCGGCCGACCAAGTTACGACTTCGCTTTCTAACCTTTCTCTTCACCTACCTACCAAACTTTCGTGCACCCAATCGTACACGAAATCAGAGTTCGTTTCTAGGCGCGAACTGACTTTGTTTGCAGTTTGCACAACGGTGCCCGGCGTCAAAAGTTTCAGCCCTTGGGCGGGTTTATCAGTTCTGTTCGCTTGTAGGACAATCGTCAGCGCTGCTGTTGCAGCAATAGTAGTCATATTTTGAGCCGCGGTGGCTCTCAAACCACTATGGACTCGATACACATGGGTTCCCTAGGGCAAAAGCTACCCTTCTCCAAGAAGAAGCTTCCGAAGAAGGTCATATTCTCGTGAGTCTTCCCGCTCTACACCGTACGATCTGCCCGAGTGAGAAGCACTAGCTGACTTGCGCAGATACATCCTCGACTATGTGATTATCGTGTAGGTCGACCCCCGCCCAAGACTCTCACGCGACCCATTTACTGCAGGAGACGAATGTTGACCAAACACCTGCAGAGTCCTCATTGTAGTTTTCACAATAATAGACAAAATACCCGGGTTCATGCAGCCCTTCGCCCTACAGAACTACACCCTCCAGTATCCTTACGCCGTACATGAGCGGGTCTCAGTACTCGCACTCTGCGTCCTCGTTGTCTTCGTCCCGGCCGTTATAATCGCCCTCTATACTATGGTCATCGACGGTCTTTTCTCGCACCAGCCGCCGTCGGCGCCGACGGGCAAGAGACGAATATTGACGGGCAGATACCGGATGAAGGACAGGCTATGGGAATTGAACTGCGGCATACTGGGATTAGCGCTGTCTGTAGGAGCGGCGTTCACAATCACGGGTAGGCTCATACCATGCGAGAGGATTGGCAGTGCAGTGCTGACAGTTTGCAGGGGCGCTGAAGAATGCAATCGGCAAACCGAGGCCAGATTTGATATCAAGGTGTAACCCGCGACCTGGCGCATTGGATCCCGTACCATTCGGGTTATCGAATTACACAATTTGTCTAACACCTTTGGACACTTATGCGATGAAGGATGGCTTCAGGAGTTTCCCATCAGGTCACTCCAGCGGTAGGCCCCTTTCATCGGCTCGGAACTCTTCTGCTTGTGTGCTGATTTTCTAACACAGTCTCCTTTGCTGGACTATTCTATCTTTCGATATACCTAGCCGCAAAGCTCCACGTTCTGGACTCCAAGGGCGAGGTGTGGAAGACCTTCATCATCCTCGTACCTACGCTGGCCGCCGCGCTAATTTCCGGCACGCGTATCATGGACGCGCGACACCACCCATTTGATGTCCTCTCAGGGGCCGCATTGGGCATGCTCGTCGCATGGGGCTCGTACCGGCAATACTTCCCTCCAGTCTCCGAGGCCTGGCGCAAAGGTCGTGCGTACCCGATCCGTAGCTGGGGACGTGAGCCACAGCCGCCGAATGTCGTCGAGCGGACGGACGAGGGCATCGAGCCGCTACGCCCGATCAAGCCACGACCAGATGAGGAAGCTGCCGGAACCGACTATGGCTCCACAACGGCAGTGGGGAGCGAAGAGAACGGCGGCAATGTATTCAGACAGCAGATACACGAGTCGCAGCGGCGCAGGCAGGAAGCACACCGTGCGCCGCCCTCGTCCACGTACACGGTCGACCCAACAGACCGCGCGCCTTCCTCGACGTACACAGCAACCCTCCCAGCTACAAATCCCTATGCACTATCATCAGGCAGCCGCCGACAACGCCGCGACGAGCACTATGGTTACTCCTCTTCGGAGGAAGAATCCGAGCTAGAGGAGCTGGAGTTGCAGCCGCAGTACACCCTCTCGAACCCATCTGGCCGAGACGTGTACGATCCATACAGCAATGGTCAGACAGACACGTCGTATCACCCTTCACGCATGACGAGTGTAAGGGCACCAGGAGCGAATGTCCCGACCGTGCCCGAGGGGTTGGAACAGGACACCACGTCTGTAAGGACACCGCCACCGCCTGAGCCGCCGACGCATGGTGGTGAGAATGATGGACTGAGGAGGTTGGATTTGGTGGAGACTTATGCGAGATGATTTTTGGTTTGGATTTGAGGTTTGCTGCAGCGCCAGGTGCGTTGGATTTAGCTCATGACATTTGCAGAGTCGAGCGGAACTTTACGAAGCACTTGAGCGGCGCTTGCCTTTCTAGGAATCACTTAAAGCTCTGTTTATACTTACAGGTGCTTGTGTAGTTACGAGATATTACGGCGTGTCAAGGTACCATGGTATTTACCAAAGTTTGCCGATTATGGCACGCGACAGTCATTTCTTGGTGTTGGGAAATCAGCCAGTCGGAGCTTTTGGCGAGGTTCGTCTGCCGCCTGCCGTCGTTGACATCCCCATCGCCAACCTCCAACTTTCATCCCGCCCGGGATGCTGCTCCTCACGCTCCCCTTCCGCAAGGTATGACGTCGTGGAACTTGGCACGGCGTCCTGATGTTTGAAACTCAGCGCGCTCATGATCTTGTCATGAATTTCTTCATCTCAAACAATTCTCACCGTCTCTCTCATGTAGTATTTCTTGAATACCTTCAAATGTTTTCTAGCGGCGCCATATAAGCAACCATACTGATCATGAGCGGTTGTTTCATCTCCATTGCTCACGTGAAGTTTGCTACATAGGAACTGTCTCGTTCTAGCCATATTCCTATGCGCTCCCTATCGCTACCCTTCCCGGTTAAATGTCTCCAGAGAGAAGCAAGCCTCCTACTGAAGAGGCAGATGCTAGCCTCGAGGTCCGCGAAAGACGACAGTCATCAACCCGAGATCCTCCTATGACGAGTCAAGAGTCCAAACTACCCGAACGAGATCCCGTAGTAATCCACTCCAAACCCGCACTTCGAGGTTGCAATGGATACCAAGCAGCACCCGGACGCAGACGCCGAGCGACGACTCACCGACGGCAGTTAGTGCCCGAACTCGGCAAGATGAGCCAGAAGAGCAGCCCCGTCAGAAGGCGAAGATTGACCCGGGATACTTTGCGCTAAATCCTTGGTATGGCCAACCTAACACTGTGCCAGTTTTCGGCCTGGGAAGGCCGCTGCCCCCCATCGTCCGGCGAGGGATGCGTTCGCCGCAGAGGCGCCCGGAAGAGGATGCCGAAGGGAAACGCGGAGGGCAGGACTTGGAGACGGGGCGCACAGGCGCTGCTGGAGGGGACGATAGCAGACAGCGCGAGAAGCCGCTGCAAGAGGGTGACTGTCCGCGTCTCGGTGTGGTTAGACCTTTTGACCGCGACCCTAATCACCGAGCCAGACTTTCGCCGCGGAATTTGGCGGCTATTCCGGAGGAAGTAGGTGGCGGCGCTGGCACCATTCCGAGCCTCACAGGAGGATGGGTAGACGGTGCGCCTGATCAACAAGGGATGACGACGGCATGGTTACCTCTACCTGTTGTTGGCGATCGGTCTACTCAGCTGCAAGAGCGTGGCTCAAACAACGAAAGTCAACCTTCAAAGGAGCGAAGACTAGACGATGGGGATGTCCCGAAACAGGCTCCTGATACCAGTGCAAAGGACTGGATCTCTAATGCTCAGGACCTAGAAACAATCTCAACGTCAGACTCAACCAAGAGGGAGAACGACTATGACGAACTCGAGCGAATCTCCACCTTAGAGATTGAAGAAGACTTCCTAGACCAAACCGAATACGACGTCCACCGCAACCGCTGGTCCCGCATTCGCGCCCGCTACCCCCAACCCCTCGCCGAATTCCTCGCAGTAAGATCCCCCCTCCTCCCCTTCCCCCAATCTCCCTCACATCCACTAACACCCCTCAGACAGCCGTATCAACCTACATCGGCCTCGCCGGCTCTCTCACCGAGATGACATCCTCCAACACCGCCGGCACCTTCTTCACGCGCTGCCTCTCGTGGGGTGCTCGGCGCCATGATCGGGATCTACATCGCGGGCGGCATCAGCGGCGCGCATCTCAACCCGGCCATCTCGATAACCTTCTCGCTACACCGCGGCTTCCCCTGGCGCCACTGCATCATCTACATCATCTTCCAGCTGCTCGGCAACATCTGCGCGTCCGTGGCCGCCTACGCCGTCTTCAACGACGCGATCTGCCGCTTTGATCCAGGCCTCACGCCCGGCGGGACCGGCGGCGCATTTTTCACGATTCCGCAGCCGTGGGTCCGGCCGGGGACGGCCTTCTTCGGCGAGTTCCTCGCCTCCGCCATCCTCGTGATCGCGATATTGGCGCTGGGCGATGACATGCACACCCCTCCGGGCGAGGGCATGAATCCCTTCGTCATCGGGCTCGTCGTCACGGTTCTGCAGATCACAATGGCGTATAACACCGGCCCGTGCCTGAAGCCTGCCAAAGACCTCGGGGGGAGCCTCGGCGCGCTGGGAGTCGGGTATGAGGACGCGTTCAGGGGCGGGTGGTGGATATGGGGCGCGTGGGGGGCGGTGATCTTGGGGACAGCGGTGGGGGCTGCGACGTATGATGCGTCGGTGTCTGTTGGGGGCGAGAGTCTGGTGAATTATGGGTGGCCTGGGCGCAGGGAGTTGAGCGGAAAGTGGAGGAGGGTTAGGGAGAAGGGTTAGGGAGGAGGGGGTTGGGGGAGGAGTTAAGCAGAGGTTAAGGAGTTGGCCGGGGAGAAAAGAGGTGGATGGTTCAGTTTATTGAGGGCGGAGGGGGAAAACTTGACGATGTACTGGCACATATAGTGATGCTTGATGGGAGTACGTTGAATCGCTATCACCGCTTGCATCACGATCCCTTATCCGGCAGGTAAGAGCACTTGGCAGTCAGATGACAGAGTATTCTTCATATTTGGGGGCTGGTTTGGCTATGTTTCCCCGGATAGATTGAGATCCGCGAGCCGTACCCAAGAACTCGGCTGCGATGCCAAGTTTGGCGGGGGAACCCCATGGAGCAATCATTATTTGATGCACACGTGCCTGCTTCAGCATTAAGTTAGCTGTGAACATGTAACACAACTTAACTCCGAGGCTCCTCGGACCTTGAGTCCTTTCCTTCTCCGTCTTTCTTTTCTGTATCACGGCACAGGCATTCAATCTACCTACCAACATCACCTTCACCCAAACCCCACCACCACCACCAATCAACATCCACAATGGCAGGCAAGCTCCCCACACTCTCCGCAACCACGATCCCCACACCCCAGCTAACCACCTCCAGCCCTCTCCCTGACCCTCCCCCTCGCCGCCGCCTCCCTCGCCTACCTCAACGCCAAAACAGGCCTCAGCAACGACTGGGCTCTCCTCTCCGCCTACATCGCCGCGCACATCTCCCTACACCGCACCGCCTCGCGCGACACCCTAAACCTCTTCTACGTGCTCGAGACCCATGCTCTCCACCCGACCCAGTCTCAGCACGCCTTCCTCATCTACGGCGGCAAGAGCTGGAACTATGGGGAGGCCTACGCGGAGGTGCTAAGGTGGGCTGCGTGGTTGAAAGATGGCAAGGGTGTGGGGAAGGGGGAGGTCGTGGGGCTCTGCATGGTGAACAGCGACACCTTCGTCTGGATCTGGTTCGCGCTCTGGAGTCTGGGCGCCACGCCCGCGTTCCTGAACTACAACCTCCGCGGCGCGCCGCTCGTGCATAGCGTAAGGGCCAGCGGGGCGAGACTTGTGCTTGTGGATGAGGAAGTTACAGCCTCCTTCGCAGGGGAAGTCGGGAAAGAGCTGGAGGGCGTGGAGGTAGTGATCGTGGGGCAGGAGGTGCTTGGGGAGGTGCAGGGAACGCGAGGGTGGAGGGAGAAGGACGAGATGAGACGAGGGGTCCAGATGCGGGACCTCGCAGTCCTGATATACACATCTGGCACGACGGGGCTGCCGAAGCCGGCGGTTGTGAGCTGGCAGAAGGCGAGGGTTGGGGCGGGGCTGGTAGCGCGGTGGCTGCCGCTGAAGAAGCAGGATATCTTCTACACTGTAAAGCCCCCCCCACTAGTCCATCCCAGGGCTCGCTCTGTTGTAAGGCCGTATGTGCACAGCTGGTCTGACGCCCACCCAGGCAATGCCCCTCTACCACTCCTCCGCCGCGATCCTCGGCCTCGTCTCCTGCCTTATGGCCGGCACGACCCTCTCCCTCGGCCGCCGCTTCTCGCACGCAACCTTCTGGCCCGACGTCCGCCGCTCCAAAGCAACCGCGATCCAATACGTTGGCGAAACCTGCCGGTACCTTCTCGCCGCCCCGCCATCCCCTCTCGACAAACAGCACAGCGTCCGCTTCGCCTTCGGCAACGGCATGCGGCCCGATGTCTGGGAGCGCTTTCAGCAGCGCTTCGGTATCGACACTGTTGCGGAGTTCTACGCCGCGACAGAGGGTCCGGGGGGTTTGTTCAACAAGAGCCGGAATGCGTTTTCGAGAGGCGCGGTGGGGAGGAACGGGACGATTATGTATCCGTGGTTTGCGCTGCAGATGTTGATCGTGCGGCTGGACTTCGAGACCAACAAGCTCCTCCGGGATGAAAAGACTGGGCTGTGCATACCAGCCGCCTGGGACGAGCCGGGGGAGCTGCTGTTCCGTCTCGATGCGAAGGATGTGGAGAGCAAGTTCCAGGGGTATTTTCGGAACCGGGACGCGTCGAACAGCAAGATTGTGAGGGATGTGAGGAAGAAGGGGGACGCGTATTTCAGCTCCGGGGATGTTATGCGCTGGGATCGGGAAGGCAGATGGTGGTTCTGTGACCGCATTGGGGACACGTATCGCTGGAAGAGCGAGAATGTCTCGACGGCTGAGGTGGGGGAATGCCTGGGGCGCCACGAGGCGGTGAGCGAGGCGAACGTGTATGGTGTCCTGGTTCCGGGGCATGATGGCCGTGCTGGATGCGCTGCTATTCTGCTGCACGGGGCTGAATCTGCGGTGGATGGGCAACCGCCGGAACTATCGGACAAGGTCCTGAAGAGCTTGGCGGAGCACGCGATGGGCACCTTACCCGGATACGCTGTGCCCATCTTCTTACGATTTACACGCCAGATGGAGATGACGGGTACGAACAAGCAGCAGAAGCACGTTCTAAGAGAGCAGGGATGCGATCCGGAGAAAGTAAGCCGAGCGGGCGACAGGCTGTATTGGCTAAAGGGCGGGACATACATGCCGTTCGAAAGGAAAGACTGGGATGAGATCACAGCTGGGAGAGTCCGGTTATGAGGAGAAGGCAGAGGTGGGATAGACTCATGACAATGGTATCAACAAGCGAGCATTATAACCACTGGAGCATTCAACTTGCTCTCGGTTTGAAGTACCTTCTATCCATGGTGTACAGATGTGAGAGCAAAGAGCTGATGAAGTGTCCCCCATCAGTAATAACGTCTCGCAAATAGCCACTCAGCGCGCTGCTACTACATGTCTCTCATGATCTCGTGCCGCCCCCGGACCGACCAACCGCTCTCCCAACCCAGGCGAAGACGAAATCCAGCCCGCAACCCCCATCCACATCCTCCCCATCCTCAACCTCACGCATTGGGGGCCCCTCCTTTAGCACGTCCTCACACGACATGACCGAAATCCTTGACGCGGTCACCTTAGCGTCATCGAGCGTCAAAACGCGGGTCAGAGCAGCGCGCGCTGATCTGCGTTGTTCGCGGATGTATTGCGGGGGGTAACGCCGTCCTTGGGCGTCGATGTAGGGGGGACCGCCGCCCAGGAATGGGATGGAGATCCTGGTTGTGGACATCGTGAGGTGATGACTTTGGGATGAGGGGGCGGGGAGCTGAGGGGCGCGTCAGTGCTGGGCTTGCTTTGGCGGGTCTGCGCTGGGAGGTGGGCGTGAGGTAGTGGCGCTGAGGGAAGAGGTGTGGCTTTTTGCAGCATCTCTCGACTTACGGATCTGAAGAGCTTTTATGGTGGTGTTGTTGAGGAAAGAGCTCAGGTGGTCCGGAAGTTGAAAGTAGGTCCTTGCACGAATTGGTGGTGGGCGTTGATGTTTGACTTGCAGCGCGCAAAAGGCTCCCGTGTATTGGTAACTTGTGAATACTGATTGTATGAAAAGTGTAGCCTTTTATACATTTAGGATTTAGATTTTGGAGCGGACACCCGTACCACGGATTTTGGATCTTGGATTTCGGTTCAGCAAAGGAACCTTGGTACGGAAACAGCAACGCCAACTTGTGTAAACGTTGAGTTTAAGCTTTCTCAGCATCATTGACGCTGACCCAAGTGTCTCGTGCGGATGGCAGTGCTGTCCCTTGAAGCCTCCGCGACTTGTTCGAAGACACTGCCGTCTTGGCTGTTCAGTCTAGAATCGACTGCAGTGAACCAACAACGAATCTTATGTTCTTCGGCGGGCAATATGGATACGCATGCCATTGTTACTATCGCCTGTTTGTAAAAAAAATTCCATTACAGGAAATCTTGACGCTATCCGTGCGGTTTTAAGAGTAAGACTGAAGTTCATTGACTGCGGCAATTGTGGTTCACTAAGGGCTCGCCACAACAAGAACTTGGTTGTGTTGGACGAAAACGGGATTAAGTCACAGCGCTGTCAAGAGGCCAGACTGACAGCACCATGGTGGATGTACAACGCGGGGTAGAAACCTAGAAATCTTGAAGTGACGGAGGAACAAACACCCATGGGACGGGTCTTACAATTGAGTGCATAGCCGTTGCGTAACGGGCAATTATGCTTGCGCAACCTGTCATAATTCATTCTGTGTTCGTCACATCATTACGCTGTTATGTACAGATCACGTTGTAACTCTTCCGCTCATCACTGGCGCGGGCCCAGTCCTAGGTACAATCTTCGACCTCTATCAAGCTCCTACAACGTTTGATAGCTCGGTGGTAGGGAGGATGTACGGCCGAACGTCGTTTCGAGCCTTCGTCCTCTGTTCGTACGCGTACGCATAACCGATAAGCGAAGCCTCACTGAACTTGCGACCCAGGAAGCTGAAGCCGAACCTGGTTATCCCGATTAATTAGCATATATCCTAGCAACTAATCCGGAGTCAGACATGTACGACTTACGGCACGTTCGGTCCAATAGACACCAAGTTCCTCGCCGTCCGCCTCACCGTCGTGTTCGCTGGGTAGAAACCCATCGGCACCGTGATGACCGGACTCCCAACCAGAGCTGGGATGCCTGCAGAGAAGCTCGTCGGCAACACAACAGCATCAAGGTCGTCGCGCTCGAGCGCGCCAAGGACACCGCCCTCGCCGCCGAAATACAAGTTCTGCTGATACGCCGCCCAGAACTCCGGCGTAGTGTTGTTCCAGCCTTGCGCGAGCGCGTCATCGAAGATCTCGGTATTACGGTCCGGCCATTCTTCTAGCGGGAAGGCTTTCGTCCAGTTGTTCAGTTCGGCTAGGTTGGTGATGTTGTAGGGGTTGTAGGTCAGGCTGGCGAAGTACTGTGCCAAGTTGACAAGAAAATCGCCATTGAGAATTTCGATGCCGGTGGTGGAATTCAGGTATTCTGCAAACGCAGTGTAATTGGCATCTTCGATGATTGTCGCGCCAGCATTGCGCAGGATATCAACGGAGGCGTAGAACGCGTCTAGCTCGGGGGCCCAGCGGGTTGTCCCTTCCGTGAACAGCTCGATGACATTGGCGGGGATCCCAATACGAGCGCCGCGCAGCGAGGAGAAGTTGCACGCTGCAACGTAATCTGGGATGCTGCCGTTGTTCGGGATGGCTAGGGTGTAGTTGTCATTCGGGTCCACGCCCGCAATAGCTTGGAGCACGTAGGCGGCATCCTTGACCGAGCGAGCCATTGGACCAACAGTGTCTTGACGCTCACTGATTGGAATGACGAGGTTCCGAGATGTCAGGCCGACAGTTGGCTTTATGCCAACAACATTGTTCCTGTTGGATGGGGAGAGGATGGAGCCAGACGTCTGCTTGCGCGTTAGCAGAAGTAAACCGCATCAAATTCGGAGACTGACCTCAGTGCCTAGAGATGCCAGCGCAAGCCCGAGATCAGAGGCGACTCCGCTACCGCTGGAGCTGCCGCTTGGATCCTGCATCGGGTGGTACGCTGCGAGTACCTGGCCGCCGTATGCAGACCACCCATTGCTCGAGTTTGTCGACCTGAAGTTGGCCCACTGACTCAAGTTCAATTTTCCAAGGATGACCACGCCGGCTGCACGAAGCTTCGCTGCCATGGCCGAGTCTCGAGGAACCCTGGCGCCAAGGAGCGCGTATGACCCAGCTGCAGCTGTCAGACCTAGCACTTCATCTTTATGACATAATTTTCGCACCTGTATTATTCATCTTGTCATTGGTGGCGATGTTGTTCTTGATGAGGATGGGTATGCCATGTAAAGGCCTAGAAAGCGATTAGAGGAGCCTAGGGTCGTGGTAGTGAGGACTCACCCTCGGACGGTTCCGTTGGCTCTTTCGGCATCCAGTTGTCGAGCAATTGCTAGAGCGTCGGGGTTCACCTGTTCTCCATAGTAAGCTAAATGTGCAGGAGCCACCTCAAAACGACAACGGACCTCTGTGACCACGTCCAAAGCGTCGTTGACCTCAGATATCCGAGCAATATATGCCTGTGCGTGTTAGAGCCGTACCCTAGCTCGCACCCGTTCCCCACATACGTTCACCAAGTCCACGCTCGTGAACAGGCCGCCTTCAAGGCCAGCCGCCAGATCTTCGGCGGAGACATCTATGAGACTCGGGAAACGCTCTCCACTGACTGTGACTATGGTCAGTATACGCCGTGATCTGTCTCGGCTTTAGATGAGCGGTAGGTTACCTGTCAAGTTGGAGCAGGTGGAGGCGGTGCTCAACGTGCTTGAAAGCACCAGATAGAGGGTGGAAAAGAGTATGGACCGCATCTTCGCAATGACGAAGCAATTGAACGAAAGACGATACCGTTGGTAGCAACGCTGTGAGAAACGAACGATGGGAGCTCACGCGGACCTTGAGCTGACTTTTACACCACTAAGGAGCTTACAAAAGCACGCGGCGAGACGGGTCTTTATGAAAACAACCCACGAGATAACGGGGTGCGTAAAGATCTACTCTCTGCTTACCTACAGACCGGCTATCACGTAGCTACGATAAAGCCAATCCTGGGGTATGCCAGGTACCGCACTTCGTGAGAGAGCTACAGCTGGCGGAAGACGCATCATGACGATTGACCATCCAGATAGCCAATTGATACAGCCCTTCATGCAGCGCAACGAGCCCCAACAGGGCGTGTTGATAAAAAGCTGGAGAATCCGAAGGCCCCTTGCTCGTCGATAAACTATCGGCTTGCAGATAGGCGCACAGCAGGCTAGTACAGAGTTGGCAGGTGATAGTGCATCTCCACGAGGGGTTCCCGTGGAGCCGTGCAGATCTCTGGGCCGTTGGAGGTGCAAGGGTGCCTCCTTCTTCGGATGTCTTCGTGTTATGCTAAAAGTTAGTCAAGGGAAATACAGCGCCTTCCATATTAGTATTCATGCGGTAGGACGAGTGACTAAACAGAAAACGCTAACGACTGTAATGCGTTCGCATCTGAAATTATGGAAGAGTGATTGAGCTCACAGACATTCACATTCCAAGCATATTGCCTCAATAGAGATTGGAGTGCGTCGATGACCAAGCAAAAAGTCCGAACAGTCCGTCTTCTACATTCAAACACTTCTCCAGGTCAAAAAAAGCCAAAAAGATTATGATGACATGCGTCGGCCGGGAATCTTGGATCGCTGTTAGGATCTTGATACAGCTAGTGGTTGAACTGTGGACTTACCGAACCCGGGGCCCATCGAGACTCGGTGATTTTATGGCAACGATGGATTTTACCACTAAACCACCAACGCTGTTGATTGGTTGACTAGGCGGGCTTATCTAAATATAATAGAATTTCCGCTATACAAAATCAACGACATTAGGCACGAACTTTGAGAGTCCGTTGTCCCTTGCGCGTCATTGTAAATTCTGCTTCCACTATGCGCCGATGCTCACAATAAGGAGCCTTCGCTCTAAGAGCACCCCTAAAGCCCTTCGCGGCCTTCACAGCTCTACGAAGATGGACCGCGACTACGGTGTAAGCTGTACATCTCAACTATGCATACTTTACTAACAACCTACTACAGGCTGCTGTAGCAGCGCTCAACACCCTCCAATCCAACTTCTCCATCGTCGACGCGATCCGCAAGTCCGGACGCGGCATGAACAAGCAGGCTATACCAGAAATGATTGAGTGGTGTCGGAAGATAGGGTACGAGGTGTGCGGCTCACCCATCGAAGACAATGCCTTCCCGGTCAACTGATTGAGCTTCAGCCCTCGGATTTCGACCGGTTGAATTCCATTCACATTGCTGGCACAAAGGGCAAAGGCTCTACGAGCGCCTTCGTCTCATCCATCCTCTCCCAGTACCTCCCATCCGCCTCCCAGAACCAGCCCAAGCTCCATAAGATCGGGCTATACACGTCTCCACACCTCCGCTTCGTTCGCGAGCGTATACAGATCGATAATACGCCCCTTTCTGAAGATGGCTTTGCGAAATACTTCTTCGAAATATGGGATCGCCTCACCGCTGCCGCCGAAGCCGAAGGTGTCCCATCCGACTCACCACAGGCCAAACCGGTATACTTTCGGTACCTGACTCTGATGGCTCTGCACGCCTACCTCGCCGAGGGCGTAGATACAGCGGTGATAGAATGCGGCATTGGGGGCGAGTACGACAGCACGAACATTCTCGCTCACCCATCCGTCACCGCTATCACGAGTCTGGGCATCGACCATGTTGCTATGCTAGGGAACACACTGGGCGAGATAGCATGGCACAAGTCCGGTATCTTCAAGCCCGGCGCGATGGCTCTCACCGTCCCACAGCCGGAGGAAGCCATGGCAGTTTTACGCCAGCGGGCAGCAGATAGAGGGGTCAACCTCCACGTCGTCGACCGACATCCGGAGCTCGGCACTCTCAAACTCGGCCTATCCGCCGACTTCCAAAAGACGAACGCCAGCCTTGCGATAGCAGTCGCAGCGGCGCATCTGCGCGCCCTCGGGCACACGGATATACCCGATGTCTCCGCGATCAGCGCTTCGCGCCTCCCGACCGAGTTCCGCAAAGGGCTGGAACAAGTCCGGTGGCCCGGCCGCTGCGAGATCCGTAAAGAGAGGAACTTAGCCTGGCATATAGATGGGGGCCACACGCTCGACAGCATTGAGGTCGCTGGACGGTGGTTTGCGGAACAGATTTCCGCCTCCTTGGCCTCGTCGACAGGTTCAGCGAAGCGGAAACCCCGGGTCTTGGTCTTCAATCAACAGACTCGCGATGCATCTGCGCTAGCCCTAGCGCTGCACAAGACCCTCCAATCGTCTCTCTCTAGGACCGTCACGACGTCCTCGCCCTTTACTCACGCGATCTTCTGTACGAATGTCACGTTCCGCGATAGCGGCTATAAGCCAGATCTCGTCTCCGTGAACACAAACGCCTCGGACGTTCAGAGTCTGGCGGTACAGCATAGCCTCGCAAAAACCTGGGCAGAAGTCGATCCGAGCACAGAAGTTAGAGTCGTGAGGACGATCGAAGAGGCGGTGGGAGCTGCGAGGGAAATTGCCAGGATTGAGGCGGAGGACGAGGCGATGGTGCTGGTCACGGGCAGTTTGCATCTGGTTGGGGGGCTCATCGATGTTCTGGAGAGTGAGGAAGGGCGTTAGATGGTGCAGCCTTCGTGGATTGCACGGCTTGTACGTGGCTGCTGAAGCTTGAGTGTAGGTGTAGAAAGTCCACTTCCGCAGGCAAACAAAGCCACACGAGAAGATATCCAAGACCGCGAGGTATCATGATGTCGATGACGGGGAAGGAGCAGTGTCTGAAAGCTCTCCGCTTCTCCATGCTGAGCAGCTTTGTCTCTAGGAGCTCGAGACGAATCTGAAACATATAGTGAAACAAGTAACTCATCAGCCACCTGTATCTTCCCTCTTCCATGTAGTCTATTTGAAAACATATTGACACCTATTCAGGTTTCATCACACTCGCCTGTTCGAATCTTGTCCGCTCCAAAAAACCCACTTTGTCGATACCTCGCGCTGTAGACGGTCGCTGAGCTAGACTCGCCTGTACCCGACGGCTGCTGGGCTAAGCTCGCGCTGTGCAAAACAACCTTTGGATTGATCTCGCATTATGACAGCAGCAGGGTTGAGGAAATTGGGGGTTTCTTAATGCTTAGCATTGAGGTTTTGCTTTTGCTCCTACAGAAATCTAAAGTACCCGATCGGCTCACGAAATCATCTCACTGGTCTTATTTTCTCGTCATGTAACTACGCTGATTTGGGTATCATGCCAGCCATCCTGAACCTGTCGAACGCCTTGTACCAAGATGAGGTCGGATCTGTTTCCTCTGAGAAGCCTGCTACCCTGACCTTATCCAGGCTTAGCTGACGGTCGGAAGTCAGATAGTACCCGTACGTATCCAGAAAATCAGCCTTGAACACCTGATTATTCCTGATACCATGTTTTTCCAGAACGCCCCGGTGCTTGTTCATATACTCTCCTGGTCTGAGCACCTTCGGGTCGTCAACCGGACCAATGCCTTCAAGCTCGAAGTACTTGGCGAGAGCGGGCCATCGCTCGCTCATCCGAGAAGGCATGGTCTGGTCGGCGATGTTGAAGATCTGTCCACCTCCGGCCTTGTCGGGATGTAAGGCGGCCCAGATGGAGAATCTGGCGATGATATCTGCGGAGGCTTCGTTGTACAGGGCTGAGTACGCGCTCTGCGTGCCCGGAAACGGAACCTTGGCGCCTTTACCCTCGACAAGAGCATACGTTAAGAGATAGTTGGCCCAATGTGCCGCGAGATTGAAGGCGCTGCCGTTGGGCACAAAGCCGATCTGTGGAGGCGTCAGAAATGAGTCGGCGATTTGCTCGGTCAACAGCTGTGCTTACCACTGCATCCGGTCTAACATCGCACCACGTCCAATCCCTCCCTTTGCTCTGCTCTTTCAGGATGTCTTGGAACTCATAGTAGAAAACTGTGCTACCCGCTGGCTCTGGCAGCCGTCCCATGGATTCTCTGAACGGAGCAGTGAAGACGCCGCCCGGGATATGGATGCCATATGCCTGTGCAAGACTCAGCCCTCAACACTAACCTGATCCATTGAACGTCCCAACACTGGCGACCGACCTTGGTACCGCTGGGGAACACAACAAACCTCAGCTTCGGCGAGACGCGGTTCAAAGCCCCAATCGCACGCTCGAGCATCCCGCGATTGACCGCGACCTCCGCATCAGCATCCTGCTCGGGTTTTAAGGCTGCGTTCGTCAGCAGGGATGTATCACCTATACTCAGCAATCGGGCCCTCATCCACCATACCAAAGTAGAACGCATGCGTCACATCCGCGACATCCTCAACCTTCCCCTTCAGCAACGCCGTGAATCCTTCGACCGTTCCTTCCGCAAGGTTTACGTTCGATACTAGATTAAGCCTCGGCCGCGATTGCGAGGGGCTTGGCCAGTATGATTTAGCGACCGCGAGTGGCCGATTGACCAGCGCGGTGACCTTTGCGAATGTCCCTTCGGCGGGATAATTGGACAGAAGCTGGTCGACGACGCCCCAGCCGGTAAGGCCTGATGCGCCGAATACGAGTGCGTGGGCCATGATGGATTGTTTTGGGTGAGAAATGCCTTGAGATATCAGGCTGGTTGCGTGAAGATTTATATCGCTCTAAACTGCGTTACGCTGCAGTGATATACCCGGCCCCCTCGGCTATCTGAGCACACGCACGATAATGAGCCGATATAAATTAATCTTAATCTCTCTCGATCATTGTTAGTATCAGAGTCCAAGTTCAAGTTGTAGTGCAGGAGTGACATCCGTCACCTTGGAGCGCTGCCTCTTTGGGCTTAGCTCGGCCCTCCAACCAGTGCCAAGGAATGACTCATTTTGTCTCATAATGAGCCCTGCTGGACAACCTGGATAATTCTGCTCGGCCCACTCTCTTGGAACTGCAAGCCATTGGTCCAATTGGCTTTGCAGAAGACTGCTGGGAAATCCGCTTCGAAAGACATAGCAGAGCCATGGGCTTAGAATAGGATGGAAGCAACTCCAGGGCTTGATGGGAGATGAACCACAGATATTCACGGTTTGTGCTGCGCGAGAAGGTGCGAAGTTTGCTAAAAGTGGCCAATACAAGGATTACGAGAGGTGATAGCAGAGTAGCTTGAAACCCAAAGAGTGCGCTTCGTAGGCAAATGCGGTGCATTAAAACGAGAGATCAATACAAGAGTACTACGTTCACTATCTCCGGTATCTTCCTATCTCCTCCCGTCCATCATCTCCCGTAACGTCTTAGTTTCGGCCTCTTGCCGCGCTAACTGCAGCCTTAACTCGTCTCTTTGCTGCGTCACATCCTGTAGCGCTTGCTCAAGTTCAGTAATGCGGTCGAGACGCTTCTTGCGGTACTTCCGAGCGGCAAGGGTGTTCCGTTGGCGTTTGCGGGTGACGGTCTCGGCGTCGGTGCTGACAACCTCATGAGACTGGAGGATTCCGAGCGAGGATGCTGAAGTTGTGGCGGCAATTGGCTGAGCTGCAAGAATAGTAGAGGCTTGCCGGGTAGCTGGGGGACGATTGTGATCGGGAACTCTGTAGATGGGTTGGTCCAGTTGGTTGCAGCCGATTTGAAGGGTGGCCGGAAGTGAGTAAATGTCCGGGGGTGGTGGTGGGAGGAGATCTGGAAAGATGAGCTTAGGGACGTGATGAATTACGGGTCCATTACTCACCGACAGAAAAGTTCCAGCTGCCCGGTACAATCGCCGCGTGATCATCAGGAGCACCTTTCGATACCAACGGCAAAGAACCGTCTGTGACAAGTAGGTTCCCTATCGTTTCTTCCCTGGAAATATGACACCCATCTCCCGCTTGGCTTCCGCCATCCCAGAAGTTGTATACCGTTTCGCCAAAAACGTGTTCGGCGGAAGAAACATGACTATAGTCCACAAGAGACAGTGGTAGCTCCAACAACAACCTCTCGGTCACTGAAGCCACCAGTGGAGAGACGCCCGGCACGACATCGCCGTAATCTTGAACACATGCGTGGTATTCAGGTTCTGTCGCAAGCGATACAGGCGCCTCTAAAGATGAAATATCACGGTGGGTCGACTGGAATTGAGGCCTGCTGTGGGCAGAAGGAGCCCAAGGAGGATCGGCAGGGCGTGAACTCGATGTCGAAGGTGGAGAGGACCATTGCTGCACGTTGGGTAGCCTCTCTACGAGGCCGGATCAGTGGACTGACGTGGGTAGTGTCTTATACCAGTGTTTCTCCTGGGGGTTCAAGAATGATGTTGATGACAGTCCAGGATCCTGAGGATCAAGCACGCGCCAAGAGATATGGCAGTCGATGTCACGTGGCTGTGCTCAAACTAGGCCGGCGCAATTCAATCCTCAGCTCGTTAATAGTAGAACCCTATGGATGGGTAAGATCAAATGTGCATCAGACTGGTGGTATAGGAAGGCGCTTCAACCGATGAGAATGCTGGCGTCTATAAGATGTGTTTTGCTTTGATGAGAAGCGCAGCCATGAATTGCACAGCGGGGACATTTGTTTTGAGTGAATTTGTCCGATACAAGTACGCGTTTTGTTTCTTTCTCATTGCTAGTGTCTTTGCTGAACCTACTTGCAGGCGTAGGGTGCCACTGGCACGACTCGATGAGTCCATTAGAAACAACAACTGTAAACCGAAACCTAGCTCCTAGTTCCGTGGCTCTCTCTCACAGATTTCCCTTCGTTCCACTTCACTGCCGATATCAAAAACCAACCCGTGCCTTCTCACACGCAACCCTCTTAGACACCCATCCCACCCTACGTGCAATACGGATTCTGATAAACCTCCCTACACCCTGCAGCACCCTGCTCCCAGTTATCACACAAGGTATCGCACTTGATCCCCGGGCGGACAAAGACCCTGCCTTCCTGGCTCGGCCACTGCAGGCGCCACTGCGCGGAGGGGTCCGCGCCGACTTCGCGGGGGTTGGCCTTATAGCCATGGCGGCAGGCACAGTAGTAGGGTCCGTTGGGGCCTTGGTGGCCCCAGTTGTACACGCACGAGGTCGTCGGGTGGCATTTGTTTTCCTCGGGGAAGGGGCTGCAGGTTGAGCAGAGGGTTGGAGCGCGGGTGTCGAGGTCGAGGTTGGCGTCGGGGGAGGGGAGGGCGGAGGCCAGGAGAGGGAGAAGGAAGAGGATGAGCTTCATGGTGAGGGACTTGGAGGGCGTGAAAGCTTGATTCGTTTGGTTTGACTTGGATGATTGGTTTGACAGCTTGACCACAGAGTGTCAGGGAGAAACTATTATTGCCCCGGTGGTTGCTCCGCACTTATATATATACATATTTGTCTGAGCATTCTCTGGAGTGCACTATTTTCAGAGCATCGCAGGATGGTGCTGCCAGAAGTCGAAACCATTGGCAACTCAATCCCATCTTGTACCAATAATGATGCTGGATAGACGATGTCCATATATAGCTGATCACACGCAAGCTTCCTTTCGGCAAAAAAGAGCTCGGATTTGCTAATTCAATTGGAAGTGTACGAACTTGGCTCAAAACAATAGACTAGGGTATGTTTTCTGGAAGAAGATGACATGTTGAAGTGAGGAAAAGAAACTCGTGATGCGGAGGATACGAGGCGCGGACGGGAAGTGGACGCCACAGAAGCTTCACGAGCTGAGTCAGCCATTTAGCACACCCGAACCGAGCGGTCAAGGGCGACACGGAAAAATGATGGTCACGCAAAATGGCCGAAGGCACCCCACCTCATACTGACTTACCTAACATTCGAACTTAGACGTCGCGCCCAAATCTGTATAGGTTAAAGTAAAAGTCTAGCTACTTATGAGAATGGGAGGATGGCATTGGTTTCAGTACTAATAAGTCCATATAAAAAGTGTTGTTGAGTGTTGATAGATTTGATACAGTTTTTGCGTGACCACGACATTTCCGTGTCGCCCTTCGGTAAGCAGGTTGCGAGAAACAGGTTTGCACCAGTGATGAAAGCCGTTGCATTTAGTCTACACTTATAGTAGTGTACATGCACGTGGGAGGAGGGCTAAGAACCATATACTCCCTGAACCTAAATATGGACCCGTCCCATAGCATCAATAGCTCAAGGTCGCTCGAGGCGAGCTTGTCATATCATTCGCAGTTCTCTGCACTGAAGCAAGGCCGAAAAGCAGGGCAGGCTTCTGTCAGAAGTTTCTCCATGGCTCTCATCGAGCTGTTGGTACAAATGGCCTCGCTACTTCTCCCCTCACGTCATCCTCTGTGGAGCTCCGATACTTCTCAGAACGCATCTCACTTACCCTTAGCCTTGGCCTGGTTTAACGTAGACCACATGGAGAGCTCCCTCACCCCCTTCTTCGGACCTCCACTTGCCGTGCTAGAACTTGGTGTGCCTCCCAATGTCTTCCTGCGACTGTTCCGGCCCTCGATCGACGACGAATCCAGTCTCGCACCAGCGGGAAGACTTGCTCTTGGAGCCTTGCCTGCCGTCCGGGCTTCCAGGTCAGGCGGCTGGTGAGTTTCTACTGCTGATGCCGAAGCCGGGGGTGGTCGAGGAGGTAAATTGTTACTCGGGATGGAGGGAACAGGAGATAAGGTTTTCATTGACGATGGTGGAGGTTTGAACACCGACTGCGCTGAAGTAACTGGCTTTTTGACATTGCTCACTGGCGGGTTGGAACGGCCATCACTCCCATCCCGTTCCCAGGGAAGAGGTCTACGGGATGAGGTAGACACCCCGGATGGCCTCGAGGAGGCGGTCAGTTGCGGCGGTGCAGTAGAAGCGATGGGACGGGTAGAGGACTGGACTGAGTGCAGCTGTGCAGTAGACTTCTCTTTCCGAGGCGTGTCGTCGAAGCGCTCCTGTCCCCCTGTTAGAACTGTGAAGGGCTCTTCCTTGGCTTTATCGGCAGACTGCCGTCCTCCCAGGTCTTTCTCAGGTGATCGACGTCCGGAAGCATGTCTAGCATGAGTGGGCTCTGGACCGTTCTCGACAGCTGTTGCCAATCGAACTTCCCTATTCTCTTCGAAAGCGGAGCTGCCTGTTCGGTTTCTTAAGCGTTTTGGATCTCCTCTTGCGGAGTAAACCGAACGGTAGCGATCTGCAACTAGCCAAGGCTGTTGGTATTTGCTCCTGTTGGCTTCCTCGTCATCGCGGGAGCGTGGCGTGCGACTTTCGCTGTGTGGAGAGCGATGTGGGAAATTGGGCAAGTTTGGCGAACGGTCCCGATTTGTCCGTCGATTACTGTAATCTGCAGGTTGTGCCGGTATCTGCGGCGACACAGCTGAGCTCGCAGTGGCTTCGGATCCCTCTCGAAGTGCAGCAGCCAGCGTGGCCGGAGTCAAGATCTTCTTGTTATGTAGAAGGTCTTCGATCTCGTTCTTAAAGTAAACCTCATATGGAAGAGGGTCCTCTACCTCTGCCATACACTGGAGTAGGTACGGCTCATAATCGGTTTTGTGCCTTATGACAAAGCTGTCCCATAGAGCTCGGTGCTCCATTTGTTGGGCTTTTTGGAGCTTGTCGATTCTGCGACATAGTCCTACGAAATGTTTAAGGTCGCCTTGATAGTCGGCATACGTTGCTTTGAATGCCTGAAACAACCCTGTTCTTCCAGATAAACTCTGCTGCACTAAGCTAGAAGAGGCTCTATCCGGAGAGGTCTGCAGTACGGGTAACTTTGGCTGGCGTTCATGGTCTTGCACATCGGCGACGATGAAACGGGTTCCCTCGTCCTGACGTGCACCAGAAGTGAGAGAATCAGCTGAACGACGCACTTCGTGCGGCGCCCTGTGGTTTTTCTTCGAAACGGGATCCAATTCTTGCAAACGTTTAGCAAGAACGCGATCCGATGTTGCCGAATGACTGGAGTCTTCCGAAGACGTCTCAGGGGCGTCGAACATCTCTGTAGATCCAGTCCTTCCCGCAGGCTCTTTGGTAGCTGCAGTGCGCGTTGACTGATCTAGTGATGGTTCGGTATCCATTGCCGCGCTGAGACTCCTTGAAAGAAACTCACGCCGTGTTTGTCGCGTCGTTATGGCTGGGTCCTGAAGTACTGGTTCATCTTGACTGAGCCCGAAATCCCTTGCAGGACGTCGTGACTTCTTAGCCTGCCTTTCCAACGGGGAATGATTTTCGGCTCCTCTCTTGCCGCTTACACTCCCAGCTCCGGCTGAAGAATTCTCAAATCTTTCTGGAAGGAATGTCGGGACGGGTTGAAGTTTGAACGGACTGGTCCGAAGAGCAAGCGGATTTCCAACCGCACTTAATTGGGGAAGGGCAGAATTGACAGGCGAAGCGGGTTTGACAGGTGAACGTAAGCTACTGCGGTGGGATGCGGCATCCATCTCATGCTGGAGTTGCTGACTCAGCATTTGTTCATCGCTGTCTGACCGCATATACTCATTGTCTGACATCGGGATATCGGGATTCGCGGTGCTATAAACGCCGTCGTGAGGGGCAGAGTTAGAGATCTCGAGCGTGTTTGCAATGACGGTGCTAGTAGGCCGCGCGGGGCTCCGGGCTACGTCGCGCCTAGAGTGCCTAACGCGAGGAACTTCACGCGTCTGTCCGCGATTCGCGGCATAAGGCGTCTCAGCAACTTGAACTTTGCTTTCTCGCATCACTCTGGATTGCGACGGCGCATCAGACATGGAAGACTTCTTGCGAGCGAGACCGTAGAGCGCGCGCGGTACCGACATTTCTATGTCTGAAGCGTTCTCTGAGCTTCCCTTGGATGCAACGTCTTCGTCGTTTGGAGATGAGGATCCGCGAGCTTGAGGCTTCAGTACGGGCACAACCCGGCGTGATCCAGTCAATGCAGCCGCTTCCGCGGATGACGCCGTCTCGGGCATGCTGCTGTCCGGAGGTAGTTTTTCCCGCGCAGGTGAGCTGCCCCAAGGATAGGGGACGTCCTCATCCTCTGGTATGTCATTGTCCAGCTCCGAGGAAGCTGATGCTGACTCCGGCTCGTCTGCGGCGCTAGAGTCGTTCTCGCTCTCACGATCCTGTTCGCTTTCGTGCATGATGTTCGCATAGTCCACGTTTATCAAGACGCTAGCTCTAGGTGGAGTGCTCTGTACGGACTTTTTATCAAGTCTTGACGTCAATTCATTCAACACTGCTACGGGAACATTCGTGAACGATGAAGCTCTGCCGGTTTCTCCTGGATACCATGCTACCCATTCTTTAGTCCGTTAAGCCGCTTGTGACAATAGATTTATATACTTACAGAAGGGCTTTTCAAGCAGCTCCGCCTGGTCCTTGGGAATCTTGCAGATGAGTCTTGTGATTCCTACCAATGGCTGGCGGCATGTTAGAGTCACAGTTCGAGTGAAGAGCGCGTGGTACATACTGTTCGCGATTCGCCTGCTGTGTGCCGGTGGAAGAATTGTGCGGGCGAAGGACGTGTCGCTGCTCCTTGTCTTGCTCCTTTAAGCCCTTGACTCTGGCTTTTTTCGGTGTTTCGTGCCTGGTCTTCTTGGTCCAACTTTTGGTCTTGTACGTCCTCGTGATCATGGTCAGCTTGAGGACCGGATTGTGCGAGAAGCTGCTCAGCAACGGCAGGTTCAGCGTCGGCCTCGCATTCGCTACCACGCTCGCCCTCTGTGCCTCGAGACTGTACACCTGGAGCACTTGTCTCATCGGTAGCAGTCTGCTTGTCATTCGCTTTGGTCGAACCGACCACGTCGCCAGAATCGCCCGTACTCGTGGTTGGACGGCTTATCGAAGCTGCAGCAGCGGTAGTCTTGGACACTATGCTCGGAGGCCGGCCTACACGAGTGGGATTATAGGTGCGATTCAATAGATCGCTCAGCGCCGGCGGGATTTGGTTCACACGCACATTGCCATCCGTAGCCTGAAGTGAACGGCCTGCTGCTGTCGGGCGAGATAGACTGACACCATCTTGAAGTCTGATATCTGAGCTCGGCGTTTGTGCTGGTCGGCTCTCTTTCGAGAGCTGAGTAGCGAAAGATGTCTGGCTCATTGAAGCGGTTTCATTGCCGTGTTCCTCGATGTCCCGTTCTTCGAATCGCACCCGTTGTGAAGTCTGGGGAGCGTGCATGCCTTGGCTCCGTCTGACAGTGTCAGCATTGGCGGCCGGCTTCGGTGTGGGAGGTGTCTGTTGCTTTCTCATGATGTCCAGGTCTTCGAGGAATTTCGCAACGTGCGCCCTCTCGTGTACGTGTTTGAGATGATCAGACTCTGATGGAAAACCGGACTGTACCCAGTCAAGTTCTGTAATTAACAAAGAAACCTGTTCGTCGCTAGGGCCGAGATTCGTGGCTACAATCTCGAAGCCGTGTATATTTATGAGACCACCTTCTGAGTTTTCAGTGAGCGGCCTCCGATGCTGGTGTAAGAATGCGGCTGTAGCTGCAGTAGAGATCTTTGCTCGGATTTGCGTTTGAGAATCGGATAGGATCACTTGTAATGGATCCTCGTGCGTCAAGAACTACCTCACATCACATCAGCGATGCTGCGGAAGACGGAACTCGACAGTCGACAAACCTCGAGGATTTGAACGACGCCAGCTGACGTTAGGTCAAGTGCCACTTTGATGCGTAGATTGCTCCCGTCGTCTTCGTATATATGACTATGAACATCAACACCAAGGGTCTCTAGCCAAGCAAGTCCCAAAATTAGCTTTTCTTCAATGAGTGGACTGAGCCAGTCCTCGAGCATTATATCCGTTGATTCTGGGACAGAGGAGGAGCCGTGGCTGAAATCCTTCTAGGGGTGGGTGAAGCTGTTGGCTGGGAGTGTGTGTACGTGGTGTAGAGGCAGCAGAACCTTCTAGGATTGGCAAGAATCATGAGATGCTTCGTGCCTCATGATTGTACCGAGTGCAGCAGCTCGATGGGTGCTGAGGTGCTGTCGTGACAGCAGTAGATGTATGCCTTACGATCTTGAGGCCGCGCCGGCGTGTCGCCTTCCACGAAACGCGACTTCACGTGACTTTTGATCCTACTCCCCCGCATCTTAGGTGCGTCCAGAGTCCTGCCAAGCTCGCGGAGCGGAACAGGCATGCGGTGACGGGAGCCGCCTGCCTGCAGGTACCTACCTAGGTAAGGTAAATGCACCTCGGCGGCATCATCTTTGAGGACGCACGCAAGCTATGTGACTGTGTGAGAGGACAGGACCATAGTCGTCTTCCCAGTTATCGGCGCGGCACACCATATGCTGCAAGCGCACAATCTTAAGGCTCCAAAGCCGTCGACCTCCAACCTGCACCACGAGGCGGGATTCACCACGAGTATATTCGCCGAGCCAACAGCGCGTTGATTGCCACCGATGGGCTACTACGTGGCCGCCACTTGAATGTTGAGCTTGCCGGGTGTTCATCTAACTGACCCGGTGTCATGAGCCGTCTAAGATCGCTATATCATGCCTTCAAGACCGGCACAGGAGGGCCTGAGTCCCTTCACTTCTTCGATCAAGCTTCCACCAGGGCGCCGCTCACGGAAGGGGTCATTAAGCTCCATGTCTTCACGCCCAAATCTGGATAAGGAAACACTCGCACAAGCGCTCGATCAAATCCACTCTTCGGCATCACGGTCTGATGGCCTGACCACCTTCGATGAGTTCGCAGCGCCACCAGCTAGCTCTTCCCTAGGAAACGATGGCAGGGGGTTGGCAGGTGACATCATGCAGGCGGGACAAGCAGGACTCAGTGGACTTTACAATCGGCTCAAAGCATCGGTAGGAGCTGGTAGAGAGGTTGCGGAGGGGCCTCCAACCAAGGCGGGAGACGAGAGTCCTGATACCATGTCTGTTAGCGGCCAGAAGATTAGAGTTGTGTCGAAGCCTGTAAAGAGCTCCCCTAGCACGGCTATCTCGTCTCCCGTCGTTGTTTCGACGTCGTCCTCCCGGTTACAGTCTCCTTTGGCCGCCACGTTTCAGGAAAGCTATTCGTCACTACCGTACGCCCCTGCTATCCCATCGATCGCCAGTGTGTCAAACCCTTCCGCATCAGACCCAAACGCGCCGCTGCAAATATCGTCTAAGGTCAAACCTGTTACTGAGGTCGCAGCCAGCAAAGCGATCAGGACCGACGATTCTTGTACACCCCGCACCTCCACTCCTGCCATCAGGTCTCAGTTAGCTGAAGGAACCTCTCAGTCATCGGCTGATTTCTCCCTTATTGCGGATGTTCTGCAAAGATTTCCGGCGGAGGGCGTGGCACAGGCAACACTCGGCCAGCAAGGTTTAGACGCCGCGGTCCTTTCAGATGTCGGCACGAGCGCTTCTGCCAGAGAGGACACATCTGCGCTTGGGTCAAGAGGAGCAGAGGCACAGATACAGCCTAAAAGCAATAGCCTGGGCAATGCTGAATTAGTCAACGCTGACAAGCCCCGTATCGTTCCAATAGACTCTGTTCAGATAGCTGCCAATTTGAGTGACTTACCAGGTACCCAATACGATGAGAACATGAGCCGAAAGTTTTCGGATAGCGGTCTGGATGCTGCTCCGCGGACGATCGAGAGACATTCTCGCCTACAAAACAGCCAGTTCCAGCCAGGGTCTAACCGATCATACTCTCCCTCATCGGACGGCTTGAGCTCCGTGAATCTAGTCACAGCTGCTCGACAGCCCAGCGTGTCCACTGTAGAAGAACATCCGCGACCTGGCCCAGGGGGCAGGGCCCCTGACAACGTGCCCGATCGTGCAATCTCACAAATGAGGAATCGCATTCTGGGCAAGGAGTTCTGGATGAAAGACGAAAACGCCAAAGACTGCTTTTACTGCGGCGAGGCGTTTTCAACTTTCAGGCGAAAGCATCATTGTCGTAAGTCAGGTTCTATCAAGTACACTGCTATCTAGAGTCTACTGCTTAGTATAATCGCGTGTTAAGCCTGGGTCTCTGACATATCGCTCTAGGCTTATGTGGTCAGATATTTGATGGCAAATGTACATCTGTTGTCCCGGGCAGATTGTTCAGCATGCCTGGACACGTCCGAGTGTGCAAACCGTGCGAAGCCATTATCCACGGCAACGACGATGATTCGTCGTTCTACTCCGACGATGGGGATCTCAGTTCTCTCCACGAAGTGTCTAGTCCCGCAAATGACCCGGAAGTGGGAAGACACGGGTCCGCACTGAAGCCAAAGTCACTCCAGGCGCATTTGGATACCCCAGCGTTCGGAACACCTACTATGGGTATACCTGTTTCCCGCAAGCCCGGTGAGAATAAGCGCAGATCCGCCGTCATTGAATTTGAAGACCAGCCGATACTCGCGCGTCCGAGCTCATCCAGGTCCCTCCGCTCTCTTGCTGGGAGGCCGCGGTCATCGAGCCACAAGCGTCACCATTCGCGGCATCAGCACATGAGGAGCATGAAATCATCTCGCGAAGACTTGGCACCTTTCCACCAACAGGAGGCCGTCAACCCCACCAAGCGTTCCGGACTTCCAGCTTTTCACCATGACAGTATCATTGACCCTGACTTGGCTCCCTTCATGTCTGACGAAGGCTCAAGCGAAGACGAACAAGCAAGCATCTTTACCGCCATGAGCAGCGACCGACCGGTCAGTTTACCGACTGGGCACGAGAGGAGCAGTCTAGGAGGCTTGCTCGCCGCGCTCAGGAAGGGCAAGTCGCGCGCTGGCGATAGCAAAGCTCTCGGGGGCTCGATGGCGCCGAGCAGAGATGCAGACAACGTCAGTTTAGCTAGCCGGCACCAGCCGCGTCGTTCGCGCAACCATAATATCAGCATCAGCAACAACGCCATCGTCAAGCCGTCTCCAAGAAGAAGCAAGAGTAACAGTCTTCTGCAAACCATTGGCGCTGGACTGGGCCATATCTCGGGCAGCCCTCCGGTTGCAGAGCAGCTGCTGGATTTTCAGAACGGCGATGGCTCTCACATGATACGCAGCGCATCCATGCGTGGCGCCGGTGCTCCGGCTATAGAGCTCAACCGGGCTAGCTTGGAGCACGCGCGGAAGCTGCTTCGACAGATGCTTCAAGACTACAAGATGCCAGGCACATCCAGCTGGGAGAAGGCACTGATACCGATCCTGCTACAGTGCACCGATGATGTGAACCCCGATATCCAGCGCCACGACGATATCGACATTCGTAACTACATCAAGCTAAAGAAGATACCCGGTGGAAAGCCCGGCGACACTTCTTACGTGTCTGGAGTGGTCTTTACCAAGAACGTTGCTCTGAAGTCTATGCTTCGAAGCGTTAAACATCCGCGTATAGTCATCGTTACTTTTGCGATTGAGTATGCGCGACACCACCAGCACTTCATGAGCCTCGAGCCGGTCATCGCACAGGAGCACGAGTATCTGGAGAACCTTGTCGGTCGGATTGCCGCCCTCAAGCCGCACGTTCTACTGGTCCAGCGAAACGTGTCTGGTCTTGCCCTTCAGCTGCTGGACAAAGCTGGCATTGCGGTAGCCTACAACGTAAAGCTGTCCGTGCTCAACGCAGTATCGAGATGCACTCAAGCACGCATGATCTCTTCCATTGACAAGCTGGTGGGAGACCCGTCATACATAGGGACCTGTTCAAGCTTCGATGTCAAAACCTACGTTTACGACAACAGAAAAAAGACTTACATCTATTTGTCCGGTTGTCGGCCTGAACTAGGCTGTACAGTGGTGCTTCGTGGTGCCAGTCTCGATTGCCTCCGGAGACTCAAGCGGATTACGGACTTTCTATGCTACGTTGTATATAATCTCAAGCTTGAAACCTCACTTTTGCGGGATGAGTTTGTGCTGATACCCGCATCCACCGATACTGGAACGATTTCGTCGAGCACAAAAACAGCGAAAGAAGCCACCACAGATGTTCGTGCCGAGCCTGACACTTCTGCCGCTGGCGAAGCTCGAGCCACTCATGGTGCCCAAGAGCAAGTCGCGCACGCATCGGCGGATAAGACCTCCACTGAAGCTCCTAACAGTGATGATACGAATGCTTCTCTCGAGAGCCATGAGGGTGCGGGAGCGGTGACTACTGGCAGCGAAGCCACACAGGATGAGCCGCCGGTACCCGAAGATGTTCCAATGCCGTCTTTCTACGGTGACATGGTTGAAAAGCACAAGACAAGGATCCTCTCAAGCTCCCCATTTGTCAAATACATGCAACCGTACCTCTTGATGAAAGCTCGTGAGCAGGAACGCCGCCTAGCCTGGCTCAAGCGGCTTCGAGATGAGTACACGGACAAGGAGCAACCCTCGGAGGAAGGGGACTCAACTTCGGAATTCGAGCTCGTACAACCAGATATGGTGCATAATGTCCCACGAAAAGCTTCGAAACAAGTTCGGGAATTCCTTCATGCGGTTCATGCAGCGGAGTACGACAAGGCTATGCACAACTACCTTACTCAGAAACGTCAGTGGGAAGCATACATCTCCGGCAACGTCGACCTTTTCGATCCTTTCGTTCACCAAAGGATTGCGGTGCTCTACAGCTTGGTAAACACTACAACTTCCACGCCCTGTTTCGGACCCGAGATTATATCTTTTGACTTTTACAACGAGCGCAAGCCGGATTTAGAGGCTGATTGCACACTTGGGCAATACGTGGAGGATCTATGCCAAGGCGCCTACGACAAGTGCACGTCAAACGTTTGTGATAAGAGAATGCTCGACCACCACCGCCAATACGTGCATGGAGACGGACAGATGAGCGTCATTGTTGAAAAACATCCGTCTAAACTTCCAGGTCTATCTTATACTATCCTGATGTGGAGTGTATGCAGAATTTGTGGGCAAGAAACAAGCGTGATGCCGATGTCGGATAATACGTGGAAGTACTCTTTTGGCAAATATCTGGAATTAACCTTCTGGAGCAGTCAGCTGCACCCGCGGGCTAGAGTTTGTCCACACGACATCCACAAGGACCATGTCAGGTACATTGGATTCAAGGACATCGCTCTAAGGATTCAGCACGACCCGATACACTTGTACGAGATCATCGTGCCCAGGTCCATTGTCGCCTGGAAAGTGGACAACGACCTTAGGCTAAAGAACGAGCAGTTCACCAAAATTGAGGCACGGCTAGACAGGTTCATGCTTTCGGTCAAAGCCCGCTTGAAGAGCATCCACGCTGAAAGCGTTGTGCCAGAGAAGGTCGAAGCTTGTAAGGTAGAGCTTGACAGGCTCAACAAAAAGGCCAACGATGAACACGATGCTCTGAAGCGTAAGCTGCAGAAAAAGTACATGAACTCGCGATACTACGAGATTGTTCCACTCAACCGCGCGGTCCGATACATCCAGGAAAAAGCGATTGCCTGGGACGAGGTGTTCGCCGAGTTCGAACGCCAGTTCTTCCCCTCGGAGAAGGATATCAGGCGACTCGCCGCTTTGCAGCTGCGCAAGATCTTCTTGGACAGGGACGAGTCCGTCACTTCCATCAGCTCGATCGAAGAAGAGCTGGATGAAACGGCAACCGAAAACACCGGAACCAATACTCCCTCCAGAAGCGGTTCAGTGACAGTGGCGCCGAGACCTTCGCACATGTCCCCCGAGGAAGCGCACGATGTTTTAGACTCTGTCGTGAAGGAGGACCGAGCTGCGAGCGTGGGAGGTTCAAGCAGGGAAGACCACGCAAAGAATGAAGACGCCAATGGAAGCACTGTTGTGCCGGCGGCTGACAAGAGCCCTTTGCATCTACCGATCGAGACTTCATTACAGTCATTAGAGAGGGAAGACGTTCGACACTTGGATCTCGCAGTCTCATCCAACTTTCCTGATATACCACCTGCGACTGAGCAGTCAGATAACGCGCGGTTACCATCTGAAGATATATCAGCGACGCTTCCACACACAAACACTGACTCACCCACTGTGCCTGTTCCGTTAGACCGCTCGATGTCGGAGATTGTTGAACCGACTCATAGCGAAAGCATGATAGGGCCGCAAGCACTTGAGGGGGCCTCTGAGTTTTCCTCTGAGTCGAGAATTCCGAGATTGGTAGAAGCCATTCGTCGAGAAGGCGCGTCACGGCTGCCTCTCTCACGGGCTCAGACACAGCCAACAACCAGTAATCGACAGGAGGCCACATCACTGGATTCAACTTCACCCACCACACCAGCTACACCTGGCGTAACGAGCAATTCCGAACCGCTGCGGCCAACTCTGGCCGAAGCCGCAAAAGCTCTAGAAAAGAGGATGGTAGAGCGACTTGGCATTCACGCCCATAGAATAGGCAAACCCGGTACAGGCTCTATGATTCCTCGATCTGTACCAAGCAAGCGCAGCGACTCCAAGGTCTCGGCCCTGGCGAAACACTTCGATCAGCTGAGCCGGGAGTTCGAGAAGGAGCGTCTACGAGAGCGACGACAGCGAGCGGCGAGGAGTAGACAAGCTCGGGCCTACCCTCTTGCTTCGTCCAGGCCCATTGTCGAGGTCTATCGAGATGCGCATGAGGCTGTACATGGACGACGTACACCTGATGAGGATCTCCCATCGAGTCCGCCAATGCGACCAAGTACCGAGACCAGCACAAGCTTGGAAGATAGTACCGTGACTGAGAACACAGCCACAACCACTGGAGACGAATCGCCTATCGAAGAGCACCCTACCGACGACGGGCTCTCTAAGCCCTCAGAAGGCGAGGATCGCCCCGCATCACCCAGCGGCCACGTCTCAGATGCCGAGAACGATGCGAGCGATGTTGAACACACCGTCTTGGATGATCTTGAGATGCCCGAAGGCACCATCGACGAAGGCCAGATCTTGTCTCCGTCCGAGTCTCAACTTGATCTTAGTCTCGATCTCCCAAAACATGAGAAGACCTCGCTCATGAAGATGCTGACGAGCTTCTGGTCTGAACGCTCGGCGAGCGGCTGGGCGCCGCTTGACTATCCATTCGCTCCGATCGAGCATGTGTGGGAAGACTCAGACATTATCGTTCGGGAAGACGAGCCTAGCTCTATCATAGCCTTGGCGCTTTCAAGCCCAGACTACCTGTCGAAGTTGCAAGCGTTCCGCGCTCAGGCAAGTGCCGAGGAAGTCGGGATCGACGTGCCTCTGCAGAATCCCGACGAAGCTTCCATAGAGCGCAACCTCCTCCACCAAGCAAACACCAACATCCGATACGCCTTCCAGAACCGCGGTGTCCGAGCCCAATGCAAGATCTTCTACGCTCAATCCTTCGACGCGCTCCGGCGTAAATGCGGCGTCGCCGACCGCTTCGTCGAGTCCCTCTCCCGGTGCCTAAAATGGGATTCCAAAGGCGGGAAAACCAAGTCCCTCTTCCTGAAGACGCTCGACGATCGCTTCGTCCTCAAGTCCCTCTCCCCGGTTGAAGTCAACGCCTTCTTCAAGTTCGCGCCGAACTATTTTTCGTTTGTGCACCAGAACCTCTTCAAAGGCCTTCCGTCGCTGATTGCCAAAATGTTCGGCCTCTTCCAGGTCGTCATCAAGAACCCAGCCACGGGCCGCGACTTCGACTGGTTCATGCTGGTGATGGAGAATCTGTTCTACGACCGCGAGCCGAACCGACGGTTCGATCTCAAGGGCTCGATGCGGAACCGCAAGATCCAGAGCACGGGCGAGAGGGACGAGGTGCTGCTGGATGAGAACCTGGTCGATATTATCTTCGAGCAGCCGATCTTTGTAAGGGAGCACACGAAGAAGCTGCTTAGTACGGGGGTCTGGAATGATACGCTGTTTTTGAGTCTGAGGAACGTTATGGACTACAGCCTCATGGCGGGGTTTGATGACGAGAGGAAGGAGATTATTGTTGGCATCATCGGTAAGCCCTTTCTCCCTTCTCCCCGCTCCCTTTCCCCGCTCCCTCCCTCTTGCTCTTGACCCTCTTCCCCCCCCCTCCATTCACTCAAATCCTCTCCACTAACTCCCGCAGACTGCATTCGCACCTACACCTGGGACAAAAAACTCGAGTCCTGGATCAAAGACCGGGGCAAAAACAAACCAACTATCACGAGCCCGAAAGAGTATCGCAAGCGCTTCCGCGAGGCCATGTCGGCGTACATCCTCCAGGCGCCGAACTGCTGGCATGGGTACCAGCAGCAGATTCAGAAGGCGACGCTGAAGATGGAGCCGAAGAGGGAGGGGCGGGAGGGGGTTGGGGAAGGTGAAGAGGAGGCGCAGGCGCAAGTTATTGTGTGACGTGGGGTAGCCTTGGGTAGGGATGTTTCTCCAGGCGATGCATGGGTGGCGTGAGTTTGGTTTAAGGATTATGGGTGAGTCATTGCATAGTTGGGTGCATGCATAGCGGGTGCCGGATGTCACATCTAGAGAAGCTGTGCTTGTGTTATTTCATTTCTGCTTGGCACTGCATGGGGCGACAGGCTGGCAGTGGAGCCAGTTTCACACTGTAAACTACGGATGGGCAATATCAAGCGCATAGCGTGTAGATCTTTGAGTGTATTCTTCGTTCTAATTGGGGATGAATGTAGACCGCAGGCAGCAGGTCCCCCTTGAACCCGTCCGCCTAGCCCATCAGCATAATTCGTCTGAGATATTCAAAACGCCTCACGTGCCCCATCTAAGAGCTAACGTTGCCAAACCGGACCTCCATGCAAGAGTGCAATGACCGATAGCGCCAAATCATGAGTGGAGCCTGTTACTCCAGCAGGCCTAGCGGCCAAACCTCTATATCAGAAACGCCTGATCGTAGATCCCATCCAAAACATGACCGATGCCCAACCCAACGTATGACGTGCTGTGCGAGTCTACCGCCAATACCCTGTGTTCTGAGCGCTGCCGCTCGTAGTGGTGTCTTTCGTTGTCCCGCTGGTATTGTGCACGACAGGCTTGCCGCCGTAGACGTATGTGCTTCGCGAGCTTGAGGCTACTGAGGCGGCCCGGGAGGAGGCTGCCGAGGAGGAGGATGAGTGGGTGTTGTAGGCTGGGCTTGTTAGTTGAGGCCTGGTAGGTGGATGGGAGATTGGTGGCTTACGCTGGGAGCCGTAGCTCTTGCCGGATGAGGTGTTCTTGTACATGACGGCGGACTTGTGACTGGATGCTTGGGAAGGCTGCTGTAGCGACCTGTAGCCTGGCGTGCCGATTTGAGGGTGTCGAGGTGATGGAGCCTTGCTGCAGGTACCAGAGGTCTGTATGAGGCTGTTGCTGTCGAACAGGACGTATGAGGTGCTTGTATAGTCGTTTGAGGCGCTTCTAATGGAAAGCAAATAGCGTAGATAGCTTGAGTGTAATCTGATAGCAATGTGTTGATGTGAATGGCGAATTGAGAAAGAAGCAATCATTGAAGCTCTTTATATTAGGCGTCTACCTGGCTGCGGCCTTAGAGCAGGCCTCTCATTACTCATCGCCAGACCGAAAGCATTATTCGCTGCCTGAGAGCTATGGAGAGAGGCGGTGCTAAGGGAGGCCGGGCATGGATCTGCCTCAAGGCAGACTCCATGGGTTTAGGCTACTAGGCGAGAGTTGACGCAAGCAATAGGACGGAAAAAAGGCAAGAGTCATCAGCAGTTGCCAGAAGCTTGACAGACTGCGTAAGCAACTGTTCGAGAAACGACTATGAGGTTCAAAAGGGCTCAAAGGAATGGGGCGCTAGGCAGGGTGACTCGTTTGCGCATCTTCCTGCAAGGCACCAACAGTTCCAATTGGACTCGGCGGTCACCTGCAGAAGCTTACTTGGAGCAATTGGAAACTGTGGGCAGGCGCCGATGACTGGATACGTGGTGACTCTGCCGTCCGTATTGAGGATAGGCCGCGAGGCGCTGAGGCAGTGCATGGCCGTTGCCTGAATTTGGCTCGGTCACTCAAAAGAGCCACCGAACGTGTGAGATGATGTCGGCCGCAACGGTACGGGCGGTGCGTTCGACGTGACCGCTGTCAAACTCAGCGTTGTAGTTTGATACGCGTGACGTGAAGCTTGGATGTGTTGAGAACGAGTGGGAGTTTGAGAGGAGAGGGGTTGAGGCTCTGCTGTCTGTGCTTGACAACCCCGAAACAGCAACTCGTGATAAAGCCTCAGCCTCCACCAACCTCCCGGCTGCTACATAATCCTGTGATCAATAATTGGTGATTATCAATCCTCTCGTTGGCCCAACCGTTTCGTCTTCTCCATGTTTGTAATAATGAATCCAGGTTTCTCGCAAGCCGATCACGTGACTGTTCCTGTATCATCTTCGCCCTCAACATCCGGGTTTTAGAGTACTATTGACGAAGACTTTCGACAGGATGAAACCCGGGCCGCTGGCTAAAGACATTCAGCCACGGCGAGAACAACTTCCGTTCGTTACCGTTGCTCCAGGCTTTCACATCCTCGAAAGTGACCCACTCCCATACCTCGCACTTCTCCGGCTCCATCACCTATCTCCGGTGAGCTCAAAGGGCTACACTGCCGCCTGAGTGACTTACCTGAGGTTCCGTCTTATCCCCTGCGACCGTCCCCCCCATGTAGATCGTGACATAATGTTTACCCTCCGCCTCCATCACATCGTTGGTCACGGTCAGGAAGTGGACGTTGCCAATTGTGAGGCCCGTTTCTTCGAGAACCTCGCGAGCTGCGCAGGCTTCGAGGGACTCGCCAAAGTCTAGGTGGCCTCCGGGGAGTGCCCAGGTGCCTATTTCGGTCAGCGTACAGTCTAGGAATATTCTCTGTGGGACGGGAACGTTATAGAATACCTGAACCGTGACTTCCTTTTCGCTTGCCAATAATGAACTTGCCTTCGCCGTTCATCACGAAGACACCGACGCCGACTCTGGGCTCCATGATGTCAGGTTGTTTCGAGGATTGCTGCTTGTAATGAAGCTGTCAATCTGCGAATTTGGTTTATAGCGTGGCTTAGCTCTACAAGCAATGAGTCATTGAAGCCTCTCGACAAAGGTAAGGCACTCATACTCTAGCATGATAAGATCCGCATGTTAAGCTGTTTATGACTCTACTCGAGTATACATGGAGCCCAGCAGGAAGCACGGGCAGCCCATACAAGTACACTGCATTAATAGCGAACTCTCTCCATGTACTACACGATTCAGGAAACTAAGTTACAGCGGCGGAGTTGAGCCACGATACTTGAATTTCGCTTGCTTAAAATGTGCAAGCAGCTTAACACAAGTTGCAGGTGTTAAGGAAGTTTTCTGTTCAGAGAGCACGCATACTTAGTGGACCATTTTTGTCCTATCTGATCGTGTGCTATTAGATAGCGTGAAACCGTCATCTTCGGAGACGAAACAATGTCAGATAGACTATTGTCCAGAAAAACATAGAGCGTCCACGTAGTCCGTAAACATATTTAGCTTTCTCCTCAGTAGTTTGTGGCTAGCAGCGTGTTACACGAGCCAATTGCAGGCGTGAAAATCCATGATAGGTCGATATTATGATAACTGATACGGGAGTTTACCACAGCTGCTCGCTTTTAGACCGTCTGCCTGCAAAGCTCGCGCAGAGTGTTGTTGACGAGATGCTGGGCTGAAGTCGCCATAAGGTTGCGAAGAAATGGGATGAAAAGCAATGGATGTCTTACGAAGGGTAGGAAGCATTACCGTGCTGGGACAAAACAGAATCCATGGAACGACTCCGGGAGGTGAACACGTCAAAACATGACGGTGGAATCCCCGTGACATGGAAGGCGAACTGTGACAGACGTGCTGCGGGAAAGGCTGTCATCGTAGAACCGTGGAACTACAGCTGTGAGTGCCAGGACCGTTCCTAGGCTTTCTGACACATTTCGAAGAAAAGCCAAAGAGGATTGACTTTTTGGAGCGAGTTCAAAGCTTTCAGTATTGCTGTAGCTGCAGAGCAATCTGCGCAACTCGGACATCGAGAGAAACGGTATGTACAGAGATACGAAGTACAAAGAGAGACATGCTCACGTCGAGAGTTCGCGATGGAAGGTGACGGATGAAGGATCAGCTCGGATCACGTGACCGTCGGCGAACTGACGACTGAGCTCATCGGCCTTTCTGTCGCGCTCGTGAAGGAGCTGTCTCGACAACACAACCATCGCCGTCAACAGCCTCCTTTGTTTCTTTTCTCAACCTTCCTTCGGCACTCGAGCTGCCCGGTACTGAGTCAGATCTCCGCCCAGCCATAGCCTTCACCTCTCAGCGTCACCCTTGTCTGCCTGCACTTTCCGGCGCCACGTTACGGAGCTTTGCCCATAATACCATCAACAGCTTCATCCTTCCTCATCCTGCATAATCCCAACTCGGCCACATACTAGACTCGAGCGAACAGAAACCATACGGTATCCTCATACGAGATGGTCGGGTTGATGTCCGCCGCTGGCCTCGTTGGCTTCCTACAAGAGCCCGATCCCGATGTCAGGTCATTCGCCCTTGAACGCCTCAACGACGAGATAGACCTGTTGTGGCCGGAGATCGCAGGCTCTGTTGCTCAAATGTACGTCCTGCTCCAGATTCAGCTCCATAGGGAGCCTTTAAGCTTGGTGCTACCCGGCTGCGTCATCTCACGGAACCGGCGACTATCAAGTGGGCTGGTCGATGCACTTGTTGAGGCTCATGGCGATATCTCAATAAGGCTGTGCTAACTCACGTTCATGTAGTGAGGCGCTCTACGAAGATGAATCGTTTCCACACCGCGAGCTTGCCGCACTGGTGGCGGCAAAGGTCTACTACCAGCTTGGAGAGTACAACGAGAGCATGACGTTCGCTCTAGGAGCTGGAAAGCTGTTCAACATTGATCATCCTGGGGAGTTTGAGGATACCATACTTGGTACGTGGCTTCTCTGTATCTGGTGTCGCGGCGTCACCGGCTCGCTCGAGTTAGAGATAAGCTGACCTGAGATAGCAAAATGCGTCGATACATACATCGCACTGTCTGCGATGCACAATCCAGCCACGCCTGCCAGCACCGCGCACGAAGTTCCACAGCTCACCACTGCCTTCCCCTTAAATGCCAACGGAAGTGCCAGCACCGCAGCCAGCATGACCTCGCCTACAACCCCATTCTCACAGTCAACGCTCCCTTCGAAATCGCTTCTCTCGCGTCAAGACTCGTCAACCTTCGATCCTTCGATGCCCGGTGGAGGCAACGCTGGTATACCCGGGTCACATCCGGCGCCGCTTGCTTTGGACCGAGGGGTGCAGAAGAACCTTCAGGCTATCATTCGCCGGATATTTGAGAGCTGCTACCAGGAAGGGAGCTACAGACAGGTTGTCGGCATAGCCATCGAAGCAAGGAACCTGGAAGTGCTGCGCGAGGTGATCTTGAGGGCAAGTCAGGACGAGAAGCAGCAGGGCAAGCGACCTACGAACGGTGCACCAGGAAAGAGCGAGGAGCTCATCGAGTACATCTTGGACATTTGTATGAACGTCGTGCAAGAGCGCAGCTTGCGGAATGCGGTACGCAACCCCGGATCATCCCGATTCCCTACATTTAACTGACACATTGTCTAGATCCTGCAACTTATCCTTGACCTGCTCAACGAAATTCCGAGTCCTGACTACTTCTCAATCGCAAAATGCGTGGTCTACCTCAACCAGCACTCAATGGCCTCCAATATGCTACGTCACCTTGTGGAGCGTGGGGATGCTCGATCGCTCGCCACTGCCTACCAGATTTCCTTCGATCTCTATGACAACGGCACGCAAGAGTTTTTGGCCAAGGTGATCAACGAGCTGCCGGAGACGGAGGAGAAGCCGGAGGCACAGAAAGAGAACTCTGCTGCCAATGGGGACGTCGTGCATCCAGCGCCAGAAGAGGATGCAAAAGAGACGGACCGGCTACTAGACGAACCCTCGGAGAACATCAATGGGCACAAAGCAACAGTCGTATCTCGAACCAAACAGCGGGAGATGAGTGAGGAGGAGAAGAAGGCATACACTTCCATCCGCAAGATACTCCGTGGCACAAAGCACATTGAGCTAAATCTGGAGTTCCTGTTCCGGAACAACCACGCCGACAAGCAAATTCTCAACAAGATTCGGGATAGTCTGGAAGCCCGAAACTCCATCTTTCACAGCGGTGTAACCTTCGCCAACGCCTTCATGAACTCCGGTACTACCAACGATAATTTCTTCCGAGAGAACCTCGAGTGGCTAGGGAAAGCGGTCAACTGGTCGAAGTTCACAGCCACTGCAGCGCTAGGTGCGATACACCGAGGCAACATTGGCCAAGGTCAGAAGCTTCTCGAGCCGTATTTGCCGAAGCGCGGTGACGTTGCTGGATCAGTCTACAGCCAGGGCGGATCACTGTACGCGCTTGGGCTGATCTACACCAACCATGGAGCAGAAGTCCAGAGCTTCCTGCAAGAGGAGTTTACTCGAGCCACCGACGAAACTATCGTCCACGGTGCAGCGCTTGGTCTCGGACTGGCTGGTATGGCAACAGGAGACAGCGCGCTCTATAAGAAGCTTCAGGAAACCTTGTATCAAGACTCCGCCATCCATGGCGATGCTGTCGGTCTCGCAATGGGTCTCGTTATGCTAGGCACTGGCGACATACAAGCTCTCGAGGATATGATCACGTACGCGCACGATACCCAGCATGAGAAGATTGTGCGAGGCCTCGCGATGGGCATGGCACTCATCATGTATGCCCGTCAAGAAGCCGCTGACGAACTCATCAATGGCCTGCTGGAGGATCCTGATCCGTCCTTGCGGTACGGCGGGATCATGACTATCGCACTGGCTTACTGCGGTACCGGAAGCAACAAGGCCGTGCGCAAGCTGCTACACGTTGCCGTGAGCGATGTCAGTGATGATGTCCGACGTTGTGCTGTCATGAGCTTGGGTTTCGTGCTGTTCAGGAAGCCGGGTAGCGTACCTCGTATGGTTGAGTTGCTTTCGGAGTCCTACAACCCCCACGTGCGGTACGGTGCAACAATGGCGCTCGGTATCGCCTGCGCGGGCACCGGTCTCGACGAGGCCATCGATCTTCTAGAGCCCATGATGAAGGATTCGGTCGATTTTGTCCGGCAGGGCGCCCTCATCTCTCTGTCCATGATCATGGTGCAGCAGAACGAAGCTATGAACCCGAAAGTGGGGACTATCCGCAAGACTCTGCAAAAGATTATCGGCGACCGGCACGAGGACGCAATGGCCAAGTTTGGCTGCGCTCTCGCCTTGGGCATCATCGATGCAGGTGGCCGGAACTGCACGATCGGCTTGCAAACTCAGACGGGTAATCTCAACATGACCGCAATAGTGGGCATGGCTGTCTTCACGCAGTACTGGTACTGGTTCCCTCTCACGCACTTCCTATCACTGAGCTTCACGCCGACCGCTATCATCGGTGTCGACCAAGACTTGGAGATCCCAAGCTTCAAGTTTCACAGCAACACTAGGCCGAGCATGTTCGATTATCCGCCGGAGCAGGAGACAAAGGCTGAAGAGGCGCCGGAGAAGATCAAGACTGCGGTGTTGTCCACGACTGCGCAAGCCAAGCGAAGAAAGCAGGCGAAGGAACGGCGAGCAAGGCGCGAGAGTATGGATATTGATCAGACTCCCACTACGCCAAAGGTCTCTACCGCCGATGAGGATAAAATGGAGACCGATGAAGACGTCATCAAGACCAAGCCTGAGAAGGCGGATGGCGAGAAGGAGGACACACCTGCCGCAGACTCGATGAAGAAGAAGGTGGACAAAGAGAAGGTCGGGTGTGATCTGGAGAACATGTCAAGGGTACTCCCCGCACAGCTCAAGTACATCAGCTTCCCGGGCGAGCGTTATGTGCCTGTCAAGAAGGTGTGTTCATCTTCAAATTACTCCGAAGATCTCCTATACTGACTCGTTCTCCGTAGCCCACTGGCGGTGTCATACTTCTCATCGACCAACAGCCAGATGAGCCGAAGTCTCTCCTCGAGCTAAAGGTCAAGAAAGTCGCACCCGCACCAGCGCCAGGCGCGCAAGGTCAGACAGCTCCAGAGACAATGAGCGATGCGATCTCAGCCCTTGCGCATGGTACAGGTGCATCAGAAGCTGCCGCCGTGCTGAACGCAGTGGACGAGGATGAGGAAGGCGGAGAGGAGGCAGAAGTGCCGCGCGACTTTGAGTACTTCTCCGACGAGGAGCGGGAGGAGTAATAGTGTACGACCATTGGCTGGTTCATTCTTCTTTGTGAATTACTACACCTGCATTAAACGGGGCGTATCATGGATTGCCCGTAATGGCTCAGCTAGGGTTGAGCTTGGGGCTTCCGTAGACTTGCTAGCGTTGTATCATACATAGGATGTTCTAATTGCCATGTGGAGCATCAGTGCAATTGCGTGAATGACCACACAAGTGCTCGTGCTGATCTGCTGTTGAAGACATCCATGCCCTACGAGCCTCAGATGCTGATGAGATTAGATTAGATCGACCTGCAAGCATCAATCGACTTGAATCACCACAGGGCCCGAGAGGCGTCGCGCCAACAGCAATCAAGCAATGCTCGTTCGACCTCGATTACTTCAGCCGGCGCCTCTCCGAGATGCACATACCGTATGTCTACGGTGTCTGCAAAGGCTGTCGCGGGCGGCACCCCCCTCGCGGCGAACCATATCATCTACCGCCCCCGTCAAAGACGCGGTAGTAACGGCCCGGCACCCTCGAGGTGCTTTCAAGAAGGAGTACTTCTGGGGCAATGGCATACTGGAAGAGGTGCTCTCGGGTGCTAAGAGGGGAGTATGGAGTAGTTCTGCCTCAGTACGGCAAGAGGGCAGCATAGAAGGGAGCGCAGCAATACAACAAACGGCGGATATAGCCTCACAGCACGTCAACACGTCGGCAACCGCGACGACCGCAAGCCTGCTAAAAGAAGAGCTCCCCCACCGCCGACGCAAGCGTCTACGAGAAGAAGCCCGCCTCACCGACCCCCCCGAGCCAACCATCCCCCTCGACGCCTCCTCCCAGCTCTCGACCCTCTCGCAGAGCCTCCCCACCCACTCCCTCCGGCGCCTCATAACGACCTACCTCTCCCTTAGCAAACCGCGCCTCACCTTCCTCGTCGTCCTCACTACCACCGCAGCATACAGCCTCTACCCCGTCCCGGCCCTCCTCTCCCCCGCGCTCACCGACACCCCCTCCCTCAGCACCCTAACCCTCCTCTTCCTCACCACCGGCACAGCACTGTGCTCCGCCTCCGCAAACGCGCTGAACATGCTCCTCGAGCCCGCTCACGACGCCAAGATGTCGCGCACGCGGAACCGACCCCTGGTCCGCGGTCTCATCTCGAAGCGGGGCGCGCTGCTCTTCGCGCTGGCCACGGGCGCGCTCGGGACAGCGGGGCTCTACATCGGCGTCAACCCGACGACCGCCTTCCTAGGTGCTCTCAACATCGCCCTCTATGCCGGCTGCTACACGCCGCTAAAACGCGTGCACGTGCTCAACACCTGGGTCGGCGCCGTGGTGGGCGGGATCCCGCCTTTAATGGGCTGGGCGGCTGCAGCGGGCCAGTGCGCGTCTCACGACGCCGGGTGGCGGGAGTTGCTGTTTGGAGAGGGCAGCGCGGGTGGGTGGTTACTTGCCGCCCTGCTGTTCGCGTGGCAGTTCCCGCATTTCAATGCGCTGAGCTGGACGATACGTGAGGAGTACAAACACGCGGGCTACCGGATGCTTGCGTGGACGAACCCGGCGCGGAACGGGAGGGTCGCGTTGAGATACTCGCTGCTCATGTTCCCCGTGTGTGTTGGGTTGGCGGTGGCCGGGGTCACGGATTATGGGTTTGTGGCGACGAGCGCGGCGGTTAATGGGTGGATGACGTGGCAGGCGTGGAGGTTTTGGAGGTATGAGGGACTCAAGGGGAGCGCGAGGGGTTTGTTTTGGGCCAGCGTGTGGCATTTGCCGATTGTGCTTGTGTTGGCGATGGTGCATAAGAGGGGCTTATGGGAGAGGGTGTGGAGGAGTTTGATGGGGAGAAGTGGGGAGGAGGAGGAGGAGTGGGAGTATGAGGATGAGGTGCCTGCTGTTGGCAAGGAGGCGCTACCTGCGTGAGCGGGCTGTATGCGGACTGGAGCGGCTGGGTTTTCTGGGCATCTCTGTGATCGGGCGAAAGACGGAGTAGCATCATTTCTCTGCTTTGGGCTGAGTTGGCTGTACACCAGGAGGATTGTCCTGTATGCTAGCACTATGGAAGCGTCAAACGCACTCTAATCGGCCTGTTACGAAGTCTAATACGACCGGTTACATGAGTGAGTGACTTCTATACTTGATTGTCCATGGAGAGTAGGTTTTGTTTCTCCATGACTCACTTCAGGCTTCACTGCAAAAAAATGACTTCCGCCTTGGACAACGCTTCGAGTTTGCTCGATGTCCATGTGGCTTGACGTCCTGTGATATTACCAGTACTTCCTACAGCAGCTATCCTGGCCCTGGACAAAAGGGAGACCCTCCAGCCCCACGCCTGAAGCCTGAAACGGTTCACCCAAAACCTTGAAAGGTTTGGAACAACGCCATTAAATGCAAAAAGACGACGACGTTAAGGGCTCCACCGCGATTCGAACGCGGGGCCTCCTGCAAGCTTCAACCCAAAGCAGGAATCATACCACTAGACCATGAAGCCCGATAATGAAGACATAACGCTCTACAAATTTACTTATCGTGCTGTTGTAGCTATACCTTCAAAACTGAGGGACAAGGCTCAGTGCACTTAGACGTTGCCGCATCTCTGCCGCATCTTGGTAGGAAAGGATGCGGCAATGACTAAGTGCGCCGAGCCTTGGGAGTAAATACATGTTAAGCTTTTGAAGCCTGCAATGATTGTGAAGCCTACGGTCAGACTTTGAGGCCTCCAGTTTGGGGTAAGCTCTCCTACTCCTAGCCAAACTCCTAGCCGCGGTCTCAGTGCGGCAGCGGTAACCACAATGCCGGATGCTCCCCTGGTTCTAAAGCGGTAGCTGCGAGCGATTCGAAAATTTCAAGACATTTGGGGGGTCCAGTTATCTACAGAGTGTGAGGCTTTTACATCCTTCTATCACGAGAAACGATACAAAGAGTGGAGGACAATCACCAATTGCCTGATCATCAAGGAACAAAGGGCTCGTCATTAAACAAACTCCAAGCTAATGGTAGCATGAAAGTCTACCATTGCTATCCACGACGTCGAATAGATATAGTAGCCCGAATCCCATAGCCTATCGTGAACTCATCCAGCTATCCTCTTCTTTGTCCTTGTCATACTCGCTTCGCGAGAGGTCTACGCATTGGCTGAGACGTATGAGAGCGGAGCGGCTCTTATTAAATACGGCAAATCTATCACAGCAGTACCGGCGGCTGTATGAGGACGGAGGGGAAAGAATACTTCATTTGCAAACAAGACGGAATCTACATATCTAACTGACTGACCCTTTAATCAAGACTTTGAGTAGTGCGATGCTCTCCAAAGCTCCTCAAATCCTACCAAAATGCAACCTCTAGAACAACCAGCGACCTGACTGTATCTATACCAGTACTCTCCCCATTTAAGATGAAGCCCACTCCATCTACCACCACCTTCTAGAAGTTCCGCATAATCCCCGGCTGGATCTGCTCCAGCCGCTCACTCAACTCCCTCCACACCCTCTTCTGTGCCTCCTTCCCCTCCTCACTCTTAACAAACTTCGCCGGTTCCGAAACCCTTGCATCACTAAGGTACTGCCCATGGCTCTCCTCGCCCGCACTCGCCGCATGCACCAGCGTGCGACTCCCCACCTCCGTCGTGCGCGCCACCGCAAGCTTAAAAAGGTAAAAGCCCAGCCCCATCTCGCGGGCCAGCTCCGAGTGGCAGAGGCCCGGGTTCACGAAGTTCAGAATCACCGGATAGCCGGGGCGCATGAGCTCCTCGACGATCTGGCGACAGGCGAGCACTTCGAGGAGCTTGGAGACGTTGTACCTGTCACCCATGCGGGCCTTGCTCTTATCGCTTAAGCTCGCCAGAAGGTTTTCGTTCGGGCCGACGGTCTTGCGCTCAGGGAGATTCGTGAAGAAATGGACCTCGCTGCTCACGATGACGAGATGCGGGCGCGTGTTGAAGCGCTGCGCCGTCTCTTTCAGCTTCGGCAGCACGAGGAGAGCGAGCAGGAACGTCGCGACAACGTTCGTCGCGATCGTCGTCTCCTCCCCGCTCTCGGCTGCGACGAACCGATCCGTCGCGATCCCCGCGTTCTCGACAATCGCATCGAGCCTCTGGAGTCCCTCGACGCGTTTCGCGAATGCCTTGACGCTGTCGTACGCGCTAAGGTCTAGCTGCCACACCTCGACCGTCTCCTCACCGCATCCCGTGGTCTCGATGATCGATTTTCGCGCCGTCTCGCCTTTTTCCAGATTGCGCACGCCGAGGATCACTTTTTGCGCGCCGAGACGCGCAAAGTGCCGTGCTGCTTCGAGGCCGAGGCCGACGTTCGAGCCGGTCACGACGACGGTTTTGCCGGCCCAGGAGGTCGTGGGGTAGGGCGGCTTGATGAAGAACTGGCGGTAGAGGAAGCCGAGGAGGACGGAGGGGCTGGCGGCGGACATGGTAGGCGGTTGGGTGCGGGTGGGTTGTGCAGTAAGTGTCGGTGTGGACGGTAGGGAGATGTTGTGGATGGCTGTTGGGTCAATTGGTGGTTAAGTGTTATCGTAAGTAGCAGGAAGGTATTGCAGGACCCCTTTTGCTGCGGTAGCGGCTCGCTCATATATAGACTGCATGATTGCGTCGTACATTCTTCTGCCTGCCGGATTTCCTGCGCCGTTTAGCAATCTCCAAACTCCGTCATCCGTGGATTGTCTAATTCCCGGGATCCATGGCTTAACTCCGGGCGAAGGGTCGCGCGCCGACGGGGAGCGGCGAGATTCAAGATTCCGGGGTGCCGCGTGGGGATCACATGATTGCAATTGGTTGCACCGAATTTTCAACTTCAGCCTTGATGTTTTGGTATGTTGTGTTTATTTTGGGAGATAGAGACGGTCAGTTCCTCTACTCGAGATGACAAGAAGCATCTTTGTATGTGGTGGGAAACAAGCCGTGCCTCCAACAACCATGCATGCTCATATCATGGACGCCAAGCTAGAAAACCCGCTGCTGCTAATCGACACAGGCAGCGTGCGCTATAATTACAGAAATGAAAGTGCTTCTCGGGAATCGATTCTCATCAGGCCCATCTTCCAAGTAGAGCCATCAGCCCTGGAAGCAGTCAGCCGCAGCTCAAGCCAAGATTTCGATCTGCGAAGGGAGGACTCACCAGCTCCAAGACACATCCACCCGAAAGCGCCCAGCACCGTCCTAATCGGTGCCTTGTTCATGTACGAGCTAAACATAAACTCATGCGCCATCAACTCCACCAACCCCGTGTAGATCAAGATGCCGGCGCTGATCGAATCAAACACGCCGTTCACGATCAATGTCGTCGCCGAGCCTGGCGGATAGGATGTCCTAACTCCCAACCCGACCGCGATCGCGATGGGCGTCGAGATGCCGTAAGCACCCGCCAGCAGATACGGCGTCCACTTCTTCGATTTTGGCCAGGGGACGGCGCTCAATCGTGAACCAAGGCCGAGGCCTTCGAAGGTTTGATGGAAGACCAGGACGATGTACAGCGTGATGAACTCCTCGCCCGCAACGGCGAGAGTGAGGCCGATGAAGACGGAGTGGAAGATGACGCCGAACTCGAGGATGAAGATGGCCGTCATCTGCGCGACGAACGTTTCGGGGACGAGGCCCGTCTCTTCCCAGTCAGGGCGGATGTCCTCGTTGTCGGTGTGCTCGCGGGCATGGCCGAGGTGGTCCTCGCCTGGTGCGTGGCTGGTGCTGGGTGTGCGGTCGGGCGAGCTGTAGTTCTTCTTTCCGCCAGACATCTCGAGATCGGATGAGCTGCTAGGCCCGTGGTTGTGACCAGCACTGTGGATGTGGCTGTGACTGGGGCTGTTGCTATTGCTGCCAACTCTCGCTCGTTCCACGTCGTCGTGGCCGCCGCCAAAATGGCCGTACCGCATCGTCATGAGCTCGAGGAAGAAGAGAACGAAGATGGTCATCAGAGAGATGCCTTCGACCCATGGGTATTCCGTAATCGGTCCGGTCAGACATTCGTCGCTCAGAGCCTCGTGAGCAGGAGCGAGGAGCTGGGATACGTCAGTCTGCTGTGACAGCGAGAAGAGAGGATGCGGGAAGAGAATCATTGCGCGAAGATATTGTCGGACATTGAGAAGGTAATGAGAGCCACTCACGTGTATGAACGCCGTTGCAAGGATGATTCCGGAACCGAAGTACTTTACAGTGAAGAAAGCCCACTCAGGCACTCCGAGTCCAACATGCCGGCGAGCATAGACCGGGAACCATGCACCTGAGTATGTTAGCTGGCAGAAGGAGACGCAATCCTTGATATTCGACGGATCACTCACCGAGCGTTGAGCCGATCAAGATAACGAAGATCGCTGATATCCTGAGGCCCAACCTCCCGTCGAACTCATTGCCAGTACTGCATTGGGCAACGGCTTCAGGCTCAGAAGATTGGCTTGATGTTGCAGTGTCTGCGGCTATCTGCCGTACCGCAAGCTGTAAAGCGTGGGCGAAGGTCTCTGCCATGTTCCAGCGCCAATAGCAAACGATCCGATGCAGCAGCTATCGAATGATTCTCGGAGCACGCAACAGTGTGTCGAAACAACAGCGTGGTATTCTGCAACGAAACCTTCGGGTAGAAGATGTAGATTCTGATGCGGGGTATCTTTTGGGTCTAAGCTGGCCAAATTGACTGCGGCTCAGCGGGAGTGTATCAATGGAATGGTCAACAGGCTGTAACAAGCCGTAGTGCGCGGCTCAAAGGAATAGACACAGCGACACGAGCCTGGATGATGGGAAATTGGGGTAGATGATTGATTTGAGACACAGCGTACCGGCCATCAGGGTGTTTTTTCTGTGTACCCTGATGGCTGAAGTCATGGCGTGGCCAATCGTCACTGCCGAATACCGGTCCAGCAGCGACGACGTTTGTCATGCCGAAGCCATCGGAATTTTGGTCATGGACCTAACGTCTGCCAAAAGTGTCAAACAGTACAGAGTGACTCTGACGAACAGGATAGTGAATGGCTTTGAAGTTTCCAATTCATTTGTCTTCTTTCTATCGACATTCACGTGAGGCATCTCTACATCCGGTAATCGGCTACGGCAAACGAACTGGCGCGTCTCTGAGCTGCATCAGGCCGTGCTTGAAAGTCGGCGTTGTGAGCTGCATGTCAGAGAAGCGTCGAGACTCCTTTCAAGCGACTTGCTGCCGCGTTAGGAGCCTGAAAAGCGAGGCGATAAGGCCAGAAGGTCCTGCTTTCTGGGAGTTTCCGTCAGCGAGCTCCAGCTCGGGCGCACGGTCGACGAGCTTATCGCTGAGCCGTTGTGGCGCTTGGAGTCAAACAGCTTGAGTTTCGAGTTTCCGGCTGCTTTTGCTGGACGAGCGGCTTCGTGACTAAGACGCAGCTTTGAACGGCTGAGGACGAGCCGGCAACGGCGTCTCGCGAGTAGTTAACACGAAGTGCCCGTTCTTCACGAGTCTGAAGTCCAAAACACGGCGGCGTTCAGGGTTCTCTCTCTCGCAGGATGGAGTTAGCTTGGCGCCGGCGCCATTCGACAACACTCGCCAGGTCGGAGATGGACTGGCAAGAGATCTGTGAGGCTTGCAGGGTGTGGTGCAGATAAAGCGGGGATCGTTCTCAGGCACGGTGCGGAGAACAACGCTTTTCGCGCTGGAGCTTGTCCAAAAGGGCTCATTGATGATGGGGTGGTACAGCGCCTACTCCTCACGAGGGGATGAGAAGCGGCCATGTACACACAGATGCAACACTGCTGTATTCGCCGTGAGAATCGAGCAGGCATCGAGGTCACGAAGCAAAGCAAGCAAAGCAAGCAAAGCCAGCGGCGTGATCCGGGAGCTCAAGGCAAGCGATGCAAAGAGAGCAAAAGCTCCGGCAGCGCCAGGCTGTTGCTTGCTGTGGCTGGGTTCAGGGATGAATTGATCCAAGCCCGTTTGAGCAGCTGTCGGCGACTGCCATTGGCTGAAACAGGCCTGTCGGACCCTTGTCCGGGTAGCAGGCAGCAGGTGACGTGAGACCCCGCCTCTTGAGCGAGAAAAGAGCTCTGGCAGGGTTCTTCCAAGCTTTGGAGCTAAGCACGGCCCTCTTCCCACTACTTACCTACTTCACTGCCTGGAGCTCTCTCCTCTTCTTCCTCACCCTCCCCTCCTCACCTTTGCATCTCCCTCCTCCATCAAGCATCCAGCTCCATTGCATCCAGAAAACTCTGCTCAAACATCAGAGCATCACAGCAGCACTCTAACCTGTCAACATGATCGATCCGGTGCAGGCCTTCGCTAAGGCGACCTCGTCGCTGCTCGTCCCGCTCCCGAGCTCCTCGACAGCCGGCCATCATCATACTTCCCTTCCCAGCATCCTCCCTGACTCTCCAGAGTACCAGACCGTTGGCGAGACCGGCAAGCGGACGCTATGGTGAGCTTCAATCTGCTTCTGCTGCATCCTTTTGGCTGACTCCTCCGCAGGGTTGTCTTCGTTATCATGACGCTTGCGTCCGCGGCCTTCGCCGGCATGTCCTGGACTGTCCCAATCGTACGTGCCAGACCACTGTAGACGATTCATCCATCAGCACGGACGCTAACAATGCTTAGAACAAGCGTATTTTCCACTTTATCACCACCCTGATCACCATCTTCGCTGCTCTCTCGTACTTTGCCATGGCTACCGGCCACGGCGTTGCCTACCACCACATTGTGGTCAATGAGAGCCACCCGCACGTGCCCGACACCGAGCACGAAATCTACCGCCAGGTCTTCTTTGCTCGGTACATCGACTGGACCGTCACCACCCCGCTCCTGCTGCTCGATCTCTGTCTCCTCGCCGGCCTCAACGGTGCCCACATCCTCATGGCCATCATTGCCGACGTGATCATGATCCTCACCGGTCTCTTTGCCGCTTTCGGCGCCGAAAGCAACCCGCAGAAGTGGGGCTGGTACACCATTTCCTGCATTGCCTACCTCGTCGTCATCTGGCACTTGGCCCTTCACGGCCGCGCCATGGCCATGTCCAAAGGCGGCAACGTCGCCAGGTTCTTTGGCGCTCTAGCTGCCTTCACCCTTATCCTCTGGACAGCCTACCCTATGTAAGCAGGCCTCCTCTTTGATTTCCTTGTTTCACCAAAACCTCGTATCTAACTCAAACAACAGTGTCTGGGGTTTCGCCGACGGGGCTCGCCGCGTCAGCATTGATGCCGAGATCATGTGCTATGCCGTCCTCGATGTTCTCGCTAAGGTTGGGTTCGGTGCTTGGCTCTTGATCAGTCACGCCACCATCCCGGAGATCGGCCTCGAGCTTGGCGGCTTCTGGGCTCACGGCCTCAACCAGGAGGGCACCCTCCGTGTTGGCGATGACGATGAGGGCGCGTAGAGTGCTCGTCTCGTGAGCCAATCTAGGACACCGGGAACGAAGTTGTCGATAGGTGGAAGTTGAGTATGGATGGAAGGTACGATGACTGAAGGTGGTGGAGGAATCGACGGAGGCGGTTACGTGAACGATGCCTTAAAACGCCCCTCGTGGCTTGATCGTTGTTGACTGTTCGATGAGCTTATCTTTCTTGCATCTTGGCCGAAGGTTGTCAATGTTGTATAGTAATTATTGAATGAAGATGTTTGACGAACGGTCGTTACCTCAAATCCGTTGCATACCCGCTGATGACGCTGCATTGCCTCGAGACCTAAGCCCAACCTTCCAAGTCTCAATCACATTCCTGTGTTGTGGCATTCTATCTTGGCTGCTAAGACAGTGACCATGCATTACAAAAATACCTCTAGTACCAATCTACTGACATTATCTTATGTTCACCAAGCCGGATGAAGTTCCAGGAGACCCTCTACTTTTGAAGCCCTTGCTCCTGAACCTATCTTGAACTAACCCACGTCTCCTGCGATCTCCACTCACCATCCCCACCGCCCGTCGTAGCCCCCTCGACCTCACTTCCTCTCCCCATCCCCTCCACCCAGCCCCAGCTCTGTACAACCACCCCTCCGATTCCTAATCCTGGTTCATAGCCATCTCCTCCATCGCCTTCACCGCATTCTCAAGCTCTCTAATCCTGCCGCCCGCCCTCCGCTCCACCTCCTCAGCGAGCAGCTTGTCGGATCCGGTGACGGCTTCCTGATACACCGCTTTCAGCTTCTCCAGCTCTTCGCGCGCGGCGGCCCGGTCGTCTTCGGCGTAGACGGTCTGCTTCTCTGTCTCTTCGGCGGCGATCTCGAACTCGTCGCGGGCGGTTGCGTAGCTGGTTGGCGGGTTAGCGGAGGGGGTGGGGGTGGTGGGATAAAGCGGGACGGAGCTAGAGGAGGAGGAGAGAAGGATGGCTGGGAAGAAGGGAGGGGGGAAATGGGGGAGGGGGAAAGAGGAGGAGGTACAGCTCGGTTATCTCTTCTATCTTCGCGTCTGCTGGGGAGGTGTTTGAGGAGTATAGTCTTGAGTGCGAGGGGGAGATCGTGGATGCCGACCGCCGTGATATCGAGCCATGGGATGCTGGTGTGAACACCTCTAATCGTCCTGCTCCTGCTCGTGCTCCTGCTTGTATCCGAAAGTTCCGCGAAGCTGTCGGTTTTATGCGGCTTGCACAGCTCTGTCTAGCGCATGTGCGTGTTGCTGAGCGCATGAACATGGTGGCTAGGGTTGGGGTTCTGTCGGCAGGGTAGGAGATATGTACGGATTGTTTGTGCCGCGTGCTGTTGATGGGGCTGTGTAAGGCGTGATTGATGCTGGGAAATCTTGGGTATACTACTGCTTGCAAATACCTAGGTACCCTTGGTGTTTTGGGACGATGACGAGAGGCAGCGCGAGTCATGCAGGGCCTGGGTTCTTATGGGTTACTCAAAAAGCACGTTGCCGTCTTTGGGTTCCACGTTCTCGATGCCAAACCTGGACTTGTCACTATATCAATAGTAGGACAACGGGACCAGTTCCATGCGGCAGAAGGCATGGTATGCCTCGCCCTTAAAGCTACGGCGCATCGACCATCCAATATATTCCATACTTAAGCTGTTTTTGTGATATCTACCTTGACGGTTATGAGAGGCAGCTTTCAATGTAGCCACCCGTTTCTGGGACCACCACCGCTCTCCATTTCCCCTTCCGCGCGTTGGCTGCCGGGTTAGGATCCAACACCAGGCCAAGCGTTATCGCATCCGAGACACAACATCTGCACGCCGATCGAACAGCGCCAACGGATAAGGTAGCGATAGGGCACGAGTTCATCCCTCTGTGCAACAATGCCTTGTCCTCACAACTCCAGTTCGTAAGGGGTGTGGTCACGCTAGTACGAACCACGACGAGGCTGAGTGCAGCTATGCCCAACTCTCCCAAATGCCTGCCCTGGGAGTGATAGTGCCGCCCTGTGTAAGCCTTCAGCCCTGAATGGGCCTTGTGCGTCCCTGCGACTCGACAAAGGACGAGGGGTGATTGGCCAAGTCCTGACGGGCATGATGGAGGGATGTACATACCGCTCATGCACTTGAGTACCTTCCCAAGCTTGGATGTGAGGGATAAGAGCAGCAGCTTCGCATGCCTTTGACTACAAGGCCAAGCGTTGCGCCGGGCCCGAAAGTCTATACCTATTTAACAGTGCTACCTTTGGCACCGCCGCCGTCGATGCAACGGTTGCTTCCTCAGTCGCACAAAGGCGCTGATGGCCGAGCTCGCGCTCGCAGCGGGGATCGCGTCGCTCGTCAGCAGCGCGCTGACAGTGTCGACCCAGCTGCACAAGCTGTATACGGACTTTGGAGACGCGGGCCGCGAGTTCGGGGTTTTCAGCCGAGAATTCTCGATTTTTGCTGCAGTGTGGACGGCGGTCCAGCCGGTATTGGCACATCATGGAGACGCGATCTCAGACGAGCTGTGGGAGAGCCTGGAACGGATATGCGGCGATACGACGAAAATTTTCGAGCAGATTGAGGCGTCGCTGCAGCGATTTCAGCGGAGGGATGAACCAAGGAGGATAAGACTGGGGCTGGGGCATGCGCTTGCGTTTCTGTGTTTTCCTAGGACTTTGGAGGACGACAGGAAGGCTTACCGCAGACAACGAGTCCGGAAATACTTCCAGAGGAGCCAGTTGGTGATGCAGCGGCAGCAGCTGGAGCACGCAAAGACGTCCCTTACGCTTGTCCTTGTGGTCATAAAGTATGTGCGAGCTGTCTCTTATTGCTCCGCTCGCCCGTCACGTGGAAATGGGCACTCTTTTGGCTGACAGGATACGCAGCCATGCGAGACACCCCGTGCATGAGACTCGCGGTTCACATGATCCCGCACGTTCGAATGCAGAGTTGCTAATCGCAACCCATCAACGCTGTCGGGAGGAGCTCCGGAGGCGGGAGCGTTCAGAGCCCGAGGTCCATGTACGGGCATCGCGATGGCTTCCTGGTGTGAGCCGACTTGCGAGGTACTCACTTCCAAGCATAACGTCCCATGGCTCTGCCCACACAGTCGTCGACATACTGTCAGAGCGATGGATGTCGCCTCCACCGCCTGGAGGCTCGAGGTCTGAAGTCAGTCGGCATCAGCGCTACAGCCCTCAAGCCGAGGTGGCGAACGAGCTTCATGAGCTGCGAACGCAGAATGCAGCGCTGCGTGCGCAGGATATAGAGAAGGGCCGAGAGTTGCATCAAGCGAGGGTTGAGCACTCAGACGTGATAGACCAGCTCCGGGGCCAGATCGTGCATCTGTGGTTGGAGAGGAAGCGCTTCGAGGACATTGCGCGCAAGGAAGAAGAGCGTTGCGTGGAGGTTGAACGGCATAACGCGCGCATGTTCCAGGACTTGAGAAGAGGTGATGAGGAGTTTAAGCGACTGCAGATGAGGTACGATGAAGTTGTCGGAGAATACAAGAGGCTACGAAATGGGAGAGATGGGAATGTAGGCTGGAGGTATAACAGGAGAGTACGAGACCCGGGGCGACAGGTACAAGGGGTACTGTTACCTGTCTGCGCGTGATTGACAGTCTGGCAGACATCCTGCACAGCGAGCATGCCGGGAGGAACAATTGTAGATGGTTTCACGCCTCCATAGATGCACATTTCTTCCTCAATGGACATCACTTATGATACCTGCCTCGTAACGGCGGCAGCAGCGCATCGAATAGCGTGGCTTTGTTCGACCCTATGTTCGGCCCACCCTACGTACCAAGTAGAAGGTATTGCAAGCAATGAAACGAGTGTTTGCAGCTTTGCGACACGATGTCGCTCGCACAAGAGTAGATTCATGATGACGTGAAATTCGGCGATCCAGATCTTCCGCGAGTCAGTCAAATGCCGCTTTGTCCCTGCGTCTTTGCGCTCGCCGCATCAACGCCAGACATTCCCCCCACCATCTGCTGGCCCCACAGAGATGCTCTTGGGCCTGTCGATACTAATCCTTTCTGTTACCTTTCTCGCATATCGCAGTAGATCTGCAGCATGGAGCTTGCTTGGAGCCAAGTGCGGCGCCCACAGAGAAGCCCTTAACGATCGAAAGCAAGATGCCGGGAGTGAAGGAGGCAACGTGGATGCGCCACGAACCATCTTGAGCGCCGACAGCAAAGAGAAGGCAGCGAATGGCAGCAATATGTCTTACAGCACAATGTCGCCAGAAAGGGATACGCCCTCGCCGCAAACGACGCCCAAAGCCAGCGCCATCAACGGTGCACCGATACCTTCTTTCTCACTTTCATCCTCGGACTTAGCGGACGAAGATAATGATGTCGTTGCTCCTTCGTTCCCTGCTACCAACTCTGCTCAGCGCGCTTCTGTCGCTCCGACGTTGTCGCCTCGAAATCCTTCAATCCAAAAGCCTCTCCTGCAGCCCGCCGCTGCACAGCTCATGCCGCCGCCCCCGCGCCTGGCTCCAAATCCACGTGTGGGACAGGGCACAGCAGCGTCTCTGCGCGTCCCGACCACCGGCCCTCTGCCGAACCGCGGCCCTCCAAGTTCCTCAAACGGCAGCACACTCGGCGTCCCTTCGTCAGGCGTCGTAAAGCCGACAAACGGGCGGGAGCGGGCAAAAGTAAACTTAGGCCCCGGCTACTCGCCGCTCGACTGGGCGACTCTCCTCAAATCCGGCAAGAATCTGTCAGGCGTTACCGGCTTCCAGAGAGTCACACCATCGCAGCTGAAGGCCATGAACGGGCGGAAGGGGAGGCCGGCGTGGAGTAGTTACCAGGGAAAGGTGTACAACATCTCGCCTTACCTGCCGTACCATCCCGGTGGAGAGGGAGAACTGAGGAGGGCGGCGGGGAAGGATGGCGCGAAATTGTTCATGGAGGTGCACCCGTGGGTCAATTGGGAGAATATGATGGGCGAGTGTTTGGTGGGGATTTTGGTATCGGAGGAGTCTGGTGGAGGGGCCTCTTTGGAAGATATGGACTGACACGAGCGGACGGTTCATTCATGAGGAGCATATGACGGCGCTGTATGGCTCAGATCTGAAGCGTACGTGGATGGCATTGATACCCGTGGGTTTCGTAGAGGAGAGAAGCATTGGGAGGCGTTTCGTAGTATCGTCTGCAAATCTTCAACATAGAATTCTGTTTGAAATAGCTCGGCCAATCTGAGGTCGCCACATCTCGTTCCACCCCATCAGGCATCTGCAGCCACTCAACGTCGTCATGTGATCTCGTACCGCAATCGCGCTTCTGCCTCACGTCTTCTGGACCCCGCCCGCAGCCTTCCAGCACTGCACTCGACCGCCGACATCCTCCTGCCGAGTTCGTCACGATGTGGATCCTTTCATGCGACGGCGACTTGTTCGAAGGCGAGTTTCAGCCGGCTTCATCTGGTTGGAAGTGTAGCTAAAGAACGTTTCGCGCACTAGGCAAAAGGCTATGGCTCAAGCCCGGAACAAGACACCTCTTCGGCCGCACGAAACCTCCCTCTGGCTCGGACAGCCCTGGCGAGAGTACGTGATCCCATCAAAGCACAATACTCGATGCGCAATTGACCGTCGTAGAGAACCACGTCATTAGCCACAAATCCGTTTCCCGCCAGCATCTTACTATCATCGTTGACGCTGTCAAGCCCGGAGACGGCGTAGGTCCACTGTATTAGACGAGTTTACGGACGATGGCTGACTTGCCATCAGTCTAACCTGAGCGCCAAAGCGATTCTCACTCTAACCGATGACTCCAAGTTCGGCACCACCATCGACGGCGAGAAATTCGTAAAGGAGTCGAGGCAGTTGACAGGAACGGACCATGCTATACAACTGGGTAGCTACGACCAGAAGTTCCGGTATATCTCGCATAACCTGCAATGTTGGCACAGTATCGCACGAAACATACTAACAGGGACGGGCAGGATAACATGGCAACCCGTTGTCATAACTTTTGCATCCACGAGTCGCGACCTGACCAACGCACTACCATCCATCAAGTCTCGACTCGAGGAGATTGATGTCAAGACGTCAATCGACTATGTCGTCGGCCATACAACCCACGTCATCGCGGACAAGCGCAACACAGCCAAAGGCCTCCAGGCGCTCGTAAACGCAAAGCGCATCGTCACAGCCTCTTTCATCGACGCCATCTTCTCCGCAGCGTCAAGCACACCCAACCAGGATGATCCAGACAACCCGCTGCCGTCGCGGCTAGAGACGGACTTTGACAAGGGCTGGCCGAGGGAGATGGAGTATCTGCCTGCTGTAGGGAAGGAGCCGGTGCCGAGGCCTGGGGACATCTTCACGCCGAACCCTGGAAGGCAGAGCGTTTTCGAGGGATACACATTTGTTTTCTGCGACCAAACGCAGTTTGAGAACCTGCAGCCTCCGATCACCAACGGTGGCGGGAAAGCGTTATACTATGAGCTCGTGGAAGGCCAAACGACCGCTGAAGACCTGATGCACTTCATCAGGAAGATTTCAAAGCAGAAAATGCCTGAAGACCGCGAGGGCGGCGATGCGAGAATCATCCTCGTTCGCTACAATGGGTCGAAAGGCTTCGAGGACTGGGCTGACAACTTCAAGAGGGAGACTCAACTGCTCATGGGATGGAGAAGCGTGCAGCAGAATGAGTTTCTCGATGCTATACTCATGAACGATGCCAGCGTACTTCGCCGAGAGCTGGAAGATGAGGATAGGCCTGAAGCTGGCGCAAATTCGTCGAGCATGGCCGCGCCTCCCCTCCCGTCCAGTGACACCGGTAATGCTTGACACACATCACGTCACACATCACGTAGTGTGACATACGCTGACCGGATTATAGTTCAGGGGGACCACGCGGCACCCAGCCGCACCGCCAATGCGGCCACAGCAACTTCATCCTCTACAGTACCCCTATCCTCCTCAGCACCCACATCCAGCAAAACATCACGACGAGCGAGAAGAGCGATCACGACATCCCGCTTCAAAGGCTTCGACGACATTGAGCCCTCCTCCCTCCCCAAGGCCACCCAATCCTCCTATGCCGCCGGCGCCGCCGACGATGACGACGACGACGAAGTCATGGCCGAGTCTTCGCACCGACCCGCCTCCCCATCCCAGCGCCCCTCCATCATCGACCCTTCCCAGTCCCAGCATCCCTCGCCCACCCAATCCCGCAAACGCCGCCACGCCGATGTCCTCCCCGAGGAGCCCGACGAGGACGAGCCTGAGAACCCCGAAGACGTACTCAACGCACTTGTGCCCGCCGCCACCGCTGCCGCAGCCGCAAAGCGCCGCCGCCTCGCGGCCATCTCCTCCCGCCCCATCGACGAACTTGTCGCAGAAGACGCCCGCAACCGCAAAGCGGAAGCAGACGCCATGGCCATGGCGCGCAAGTCACGTAAGCAGGACAAGGATATCGATGTTGTGGGGCTTGCACGCGAGCGGCGCGCGCAGGAAGAGGAGAGGAGGGTGGAGGAGGAGGAACGGCTTAGGGAGAGCCTTGAGGGGCTCGATATTGCGCACCTCATGGACTTGGTGCAGGTCGAGGAGATGGAGGTGCGTGCGTTACGGCGGTCTGCGAGGGGTGGTGCTGAGGGAGGAAGAGGCGGGGGCGGGGAGTGGGACGAGCGGTGGAATGGGAGGAAGAACTTCAAGAAATTTAGGCGGAAGGGCGCGGTTGGAGAGGGGCAGACGGAGAGGCCAAGGAAGGTTATCGTGCCGCTTGAGGAGGTCAGGAAGAAGGATTTTGGCATTGGCGAGGCGTATTGGCTCAAGGATAGTGCAGAGGGGACGCAGCGGAGGGAGAGCGGCACCCAAAGCCAGAGCCAAAGTCAGGCGGGCGCGCGGGGTCGGCGAGGCAAAGAAGCGGAGAAGGACGCCGAGGACGAGGGCGATGCGCTGAGTTTCAGGCGGAGGAGGAAGCCAAGGACGGTCGTAGAGGAGGAGGAAGAGGGCGAGGATGTCGTGCCGGAGGAGATCATCGAGCCCCCCAGAAACACGAGGCTCGCGGATAAGGCACGCGAGGCCAGGGGTAAAGAGGCCGAGCCATCCACCCAGACGCTCAGATCGGGAGGGGAGAAGAAGGCGAGAGGGAAGAGGGCTGCGCCTGCTGAGACGGCTGCGGAGGCGCCGCCTGCTAAGAAGGCTAAGGGGAGGCCGGATCTGAGTACGCAGGAGGAGAGCGAGGGTAGTGGAGACGAGCTGAGGTTTAAGTTCCGGAGACGGCGGTAAATTCGAGCGGGATAGTGTGAGCATGTCGAGGCATGGTTGGCCATCTGCAGAATTCATGGCATTGATCTAGCTCCCGGCTCAAGCTACTGAAAGTAGAAAGAAGGCTTCCACTTATGCACAGATATCATACATTAGCAAACTGACAAGTCGGATTCAGATGCACTCCTATATTACACGAGAACTGTATGATCATGCTGCGGATGGACATCACGTGCGGAGCGCATATCAGACGCGCGCGATAGACTCTTTGACTTCACAATGCATCAACCAATCGTTGTAACATAGTATCAGGCTAAATACCACTCGTCTTGTTCTTCATATTATTGCGACAGCTCCTGGGTCTTGAGCTGCCTCAAGTCAGCGACTATGCTTGAAATGCGGGGGAGTTACTGAACTCGATGTATTGTGAGCTCTGTCAATTGATCCCGAAAGCAACCAGCGATGCCCACCACTACGAAGTTTGAGGTGAGCTCGGCTTCGAGGGTCGCGTTCGGGATTAGTGATGGACTTTGGTGCGCGCCTTGGTCAGCGCCTAGGTGAGCGCATTGGCAGGTAAATCTTGGTGGTCGTCTCTAAGAGCACCTAAGAGAGCGCCTAAGAGAGCGCCTAAGAGAGCGCCTAAGAGAGCGCCTAAGAGAGCGCCTAAGTGGAAGGTTAACGGAGGTCGCCTTGGAAGTTGTCTAGGAGGGCGCTCAGCAACACATGCCCGGTGGCTCCTCAAGTTAGTTGATACACTTCTCCGCATCAGCAAGCGCGCACTCTCCCAAAGCATCTTCTAAAACAGCTGAAACTAGTCCTGTCCTACTTCAAAAAGAAATCACTCGTGGTGAACCCCACAAGGCCTTCCTGCTCCATGGAAGCAAGCCTTCAGAACGACTTCGGCCATCTATACATGAAGACACGGAAAGGCTCCGTGGATTTGCACCACATCGCATCTTCCAAGCCCACACTCTCTATGTACAGTCTACAGAAAGGCAGGTTCCGCAACCACTCCTGTTTGCACAGGATATCTTGCCAGCTGTGCAGCCGGATATGCCGAAGGGGTAATGTGTCTTCCTGTTGGACCTTGACTGCCCAAGCAGATGTTCAGATTAGTACCTGATCAGATCATATGGCACCTATCGACTGGAGTCCAATGATCCTCGTCTATCTAGAAAACGATCTCGAGATATGCGAGCTTCTTCATGATACTCCTGCCCGTTCGCCTCCGAAGCCGGTCACCAACCCTGACTTCAGGCTTGGCTCCGACCTTGGGCCTAGCATGATGCGGGAACAATCAGTGGCACTGAGCGGGTTTAACAGTCGACCTACAGACACGAAACAGGCCTTCGGAGACGAGGCGACGTCTGAAAAGATTGAACCCGCAGCCGGTGTAAGCTAACAGCCAGGAAACATACCCTTGTCTAGTGCGCTCAATTCGCAGCCGGATTTGCGGTTGAGTGGAAAGAATGAAGTTTCGTCTGACGGATTCGGTACGTCCCAGCAGTTTTATGGGGTGAGCATGCTGGGGAAGAGACGGCTTTAGTACGGTACCGAGATAGAGTCGAGTGCGGGAACACAGATGAGCGTGTACGGCGCATACTTGCTAGGTTGGAGGCCAGAAGGGCCCAGCGAGAGGAAGAGCGTATGAAGCTAGACGGTCAAGAGGGGTTGAGTAGCGATGCGATCAAGGGTGTGAGGTGAGAATGGAACCGGACTATCCAGTCACTCCTAAGGAGGCGGCGGCAGAGCCCCCCGAGCACAAAACTGAAACTCACAACAGATTAGCAGCACGATAGTGGATGGCAGACGAAGAATCGAAACTTTTTTGGGCCGCTGAAGCGTAACTGCAGCGCACAACGACTTACGATGCACTGCCAGTTGGGCTGCAAGGGTGAGAACGTTGAGGCTTTCTCACAGAGTTATGGTGCCGCAACTTGGGGCACCAACGGATACACTGAGAAGAACATGCGGGCTCTGATGGCCTCAAACAGTGGTTGTCCAGGACAAGAGCGGAAGATGCAATATGCCGGAACTGGATGGAAGTCTTTCAGATTGCATGCAACGATCGAATCAGTGGACGGCAAGTCGCGTTGCAGTTGCTCGGTACAAGCCTAACAAGGCTGTGCTGGTAAGAGATCCGGTAAGGGATCTGGTAAGAAATCTATCGAACTAGCCATGCCATACCGCCAGGCGTATTGAACAGGTAGACTTAGAACACGGTTAGCCTTACTAAGATATATCTTGATGGTAGAGTTCCACACGAAGAATCAACGATCCGCGGTTCAACACCTTGCCAAGGCTGGCGATATCCAAGCCATTCCCTGCGGTGTGGAAGTTCAGTGCGACATATCAGGCCTGGCTGGCCGCACCACAATCGTTTCTTCGTTCGTCATTGTACCGTTTGCTTTCAACTCTCAACGAAACTGCATAGTGTGATTGTCAGCGCTGGCAACAGCAACGTGTACAAACACAACGTTTGCCAGAAGTCATAAAATTCACTTCATAAGCCGTGCTCTTACCCTGCGCTGATCCACTTCACTGACATTCCTTCCAGCTCGAACTAATATATGACCTGTCCCAAACGATGCTATAGCAGTATATGTCACGGCGATGGCCGGGTGACACTAGCCATGCTGCCGCCCTCATTCACGCTGGGATTAAACTTTCCCTTCACCGCTAGCGCCGTTGACATTCACCTGGCGCCCTGAACAGCGCAAAACCAAGGTTAGCCTTCGAAGGTAAACTCTACTCTCGGCGCTGGCCAAAGAAGTCAGTCCTCCACTGCCCTCTTCAGAATTTCCATCCGCCATCGAGAGCTCTTGGAATCCCCTCCTCTAGTTGGATATACGCTCTAGACATCCTGGATCCTTACACCGAAGTATCCGGAGCCAGTTTCTTTTCGGCGATCCCACCTCACTGGAGCCATGGACCACGAGAACGACCCTCTCGGCAATGAATATCCCGAGTGGACGTGCATATGTTTCGTCTGTCTAGAGCAATTCCCGCCGCAAGCGGTTACCACCTTATCGTGTGGTACCCATATCGGGTGCGGACCATGTCTCAAGGACATGTTTGCGGCAGCCTTGAAGTCCGAAATTTCATACCCACCCTCATGCTGCTTCTCGCAGCCCAGCATTCCGCTTTCTGCGGTCGAGCATGTGCTTGAGACCAGTTTCATTGAAGAGTACAAAACCAAGCAGATAGAGTACGCGACCGACCCGAAATCACGCATCTATTGCGCGAATCCTCGGTGCTCGACGTTCCTGCTCCAAGAACCTGGACAAGAAGGCCCTGCAAAGACCAACATCGACTGCGTCAAGTGCGGCGCCATCACCTGCACGGGCTGCAAGGAGGTTATCACTGTGGATGAAGAGCACTCATGCAAAGACAAAATTCAAAATCTCGGCTACGACAAGGATAACCGTTCCAAGCCCTGTCCATACTGCAGAACCTCCGTAGAGCTCACAGATGCTTGCAATCACCTCCGTTGCTCCGTCTGCCGATACGAGTTCTGCTTCGTATGCCTCCAGTGGCAGTATCCGCCCGGTGGCATCGTCCACGATTGCCCGCCATACGGGGATCCGGACTACGACGAAAACGGCTATGATGAACGGGGTTTCCACCGCGACACTGGCCTTGACCGCGAAGGATACGACTTAGCTGGCTACAACGCCGACCATGTCAGCCGTAAGGGCGAACGGAGGGCAGTGATTCCGGTGCCCGGTTCTCTTGTTGAGCTTCAGGATGCAGGAAACGACGGCTGGGGACCTGAACGCAACTTGGATGATGAGGCGAATGCGGATTGGAACCAAGGCGATGGAGGGCAGTGGGACCAAGGTGTTGCACAGCAGTGGGATCATGGCGACGAAGAGCCGGCTGAGGACCGGGATGAAGAAGAAGCTCGCGCAGCTGGACTTGATGATGACGATTTCGAGGAGGACCGAATCGTGCACGGAATACGTGCCTTGGAGCTCGATGTCACAGCCAACGGTGCGGACTACGAACGCGACTGGGAGATAGAGAGTGATGGTCACCCGGCAGATCAAGCAGCGGAATATCAAGCGACAGAAGAAGATCAAGCGACGGAAAATCAAGCAACAGAACAGACGGACAGATGGTGAAACCAGAGGCTCTTCGGAACAATGCCGATGACTAGAAGAGACAGTTTTCGCTCGCACAAGAACCATTCAACGACTCTGCGATCGGCTGACACATTGCTAAAAGCTCGACATAACTACGAACGTCCCGTCCTGCAGCACTGATTTGTTCACGAAGACACACTCGACGTTGTGTTACCCAGTCGAACCCCTTTTTTCATTACATTCGAAAAGCAAACAACACAGCAATCATACGGAAACACACCCAGGAAGGAGCAGTACGAGATGTACCAAGTCCTCTTAACCTCCACAACATATGGCTAGTGCAACGCGCACATTGGTTCGGCGCTCTATTGGCCGCTCGTTCGTCCAATTTGCCCGCGCTCTTGAGTTGCATGGTTTCTTGACGGTCTTTGCACTCTGCGTCTTCTTTTACGACGACGTGTGCCACTGACTCGTAGAAACATGGTGGCTGACGAGCTTACCGGCAGATCTGGCACTTGAAACTGATTGAGAGCTTGGGGCATGGCTTGGATTAATGGTAATTCTGGAGCGGGAAACACTTGGGAGATTAGGGTGGTAAGAAGGGGTCTCTGGATGCGTGATAAGTGGGTACCCGATTGTCGGGTGCGATTCTCATGGACTTACAAACCCAACATGTAACTCCGTTGACTACTACCCAAATGAATCGTTCAATCCCTTGTGCGAAGGTACGGACGCCTTGGTGATGGTAACGCAGAATCTCTCGATCTTCGGTGAGGCCGTTCTTATTTGTTTCTCTACGTCCTCTTAATTACAAAGCCGTCCATGTATTCCTCCATTTTCCGCAACGCGCTGGCTGTATAAAGCATCCCGACATAACTATCCGGCCTAACCAGTTTCATCGTCACCCTATCCGTCTTGACAACGCGCCGCTGAAGCTCTTTATCCTCCCTATCCTCATAAAATCTATATTTCTGTTGCTCATATTTGGGCCTCAGCTCCATCTTTAGGTGGTCGCATGTGTGCAGCACAAACAAATCCACCACTTTGCCATCGCTCCTCTCCGAAGTAATATCCACATCCTCATAGTCCCAGTCTGCCTGCGTCCTTGGGGCGTTGTAGCGATTCAGTAATAAGGATGGCTTACAAAGGCTCTGATATAGCTCCGCAAACTCTCGCTCGGCGCTCTCCGAGGCAAGAATGTCGTCCGCGAAAACAACAACATAGAAGTGACTATTCGACGGCATTACGTCGAGCAAATGGACGTCCCAGCCACCAATATGCCGTAGCATCCGCATAGGTAGAATCCTCTTCCCCAGTGTTATCGGATACTTCGCCTCCTCATCTGCAACGTTCCCTGTGTCGCCCTCCTGCACAAGTAAGCCCGGCGGGTAGCGATGTCCGCATCAGCTCGTAAATGATTTGTTCTCCTCCCACGCATCGCGGAACTCAGGCGCATTGAGGCCCTTTTGCGACCCAACATCTTCGCGAACTTCTTGTCAAAGTCAATGAGTTGGTGCGCAATGTGCAAGAGCTCGGAGTTGTATGTCTCGAGAAGCTTGGAGTCGGCATGGCCTTTTAGGACGAGGGAGAGCTTCCAGGTGAGGTTGAAGGCGTCTTGGATGCTGATGTTTATGCCTTAGCCGGCTTTGGGGGAGTGGGTATGGCAGGAGTCGCCGAGGAGGAAGACGTTGCGGTTGTCAGTGAAGGACTCGACGATCCGTTACGCGATTGAGTAGCCGCTAATCCAGTCGGTGCGGGTGATAGTTATGGTATACGGATGCATGATAGAGGGGAGACGGCGCTCGATGAGGTCCAGTACCGTGCTGCTGTTGTTGCGTTTATCCGAGTGACCCTTGTAGATGCTCGACCCTAGCTCTTCCATATCGGAGTCGCGAAGAAGCATGTAGATTCGCAAGGAGTCGTTGAAGCTTGGAACCAGCATAAGTTTGCCGTTTTCTGTCTGAATTGCATACCGTCTTCAAAATCCAGGAAAGTCGGTTTCGATGTCTACGTCCGCAACAGCCCAGTGATCATGCGAATCATTCCGTCACGACTGGATGCCAGCAACAGCAGCAGTCGTAGTTTTTGCTCCATCGGACCCGAGGAGATATTGACACCGCCATGGTTGCACTACGCCGGTGGTAAGATCTCTAATATGAGCACGGACTGTAAACTTTCCCTGATCTTCGTATTCAAAGTTCACGAGCTCCACCGGCCTTTGGACGCTGCACCCTCGTTTTCTCAACTCTTTCTCAAAAGTAGCCTCCGTGTGTCCTTGATGGTTTGCCAAAACGCAAGGGCAGGGCGTTGCGCTCGTCACTTCCACACCAACGTTCGTCCTCTTGATCCTGGTCTTCGCACTCCCATCATCCCCATCTTTCCCCTCTCCATTGATCTCGCTGCCCTTCGCAGGCCCCCAGAAAGCTGTCTCACGAATCCGACCGGCCTGGAGCGAAAGCGGACTTATCAACCCAATAGTGTGAAAGCTCTCCTAAGTTCGGGGCTGCAATCCGGAAGCGTGCCCATTCTGCCTGCGTAAGGGGTGCTGGTCAATGATACGGAAGTCGACGTTGTAGCGCGCCAATGTGAGTGCCGCCATGTAGCCAGCTGGGCCGGTCCCGACTTTCAAGACATCTGTCGAGAGATCATCCAGGTTGGACCGCTGAGTACCCATTTTGGTGTTTACTGCCGTTGGATTTCGTCGGAAAGGAATGATATACGACTGTGACAGATTCCTCTAAGGTATAGAAAACTAATTGCTGTTACGATGCTCTATACTGCAGGAACAATACTTATGTTGTTTTACTAGAGAACATCTTAGTTGTCCTGAGAACCGGGGGAAATGACGCAGTGACGAACAAGTTTAATGACATATCAATACCCGTACATTCTGCAGGTACTGTGCGGAGCCTTGGCTTTACTTTGTTTGTAATGGCCTCTCAGCCCACACAGTTGACGAATAAGAAGTAAAGTCTTACTCCGCAAGCGCACAACACGGCTGTAGTGGAAGTGACCATTTTACTCCATGGCTTTGATGGTAAGAAAAGGCTCCCATGGGACGGCTGGGGAGCTGCCGTAGAGCTGCCGGGCGCCCCAGCACTTTGTGGCTACCGGATACGACTTCATGACACTATGAACTTAGATAGAGAAATTCGTTGACTACGTGCTATGCAGCGTCAAAGGCTACGGGAAGGGGTATTAGAAAGACACGACCATAAATAAAAGAAACGCCAAACCCGCTTCGACAGCCCATTTTCACCCTGGCGAAACGGCTTCCTGAAGCAAGGTAATCGATGCAAACCCCTCCGAAGCTGCGTTCCCAGCACACACACGCCAGAACACACTATCCTCATCAACCACAGACACTCCCATTCTCCTCAGCAAAGTACCCCTGCACATTCCCTTTCCCGCCCTCACTCCCCATCATAAGCCTCCTCGGCGACTTCTTCGGCACTTCCGGCTTTACCTCTTCCCTACCTAGCTCGGTCGAATACATTTTCTCCACAAGACTCGGCTCCAAGCTTCTCCCATCCAACTCACTAACCACGTCCCTCCCGTCCGCCAGCTCCGGCCTCGGGGCTCCATACTCCTCCGCCTCTTCCCACCGCTCAACCGCGCGCCAGCAATAACTATCTCTTTGCGTCGCCTCGAGCACCGTGCCCAGCAAGCACTGACTGCTGGGCTTGCGCCAGGGCGGACAGCCTGCGAGGCTCGGATTCAGGAAGTAGTCAATCTCGTCTCCGGCGTGCTGGAGGCCGTGCGCGTCGACGGAGAGCGTGGACAAGACTTGTAGGATGCCGTAGAGCAGGATCCAGCGGCCTATGCGGGCGTCTTGGGGAGCAACGTTGCGAAGGTCGAGCGTCTTTTCGTGGCGGGAGAGGGCGTCGACGAGATCGTTTACTAGTGTAGGCGTTAGTATACGAGTCGCTTTGTAGGAGGGGAGTGGTGAGACCTACCTTCAAATGCAGTGCCGAGCCTGTTGATGTTCGTCGCGCCGTTGAAAGCGAGAGACAGCTGGAACTGCTCCTTTGGATCCCTCGCCGCTGCTGCCTTGGCCCTCTTCAGCCCGATAAAGAAGCTTCTTTTCGCCGGTTGCGTCCTCACAGGCGACTGGAGATCCTGCGGTACCAGAGGGTATGGCTGCGGTAGGTGCTCGTACTTGTGACGTGAGTCGAAGCTTACCAACATGTCGGTAATAGGTAGACTGGGGCTGTCGGCACGAAACGCTTCCGGTCTGGGGACGCGGCTTACCATTTCCCATTTGCGATTCGGCCGCGCTTCGTCACCGCACCATACGATGTCTCGATCGACCAGGTAGTCGTATACTGCGCCAAAGTCCTGCTGCAGCCGCCGGACTATCCTCCGGCTTAGCCAGTGGCCGCTGGATCCCGGTTGTGGAGGCCAGACACCGTAGATACTCCCGTAGAATTCTATTAGAAACTTCCGAAATGCACTGAAGGCCTTGCAAGCGGGATGATTAGCTGCCACGCTCCGGGCCTCCCAGATTTCCGCGAAGTCGAACGTCGCTAACTTCTCTTCAGCGTTGATGATCTCAAGCTGCAGAGCCGTATAGGCGGTCTCGAGATTGTGTAGCGTGACCCTTGAGAGCGAGTGCAACTGACCAGCTTGGATGACAGGCTCAGATATCATACCCGCGCAGTGGACGAATGTTTCTAGGTAGCCCTGCTCCCACATGACATGCGGCTGCTCACACCATCGCAGCAGTCCCAGAGCAGCGCCGATGTCACCGCTTACCTCGTCCAGCTTCCGATCCAGAAGGTACTGAACGATGATCCGGGTGATGTCCGGCCGCTGATCCTCTGGGTTGAGCTCGTAGCAAGTCACCATCGCGGAGTGTAGGTCTGAGAGCATCTCGTGTAATTCCCGGCCCACCATGGGCTTACCGTAGAGCAATGCGATGAAGTTACGTGTCGCTATGTTATGCCGGTATGCAAGCTCATGACCGTCGCGTTTCGCCTTGACGTGAGCTGGGGCCTGAAACCAAACTGAGTAGTCTAGCCGGTCTGGATCTCGACAAAGGAGGCCGGACGGTGAGCCGGTGTCGCTCGCACCTGCGGAAATCGGCATCGTGAAATCGTCAATATTGGGCAGATAACCTTGGAGTGCTGGTGAGCCGTTGGCCCTAGACAGGGGATTGAACTGGTGGAATGACCTGACGGACGGCGATATCGAGCCGTACCCTTCGTCAAGATGGCTCAGATTCGACTGTGTGAGTGGGATCGAAGTGGTAGTATTAGACCCGCTGCTGCTCGCCGATGCGCCCAGGTCATCACGCTCTTCCAGATTCTCCGAAAATCGAAGTACGTTGATCATGAAGATTGATCGGGACTTTCTTAGCCGTTCTGCATGTATCCTCAGCAGTGGCCGTTCGTCGATATCCGAAAACCAAACTCCACAATCTGCATCTGGTAGGCGCAGATCCACGTCCTGCACTAATTAGCTGGAATACGAGCGGTTTGTAGGATCAAAGCTCACATCCTGGAACCCCAGCCAAGGCTCTGGACTTCTTCCGTTGCCGTGCCAGACCTTCATCTCTGGCCATGCTGTGCGCCGAACCGAAGACCACGGTTCGGTAGAGGCGGACAATACAGGTTCGGGGGCAAGAGACGCCGGAGAGCGAACATGGTGAGACAGAGGGCTTGCGTAATAGGGAGAGGGAGCCTTAGCTGATACGCCGCCGCCATGACCTCGAGGATATGCTGCTGTCGTGCCTTTGCTTTGATAGTTCATGTTTTCATTACCGCTCCGCAACGACAGTCCGCTCACTGAGGGCGCTCGCGAGCCTGATCTTGAATGTATCGAGAATCCTGAAGCGCTGGCACCAGACGGAATTGGGAAATGAGAGTCTTTCCGCGCAAGGTCGTTCTGTGAAGTGGACGGACGCCGGCTGGGAAAGCTCCAGCCACTGGACCCGGATCTTGCGCGGCCGGACGACTCTGCGAGCTCTTTCGCTGCCTGTTTCTGCTCCTTTCTCTCAATGTTCTTCTGAATAGCCTTGCGGCTTTGCGCGCCGCGGGCTGACATAGTCGGCCAGAGTGGCTAGACCCAACTCTCGCACCGGGAAATATGGTTCCGTAATTTGTATTATGTACTCTCAATCGGAAAGGCAGGATGAGACTCTCTTATCGGGTTATTACCGGGAGCCGTGGAAGGACGAGACTTGAGCGACTTCTAAGGTCTCGCGGGGTCGGTGTAACCGTATCAGAAACACAAACTCGGGCGACAAAGCGGGCGACTCAAGATTGCGGAAGCACAAATCCTGGACGACGGGCTGGAGGTGTCATCCGCATGGCACGGCTTGAAAAATGAGAACACGGCAGTTGAAGTCGCAAGGGGTAGCCGTGAAGCCGCAAGACTCAAGCCAAGTCCGGGGACGATTGATGCCTGCTCGTGCGAAGGTAGCTGGTGGGTCAACCGTCTTGTATCGTGGTAATGCTCGCGCACTAGAACAATAAAGGTAGGCCTTCTGCTGTCGCTGCATCCCTCGGCCAGAGCCTTCGGGAGAAGCAGTGGGCGGTAAAGTTGGTATATTGGGACAGGCTCAGATACAGAGGGCAACGCGCTGTTTTGTACGGCTGTGGTTGTGAGAGGTTACTCTAATGCATTTCAGCTGATCAGATTGGGAAAAGTCCTGCAAGGATTCCGCAGCAGTGGAATAAGGCTGAAGTCCGAGGAAGAAAATACTCCGATCGCAAAACCCGACCTGAAACGAAGGCCTTGGAGGATTTGAGAACGTCTAAGAGGAGCAATTGAGATCGGAAAAGGTAATGGAATGGACTCTTTCTGAGGTGGAAATTGACAGCCTCGTCCCTTGCATGCACCCGGCTGAGACCTACATGTACGTCGCTCGGGAAGGATCAAATCGCCCCGGATCGATGAGGGACCATGCCGCCCACTGATACTCCGCAAATTTTACCTAGTCGAACGGAAGCTCAGTAGATCAGCCGCAATTGCAAACGGTGCCGGGTTGCGGTAGAGACACCAGCCAGCCGCGCGGTTCAAACGGGTTATTGGGCTTCCTCGGAGCGCGACTTCGGGCAAAGCGCATGCTGCCTTTGGGTGGACTGCTGTCGATGTGATGTGGACGCCCCGCAGCTGCAGCTTTACAGGAGATGGTTTGTCCGGCGAGAAGATAAGGAAGTCGCCGGCCGCCATGTTGTCAGTGTTTTTCCAGGATCAAGCCAGTTTCATGTGTCAGCAAAGTCAATTAACATTCGTTGTTCATTGAGTCTTTCCTTTCGATGCTGCTGCAAACACCGCCATTAATAACAAGCGTCTCGAGGTTTGATTTCTTTGCCAGAGAGCGATGTCGGATTAACTCCCCTGTTACCTTATGAGGTTCCAAACAAAGGAAACGGAATTTCTAGACCAGGCTGGAGCACGCCCCGTCATCTTCTAATTCAAGCTCCCAAAGGAGCCTCTGCACGCATAGGAGTCGAAGGGTGGTGCCATGCGATGAGGTTTGGCTGCGCAATGGGTTTCCTGGTGAGCTGTGGAAAGCCATCTTGAGGCACCAAGGCAGGAGCCCGGACTTGCGCGGAAACCTGCCCCGCAGCCGTCTCAGCCCTGCCAGCCATCCTGCCAACCTCCCGGTCAAGTCGCGCATCCATGCTTCAAAACAAGAGCAGCTGGAGTTGAGCCTCCTGCACGTCATCTCGCCGGGCAGGTTCTTAATTCGTAGAGCGCCGGCTTGCTCTCCATCTGCCTCTGCGTCGAACAGTAGCTTCTGACATTGGGCACCTCGCACAAGATCGCAGTCGATCAGTAGTCCGCCGTCGCTTCCTCCCGTCAGCTTCCCGTTACTTTGTACCATCGCATCCGCCGACAGCTTCCAAGTTGCTAATACGGGTAGCTGCGGGAAGTGCCTGATCGATTAGAGCACTGCAAACACACAAACGGCTTCCGTCCCCAGCCAGCGAGCTCTCTAGCAGCGTTTCAGAGCTCCGTTTTCACCCTTGCAAGCAACATGGCCATCTCCGGATTCCTGTTCATCAGTTGGCGGCTGCTGGAGATAATCACGCTCATCCCAACGCTGGGCATGCTGGCCTACTTCGTCCACGGCTATGTCAGCTCGAACGTGCTAACGCCCGACTTCATACTGGTCCTTTTCATAACCTCAGTGTTAGCGGCAGCATGGGCTATCGCAACAACAATCGCCTACCTCAAGGCGCGACACTCGGCGCTATTCGTGGCGACCGTTGATCTGGGATTTATGGCGTGCTTCATTGCAGGAGTCTACTTGCTGCGAGGCATCGCGGACGAAAGCTGCACCGATTTCAGAGGCGGCAGATTCTACCTCAACTTGGGACCTTTCGGATACCTTGGATCCCAGACCGGCAGCAGATGGGCGGTTAATGTCAACAAAACGTGTGCGATGCTGAAGGCTAGCTTTGCTTTCGGTATTATGAATGTCATATTCTTCTTTATTACATTCGTATGTGCTAGGCCCTCTTAAAACAATGCGGACGTCCGCTGACACTTTCCAACAGCTGCTGGCCTTACTAGTGCACCGGCACCACCGTAACGACCGCGACAAGGACCAGGACACTAGAGTCAGGCGCGAAACGCACGTCCACAGACACGAGCATCGACGACCCACCAGCAGAGACTACGGGCAGTCGAACAGTCCGCGGCGGTCACACCACAGTCATCGCAGGCAATACTACGTCTAAGTGCCGCGACGATGCCTTTACGGAGTTCAGCATGCATACGGAGGGATTAGACGCATTGCTGCGAACATTAGAGCGGGCAATTATCGCGACATCGTGGAAGAAGCCACTGTAAGCGCGGCAGATCGGACGTGCATAGGTTGAGCAACTCTTCTGGAACGCGCTCTGGATGCTGCGAGTTCTTGTTTTATTCGTTTCTGGCACTGCGGCTTTACGACGACACGAACGAGTTTCATTGGTATAGGCTTCGAGGCATTATTCCACGTCTTCATATCACTGCTTGCTCTAAATACCCATAGTCTTTTGCTATCGCGAATTAACAAACTCTAAACGAGCTGCCAACCGCATCTCACTTGGTTGATGCCGTAAGGTAGGTTGGCGTGGCTTGTCCCGTACTCCAGCATCGCTCTAAGCTTTGGCGATGGCGATCAGCGGTGATCGACAGGGCATGCGTTGATGTCGTTATCCGTCAACCTCCCGTCACTGTCACATGCAAATATGCAGAATATTTCCGCTGCCTCCCGACTGTCAATCATCGTGACGTACAGACAAAAACATTCAATAAGAGGTTGAGATAACTCTCGTCTGCCCATTCCGCTCTTTTTCAATCCAACTCGATCTCATCAACCAGCCTCTTCAGTTTGAATCGTTCAGGTTCTAACCGTCCCACAACCATGTCTGGAACTGCAACTTACGCTGAAGTTGTCGCCGTCGGCCTTCCAGATGGCCTGCCTGAAGCCTCAAGCAATGGCCCTACCCACAAGCATACGCAGCAGCAGGACCACGACCACGTCGGTGCCAGCCTTGACAGCTACCCCCCAGACAAGCCATACCGCACCAGCATCAAGACGGCACCTGTCACTTTCGAACGGATCCCGTACATCCCACGCGAGGGCGATCCACTTATCGATCCTGGCACAGCTCGCGCAGTTGTAGCCGCCTCCAATGATGCTCCCAATGGCACTGAGGATGACAAATGGAACGAGAAACACGAGGACGCGACGGTAAGTCATTGAACCTCTTCACTACCCACCTTTGGTGTGTGCACGCTGACCAAGGTGGTCCTTCAGGTCCTGCAGCAGCACGTCATCTACTGGGATCCCGACGGCGACGGCGTCATCTGGCCGCAGGACACCTACAGAGGCATCCGCGCCTGGGGCTGGTCCATCCTGCTGAGCCTCATCGCTACCGTCATTATCCACTTCGGCCTCTCCTACCCGACCTGCCCCACCTTCCCGATTCCGGACCCATTCCTCCGCATCTCGCTCCCGCGAATCCACAAGGCCAAGCACGGCAGCGACAGCATGAGCTACGACAATGAGGGCAGGTTCCGTCCGCAGAACTTTGAGGACTTCTTCAGCAAGTACGACCGCGACAACAAGGGAGGCCTGGATGCCCGGGATCTGTTGAGGGCGTGGAAGGGCCAAAGGATGGTGTTCGACTTCTTTGGATGGACTGCCACGTTCTTGGAGTGGCTTGCTACCTACCTCCTCATCTGGCCGGAAGACGGTATTGTCCGCAAGGAGGAGGCGCGTCGCGTCTTCGATGGCAGCATCTTCCAGTACAAGGCCGACCAGTACGCGGAGAAGCAGCGCAAGGAGAAGGCTCGCAAGGAGAAGCAACATCAAAAGAAGCTCTCCGGTGGATCGAAGATAAGCCTCAAGCTATTCTGAGGACCGGCGTGGGAGAGTGGAACATTCTCTTTTGTTATCCGTGTGAATCATCGAAGGCAAGACTGGTTAACAGCACTTCGGAAGCATTGCGTGGAAGAATTATAATCAGGGCACAGGGGATTCATAATGGCGTTGTATTCACCAAATCGTTCCGGTCGCGGATGCGTATCAAGCTCGGTTTCTCTTCATTTCCTGTTAGGCGCTCAGTCCCACAGGTTTCGTCAATACTGCCCAGACAGTCACATGCTAGATCGAACAATGTTTCATCGAACGGAATTCTCAAAAGAATTAGTGAAGAACAATCATATGCCACAGCAACTAAATGGCAGCTGTAGCAAGCCAAGCGCCAACCTCGAACCCGCTCGGTTTAATGCTCAACTGATCTGATACATGTAGTCTGCAATCTTGAAGTTGTTCAGGGGAAAATATTTATCACTCCCAGGGCTGCCCAGGTGCGGCCAACAACCGGGATGAGAGCATTGCCGAAGCTCCAACCCGCTCTCCGCCGCAAAGCACTACCTTCCCCACATCATTGTCAGCGCTTACTCAAGATTTTACAGCAACCTTCAACATGGCCGCCCTATGTTCAAGCAGTCCCTCCTCCGCTCCTGCCGCTGCACGCATACCTACTCCCTCCTCCGGCGCCAATTGCACACCACAATGGAGTCCTTCGAATACAACGTCAACCCCAGCCGCGTCGTCTTCGGCAGCGGCAGCCTCCAAAAGCTCCCCGACGAGCTCAAACGACTGAACCTGAGCGCACCAATACTCCTCTCCGGATCCCGGGGCGCCAAACAAGCAGAGCAGCTCCAAAGCATCCTCTCCAACCGCGTCGCAGGCATCTTCTCTGAAGCCGCAATGCACACCCCCGTCCACGTCACGGAAAGGGCGCTCGAGTACACCAAGTCCCGCGGCGCGGACAGCGTGGTCTCGATCGGCGGCGGCAGCGCGATTGGTCTCGGCAAGGCGATCAGCTTCCGGACGGGGCTGCCGCATATCTGTATCCCGACGACGTATGCGGGCAGCGAGATGACGACGCATCTGGGGGAGACGGCGGGGGGAAAGAAAACAACGAAGAGTGATCCGAAGATCTTGCCTGCGACGGTGATATACGACGTCGATCTTACGATGACGCTGCCGGCGGAGCTGAGCGCGACGAGTGGGGTTAATGCCATTGCGCACGCGGGTATGTATAAAGACTTTTCAGCGAGCGCCGCAAGCTCTAGCCATGCTCCATCCCATGTTTCCCGCAAACAGCCATCTAACACCGTCTTGTTGCAGTCGAAGCACTCTACGCCCGCAACGCGAACCCGATAACCACCCTCCTCGCGCTCGAAGGCATCCGCGCCCTCGCGGCCTCCCTCCCCCTAATCGTCGAAAACCCCTCCGACAAAGCCGCGCGCACCTCGGCGCAATACGGCGCCTGGCTCTGCAGCTCCTGCCTCGGCAGCGTCGGCATGGCGCTGCACCACAAACTCTGCCACACGCTGGGCGGCTCCTTCGGGCTGCCGCACTCCGAGACGCACACGATCATCCTCCCGCACGCCATCGCGTACAATGCGCCGAAGACACCGGAAGCCATGAAAAAGCTGGCGGAGGCGCTGCCGGGGAGCGAGGGCGATGCGGTTAGGGGGTTGAACGTGCTGCTGGAGAGGCTGAAGGTTAAGAGAGGGTTGAAGGAACTGGGGATGAGGGAGGAGGATGTAGATAAGGCGGCGGAGATTGCGGTTGGCAATCTGTATTGGAACCCTAGGAGTGTGGAGAAGGAGCTTGTGAGGGAGGTTCTTAGGAGGGCGTGGGCGGGGGAAGAGGCGCGGGCGGATTTGTAGGATAGAGGTGGGTGCGCGGGATAGAAAAGCGGATAAGGACGGGGTCTTGGGAAATTGATCTCGATGGTGGAGTGCACGAAGTCATTGCAGATCGGGCTTCGATTATTAACTAATCCAATCAAGGTAGAGCTGATCACCGCCTTTGCAAACATCGGCGTAATCCAAATCCTCGTGAATGTTTTCACTATACTTCCGGGCAGGATACAGACCCGTATCCTGACTCTCGACTTTAGCGTTGTTCAAGTCATCTCTTTCAGATTTCCTGGGCGCGTCTTTTCCAGCACTCTCCCCGCCTTTCCCTCTGCCCAATCTTCTTCAAAGTCATCCAGTTTGCCCATGTCGCATCCACAAGCATCCTGTGCGACCTGGCAGCCTCAGACGGCTCCGCCTTATGCACCCGTTTCCAAAACGCATCCCGTCCCCACCACCAGCCGGGGCCAACTCTTGCCACTGTGCAGGCTCACAATCGTACCGCACACCTCTCCAGTCTTCAAGCTATTGACGGCTCTCCAAGTGCGGCGTCTCAGGCTCATCGCACTTCCAGCGTACCTCCCACTCCGCGCCTCGCCCGCTGCCGACCCTGTTGCCCTCTCGCCACCAAATGCGGCCCTCGAGCTCGTCGAAATTCAGCTACCGGCCGTATATCCTGCATCTCCGCAGCACGAGCCTGGACAGGAGGAGATTTTACAGGGCCCAGCACTCGCGATTCAGCGCCCGCTCGGACCACGGCTGGTGTCGCGCGATGGTGGTATCGTGCGCTTTCCCCATCACCGCGACGAAGAGCTTGGGCCGGTCGAGCGCTAAAGCTGCCATCGCGTCCGCGTGACACGCGCGGCCATCTACGGGCGAGAGAGCGCCGAGTTCGGCCTTGAGGCTGACATCGAGAGAGACGCGGCGGACGGAGCTGAGCAGCGGGGCGACGAAGTGGTGGAAGGACGCCGAGTGCAGCACCAGGGGGTTCAGACGGAAGCCGTGTAGGGCGGACGCGCGGATTGAGGTGGTGTACTCGGCGTGGAGTTGGTGACTGACGAGGAGGAGGGCATTGGGGTGGGCGGTGCGGGAGATGTAGGAGAGTGCGGGCGGGCGGCAACAGACTACGAGATCTTGGGGAGGACTTCTGAGTAAATTTGGAGGCAAGGCTCTGCTGGGGGGCGGAAGAAGTGGCATGAGTCCATTTTGAGCTCGAGGGAGGCTGACATCTATGAGTGGTTGCTTGAGAAAGTCCGATGTCGTTGGCTGGGTTACATGTAAAGGTCAGGTGGAAAGATCCATGGATGTCTAGCGATATTTCGTAACGATGCGGAAGTCAAGACTGCGTGCACGACTTTTCCACCACAGAAGGCTATCATGATTGTCCATAGTTGCCGGTACGAGATGGATTTTGAACGTGCCTGCTCAATGCCGTAGCATGAAGAGCCCAAGATTGCCGCTTCAAGCAGGAGACATTGTTCCTAGATTCTCCCCTCTCCAGTCAATTCTTGCTCTATTGTGACATCGCATCCGGTCAATCCCATAATTTCAATTCGCGACGGTAGACGGTCTGCGGGTTGTGGCGTTGAGAGCTCCTCTTGTCTATGAATCCTGACCACTTGTTCGGTATCCTTCGTCCGGTCAGGGAGTTTCCATGATCCTGAGCGGATATTTCAAACGCCCCGCGGTCAGTGACGGTCGCGCCAGGATACATGGCCGTATATTTATATCTAGCGGTAAGGCGCTGTTCAACTCAACTGAAGATTATTGCGCACGACCGCTCAGCCAAGTTAAGACAAGCGGTACGTATTCCAAAGGTATGGTACAACTCACATACACCTCCAACCGTCTAGTGCGCCTCCCAATGCATGCCGCAAGCGCATCATATGGTACACCCGTCTTGCATATCTTCCCGTTCTACATTTGCCCTCCGTCGCTAAGTCCCCCCCATACCCCTAGCTCAATAAACCCGACACAGCATCAGGCCCCCCACCTTCTTCTCCGCACACTCCCTCGCCTCCAATACCCCCCTATCCGTGCTAACAAACAAACACTCCCCCGGCCGCGTCAGCCCCTTCACATAGCCAGCCTCAAACCCTCGTGCAATCTTCCCGATATCCTGGCTGTTCAGCCATATCCGCTTCGTCGGCTTGCTGACGAGGCCCATCTTCGAGATGACGGGGTCGTTGTTCCAGTACTTCAGACCCAGCCACAGTCTTCGTCTCGCCGCGTTTGCCGGTACGTCTGGAGATGTTGCGCTGGTGGAGGGGGAAGAGGAGGAGGCCTTGCGTGACCCGTGGCTTCCGACCTCCGCCCACGCCTCCTCCGCCACAGGTTCCGCGCTCCGCGGGTTCAGCAGCGCATCGCTGTCCTTTGGTTCAGGTGTTGCGTACAATTCCCACGGCCGCTCCTTGACCACCTCCTCAGCGTGCCGAGGCAGCTCCGGTTCGGGCTCTCGAAGTATCTCGGGTAGGGGTGGTGCCGGTCCGCCCAGCTGGACAGAGGAGATGAAGCCTTGTTTTTGGAGGCCGAGCATCAGGCGCAGGTGGAGATTTGTCAGGGGGATGGAGGTCAGGCCTAGCCGCGCTTTGGAGGCGTTTTGGAGGTGCGAGCAGACGTGGGCGAGGTTGACGAGGGACATGGTGGGGTGGATGTGGCCGTGGGAGGCGGATGGGTGTGGTTGCGCTGCCCGCGTGGGCGATGGGGTGAAGGGCGTGCACTGGCGCTGGAGGTGGAAGACGCGGTTGCGGACTGGAATTGACAGCCTAGGCTTCGAATGATGGTAGCTTTCTGGAAATGCGCGAGGGTGTGGTGGCTAAATGGCTCTGCGATGCGGTTCGAGACGATGGGTGCTGCCAAAGAATTCGCAGGAAGCTTGCCCGCCGTTTTCTCCGCGATACGAGGAGGCTTGGCATCGCCCTCTGCGGCAGGATTGCTAGGATCACTGTCTCTAGCTGCTTGGTATACAAAGGGTCAAAGAGCTCGTGTCAAGTCTCTGGACGATGCTTGAAAGAATCCTCTCGGTTTGATTCCATTGGCATTGCTGTAGGTCTGTCCGGAGCCTCTGATCACGCCAAGGCCCTCACGATATCTATTAGTCTGCCTGCAGCCGCCCGCCTGCGAAGCTCCAGTCGCTTGCGTTTCTCTACAGTCATCCTCAAAGTCCTCAGCGAGTCTCCGTCTCGACAGCCGATTTTCGCGTGCTGTTTTCCTTACTCCCATCCTTGATACCCACTCGCGCTCGCAGCAGAAGCAATGATGCCTCAGCTCATGGGAGAAGTCCCCCTCCTCACCCTCTTCGCCGATGTCCACTACTACTTCAGCCCCCCCACCGCAAGACCTCTGCACCATCGATTCGATAAGACCTCCTACGTCTATCTATACCACCATCCTGCCCAGGGTCGTGGGCGCCTCGAGATCGCCAACAACGCTGGTACGGCAGAGCAAGATGCTTTCATGGGATACCTGGATACCGTGCAGGTGGACCGCTCATACAAGCATCCAAATCTCTATACTATCACCATAGACGGCCGCGCTGCGGCGAATGGTCATTCCTCCCCCAGCCCGCAGCAGGACATGTCGCAATGGCACCTACCAACGTACGATCTGCGGAGCGAGGCCAAGTACATGTACAGACTACACAGCATCGATCTCTACTTCTGGACAGCAGACGACGCCGACAAGTTTCTTGAGGCGCTGAAACGAGTGGTGCCAGAGGACCGGATACGGCTGCGCGACAGGTCGTCTTCACACTACGAACACCGAGATACAATGAGTCCTGTGGTGCAGAAGCTTGAGCAGGTGGCCATCTCCAAGCCATACCAGGGGCGGACTGCCAGCGTCAGTACCACAAAATCTTACCAAGGCCCTCCAACAGCGGTATCCACATCCAGCACAAGCACCAGCGCCACGTCCCCTCCCTCTACCGAAGCGCCTCCGCATTATGCGCCAATGGCCTACAACCCCGCCGCTCCCGCAGCGCCCGAACCCATTGCGCACCGCGAGAAGACGCCGCCTCCCCCCGACGCGCAAAGTGGCACCGGGCTCGCCGCCGCAGCCCAGCACGACCACAGCAGCCCCTATAACAGCCCTCCGCAAGCGCAGCATCCATCGTACCCTCAATACCAGCAGCAATTCCACCCCAGCGCGCCGCACAGCCAATCCAACCACTCCTTCTCGCCTCCCCTCCAGCGCGCCAGTACGGCGTCCTCGTTCCCTCCGCCGCCGCCCCCGCAGCAGCCCAGCAGCGCCGGCCCACCGACCACCCAACACGCCTTCGCGCCGCCGCCCGCAGATCCCTACAGCCAGCCAGCTCAGCCAGGCCAGCAGCCGGCCCAAATGCTACGCCAGCACACCACGCCCGCGTCCTACGCCCCGTACCCCCAACAACAGCAGCAGCAGCAGCAGCAACCCTACACAGACTACGCCCACCCACCCCTCCAGCCCCCCGGCCCCCCCCCCCCCAACCCCGCCGCAGGCGCAATGCTCGGCCCGCACGCCCCTCCCCCTCCCACCCAACCCCAGCACATCCCGCACGTGCAGTACGGCCAGTACGGCTCCTACGGCCAGCCCCAGCAGGCAGAAGCCTACAACGTCCACAGCCAGGCGTACAGACCCTCAAAGGCGGAAGCCGCGTACGGACACCACACGGAGGATAACCATGGCGCGCAGGCTCCCGGGGCCGCGCCGCCGGCGGGGGGGAGGTTGGAGCAGGGGCTTGGGAAGGTGGAGAAGGGGGTTGGGCGGTTTTTAAAGAGGTTGGATAAGAAACTTTAGGCGGGGGTTGGGAGTGTGGGATGCGAGGGATGGCGAGGGAGGGAGTTTGGGAGAGGCGGTGGGCGATGTAGCGGGGTGATACGGGGGGGTGGGTTGGATATATATACCCGGTGATGGATTCGGGCTTGGTGCCCGTAGGGTGTGTCATGATGCCGCAGGGTGGCTTAATTGGAAGAAGAGCTGGGGGAATGAAGGAATGGCTGAAGGAGCGTTGATGCTATGTGTGTGCTCTGCGTGCGGGCTCATTAGGGGAAGATTCCGGTCTAGCGAGCAGTAATGCACCAACGAGATACCAGTCAAGTGTCAAACTCCCACATGAATCTGTCATCCGTGAAGACAGCGGACAGTTTGGTCTTGAACGTCGTTGAAGAGCCATCGTACTATCTTTGTCGAAACGAGCCACCGAACAACCCACGCACATCTGAAACCCATCCAGTGTGATCTGTTCGCCGGTAATGGTATCTATGCTTTCTACTCCCTCAGAACCGCGCGCGCGCGCGCCTCACAGCATGACCACGCCCACGCCGCCCATCCTGCTCTCGTCAGCCTTGTTGGTCTTGGGATCCACCCCGCCCTGGATGTAGTTGGCGCGGTAGTTGTAGAGATAGTAGTTCAGCTGGCCGTCGCCGGCGCCGAATTTCTGGTCTTCGAGGAACAGGGGGTTGTGCAGTAGGGTCAGCGCGTTGAAAACGTCGAAGTTGGCCTGGGTGGGGGAGGGTTTTAGTTAGGAAGGCTGGGGATTGAGAAGGACAGGGCAGGAGTGAGGGGAAGGAGATGGAGGGAGAGGGAAGGAGTAGCAATGGGGTAGGGGGAAGGGAGGGGAGAGACGGACCTTCTTAGCGAGAACGAGGGCATCGTGCATCAAGCCGTTCAACCGCTCCTTCAGCGCTTTCTGATCCCCAGTAAACGCCGTCTCGGTCGCGTAGTAGAACAGGTACGCGGCTCGGATGGTCGGATGCTTCGTGTTCCCAATCACTGTCGACTCGAGACAGTAGAAGGAGAAAAAGTCGGTCAGCTTGCCGCCCTGGTTGGCGTCCTCGACTACATACGACCAGACGACCTGCTCGGGACAGATCTTCTCGTCGTGCACGAGCCAGTGCGCTACTTCTTCGCTGCTGAACTCCTGCGCCATGTCCATGCGAGAGAGATAGCGCTTCAGGAGGTCCAGCACCGCGTCAACATCTTTCGTCTCCATAGGCCGCAGCCCGGGCGTCTCCGTTTCCTTGGGCAACTTGTACCTCGCAATCTGTCGCTGCTTCGTCGAACCAGCCGGCAGCGGCGAGAAGCCGACCTCGTACAGCTTCTCCCAGTTAAGGCTGCGGTGGAAGTAGCGGCACGTGCTCACAGGGGCGGGAAGCAGTATTCCAGCGGTGTAGATGGCTTGATACACGCCCTGGACGTAGCACCGGCGCGTGACTTCCTGGATCAGCACGGGGGCTAGCCGCTTGCTGCGCAGCTTCTTGTGGATGCAGAGGAAGTTGATCTCGGAGCAGGAGAGCGTGTTCTTGCGCACGCGAAGGGAGACGGGGATGCCGGAGATGAAAGCCACAAGGCGCCGGGAGGTGGTGGCGCGCACGCCGATGTGCCAGTCCTTGCGCCAGCCGGGCGCCTTGAGCGCCCAGTTCAGGAACGAGCTCGAGTAGTTGAACCGGAACATCGCCTCGTCGTCCTCGACATAGTGATGAGTCAGCAGCTCGTAGACCTCCTGGAGCTGGCCCTCGTCCGTCAGATCCAACGTGTCCCACTCGAACCCCTGGACGGCGAACGGCGGGGCCTCTTTTGGCACTCGTGCAGGATCGATGACCTTGATGGGGCCTTCTTCGACCGGCTTCATGGCATCCTCGAACTTGGGCACCGGCTGCGTCTGCCAGAACTTGTGGCTCGCCATGTCCTTGGTGTTGCGCTGGGAGGCTGCCATGCCGGTCAGGATGTCCGCGATGCTGAGTTTCGAGAGCATCTGCTCGACTTTCTGCGGATCTTCTTCATAGTCGGCCTTGAGCGCTGGGTTCAGCGCGAAGAGCTGCTGTTTCTGGGTTTCGGTCAGCCGGACGGGCTTCTCGGCTGTTGAAGAGGATGAGCCGGCAGGAAGAATGGATTCGGCGAGTGCTTTCACTTTGCTACGCTTTTTTCTCTTCTTCTTCTTTGCGGCTTCTGTTGCGACGGCGTCGGGGGAGGCTCCGTCTGCTGGAGCCTCGTCGCCAGAAGATTCGTCATGGCCTGCGGGATCAGCTTGGCCGAGGGCTTCTTTGACCGCGTCTTCAGTAGCCTGCTCGTCCACAGGAACTGATACTTCTTGTGGCATCTTTGGAGTTAGTTCGTGGTCATGTGGGATATGGACTGTTTTGGATGGGCATCAAGGGACGGCTTCCGCTTGTTTGCTTCTCGGCGGAAACTCGGCGTGCCTGATCTGGCAGTGAGTGATGGTGAATTCATGTCTTGTAAAGTCAGTAATCTACTCAGGCATCCTCGCTGCTGCCATGTTACAGACTGCAGCGGAGCGCCATGACCTCAAAACTAGCCTACGGCTTGGAATATGAACTAGTATAGCCGCCCAGAAAGGGCGTTAGCGGGACAAATCTACAGTACATTCCAGTGTCTTTAAGACAACTCCTGTCTCCCAAGGCGCCCTAGATATCTCGTAAATGTCGTGACATCCAACAAACCAATCCAAAAGTCCCTCTAGCCAAACAACCGAACTGATGCGCCGTAGCATTCATCTCTTTACACAAGGACAAATTCATCAGTGCCCCTGCTTCCTTCAACAACGGTGCTCTTCTCGCCGTCCCCGTATCCGCTCAGGGCTCGTACTCCGCTCATGGACCGGCGATCCCGCCGTGATATGGATGCTCGGTAGCCGCTCCAGCGCCGGCAGCTGGGGGATGCCCGACGAGGGCAACTGCGGCGCCCTCGTCCTGACCGGACTCTCATACGGCGGCGCTTCCTCGAGTTCTACGTGGTCGTACCGTGGCGGCTCATGCGGCGGTATCCGTAGCGCGCCCATATCGCCTCCTGCCGCTGCTCCTCTTACTGCCGACGGCGACCGCGACCTGCTGAGCGAGACAACCTCGAAGTCCGTGTTTCCGCTGCCGCCGCTATGGTTCCGTTCGGCGTCGACATATTCGTCCGAGACATTCGAGGAGAGCGAGAGAACGGACGAGGCGGAGGCTTCCCGGTGGTGCAGCCCCAACGCCCTACTGCTGACAGGCCTGCTGCTGCCGCCGAAACTCGCCGCGGAGTCGAGGAGCGGCCTGTTGTCGCTTTCCGCCGAGTTGGCTCGCAGCCTTGTGCCGTCGTGTCTCGCGACGCCCAGTTCCGCATAGTTGACCGACGAGACCCGTTGGCCCCGCCTCTGTTTCGCGGCGTGATGTTCCGCGATCAATGCCTCCGACATCCTCTGCGTAAGGCCCTGGGCCATATGCTCCGCCCGCATCCGACTCTCCAGCCGCAGCTCCGCGAGCCTCTCGAAGTCCCCCTGCTCCTGCGCCTGTCGCCGTTCCGCCCTCCGCTCCTCCCTCTCCCTGGCTTCTACCCGCCGCGCCTGCCGTATCTGGTACAGGCTCTCCATCTCATCATCGCGTCTCGCCTCCTCTTCATCGATCGTCTCGGGGAACTCAAGCACGGTATCGATGCCTCCGCGCTCGCCCTCGCGGCCTAGAATCCGCTCCGTAGGCCTCGCAGCAGACGAATACGCGGGCAGAGTCATCACGCTCCGCACGCTGGTATTGCGGTCGACGCCTGCCGCGTCCGCGCCCGTGGTCTCGACTTCGTGGTCATTGAGTGCGCCGGACACAGGCTCATCGGGATCGTCGGAACGCTGGCGGCTCCGGCTGCGGCTTCTGGTGCGCGTGAGGTGTGGAGATTCGATGCGCTGAAGGCTGGCGGAATACGAGGTTCGGCTACGGAGCGTGGGCCATTGCGGCAGGCGCCGGGTGAGCCAGTTGCTCGTGGGAGGCTTTGCGCTGGTGCGATTCGAGGTGCTGAGGCGGCGCTCGCGAGACTTGGTATAGATGTAGAGGACGACGAAGAAGGAGAAGAGGCAGCCTACGGCTAATAGGACCTGGGCTGTCTGTCAGTCGCTCTGCACGCGTGGAGGATCTGGGTGGTTGATGGTACGACGGGCGCAGACGATACGTACGAGGACTATGAGGCGCGTCTTTGTGGCAGACCCATCGGATATCTTGCGCGAATGCAGGGGTAATCGCATATTTAAAGGTGTATAGGCGCACGCCTTGGGCGGAAGTCGCGGATAGGTGGGTATCGACTATCGGCGGAGTGTGCTCGAAACGTGGGCAGACTGCGATCGATACGGGTGACGCGCGGAGCTGAACTACGGGGGCATGGATGGGTAACGAGTGACAGTGTTGGAGAGAGTTCGAAGGCTTTCCGAGCGTGGATTGAGGGCAGAGAACAGGATGGAGGCTGAGACTACAGGGGAGCCTGGAGGCCTGGACGAGGGACAACGATTGGGCGGTGACGCATTACCGTCCAAGCCCCAAATGTGGCTTGCACACTTGAAACAGACCAGGTTGTTGGGGAGGCTGGGAACGTCGAATCTCATGCAGAGTGGATGAATTAGAACAGAGCACAAGATGGAGGATTTTGGTGGGCTTCAAGTTTTGGTGGACGAGTACTCGGTACCGACAGACAGCTTCGAGCTGTGATATCGGACGCTATTTTTAGACTGATCATCGCCTGAGGCAGAATCACAAGCCGGACGCACTCAAATCGACATCAGATCAGCACCTTCTCGCCAATGTTACTCTAAACTTTACATCACGTTACATTCGAGCCGCGTCATGAGGAATCGTCAGGCTTGAACACTGAGCTTTTAACATCTCTAAACCGGCATTGATATTCTCTGAGTCCGTGCCGGTCCTTCATGTGATCGACACCGAGGGCACATCCGCCTATGGCCTTTTAGAAGTTAGTACAGGACCATGCCTCTCAAACCCTTCGCCCGCGCTCATCAAACTCCAATCTGAGGCAACAGAGCAACCGATCAAGTATCCCCCATCTCTACATCCTGACTTGCATCTCCACCCCTTCCCCTCGGCAACCTCAACGCCAGATACCCCTCCCCCGCTGCCGTGGCTCTGTCCATCACATCCTCCATCCATTCCACCACCTCCTCCACCGGCAGCACCGCCCTCGCAACCCACTGCAACACCCCTGGATCCTCCGCATACAAGCTCGCCGTGACCGGCTGCCAGGAATCCGCCGCTGTAAGCTCCTCTCTGCTCGGGCCCTGGGGTGCCGGAGACGGGGAGAAGGCCGAGGCGGGGGTGCTGGGTGTAGAAGACGGTTTACTGCCACTGCCGTTCTTGCTGTGCCGGTGGATGAGGAGGAAGGAGGCGAGCATGCTTTTGCTGCCGGGAAGGAACTCGATGATGGAGTGTTTCGGAAAGAGAAATTTGTCGCCGTTTGAAGTGAACTCGATGAGCACGGGCTTGGCATCTTGCTTTCGTGGCGGAGGGGGAGGAGCCTTCTGGACGGGAGGGAAGGAGCCGGGTGGTTGGGGATTCGGCGCTTGTTGCCTGTAAGGGTGTGTTGGTGTTTGCGTATTTGTGGGGTCCGGAGGCGGCGCTTGAGGGCCATTCTTGAACGCAGGACTGGGCTGAGTTGGCGGAAATGGAGCAGGTGATGGCGATGCGCCGACCTCGGGCTTGATTTGAGGTGCGGTGGATGGTGCAGTGGATGGCGCTTTGTCGTTCTTGCGCGCCTCCAGTTGCACCGTCAGCTGATTAATGTGACTTTGGAAGTACTGCAACTGAGCCTCTGTAGCTCTACCTTGCGCCACGATCTGCATGACTTGTTTGAGTTGATTGTCGGTGCTGGCACGCTGCGCCAGTGCATGGATGACCGGGTCTGGTGCTGGGCCCTGAGCAGGTGTGGAAGACGTAGTCTGGGAACGACTGCTGCTCTCAGGACCTCCATTGGCTGGCGGTGGCGCATGATGGGTAACTGTAGGTGCTTGCTGCTGAGGAGTTGGTGGACGGATGGGAGGTAAGGTCAACGAGTCATTTGGCGGCTGGAAGGGCGCATTATATTGATATGGTGTAGAGTACTGTGGAGTTTGGGTCCGGTAAGCTGGCGGGGCATAGTGCAGCACAGGTCGCTGCGCGCCAGTGGGTAGGCGTGGGAGAGGCGGAGGATCATCTCTTATAGTGTAGAGTGTAACGTCGAAGATGTGCGGTTCGATCGTGAGCTGGCATGCGCCGATCCTCAGAAGCCTCTTCGCCTGCTCCTTCGCATCCTTCTTGGCTTTCTTCAGCTGTTCCTTCTCTTTGTCAGTCCGCTGACTAGGCTTGGTGTTACTGGCAGGAGGCTGTGTCCAGTACAGCCCGAATGCGTCCGTCATCCACTTCTTGCGCGATCGGTCCAACGCAGCCTGCAAGACGCCGCTTTCGGCGATTGTTTGATAGTCCTTGATTGGCATATCCAACCGTTGCGGCTCCTGTAGCGTGGGAAGCGGCTTCCCATCTGCAATCTTCGACGGCAAGGTCTCTCGCGGTGTTGTTGGAACGTCATCCGTCCGCGGCGTTGTGATAACCTTTTGCTTCTTTTGCTCCTTTGGCCTCTGCTTGGGAGTCTCCTTGGTCGGAGTAGGATGCTTCCTCTTCGCCGGGGTCTCCGCCAGCTCCGCCTTCATGCGAGTCGATGCTCTTCGCGGACGCGATTCTGCGAGCGACATTGCGAGTGACACGCCGACGGACGGCAAGCAGTATGTGCGCGTGAGATTTCGCGCCTTATCCGGGGTGTGATGGACGTGAGACCAATGAACGCTTTCAGGTTGTTGCTGATCTGGAGGAAGAGGTATGTAGATGTTTGTGGGATGAGGACCGGCTTCAGATATATCGGCCAAACTTTCGGTGTAGGCAGAGCAGACAGGGAGAAAGGCCTGTAGCGCACAAGTGACCCGGCTGACGTGGTGGTGAAGGCGAAGCCATGGTGAACTGGAAGTGATACATGTTTGGAGGGCGTGCGAGAAGCGAGGTTGAGCTCTTGGGGACATCAAGCATCAGTCCGCAACCGCGCGTTGCCAATGCTTACCGCCTCTCCTCCACTACAGTTATAATTTTGGTTGCAGTCTGCATGTAGATAGTACATGGTGTGTTGACTCTTTATCTATCATTTGAGTAATTTATTAACTATCGAAGAATCTCCTTGCTTATTACGAATCTTCCCACATATTCTTAGTCTGTCAATCCGTATATGAAAGCATGCCATGACATGAGTGATATCGCATATTTTCCATGCAGTTCATGTGATTACGGTTTCTCATGTCTCTTTTCCACTTCGTTCATGTTGCTGCGTTCCCAATTCTATACTCGATATCCGTTGCTCCGCTGTAAACTCGAAGCACTAGGCTCTCTATTCTAGGGCTCTCTATTCTACGCCTATATGAAGCTCATGATAAAGCAGAAAAACGATGCCCGCTCTGCTACCCATCTTTAAGAAGGCATACTGGTCCTTAGCTGCAGCTGGCCTGCTGTACGCCGTCTTTGTAACATTCCTGTGTAACAGCTGGGTCCAACGACAGTACGTCCTCAAAGCAGTCGGCGAGGTCCTCAGCTGACAAGCGCCTGACAGCGCCCTCTACGCCCACAAGCTTCACAGTGGCTTCTACCACGATGTCAGCATACCCGAGTCTTTCGGCTTTGCGAGTACGCCACAGTTATCTTCCGCGAGCGGCCCGCCCGGCTGACATTGCACAGAGAACCAAGTAACCCCGTTCAACATTACGACCCCAGATGGCGAGACCTTATACAGCTGGCACGTCTTGCCTCTCAGCGTATACGCCAAACACGAAGCCGAGATCCTCAACCAACCCGCCGGGCCCGTCTCGGACTTCAAGCAGAGCACTGCCTTTAAGCTCCTGACTTCAGATCCACAGAGCCGTCTCATCATCAACTGTAACAACCACCCTTCCCACCCTACTCAGCTTCCAGCCCGACTAACCCTACCTACAGTCCACGGCAACGCCGGCCACGTCGCCCAAGGCTGGCGCACCGACACTTACCGCTCGCTATCCTCCCTTCCAAACACCCACATCCTCACCGCCGACTACCGCGGCTTCGGCCGCAGCACCGGCACCCCCTCCGAAACAGGCCTGATCACCGACGGCATCTCCCTCGCCCGCTTCGCCCTCTCTCTCGGGATTCCCGCGCACCGGATCGTGATCCTAGGCCAGAGTCTCGGCACCGCCGTCGCCAGCGCCGTGGGGTTGCATTTCGCCGACCCTGCGGCTGAGCCCTTAGCGGGGCGGCTTGATTTCGGTGATGGGGGAGTTGGGAATGGTGGGAGATGCAGTGAGGTAGGGGAAGGCGAGCCGGCAGAGTTTGCGGGCATCGTCCTGGTCGCGCCCTTCACATCCCTCCCAAAGTTGTTGACGACGTACCGCATCTTCGGCCTCATCCCCGTCCTCTCGCCCCTGCGGTACTATCCTCGCATCCAGGCGCGCGTCCTGGCGTATATCGTCGACACGTGGGATACTGCGTCACGGATTGGGTCGCTGGTCCGGTGTTATGCCGCAGAGGGGAGGGGGAGGCTGCGGCTGCATATCCTGCATGCGCGGAATGATTTCGATATCCCTTGGCGGCAAGGATCAGATCTGTTCTTTACCGCCGCGAATGCGAGCAGCGCTGCTGATGGTGGGGTTACGAAAGCAGAGTTTGAGGAGAGGAAAGAGGTTGTAGAGAAGGGAGAGGGTGGGAGGACGGAGGTATGGAAGTTCGGGGAGGGTAGTACGGTGATCTTTGAGTTCTTGAGGCATGGAGGTGAGTTATTTCTTTGAGTTGGAACGCAAGAAAGGAAACAACACAACGCACATGGCTGATGATTGATAGGACATAATCGTGTCGTTACGTATTCTCCCGTTGCGTTAGCTGCACTCCGTGCGTTCGAGGCGGCTGAAGGACGGATTAAAGGGGAATGATCGCATCACTGATGCGTGGATGGAGAAGGATGTAGAGTTGAGTAGATTGTCCCGCCCACGCCATAGATGCTACAGGATACAGTGTACAGCGCTTCCACATAGCACGTAGAACGCCGGTCTAGATGCTTCGCTGAACCTTAGATCCCCTCCATCGTCCCTACTCTTTTGTACAGAAGCCGAAGACCGAATAGCTAACACATGTCCAAATGATACCATCCATGACACCCAATACGCGCACGTCAACCCCTCACTTCTTATTCCTATCCGCCTGCGCCTTCTCATACTTCGCTACAAGCTCCCTCTGTAACTGCGGCGGCGCAGGGTTATAGTGACTAAACTCCATCGAAAACTCGCCCTTCCCCTGCGTCGCAGCCCTCAACTGCGTGCTGAACCCAAACATGCTATTCAAGCTGCAATCCGCATACAGCGTGAAGTCCTCCGGCCCAATCTCCGTATCATGGATCGTCGCATTCCTCTTATTCAGCAAGCCCACAATGTTCCCCTGGAACTCATTCGGCGCCGTGATCGTCGTCTTCATCAGGGGCTCCAGCACCTGCGGCTTCCCCGCCATGAACGACTTCCTAAACGCCTGCTGCGTCGCGTTCCTGAACGCCATCTCGGACGAGTCCGTCATGTGCGTCGCGCCGTCGTTGATCACCATGCTGGTCCCCAGAACGCGGTGGCCAAGCAGCGGCCCCTTGTCGCACGAGGCATGGAATCCCTTCTCGCACGCAAAGAGATACTTCTCGCTGATGGTGCCACCGACAATGCGCTCCTCGAACTTGTTGTCTTGCAGCGCTCCCGTCGGCTCCATCCAGCCGACTACCCGCGCATAGTCGCCCGCGCCGCCTGTCTGCTTCTTCAGCAGATGATCGAAGGGGACGCGCTGGGTGACGGTCTCGCGGTAGGCGACTTGGGGCTGGCCCGTCTCGCAGTCGACCTTGTACTCGCGCCGCATGCGCTCGACGTAGATGTCCAGGTGCAGCTCGCCCATGCCGGAGATGATGGTTTGTTCGGATTCGGGGTCGACGTGCACGCGGAAGGTTGGGTCTTCGCGCTGAAAGCGGTTCATCGCTTTGCTGAAGTTGGCAGTGTCTTTTGTGTGCTTGGGCTTGATCGAGAGGGAAATGACGGGTTCGGGGACGAACATGGAGGTCTGCGGTCAATCTTTAGCTGATGCCGTGGAGAGCGAACATTGCGAAGCTGCCTTACCATCGTGTAGCCCATCTGCCCGTCCGTGAACGTGTCACCCGACGAGCAGTCGACCCCGAAGACAGCGCAAATTTCTCCTGCGCCAATCTCGGGTACTTCTTCCATCTCGTTCGAGTGCATTCGCACGATACGCGGAACCTTGACTTTCTTATCCGTCTTCGCATTGAACACGGTCATGCCCTTCCTCAGTGTGCCCTGATACACTCGAATGTAGGTCAACTGGCCAAAGTTGCTTTCTTCGAGCTTGAAAGCTAGACCGACAAAAGGCAGTGAGTTGTACGAAACCAGCTTGACCGGCGCCTCAGCCCTTCGCCTGTCGAGCGCCAGGTTCTCTACTTCTGAAGGATTGGGTAGGTAGTCGCAGACTGCATCCAGCATTGGTTGCACAGACTTATCCGCGAGCGCTGAGCCCATCAGGACGGGTGTGAAGTTGAGCGAGATGGTCGCTCTCCGTATCGCGGCCTTGATCTGCTCGATGGTAGGCTCCACGCCTTCCAGGAAGAGGTCGGCCATCTCTTCGTCCACGTCCGCCAGCGTCTCAATCAGCTTCGCCCTTCTCTCCTTCGCGAGCGCCTGGACCTGCGGCGGTATTTCGTCGCTCTCACGTATTATCTCGCCTTTCGCGCCTTCGTTGTAGATCGCCTTCATCCTGACCAGGTCCACAACGCCCTGAAAGCTGTCTTCGCTCCCAATGGGCACTTGGAGCGCGGCAGCCGGTATGCGCAGCTTCGAGTTGATCTGGTCGATCGCCTTGAAAGGGTTCGCTCCCATTCGGTCCATCTTGTTGACAAAAGATATCCTAGGCACATTGTACCTCCTCATTTGCCTATCGACGGTGATTGTCTGCGACTGCACGCCCGACACGGCGCAGAGAATCATGACAGCCCCATCAAGCACCCGCAGCGCCCTCTCCACTTCAATGGTGAAGTCAATGTGGCCAGGCGTGTCAATCAAGTTGATGTGGTACTTTTCCTCCTTTCCATTCTCTTGCTTGACCCAGTCGCAGAATGTCGCGGCAGACTGGATCGTGATACCCTTCTCCCTCTCCAGGTCCATGGAGTCCATCTTCGCCCCCACGGCATCTTTGCCACGCACTTCGTGTATTGACTTTATCCTGCCCGTGTAAAAGAGCACGCGCTCGGTCGCTGTCGTCTTGCCGCTGTCAATATGGGCCGCAATGCCAATGTTCCGTACTCTAGACAACCGGTAGGCTTCTTGGGGGTCGAGGTTGTCGATGATGGTTTCTTGGGCGAGCATGGAGGGGTCGGCAGCTTGCTCGAGTACTGCGGCCGCCGCACCGGATTGGTGCCTTCTCGACTGCCATGTTTTGAAGTGTGGGGTGGATATGCGGGTAGAGGGGCGAAGGAGCGCTGTGGAGGCGCATCGTTGCTGAAAGAAGGGATTCCTGCAAGTCAATCGGGCGCCACTGCTCAGAGAACGCAAAGACGATGCTTGCGCCCTCGCGGGAAAAGCAGCTCTCATCTTCAACTAGGAAGGAAGACAAGAGGACAAACGAGTGTCACAATGGAATGGACGGCATCTTAAGTCGATTCGCTCAAGACTGGCCCAAAAAGATTTCCGGGGCTCGGCGTTCGAGCTCTTCCCCGACGCGCCTCCAAGTCACGTGCAAGGGTCTTCTACTGGTGCTGCCCCTTTCCCGCGGGATGATTGACAATGAGAAGCGTTCAGAGGCAGGATAGAGGGGCCCTGGTCCTTCGGGATCGCTTTGGAAACGTCTGTCCTTCTGTCTCTGAGGCCGGAAGCATTCATGAAATCTGTCGCGTTCAATAGGAATACTGCATTGAACCCCAAAACCTAGCTATTTACATGTCTCCTCAGTCCATGACGCATGTTACACCCAGTCCCACCAAGCCTTCCTACTCTCCGCCGCAAACACAACCAATCAATGCCCGCTCACGACTTCAACGAATCATAAACCGCTTTCTCGCACGCAAACCACTGACCCATAACCTGCAACTCCCCAAACGGCAGCACCTGACTCGCAATCATGCCCGCAACGCCCTTCTCCCGATCGGCCCACCAGAACAGATTCGCGAGCCCGGCCCACCACGCCGAGTTCGGCGCTCTGCCCGTCATCCCCAGCTCCGTGCTCGTGAGGAAGAACGTCAGGCCCCAGCCCTGCGGCGGGTTGCCCTCTTGCGGCAGCAGCTCGGGCGCCGGGTTGGTCTGGTCGGGCTTCGCGGCGGGAATGCCTTGGCGGGCGAAGTCGGGGAATTGCGGGATTTGGTTCTCGAACATGGTGTCTACGGTTTCTTTCTTGAGGATCTGGGCGCCGGATTTGGGGTGGGTGCCGTTGTTGAGGAGGGTAGCTAGGATTTCTGTAGAACAGTGGTTGTCAGCACGAGCGCTGTGTCCAGCACAGTGTTGATGTTGTGCTGAGTTTTCTGCTCGAAGCGTTTGAGCAAGGCGGAGGAAGGCTTACGGCAGTATTCCGCGGGCTTAGCGAAGCAGCCAGCGCCGCCCGAGTTGAAGATGCGATCCTGCTCCTCTTCTGTCTCTGCCATCAGAGGGCGTCGGTAAAGATGGTCTCGCTCCTCAAGCTTGCCGCTTCCCCAGCGCTGGTGCATTGAGGCGAGCTGGGACTTCATCTCCTCGTTGGGGAACATGGTTATGTTCTTCAGGCCAAGCGGCTCGAAGATGTTCTTCAGGAAGTACGCGTTCAGCTTCATGCCGCTGGCGCGCTCGACGAGGATGCCAGCCCAGTCGATGTTGATCTATTGTCGCAAGCCCGTGTCAGCACGAATATGTCTATACCTTGCAGCAGAAAGGAACAAGTCAGGGGAACTTACGCCGTACTCCCACCTATCGCCCGGTTGGTTCACCAACGGCATTTTCAGAAGATCCTTCGCATCACCCGTAAACTCCTCCAACCCGATCGGCCGCCCAAAATCCCTCAGCCTCTCGTTGAAGAACGTATACCCGAACCCAGCCGTATGCGACAGCAGCATCCGCAACGTGATATCCCCCTTCCGATCTACCAGCTTGCCCTGCTCGTCCAAGCACTGCACCTTCTCCAGCTCCGGCGCCAGTTTGTACACAGCGCTCGGGTCGTCCAAGGAGAGCTTGCCCTGCTCGACTAGCTGCATGCACGCTATGCCCGTGATCATTTTCGTGCAGGACGCGATCCAGAAGACTGTGTCGAGGGTCATGGGCTCTTTGGAGTTTAGGCCGCGGTTGCCGGACGCCGCGGCGGCGAGGGTGTCGCCATTCTTGTCGACGGAGACGAAGACGAGGCCTGCGATGCCGGTTTCAGGGTTGCCGGTTACGGAGTCGAGAGAGGACTGGACTGCCTGGGTGGCTTGTGAGGAGGCCATGATGGGCGATGAGATAATTGACTTTGGGTACTAACAACAGGAGACAGCAGGAGAACGGTTCTAAGACGAAGGTGAAATAGGGTGCTTCGAGGTATTTCTGTGCAGGGTACCCTGTAAGTGCTCGTGTTGCGCTACCCGATGCTTAAGTATCTGCAAGGTCCAGACAGCTGCAGCCCCACCATCGAATCTACCCCGCGTTTTCCGCAGTGGATGAGATCTTGCCGACGAGCGGGGTCCCCCTGAGGCGCGCTCCATGACCCGGCACGCCCCTCAGAACTAACTGTAAACATCAAGATCATCTGAGCCTGATCCTGTCGACCGTCTTGTCGTCTTTACTGTTTCCTCGTGGTTGATGCAGCTTCCAGAGTGCCCTAGGGTGGCAATTCCAGGATGGAGATTCCAGATTGGCGTAATCGCAGTTTTGGCGTCCAGTAGCTCCACGAACCGCGAGCCTGTGCTTCCAAACTTGGATCGATTGGGTATAATGTGTAGTAAGTGATAGAATATCTATCAATGCGAAGCGCTGCATCGCCATTGCAGACCACCCTTCAAGCGGGGATTTCGGTAGCCATTCTCTGAGATAAAGTTCCAATCAAGATCTGTCTGTCTTTGTTTGCAAGCTCAGGCGGCCCTCCATCTCTTGTATGTCGATTTGAGTTCCTTTATCGCAGTCATGACCAATGGCACGGCAATAGGGCCGAGGAGAGGCAGATAAACGGCCACCTTGTGCTCATCCGGGAAGTACACTTGTCCGACCATTGATCGTTCGAAAAACGCCTTCTCAGCTTCTGCCTCGGCGATCCTGGCGCTCTCTAATGCGGTAGCAAATCTGCCTTCGCGGAGCTCGTTGCAAGCCCGGTATAAGTGCTCGATGGTTGTATCGACAGCCTGTGCAACAGTGTCCGGGATAGCGATGGATTGCAGAGCTTGAGTGAGCCGAGCGAGTGAGCCAAGCGTTGATGACGCAGAGAAGAGAAGCGAGGCCGCTCGCACGCGAGTAAGTGTTGACAGGCGCATAGGAAGAGAAACAGGCGCATGAGGTACGCCGAGCAGGGACATTAGCTGATGGGAGAAGGTAAGCATAGCTGGCTGCAGGTCTTCCCTAGACAATGTGCTTTTTAATGTGCCGGAATTGAGGATCTGAACACCACCCCACTGCGGTATGAGCCAACTACTCCCGCCAGTCTCCTTGACAACGAGTGGACTTTGGTTTTCGGCTGGTACATATAGCACGAAGTTGATAGTCGGCCCTACCCCTATGCTTGGGCTAAGCGGCCATTCGGCGGCGTTGACGAAGGCACTTAGTTCTTCCTTCTGCAAGGTCCAAGCTTTTAAGCTCGTATCGTACTCTGGCTCATGGAAGGAATGCGAGAACTTGGCGTAGAGTTGCACCTGGGTATCGACGGTGAAGTTGCTGATCGGCGACAATGATTCTAATAGTGGCGATATGTACTCTTCAAGAGCGGATCTGATTTCCCAGGCTGATGGTACAGCAACAGGCGTAAACAACGAGAACGTCAGATGATACGTTGGGGCGTACTTGAATGACCGGGTAGTCTGCCGCGCAAGGCGAACCGCATCATCCTTGGAGAGCGACTTGACTTGTCCAGTCTGGGAAGTCGCGCTTGAGGATAGCAAGTGAGCCAGCTGTGCCTGTTCCTCGGCGAAGACTCTCTGAAGCTCGTAGGCCACAAACGTTGCCAGTGGAGACGATGTAGAAGATGAAGAAGGTATTTGATTCGGCGTATAGTATACATCGAGGGTGGGTGTATACGACTGCAAGATAGCTCTAGGGGTTGTCCCACCCACACCAGGCAGCATTCTGACAGTGAGCGCGATGTCTTCATCATGCAGATGCCCTTTTGAGACGGAGTTGCTGCTGTCCAGGTCCATTGTCATCTTCTGTGATGCATTGCTGGGGGTGGAGGGCTCAGATAGGAGCAATCGTAGATGATGGGCAGAGAACTCGTTCAAATCATCAAGCGCGTGCTGTGTGGTTCGAAGTAGATGCTGCGCATCTTGGTGAGGGAGCGACGGCGCATCAATTGCAATACGCAGAGGAAATACGGGGCGGCATATCTAGCAAAATAGCTTAGCAATAGTTCTGTTGCAGAATATCAACGTCAGATAACCTTTCCGTCAGCCCAGTCGTTCATTGCCTGCAGCGGAAGCGCTGCCCGGTAAACTGTCGTGGTCTTGTACCATACTGGTAGTCCAAATAAGAGGACAACGGTCCAGAAGGACAAGATGACCAGTCGTCTCGTCCATATTGACTCTGATGTTTCGGGCGGCGGGGCTTTCTTTATATTGACGGCGCCAACTGCCCCTGGCGGCTCTTGGTCAGCCTCCATGGACATTTACAGCACTCTTACAATGGTGCTGTTTAGCAAAGCAATAGGGTAGCAGTAAGTTTAAGTTTAGCTAGGAGCTTCCGGAGACACGTCCTGCCGAGCCGCGGTCCATGGAAGGACCAAGGGCGGGCTAAAATGAAGGCGGCGAGTCAGCCAGTGCCGTTCTCCTGCAAAAATGGCGGGGCCAGGTTAATGTCAGAACCCGCCGCCTTCATTTTAGCCCATCCCTGGCTCATGTGCGAGTAATGATACGAATGGGCAGGACTCTCCATTGACGCCTATATAGAAGCACGACGTGATGAGTTCCGAATAACTCGAGTCCAGACGGCTTCTATCAAAAGAGCGCTCTACGCAGTGTTTACATTCTATGCCTTGGCGCCTGATACGATTTCGCTAGGTAGCCGTGAAAACCAACTTCGGTAGCCGTCACAACCTTACGACATCCCCACTTGGACTTTTTACACACAAACTTGTCTAAAGTCACTGCTGCCCAAAGCAAAAAGCGGCTAGGGAAAGCTCCTTCGAGATATTCAGCTTTCGAGAGCCGCTTTCACAGCGTTTATCTCAACTTCTCAACCTTCTGGCTTTCAGGAATACTCGATTCTCTCTTCTCAGAGACCACTGCAACGGTTCCGAAGAAAGTCGTTTGACTTGAGGCCCTGAGTCTCATCGAGTCAAAATGCAGCATGAGTCGTGTATTGTTCCAATCACAGCGTTGGCTCATGTCGGCGATTACCTTCTTGCTGGCGAAGGGCAACTTCTCCGTGTATTTCGCAACTCGGAGTTACTATCCACGGTCCGTGTATTTGAAACGCAGCCTATTCACGGCGTAGTCTGTCTAGATCATGCCGCTCAAGCAGGTCTTATCCTTCTCTGGGGCGGTCACCACCTGTGCCCTGCCCGCTTTCATATGTATCCGGAGCTGCATGTCCAGCTTGGGTGTGTCACTAAAGTACAAGACTGGCTTCTGGACGTAGCATTTCAGTCAACTGCCGCTTCACGGCAAGAAATCTTGAAATCAACGCTGATCAATGCTCGTGCGGCTGCTGTTGCTGCTCACAATTCCTTACTTGATATAAGCATCACGCAGAAGGGGGTTGTTGATGGTGCACATTGTGAAGACGGAATGTGAGTGTAAGCTTTACTTCACGATCGAGAATCGCACTGCTTGCTTTCTCTTTCTTTAAGCTATACTTAGCTGACCGAGGCTGAGGGACAGAAATCATGCCCGCCATCTTTCCAAACACTACTGTCTGGAGACAGCTGTGCAAAGAGTCCTACATGTTATTCATAACAATGAAGCGGTGGCTCAGAACGGGCCCTTGAATTGATTGATGCAATACGAGACATCAACCCTCAAGAACTTATCAAACATGAAATATGTTGCTCAGCATAACGGCCACAACTTGTATCCGTCGGCCTTGTGCAGTGCTTAGACGGGGACGGGCTGACATTATCGCTAGGCTATCGCTCTCCATCAGCGAAGTGGCTGCCCAGATTGAGTCGCGAAGTATCCTCTACTCAGCACACGTCCAGTGGCTTGAAAAGAGTCGTATCTTAGTCGTTGCGGGCACAGCATTCGGCGAGATCTTAGTGTGGTCCTGCATTACTGATGCTGAGCCGCAAAAGGCACAACTACATCATGTATTTACAGGCCACGAAGGCTCCATCTTCGGGGTTCGCCTCTCACCACCGATGACCGTTCCGGGATTTGTAGCCCCTCTTCGCGTACTCGCCAGCTGCAGCGATGACCGAACTATCCGAATCTGGGATGTCACAGACATCGACGATCTTGTCTCGTTGAGCGGGCGGCAGCCAGTTCGGGATCCGCCACAACTTCGTGAGACGGGTTTCGGAGCAACGGTGCAGCCCGCCGATGGATCTTTGAACACGAAGCCCCTTGCGATTGCCTGGGGTCACGCTTCGAGAATATGGGGTATCCGCTTTCTGAGCCCTTCTACCGTCGTTCCCAGCGATCATGTGCTGATGAATGCGCTCTCATACGGCGAGGACGCAACATGCCAAACTTGGCGGTTCAGGTGCATAATCAACGAACAATTCACGCGCGTAGGCAACGATGACTATGTATTCACATTGAAGCATACCAGTACCCACACTTATCACTCAGGAAAGAACATCTGGTCGGTTGCGGCTCTCGAACACCCCGGTGGGTCTTATACAGTTACAACCGGAGCAGCCGACGGTCAAATCATTACCTATCCGGCCACTGCAGAGGGGCAAGACATGTCTAGGGGCGATTTTCTGCATGTAGAGCATTCTATTGACGACATATCCCGGATCCTGGACCAGCCTTTCTTCGACAGTACCTACACCCCCTCATCAGTACTGGATGCTGGACGGCCATCCTATGTGATGGAGCACAGCACGTCTTTCCGGAGTTACGCTTCCTTAGGCAAGGGTTCACTTCTTGCTATCACCAACACAGGCGTCGTGTTACTTGTAAAGTACGCAAAAGTTACGGACAGTGAGTCCAGCGTCATGCATTCGAAACCGCTGCAGTGGAAGATGATAAACCAACCCCTTGGCCTTCAAGGATACTCTGTCGCTACCGCCGCGAAGGGCCAGGATAGTGCGACCGCTTTCTTTGCTGGCTCGAATGGCATTGTGTATTGTTACGATCAACAGTGTGCGGATATCTCAGTCGTTGCAAGGGCTGAGGGTAAAATCGCCGCGATCTTTGCTGAGATGTCCGAACCAAGGGGTTCTTCCAAGCCAGGGACGTAAGTACAGTGTCCTCCTCCATGGATTATCCAGTACTTACTCCAGTAAATCAGACGTGAACAGATCTTTAGCTTGTTAGTCACCTTGGTAGGATCATCAACAGCACATCACTACACTGTAGCCATGCTGCCAGGTGGAGAAGTGTCACTACGGCGCAGCATCTCCATATCTCTACCCTCTGGCTTCACTGTCACAAGCTTCGTCAATCCGACTTTTGTCGATGGTGAGGAGCACATATTCCTGGGGGGTAGAAACGGCTCTGTGGCTATCTTCAGTATCAGTTCTCGGCTCGATCCGGACGTAAATGGTTTGACATTGAGAGCAACCCACATCCGAACCCTCGACCAGATACATGCAAAGGAGACGGTCACGGCCATACTTTGGATTCCGGAGACCTCCGCGGACCACACTAGTTTCGGCTGGCTCCTCACCGTGGGGCGTGATGGCAGCTGCGCCATATCTAATCTCTCGCGTGACGAAGCGGAACCTTCGTTGGTGCATAAGCTTACTTTTCCGTTTGGACCAAATATCGAAGGAGTATACCTTGACAGAACGAGCAACGATCTCATGGTGTACGGCTTCAGTGGCAAGCGTTTCGTACTCTATAACGCAAGCTTGGAGCGAGAGATCTGGACAGTGGAATGCGGAGGGGCGCACCGGGTGTGGGCTTTCCAGCCCGTCCATGAGCCCGAAGACCCCAGTATACAGGGAGGCACCTTCGTCTGGACAAAGGCCGGCAAGATGAACGTCTTCTCCAAGCATACCCCTTCTCATCAGGTCATCCGACTAGGCGGACATGGACGCGAGATCAAGGCCCTAGCTGTCAGTCCGCCCAGAGGCGCATGCGGCCGACTCATCGCAACTGGAGCCGAAGATACGGACATCAGGCTATTCCAATATGAGACCTCGTCACAGGACTTCCGCTGTCTTAGAGTCCTCCGAAAGCACGTCACAGGTATCCAACATCTGCAGTGGTCCCATGACGGCAGTTTCCTGTTCAGCAGCGGCGGGTTTGAGGAATTCTTCGTTTGGAGGATCCGCACCGTGCCAGTACTTGGTGTTGGTGTCGTCTGCGAAGCTGTGTGCCCGCCAGAGAGTGAGCTGGCTGATCTGCGGATCACTCACTTTACGGCGCGGAGCATACATGCTTCTAACGACGAAGGCCGGGAAACCTATGCTTTCGTTATTGGCATGGTGTACTCGGACTCAACGATGCGAGTAAGTACCAGCGATGGGAGCATCAATTCAAAGCCCAAGTCTAACGGATACAGGTCTACCTGTACACTTCCTCCGCAACGTCGAAGAGATGGGCGCTGCTCCTCATGGGCAATTACCTGACCTCCTGTCTGACACAGTCCACTTTCCTCACCCTGGGCAGCGAGAACACTCTGTTAACAGCAGGCACCGACGGCCACATAGCCCTTTGGCCGCTGCCCTCCCGGCTGTTCAGAGATCAAATTTACATGGAAACCACCGGAAGCTTTCCATCGAAAGGGAGCCTTCCAGATACCATCAAGTGGCACACGCGTACCAAGATACATCAAAGCACGATTAAGGCCCTGGCGCAGCACCAACTCTCCCCAGGCTCGGTCCTGGTTGTCACTGGCGGCGACGACAACGCGCTGGCATTCACCCTGCTCTATCGAAGCAGGAGCGTCGAAGAGCCCAAGATGCAAACGTCTACGTTGCTCATTCCACGCGCACATGCCTCGGCTGTCACGGCGCTTGCTTTGATCCCGGAAAAAGCGTCGTTACGTATAGGTGGGACCGAGACTCGCTTCACGGTAGTGTCGTCGAGCAACGACCAGCGAATTAAGGTCTGGGAAATCGTTGTCAGCAATGCGGTGATGAGCGTCGACGGCATTCAAATCAAAAGGGTAGCCAATGTTCCCACAGCAGTCGCCGACGTCTCGTCTCTCGATATCCTGGAGGATGGTAACAAAGTGGACAGCAGTGCGGGAAGGCGCATCATTGTTTGCGGAGTGGGGATGAATATATGGCGGTTCTCGCCACATGAGATCAGGGGAAAAGTGCACCAGCTCAGGCCATGTAGTTTAGAAATATTCTAGACAACCTTGAGGCGGCGGGTGCAGGCTGATGGGTTCAGGGGGTACGAGGATGCGCAGCAAGTTTTCATTGACTGTGCCCACTCACAATGACACGATATACCTAGTGAAGTAGAAGCAGCAGCAGAAACGAACTGCTTATCTATACACGTCTATAGAAATCGGTGCGACATTCATACCATGAAAGCGTCAGGAGTTGCAAGCGCTCCCATCACCGATGCGTCCCCGCCATCGTCATCCGTCATCCCACTTGATCCAAGCTTCCTGACATCTCAAGCTGCAATATCATACTAACTACCTCCACCATGCTGCTCCTCCAAAGCCTCATATAACTTAATTCCTCGCCGACCATGGGCCAAACCCACTCCTCCGGCCCGCCCCCCTCAATCGATGCCCTCCACCACCGCCTAACCGCCCGCTTCGCAAAAGCCTGCTACACGCCGCTCGAGCTATACATCTTCAACCGGGTCTTCACCTCGCTGGCCGAGTCCTCCTCGGGCGTAAAGTACTGGAGCGAACCCACACTATGCCGCTTCCTCGAGCTTCCGGACGCGCTGGCGGGCGTCGGACAGGTGCTATTCCAGATGTGCGGCTATATCGGCGCGTTCCCGTTTCCGAGCCGAGCGCCGGCGATATTGGAAAGGGAGGCGCTGCTGAGAGTCGTCACGGTGATGACGGAGAGGGATGGAAGGGTGCTGAAGAGGGGGAAGCGGAGTTGGTGGGCGGAGATCTATCGGAGTTTGGCGGTTTATGAGAGGGTGCTGGAGAAGGGCAGCGGTGGTGGTGGTGGGGGAGAAGATGGAGGTGATGGAAAGGTGGCCGAGGGAGAATATACCGGGTTTGCGGTTGATGAGCCGGGAGACGAAGAGGAGGAGCAGGATGACGACGACTTGGTACTTGCCGCACTCGATTCGATGGACGCCGCGGACGCGTTCAAGCAGGGAGAGAAGAGCAGTGCAAGGCACTCCATGATACCAAGCGACAATCTCCTCAAGCTTATACAGCTGCTGCTCTTGGTGGCTCCAATGGATGCGCAGGAGAGTCTGTCGACATTTGCAGTGGACCTGTCAGAACATCGAATAGCACGCCTCAGGCGGACAGCCAAAGCAATACTGTCATCATTCGGAGTGGATCATTCTCCAGGCGTCAACTTCAAGACGTTTCTTGCCGTGGTCTCTACTTCAACGCCATATCTTTTCAACGGCTTCACGCCACTATTCGAACATTTCCTTTTCGCCAAAGACTTTGATCTCTCGAAACGCAAAGCCTCAACCACGTCTGTAGCATCAGAGCAGCCCTCTACCCCTCCCTCACTCCATCCATCCGCATCCTCGAGCCAACCGCCTCCACCACCACGAGAGCCTCTTCTACCCCCCTCAACAGCCGAAATCTTGACCCTACCCCTCCTCTCCCAAATCTCTTTCTTCATTCCAGGCGCTACCCTCTTCCGGCGGCTCCAACCCCTCTACTCGGGCGGCACCGACGGCTTCAGCCTCGGCAGCTTCGAGAAGAAAGTCCTGAACTGGCCCGGTCCCTCCCTCCTGCTTGTCTCCGGCAGCCTTCTCTCCCTGCATGGGGACTCAACCAGCGAACGCAACTTCCTCGACACCCTCCCGCCGAAACGGCTCCCGAACAGCACCGCCTCCGCAAACGCCACCGTCATCTACGGCGCCTACATCCCCGTCCCCTGGAAACCGACGCACCGAACCTGCTTCTCCGACAGCGCCACCCTCCTCTTCCAGCTCGCACCCACGCACGATGTGTTCCACGCCTCGCCCACAAACACAGACTACGCCTACTTCAACAAGCCACCCACGCTGCCCGCAGGGCTGGGCTTCGGCTCTCCGATCCCGCACCAGACGCCCTCGTCCTCGTCGCACGCGGCCGCCTCAGACAAGCCCCTGAATCTCGGCCCGGTATCCCTGCACATCAACGCCGCGCTCGAGTTCGCGGTGTTTACGCATGTAGCTTCGCCGTCGGATGCCTCGTTTGCGCCGTCCAGGCTGCCGGGACGAAGGGACAGGGACTTTCAGGACCGTTTTGCGGTGGAGAGTCTGGAGGTTTGGGGCTGTGGTGGGGATGCGGAGGCGGAGGAGCAGAGGAAAAGGTGGGCGTGGGAAGAGAGGGAGGCGGAGGCGAGGAGGAGGATTAATCTGGGGACGGGGGATGTGGAGGCGGATAGGGAGTTGTTGCGCTTGGCGGGGCTGATTGGGGGACAGGGGAGGGATAGTGGGGGGAGTATGGGGTGAGGCCCCTGGGGAGCTGGATGATGGTTGTCAGGAGTGTGAGGGATGAGGGCTGGACGCCTGTTTGGTGGTGCGATGGAATGGATCTGGTACATGGAGCAATGTGGTGGAGTAAAGGAATCTAGATTGCAAGCATTCAGGTAGGTGGGGGAGTTGGCGCCATGCAGAGTCTTCTGTCTGATGAAATATTCATTTACGATGCTGCCGTGTTAAGTGGCGAGCCGACACTGTTCAGAAATGACCTGACAAATGATTGATGGATGCCACCAGCAGTGAGGTGCTGCAGACCGTTGCAGCGTGGCGGAGCGGAGCGCTGGCGGAGCGGACATCCGTCCACCGCGAACTGCACCCTCGTCCACACCTCATCTACATCAAGCTCATCAGCATCCCTAAACACGCATCGCGGGACAGAACACCACACTACAACCTCTCACTCACCTTCACGCATCACTCCAACACAACATCTCCGCCGGCCTCCACCGCCGCAGCTCCCTCGAACTACATCCAAACTCTACACACGGCAGACCACCACAGCCAGCCGCAACGATGCTCCCCCGACCCACGCTCCTCTCCTACCTAACACCGCTCCGCCAAATCTTTCTCTCATCCTCCACCCGCTACCTAGCGACACGTAGCGGCGCAACCGGTGTTTTGGCGCAGCAGCGAAGCTTCCAGACCGCGACGACGGCATGGCGGAGTATAACCGCGATGAGTAAACGACCGACTACGGCAGCCGCGTCGGTGGAGGCCGTGAGGAGTATTGGACAGGTGCGCGGGATGAAGGTTCGTGCTCCCCGTTCGCTTCATTATCCCTCTCTACGCCAGCGTTGGAAAGGAGAGTCAAGCGCTCGGAGAACGGATTGGGGGTATAGTGGATACACAGCGCAGGCCGGTCGATGCGTAGACCGAGGACAGTAGAAAAAGCCTCGTCGACGCCGCTGGTTAGGAATTGGAGGCGCTCCATCGCCAATTGTCCAGGAGAAAACGACAGATGGGTCAGGAGGGGAGGCAGGGCGAAGCTAACATCTCCCCTGCTAGGTTCGTAGCTCCGTCAAGAAACTCTGCGACGGCTGCAAGAGCGTAAGGCGGAAGGGCGGGAAGTACGTGTACATCATCTGCAGCAAGAATCCGAAGCATAAGCAGAGGTAAGTCTCTCAACCCCCCAAACATACTGGTCGCACGGCTATGCGGTGGTTGGCTGACGGGCGGGATAGGCAGGGATAAGACGACGTTTGGAGAGGGGGAGGGACGGTTGGGACGAGTGGGTCGTGGCTTAGAGCATAGCGATGCGTTCATCAGGCCTGGGATATATCTGCCTTGCGTGTTGTACACCTAGGTTGGTATCGCACAGTATACTGTATCTGCTCCATCATGTCCCAGTGAGTTTTTAATGTAACATTCAACATCTTCTGGTTTTTGGCGCCCTTAAGTTGTCTGTCTGCAAATACCAGCAAGGCGACCGCGTCTAACTGATCAGGGTATTTGGGAAATTAGATGTAGCAATACTGCACATTACAAATTACGTCCTACGACCCTTCACTCTTCCTCCCCTCCCCCTCCCCTTCCTCCCCCGCCTGCCTCTTAACCGCCAACCCCCTCGTCTTCGTCATCTTCTTCATCGCCTCCTCCGTAACCGCCTGCCTAAACATTTCCTCCCGCACCTCCTTCTTCCGTGTCCTCCGATCCCCAATCGAAATCAGCACGCCCCCCATGATATTGCACGTAATCGAGCAGCTCAGGATCACAGCCGTCAGCGCCTTCGGCCGGACTTTGTAGTAGATGCCCCAGGTCGTCCCCGCCAACGCCATCTGGAACAGGCTGTGGCAATCCAGCACCACCACGACGGCGATCAGGAGTTTGAGGGGGAAGGCGTAGTGCGTGGGCGTCTCATGCGGTTTGTAGAATGTATGCGATGCCGCGAACTTGGATTGGTGGTGCTTGAATTTCGCGTGCTGCTCAGGCGTCAACACAATGTCCTCCTCATCAGCGATGTTCTGTGGTTCCGGCTTCGCGGCCTCGACATCAGTGTCGGCGTCCGCGGGAGGTACGGGGAGGTCATTGTGGTCCTCAAGTTTGGGCAGGCCGCGTTTCTTGCGGAGACGCCAGGTTAGGCGGTGGTAGTGCGCGACGAAGATCATGTGATAGGTGTCTACGGCGCGGAAAGGGGCCAGGCCGATGCCCATGATGGCGAAGAGAGCGACGAGGATTTGGTCGCAGATTTCGATGTAGTAGGCTTGGCGGCCGCCGACGTAGATCCAGCCTGGAAGGATGAATTAGTAAGCTTATCGTTGAGGAGGATGGAGAGGTTCTGCCACGAGTGTGGTGTTCTAGGAAGGAAGTGTAGCCTTACCGATGATGAACAGCACCCAAGCGGTGCCCCAGAATGTGATGAGGACTGAGTAGATGGTAACAAAGGCACCAAGCGCTACACGCCGTCAGCCCACGACCCCTGAAACTTGATATCGGATCACTCACGCGTCTTTACGTATTTCCCGAAGCCTCGCAAGCCCCGCCTGAACTTGGCCTTCCGAGAATGTAGGAGATGTCTGACGTAGTCGTTGAGTTCCGCCTTGTCCAGCTCGGTCCAGCCCTCAAGCTTGACGCCATGAGGCAAGACCGCGTAGTTGTGGCCCTCGGATGTCCCGCTCAAGTGAGATTTGATGGTGTTTAGAGATAGCGCGGTGTTTGAGCGAGCGAGCGGGGCAAGATCGTCAAGTGCAACTGATGCGGCTTCATCATCTCCTTGTTGGCGTGCCTCAAGCACGTCTCTGGCGCTGTCGCCTTGATCGGAAGGTGCCGCTCTTGGAGCAGTGGTGGGATGCCTTGATAGATTGTACGTCGATGTGCGGTTCAGGTATCGACCCAGATAGGGGACGAAAAGCGAGTTTTGGACGTTGTTGAGCGTGGTAAGGGTTGAAACCTCCGGATCTGCCCTCTGTCAGCTGAGACGTCATGATGGTGAGAAGTAGTATCACTCACCAACCAGGTCCAACAGATCCACTATCTCATTCTCATACTCATTCGCCCATCTGCCCCTGTTGGCTGGTGTCGCTGGTCCCCCTAAATTCCATGATCTCGCACCGCGCAGACGGCCGGCGGATCTCGGGGGCTGTGGTATGGGCTCCGGCACATTGAGCCCTCCAACAGCGTTCTCCTCCTGCAAAGGGGTCATGTGTGATGCGGCCGTCCGTTGTCTTCTCAGCTCATGTTGCCGAACGGGCTGTACTTGTCCTCGCTGCGGATCCGAGAAACTCCGCCGACGTCCTGTGTACTCGCCATCGTTACTGGCATCGCCGAAGTCGCGGGCCTGTATATGAGGAACTCCAGATGCTGACGGCAGTCTGTGGATGCGCAGACAGGGCGCAGGCGGCTGTTGGGGAGCAGATGGTGTTCGCGGTGGCCGATTTGAGGGTGTCGTTGCAGGGTTGATATGGCCCTCGGCTCGAGAAGTAGACTGGGAGAAATAGTCCATTGGACGTACGTGTTGTTGGTTGTGGTTGACAGGCGTGTAGAGTTTACTGAGTTCCTGTCATGCACGCTCCCACAAGGCTGATTGCAAATCGGTCACCGAGCGGTCCGCTCCGTTGTCGGCTGCAGGTCATATGCTTGGCACATCTGGCTTTCAAAGAGACGGGGGCGGACAAATGCTCTTCTTAGACAAAGCCAATTGCATTCATTAATCGAGGCTTTGAGAAGCTGCTCGTCATGCAATAGCGAAGAGCATCAAGTTGTATCTAAGCGCAGATCCTACGCCTAGAATAGTCTGCCCTTCCAACGACCATGCCGTGAGCCGTTCAGTTCAACGGCCGCTAATCGCTACGCAGGTTGCTAGGCCAAGATTCGAGGCCTTTGTAAGTATATGAGACGGCAAATAGTAGTTACTAGAATCACATCCGCGTTTAGCTGCAGCTGTAGTGTGCCCTACATCCAGCAGTTGGGGCTTTCCGCCGCAAAACGTACCGATGCGGATCCAGTAATGTGCAGAGGCCCCCCTTCCTGTAATAGTATCAACGAGACACCCAAAGGAAAGGCAACTCGCACGCTCCCCTCGCTTCGTACATCTCACAGTACAGCTCCCCTATTAGATCTACGGGCCTTCCTTCCTAAAGGATGCCGGCAAGGCACCGCGCAGCGGATGCGAGCTTCGGAAGCTCCGTAGGGGGGATCGGCTAATGTATCAAGGCCATTAGTGGGAATTGCGTGAGGAAAGCGTCGGTGTCGACATAGTCATGAGTGAGATAATCAACTTCGTAGTAGTGCTTCTCCACGAACCCGCATTGCCTTACTGGACCAGTGGCTCGATAGACTGGAGTAGTCGGAAGAGTTGAAGCGGTCTAAACCGCAGGAAGGTTTGTATCTCTCACTCCATGCTTTTTTCAGAAGCAAAGTCGTCATGTCAAGCAACTTCATGTAGTGAAGGGCAAGTACTGTGTCAGCGCGCGATTTCCATAGTGAAGGTGACGTTTGACTTCCGCACAATTGTGATCGCCCCAGGAGTGTTGGCTCCTTCGTACAGTCGTCCACTTACAGCAAGCAAAAAGTGCTAGTGTTCTCTTGTCCTTTTGCTATGAAGAGGATCTTGTTGTGGCTAACTTTGAGCGTGAAAGATTGGATGAAAAAGTATTTCAATCTTTGAAGATCGTGGACATCGCTCTCCGACCTGGACCGGGACATACCTGTGACTACATATCTTCAATGGACACTCAATATCCATCGAATACATACGTTAGATGTACACCTGGTTCAGAACCGATGGACTTTTCTTCTTTCGCCCCCGCACAAGTCCTACGAGCCCTGCAGCGGCTGCCCCATGCCACCAAGCGTGATCATCTTGATGGTAAGATATTCTTCAATACCGTACTTGCTGCCCTCCCTGCCGAAACCACTCCACTTCACACCACCGAATGGCGCGGCCGGATCGCTAACCAAGCCGGTATTGATGCCCACCATGCCGACCTCCAACGCCTCCGCGACACGGTAGCACCTCTGCAAGTCCCTGCTAAAGAAATATCCCGCGAGCCCCACATCCGCATCATTCGCATTCTTGACCACCTCAGCCTCCGTATCAAACTTAAAAAGCCCCGCCACCGGCCCAAAAGTCTCCTCATGCGCCAGCTGCATGTCAGCCGTCATGTCTCTAATAACCGTCGGCTGGAAGAAGTTGTCGCCCAAATCCGGCATTTTCTGCCCGCCAATCAACACCTTCCCACCCTGCTCCTCCGCATCCCTCACATGCTTCTCGACCTTGCTGACCGCGCGATCGTGGATGAGCGGGCCGTGCGTAACACCCTCCTCGTACCCGCCTCCAACCTTGAATCCCTTGACCTTCTCGGTGAAGGCCTCAGCGAACTTGTCGTAGATGCCACTCTGGACGTAGATTCTGTTCGCGCAGACGCAGGTCTGGCCGCTGGAGCGGAACTTCGAGGTAATGGCCCCGGTGACGGCGGTGTCGAGGTCTGCGTCGTCGAACACGATGAAAGGCGCGTTGCCGCCGAGCTCGAAACTCAGCTTCTTGAGCGTATCCGCGGATTGCTTCATCAGGAGCTTGCCGACGCCGGTTGAGCCTGTGAAGGAGACTTTGCGAACGGTGTTGGATGAGGTGATGGTCTCGCCCACTTCGGCGGTGTTTTTGAGGGCGGTGATGAAGTTCACGACGCCTTTGGGGATCCCGGCGCGGTGGGCGAGCTCGGCCAGCGCGGCGGCGGTGAAGGGGGTCTCGCCGGGGGACTTGGCTACGACGGTGCAGCCGGCTGCGAGGGCGGGGCCGATTTTGCGGGTTATCATTGCGGCGGGGAAGTTCCATCTGGGGCGGTCCATTGTCAGTATACTCATGCGTGTGCTCATGCGCCGGTAGCGCAAAAACAATGAACAGGGAGAAACTGATGAGAGAAAAGAGAGATTAAACGTACGGCGTGATCAATCCACAAACCCCAACGGGCTCCTTGATTGTGTACACCCTGTTCCCCGGAATGCTCGCCACGACCGTATCACCATAGATCCTCGGCGCCTCCTCCGCAAACCACTCGAAGAAGTTCGACGCGTACGTGACCTCGCCCTTGGCGTCTGCAATCGGTTTGCCGTTTTCCCACGTTATGAGCTTCGCCAGGTCCTCCGCGTTGTCCACCATCAGCTGGTACCATTTCCGCAGCATCCGCGACCGCTCACGGCCGGTTGTCTTGCGGAAGGAGGGGAGCGCCGCGGCGGCGGCGGAGATGGCGGCTTCGGTGTCTTCTTTGTTCATCTCGGGCATGGTACCGATTACTTTGCCTGTGGACGGGTCTGGGACATTATTAGACTAGCGGACATGGAGTGGGTTGAAGAGCGCATACCTGTGACCTCGAAGGTCTTGCCCGATTTCGCGTCTATCCATTCTCCATTTACGTAGGCCTGCGACTTCAGGAGAGATTGGTCGTTGAGCTACAGGCGTAAAGACCTGTTAGCAGGCGTCCATATAGAAGTCCTTTGCTATGGCACGCTTCGGCTCGTGCAAAGACCGAGTAACGGGGACTTACAGGAGGAACGCTGTGACCCATGGTGTATGATCTGAATATCAATCTGGGGAGGTAAGCTCTCTGGAAGTGTGACTTGTATGCTGTTCTGGCTGTAAATGCGATCAGAGACCTCATAGCGGAAGGCCGGATAGATATGTAGGACGGAAGGGTAAGTAGCCTCGGTCAAGGCTAGGAATTACAATTACTCGGATCTCCGCTAATAACGCAACGGGTGTTCTTTAAATCAATTGGCCCAGCGCTGTTGAGTGGGGTAAAAGTCGCGGGGAAACGCGATGACGTTTAAGTGCGCGCGCTTCAGCTGCAGGAACGCGGCGAGAGCATTGTACCGACAAAGATGGAGGTGAATTTTTGAGCGCAAGCACTGATGGCAAAGCCGCGAGTGCGCGTCCCGACCGGCTGTGAGGTCTACTACGAGGGTACACGTCCCCAGGGCGGGGATTCTCTTAGATCTCCACGGGCGTGGGTGAGGATGTGCAAATTGATAATTGGATGAGTGCCTCAGGCATGAACACATTCGGCTCGGCTTTAGCCTGTGACGTTCTTGAAATCTATCCAGAAACTTATATCAACTCGGGAGCCCACCGAATATCTATTCGAAACATAACAGCTTACTTCTATACTCTTGAAGATACTTATACTGCCGAGCTTTCAGTCTTTTAGTATCCACATCGAGTCGCTACCTATCCAAAATGTCTCTCGGTCCACCCGGCGCAAGCCTCAACCCAGAGGAAGCGGACAACTTCGAGGATGTTAGCAGAGCAGGGTCTTTGCATTCCAGAGAAACGCTAACAGGTCATAGATTGAGAAGCAGTTCGCCGTCAAAGGTTCGTGTAGCCAAGACGACCATGCTGCATGCACTGCGACTAAACCCATCCTTCACAGTCGTCCAGCACATGTCCACCTACTGGGCAATACTCGAAAAGATGCGCGGATCGAAGCTTCGCCTTACTAAGTTCGACGACGAAATCTACGCCCACTTCAAAAAAGAGTTCCCGGATTTCGATGCGACAGCTACAATCAACGAAGACGAAATGAAGAGCAAAGCAGGCAAGGAGCGATGGAGGAACTTCATCATGACATATGAGAAGAAGATCGACGATTACAACTTCGGCACAATGTTGAGAGCGAACCCAGGGTTCGAGTATGGGGAGAAGGAATCAATCTTTGGTGAGTAGCGAGAAGGGATCGTGAACGACCATTGTGCTGACCAGCGGTCTTGCAGCGGTGCGCATGCAGTTCTACGCCATTGAGATCGTACGAAATCGCGAAGGCCTCAACGACTGGATATACGAGAAGGCGCATCCCGAAGACAAGAGAGTGGACGAGACGGCACCCGCCGCGAAGTTGGAGAATGCTGAGCCTGCCAAGGGTGCTGAGGTCCCGCCTGAGGTTGCGGAGCCGGAAGAAGAGCCAGCTGCTGTGCAGGACAGCGTACCGACTGGTGCGGCCGCGTCATGATAGGCATTCCTCTTGTGACTGGATCAATAGCTTGTCCCATGACCGGGACATTCTTTCACGAGCTTGTATGAAAGGAAGCAAACTCTAGAACCGGTCCAGGCCATTCTGCATGGTAACATGGATCAACACAACGACAACCATGGCGCGACTGATTTTTTGCGTATCCTACGATCTTTTTGCTGATGAAAGAATGCGGTTTCGGCAAAGGTGGGCTCTGTCTACCTTCCAATTTAATTTAGTCCACTGGGATCCTGCAACGACGCGACTCGGCCCCAAAAAGCCTTCGCGAGGTCAGAATTTGTCCAAGGACGCAATGTTGATATCGGCGCCGTCTGTAACGCAGGTTTGCGCCAAGAACGCGTTACAAATATTGTAGCGGGTCGCTGCGGAGGATAACATGGTGGAAATGTTGCCATGGAGATAGGTTGGTCACGAAATCACATGTCGCGAATATCTTGAGAAACAATCCCGGACTTCTAGTGCTGGCAGTGAATCGTTCAAAACTCTCAATACTTAGGATTGTAACGTTTCATGGTTTCGCGAGTCTTGCAAATCCGGTCGTCTTAGCATTGTGGTCAAAGAGAACAAAGGAGAGGTTTTCGCCAACCACAATCACAAAGCTGGTCTCACTCACCACATGCACCTCGCGTTTATCTCTGAGTCTGATCTTACGAGCAAGATCTCAGCTTCTTGTCTAGCTATGGTGCCTCAAGTTTCATGACGCTCATAAAGCTCGCCGTACTCCAGTCATTACCAACTTGAATGGACGCTCGCGGAACCCGAACCCAATGCATACCAAGCCCAACCAGACTGACCCTTCACCGAATCAAAGAAATTCTAGCAGTCATTCCGCGGAAGAAATCGAAGCAGAGAACAACGATTGCGGAGAAAGCACAGAAGAACACGAGGACAACGGCGAGCCACCAGGACAGCCCGAATGGAAGGCGCTATTCTATTTCACCACAAGGCGGCATATCTGGGTCTTACTCGCTGGCATCACATTCTCGATTACCGCAGGCCTCGTGGTACCAGTGCAGGCATTTCTTCTAGGCAAGGTCTTCAACCTTTTCGTCCAGTTCGGCGCTGGCCAGTTGAGCGGCGAACAACTCGTAAAGCAAGTCTCGAAGTGGTGCAGCTGGCTCGCCGGTCTGGCGTCAGCGAGCTGGTGCTACCATGCCGGAGAATACTTCGCGTGGCTCACCTTCGGCGAGCTGCAAGGGAAGAACGCTAGAGAGCGGCTGTTCAGAAATTTGCTTGAGAAGGACATAGAGTGGTATGACATGCGGAAAAGTGGGGTAGGGGCGCTGTTCCCCCGGCTACAGATGTGAGTTGCAGCGAAGACATATCACACATTGGTCTAACAGTAGGGCAGGCAGGTCCAGGAGCTGCAACTTGCAACATCACAGCCTCTCGGATACACGTTCCAGAGTTTTGCGACGACCATCCTCTCACTCGCCATGGCAATGTACTTCTCTTGGAAGTTGACACTCGTAATCCTGGCCACCGTGCCGGTTTGCTGTGTGGTGGTAGCGTACTTGTCCTCGAAAATGCAGCGGTACGTCGAGAACCAGCACGAATCGCTATCAGAAGCTTTGAAATTCGCGACAACGTCACTTTCCAATATCGAGACGGTCAAATGCTTCAACGGTCAAGACTCCGAGAACTGGAAATACATACAGGCCATTGGGAAGGCCGCGTCGTGGTATGCTCGCCAAGCGAACGTGATCGCGCTCGAGATGGGATTTATCAGGCTTGCCACCCTGAGCATGTTTGTCCAAGGCTTCTGGTACGGAACCATGCTCGTCGATCAGGCCAAAAGCAACCCTGCTAAGATCTTGACGTGCTTCTGGGCTGCACTCATGGCGACACAGGGCTTCATGCAGTTCTTGCCCCAGCTCATTGTTCTTGAGAAGGGCAGGGCAGCCGGGGCTAGGTTGCGCGCGATCATCGAACAAGTGCCGAAGGGTGGAGAAGTGGAGAAGGGCAGCCTTCAGCCGGAGCATTGTGTGGGGAACATAGAGATCAGAAACGTACGGATTCCCACTCTGGTAGCGACGATGCTGCAGCTGACTGAACTTCTCAGGTATCGTTCGCGTACCCCGCACGTCCCAAACAGCTTGCGCTGAAGGAGTCGTCGCTATACTTCAAAGCAAACGAGATGACATTCGTGATTGGTAGAAGTGGCTCAGGAAAGAGCACTGTTGGCCAGCTTCTCATGCGATATTACCAGCCTTCGAGCGGAGATATTTTTCTGGACGGAAACGCACTAAAGGCCTACGACGTTCTATGGCTACGCAAAAATATCCTGCTCGTTGAGCAAACCAGCACGCTATTTAATGAGACAGTGTTCCGGAACATCTCCTTTGGCAGATCAGACTTCCAGGATGTGACACTGGAAGAGGTGAAAGAAGCCGCTCAATTTGCGCTACTGCAAGAAGTAGTGAACGACATGCCGCAGGGTTATGACACCATCGTCGGGTCTAAAGGTAGCTCTTTGAGCGGCGGGCAGAGGCAACGTATGGCATTGGCCCGCGCTCGGATCCGAGATACACCGATTCTCATACTGGATGAGTCAACGAGCGCACTCGACTATATTAGCCGGTCCCTGATCCTTGAAGCCATCAGGTTCTGGCGGAAAGGGAAAACGACGATATGTATCACGCATGACATCTCGCAAATCTTGGAAGAGGATTACGTATATCTGTTGGAGAAGGGTGAGATCGTGCAAGAGGGCTTCCGTGAAGCCATGGAAGCAGCGCATGGCTCTCCATTCCAAGGTTTCATGGAAACCCTAAGGGGAGAAGAAAGTCAATACAACGTGAAAGCCACAAGCGAGGATCAAGAACTGCCGAAAACAAGACACTCGTTGTTGTCCGATTCGTCCTCGGCATATACGGACCCAGGTCTGAAGTCATTGAGCAGCGAGGACTCTTTGGACGCCTTCTTCTCAGAGCCTCCCACACCACATATGCGATACATGCCAACCTTCGCCAAAGGCGCCGGTGTAGCTACTCAGAGACACTCACAGTACGTACCAATCGGCCTTGCACCACTTCTCCAGAAGTTACCGCAGGATATCATATCGCCAAAGCTATTACCACCCTCGCCAAGCTCATCTGCGAAGCGGCACAGTCCTACATCATCTGAAGACTCATTCCAAGCGATCGCGCATGACATGCCTGGTGTCGAGGGCGGCGATCTGCACCAGCTGATTGCTCGAAGTGGGAGCGTTGCCGTGCAGAATCGGCTGTCTGGCGTCAGGATTCGCAGAAATCACTCGATAGCTGTCGAAGCGGGCGAAATATCGCCAAAGCCGGTTAATCTCAAGCGCGTGTTCAGGAAACCTCGAGCAGAGAAGACCTTAACCGAAGCGTATACCATGAGGCGAATCCTAGGCACGGTCTGGCCCTCAGTCTCGTGGAAGATCAAGGCTCTCATCGTCATTGGCTTTTTGTGTGCTGCCATGCACGCAGTGGCCACTCCCGTCTTCTCGTTCTTCTTCACGAAGTTGATCCAGACTTTCTACGTTGCTACGGGCCGGAAGGAAAAGGCCTTGAGATACTCTCTGGCCATCCTTTCCATTGCCATTACAGACGCTACGTTGAGCTACTTGATGAACTTCTTGCTCGAATACTGCGGACAAGCCTGGATCAACAGCGTGCGTGCAGAAGCGTTCAGACGGATACTTGACCAGCCTCGAGAGTACCTGGACCACGCAGACAACAGTGTCTCTCGACTCGCCGAATGTCTCGATCGACATGCCGAAGACATGCGAAACTTACTTGGTCGCTTTGCTGGCCTGATCCTCGTGGCTGTCTTGATGATGACGACTTCTATCATTTGGAGCTTGGCAACCTGCTGGAAGCTGACAATGGTTGGGCTGGCTATGGCTCCGGTCCTGTACGCCATTACATCTACATATGGCCATGTCAGCGCAAAGTCGGAAGGGCTCTGCATCACAGCCGCAGAAGCCACCGGCATGATCGCTCAGGAGGCCATCACTAACATCAGGACGGTACGATCCCTGACGCTGGAGAATATGTTCCTCGAGAAGTACCACGAATCCACTGCAGCCGCATTGAAACTCGGCATACGACGCGCCGCCTTCTCAGGCATCTTCTTCGGCCTTACCGACGCCGCAATACTCTTCATCCAAGCGCTCCTCTTCTACTACGGCGCGGTTCTCGTCTCATCCCGGCAGTTCACAACCACAGACATCATGATCGTGTTCACGCAGCTGCTGATGAGTATGACGAACGTCAACAGCATCGTAGCCTTCATCCCGCAGTTGAGCTCCTCCCGCGACACAGCCACGCGTCTCCTGAAGCTCTCTACCCTTCCAAGAACCTCGCACGAGCACCTCGGCAGCACCCAAGTCGCCGCAGTCGGCGACATCGCCTTCAATGGCGTAACCTTTTCCTACCCGACCCGTCCTGCCGCAACCGTCCTTTCAGACGTCTCTCTCTCCATCCCCGCAAACACATGTGTCGCCATTGTCGGCGCCTCCGGCTCAGGCAAATCGACCACCGCAGCGCTGCTGCTGAACCTATACAGCACGCCGCTCGCGCCCTTCGAAACTCTCCCACGCATCACGCTGGCAGGGAGAGATATCAAGCACCTCCACACCCCAACCCTCCGCTCACTCATCTCCATCGTCTCCCAAACCCCCGTCCTCTTCCCCGCCACCGTCGCCGAAAACATCACCTACGGCCTGCGCTCGTCGAGCCCCTTCCGCTCCCCTCGCTCTATCCGCGCCGCCGCCGAAGCAGCCGGTATCGACGAGTTTATCGCGTCCCTGCCCTCGGGCTACGCCACCGTAATCGGCGAAGGCGGGCTCGGCCTCTCAGGGGGCCAGGCGCAGCGGGTCGCGATAGCGCGGGCGCTGGTGCGGAAGCCGGATGTGCTTGTGCTGGATGAGGCGACCAGCGCCTTGGATGTCGTGAGTGCGGAGCTGGTGCGGCAGAGTGTGAAACGCTTGGTTGAGAGGGGCGGGATGACGGTTGTGATTATCACGCATGCGAGGGAGATGATGAGGGTGGCCGATAGGGTGTTTATGCTGGAGCAGGGGAGGCTGGTCGAGAAGGGGGCTTTCGAGGAGTTGAGTAGGGGTAAGGGCCCTTTTGCTAGGTTGTTGGCTGCGGGGGAGTGGAGTGGGGAGGGGGAAGTGGGTGGTGGTGGGTAGGGTGGTCGAGGGGAGTTTAGAGATGTTTGTAATAGGATTCTTTAGCGTTGCATGCGACTACAGGCTGTGTTACTTTGCTCTAGTGCCATAGGTTGGCTAGATTAGTGATTCGATAGTGGTGCTGGTCTAAGGCCGCGTTGGAAGCAAATGTACCTAGATGAAGTCCTGACGGAGAGCGCAGTCTGCGTAGATCAAGACCAGAAAAGCTTTGAGATCAATGGTATCTCCCGAACAATATGGAGGTTGTTTGGTCACGAATATTCGAAGTCAGGAAGTACTACGCGCTTTAAGTGTCTGATTACCCAAGGTGAATCGTATCTACTGTTCGAGCAGAGTGTGATCAATCACGAGGCGGCGCCGTAAAATGATTTCCAACCGCAAACCTATCACCCTGAAGGTCCAGCGGATTCAAGGAAGCCCCGTAATCAACCAGTCGTTTCCGTAACACTTGTACGTTTCTCTCAATGTGCGACAGAAGGTATTCCAGCCGAGGCCTCTCTTCCGCCCGTGCGGCCAGGCACGCACTCACTAAGTCCCTTAATGCGCGGCTGCAAGTCACCGCCGCATCGTCTACGCGCAACTCCAGCTGGCCGTTATCATCATAGCATATGAATTGCTGCGCGTAATTGTCGGCTTGATAGATTAGTGTAGCCATGACGGCACCGATGCCCCAGACGTTGGTCCAGGCGAGTTTGGGGACCTGGCGGTGCTCAATGTTGGGGTAAGCTGCGGGATATTGCTCCTATGACAGGGGATATTAGTCTGGAGGCAAGGATGCAGATATAGTGACTATGGAGCAACTTACTGGAGCTTCGAACCCTGGTGTGCCGCCGCCCCTATGTGGACCGCTTCTGTCATTCCTCACGGGAATCGCGCAGCCAAAGTCACCTAGCCTGGGACCCGGATAGGACCCAAAGAAGCAGTCGAAAGCATAGGGGATCTGGTCGCCCAGAAACACATTGTGCGGTTTCAGGTCGCAGTGCACGATTTCTTCTCTCCAGTTGTCGGTGTAGGAGTCGTGGTACGTGTCTGGCTCCTCGGTACCGTAACGGCAGACGATGCACGCCTTAACAAGGGCATAGAATACGTACCAGAGAAAGGCTTCAGGTATATTTTGTCTGCCTCGGAGTCAGCAATGTTCGCAGTGTTGTGTGCCAGCCTAAAACATGGACAATATTCTATATCACCGTACCCTTTCTTAGCATAGTCCCACCAGAATCCACTCAAGTCTCCAAAAGGCGCGAAGTCCATAATGACCCAGTATTCTGTCCTATCATCGGCGATTCTATAGTTCCGAAGCGCACTGATGTGGTCACTGTTGCCGGCGAGTCGCATCAGGAGCTCCACTTCCATTGGCGGATCGTCAAACTTCTTAGGGCGATCTGGGTCTTCGGAGCCGCAATATTTCATTACTGATCGCTGTTAAATGCCTTAGTTAGTCTCGCCCGCCCTCAATTTCAGTGCTCATTGGCAAACATACGTCAACGATGTTGTTCTCTTTATCGAGCTTCACCCAAACCGATGCTACACCAAATCCACCCTGGCCGAGTTCAGCGCCAATGATGTGACCAGGTAGATATTCTGTGGCTGTCAACTCAGTCTCGTGCCGTCGACGAAGGCCCTCGGCGTCTCGCTTCTGCTTATCCAGGGCCTTCTTCGCCTTGTACTCCTTGGCCATTCTGGTGAGAGAATGAATGTGCGGCCGGAATGGAGCTGATGTTGAGGTCTCTTTGTCCCAACCTGCGATATAGACGCCCGCAGCATTCTTCTCAATCCCTCTTGGCGGATTCCTCGGAAGAGCTACCTCTGGCTGCTTTCCAGCTTTGTTGGAAGGTCTGTCACCTCGGGAGCGACCACCTTTTGGACTTCCAGCATTCTCATCGCCGGAGCGCGTCACTAAATCGATCACCTCAGGAGGGCGAGCGTCTTTTTGACTTTCACTGTCTTCACTGCCGGAACCCAAATCGATCACCTCGGGAGCAGCACCTTGCCCGTTGTTGACGCCTTGGGGTGCGTTGCGTATGGCATGCTGAGGCTGGTCCGGGGCAGTCCCAGCATGTGATTTGGCTCCTTGAACACTCTGTTTCTTGCTTCGGGCCGGAGAATCTGCAGGCGTAGGTGAGTGAGCTGACTCAGACGCAGGAAGAGCCATGAGCGCCTGCCGATCTGGGTGAATACCTGGACGGATATCTGGACTTGGGGCGCTTGACATATCCTCGCGTGCCGATTTCTTCAGTCTCATATCGTGGATGATGTTTGCTATGCTACTGTTTGCGGCAGCACTGTTGTAGTGAGGCTGCTTGCTTCTCTTACTGTTCGGCGGGTTGGCTTTCTCCTTCAAGGGATCCAGAGGCGGCGGTGTCAATGGTGACGCAACAGGAGTTCTGATTGCAGCTGCGGTACCATCACGCCTTGACGAACTCGAACCGATCAAGATCGGGTCGTCTGCATGCCTCCCTTGTCTATCGCCAGTGGGTGGAGGAGTTTGTTTGGTTCCATTACTATTCGACGAACTCTCCTCGTAAAATTCGTAGTCGGGGAGGGGGGATGCTGACGGTGGAACTTGAGCAAAAGGGGTAGACGCAGCTTTGGTGCTCGTACGCTGCGACCGGCTCGAAGTGATTGTAGCGCCTGCTCTTGCCTGGCTTCCTGACTTTGCGGCTGCGGGCGAAGGGGGCTGCTTCCTTCGCTTGCTGTTTGGCGGACTCTTGTTCTCGTTTCCGTCATATGGATCGGCAGATTCCGACGGTGGTATACTAGGAAGAGGGCTGGCCTCAGCGCTGGGACTCTTGCGCTTCCGACCTGCGCTGCTTGAGTTGCCAGACTGCTGGTAGATCTTCCGTTGGGCGGGCAGATGATCATTCCCGGTTTGAATGTTTCGTATCTCGCCTTCCTCGAGGCTAGGTGTCCGACGAGCGTTCTTCTGTCGAGCCATATGGGCTATTCAGGTATCCCGAATCCCTTTAGGTGTCTGACACGTGGGATTAATGTCGCGTATTGACGGCTGTCTGTTTGATGAATTTCTCTCTCCACCTCACCCTTGAAAACCGGGGCTACGTACTAGGTGAAGAAGGATCGAGCAGGATTGGCATGCAAGAACCAATACGATAGCGTAAACTAAGCGAGCACGAGAGAAGAACTGATACAGAGGAAAGAGTGCTCCGGTAGTAAATGACCAGCAAAACAAGTGCTGTATCAGCCACGAGACGATTGAGGGGCCGTACGGAGCTGGCTTGAAGCTCGGCCGGATTTTGTCCTGCAAGCGGGAGAGATTGCTTTGTTTTAGATGCTTTGGGAGTATCGTGGAGAAGAACAAATAGCGACGAAAGCGACCATCTTCCGCTTCAAGCGGCAAAGACATAGAAAGTCTTTGTTTGACAGTTGCGGAACATAGCTTGCCTTTGCTCTCTCGAGAGGAGAGGTTCTCGAAAAATGGATACTCTGAGTTCCTGAATTATGGTGGATTGGGTTTGTTCTATAGGACTCGCCTACTAACTAAGTACGAGTAGACGGCTGCGGTTTGAGCCATGTTCGTGTATCCGCTCCGGGGATGCGGCGAAGATTATGCAGCCCTCTTCGAGGGCGGTGCCATATGCTAGCGGCATGTCCGCCCTTGAGACAGAGCCATAGGTTTTCAATGAGAAGTCAAACACGTTCTGTACAGGCGGGAAGCTGTAAGTAACTCGGTGTTTGGGTAGCGAGGCTCAAGTCGGGATGATTCCAAAGGTCATCGCTATCCCAGTCACGTGACGTCATGCTTGATTATCGCCGGGCCAACAAGGTCCCAGCAAACATTCCTATCGGATGAGAACCACCCAACCGCGGCTGCAGATTAACCAGATAATTCCATCGCGCTTTCCATGCTCAGTTCAGTAAAATTGCAACCAACCCCCTCTGATCCAGCTACCGATCCAACATGCCTGCAGTCACTCGAGCCCGAGCAAAGAAGACGGACAACCCGCCATCACCAGCGAAGAATGGTCTGAAGGAACCACCGCGCCGAGGGAGGAAGAGGGCTGTCGAAGAGCCCGCCCCAGAACCGGAGAAGAAGAAGAAGACTGCGTCAGCAGTTGCTGAACAGAAGAAGGCGAACGAGCCGAAATCAGTTACGGCTCCGACAGCGGCATCCACTGCGAAGAAGTCGTCCAGCGCAACCGCGAAGAAGTCGGAGACGAACAAGATCACAATCACAACCAGGTCGACTAGGGCAGGGAAAGCATCCAAAACTGCCAAAGCAAGTGAGCCCGTGGCAAAAACCAAGAACATCATAGAAGAAGTGCCAGAGAAGAGCGAGGAAATGGCTCCACCTCTCGCAAAAGGGAGCAAGATTCCCGTCGCAACACCAAAGAAGTCCGCCGACACCGCGCCATCGAAGAGCGCTAGCCCGTTGGTAGAGATTCAGAACGTCAATATTAAAGCGAAGACACATTTTGCAGAGAAAGCAGCGAATACGGCTACACGGGGACCGGAGACAGACGCAAGGGAAAACCACCATCATCTCGTCTTATTGGAGAATAAGAATGACGCAGTCCACTCGAAGTCCTCAAGTGTTTTACCGCACAACAAGACACCCTTCAAGTCATCTTTACTCCTGCAGTCGGCCCGTAAAGCGCCTGCCGCATCACCGCTGAAGCTCCCACCGAAGACTCCTGGGAAGCTCGATGGTTCAGCCGACCCGATGCAGACCTCCTCGCTCCTGCAATGTTCGCCGCGCAAAGTACCGGTGGAAGCCACTCCAGTGAGAGCAGCTGGCGGAGAATCGCAGATGAAGACCTCTCTACTTCAGCAAAGCGCGCGCAAAGCTCCAATTGCGGCTGCATGCTCGACGAAGCACTCTAGTGAGAATATCCAGCAAGAGTCACTTCTTAGGGCGTCACCGAAGAAGGCCCCAACTGAGAGCACGCTCTTCGCCGCATCGCCTACTAAGGGTGGAAGCTGCAATTTCGACGGCAATATGTCTCTTATCCAGGTGTCGCCACGTAAAGCACCACTGGACTTCCAGCCAAGCGCGACTTCACCGACCAAGGATGAAAAGACCCCGTTTCACGGCAAGACCTCGTTACTGGGCACCTCAGCCCGCAAGATGCACCTAAGATCACCATTGAAATTGATGCCTCCGCCGGCTTTTAACCTCCCTTCTCCAATCGCTGAGCAGGAGCCCACTACTCCTACGCACAAGTCGCCTCATCACCAGAGAACACCGACAGAGCCACCAGCAGCTCCTACGACCACGCAGGCGATTGAGGAAGAACTCTTGCAGTACCAGTCACCTACCGTCTCACCATTGAAGCTGGAGTCCCTCTTTGGAACGCCAGCAGCTACTCCAGGACAGAAGAAAGAGATGGAGCTCGGCGCAATGTTGTACTCACTCGCAACCGGATCATCTCGGAAGGCGAGAAAAGACAACGACTCAGAGATAGCAGAATCTGCGCCTTACACCCCAGTTACTCCGTCACAGAAGATGCCGGCAAGGTCTACCGAGCAGGCGGAGGAACTGGATTCCGTCATTGACTTCTCCGCGACGAAGCGGATACCAGATCTGCCTCCACTGCCACCGAGTACGCCGTCAAGAGTTGCGCAACAAGCGGCGATGTTCGAGGAAGCCATAGCAATGTCTGCAAGAGGAGCTAGAGCCTCAATGAACGACCTGCTAGCCTCAGCGCGCAAGCCTGCTCTACTCAGCGACAGCCTTGCCCAGCCGCTTTCACCAACGAAATCAGCTCTCCGCTCGCCTCAGAAGTTCGGCTCGCCCAAGAAGACGGTGACTTGGACTTCCGAAGAGCCGATCTGCGAAGAGCCACCCCAAGCCGGTCCGGATGGCAATCTGATTTCAGACTGCGTCTTCTATGTTGATGTGCGCACCGTCGAAGGCGCCGACGCCGGCGAGTTCTTCATCCCTCTGCTGGAGGAGATGGGTGCGACTGTTGTGCCCCAGTGGACAAGCAACAGCGACCCAGTCACACACGTGCTGTTCAAGGACGGCGAGCAGATGACGCTGGAGAAGGTGGTAGCGAGCAACGGGGCTGTCAAGTGTGTTAACATTGCTTGGCCGATTGAGTAAGTCCCTTCCATTCTCAGCATAATTCGCGGACGTAGATAGGAAGCGAACTCGGAGGAAACGAATGCTAACAACCTCCAGCTGCGAGCGCTTCAACCACCGCGTCTCTGAATCCGCCTACCTGATTGACCTCACTCACATCCCCGGCCAACCCCAACCCCCCGCCACCCCGCGTCGCTCCACCCGCTCCCGCCCCAGCACCCCGCTCTCCGACATAACCCTCAAGCTCCCCATCAACACTCCCGCCCCCAGCACGCCCAAGTCCGCAGCGCAGTCAGCCCAGATGCAGACGCCCGAGGAAAAGGAGAACGTGCCGACGCCGGATATCCTCAAGTCAACAAAGACGACCTACTCGCCGACGACGCCGTATTTTTTGCACCCGGAGGCATTGGAGCAGAAGACGTGCCCGGCGAAGCAGGAGGGGAAGAACCTGTTTGGAGAAGAGGAGTTGGGAGAGGAGAAGACGCCGTTTAAGCAGCGGTTGTTGAGGGCGAAGGCGGGGAGGATGAGTATGTTTCCTGCTGTTGGTGGTGCGGGCAGAGGGCTATTCTAGAGAGTGAGGCTCGAGTTCCAGAGGCTTCATATTGGCGCTGGCGGTAGGGTTTCGTTTCGTTCCGTTCCAGTACGCTGAGATTTGGTGCGTTTGGGGGCAATTAACCTGGAGTTTCGGTGATGCTCGCGAGATACCCGGGCACGGAGGTTTTGTAGGCGTCCGAAGCTGGCTGCGCTGGGTGTCTACTTCTCGTGCTATTTCTGCTGCTTGGGTGTGCTAGCTTTGTTACAGTAGCTCTTGGCAGCAATACTACTCGATATCCATCCTACCCAGTCGATACTCCAACGCCTGCAATGCTTTTCCCATGCTTCTCTGATCTCCAAACGCCGTGTACCCAAGACTCCATTATGCCGATGCCGTGACAAACGCAGACATGGCCTTGACTGCATCCCCCTCATGCGCCTTCAACAGCTCCGTAGCTTTCGCCTTCGACAGCTCCAATTGCTCGACCTACGCGCACATTGTCAGCCCAGTTCTCCACTCTCCATTCCCCTTCTCCTCCTTCCAGCTCTCCCACCCACGAATTTTTAGACCCACAAAAAGTGCCACATCCCCCTGATCCACCTTAACAACCTTCCTTTTCACCTCCTCCTTCTTCCCCTCCTCCTTAACATCCAGCCCCCTCATCGCCTTCCCCAGCGCCTCGGTATCGACCTCCTTCTTCCCGGCCGGCGCATCGTCATCCTCGCCGCGTGCATCCAGCGACGAAAGCGCGGCGGCTGCTTTGCGGTCCTCGGCGCTGATTTTCTCCGGGGGAGCAGGGTCTGAAGCGCCTTCGTGGACGTTTGGCGGTTGGGGCTCTTCTGCCATTGTAGGTTTGGGGGAGCTGGGCGCGGAGTATTGCGAAGGACTGGAGTCTAGGGAATAATGTGAAGTGCAGTTATGGTGGGCGCTTGAGCACAATTGGATTTTAAAACCTGAACATCAGATATCCAAAGCGTTAGAGGGTGCGGATGGGGATGGTTCGGCACGCCGGAGGTTGCGGGTTTGGGTCATGCGGTGTGCCCCATTGCTACTCTGGCGGTCAGGAATACTTCGATATTATTTCTCTATAAATTGTAGCACCAGCAAAACAACCTATCTACAGGTACGCAGTTCGTTTTCGAAAAAAGAAAAGTCGTGAGGGGCAGATACCAGTGCGCCGGCTGCTGCTGCTGCTTTTCCAAAATTCTCACATCAGCAAACGTGGCTTCTACTGTAGTGCTCTTGAGCTGTAGGCTTCCTCACTCTCTGTCTGCGCGAATTGAAGTGAGTCATCTACAAATTTCGAAGTTGTATCTGTCTGCTTCTCTTTCTCGTCTATCTGTGAAACAATAGTGCTGGCGTCCGCGGCCTGAGTCTGGAAGAGGTCGGTGTTCTCGCTGCGTTTTGCTTTATGTAAGGTTTGGCATTGAGGCTTCGATGCCGGGCTGCTCTGCTTGCATTACCCGAGCCCATAGGTTCAGGAAGTCGCAAATTCTTCATAGACCATTCCTGTTAGCTTTTCATGGGTGATCCAGACCTTGTCCTCCCTGTTTCCTTCACTCAAGCTCCCAAATTCAGTTTCGCTTAGCTTGGGCTCTGGCTGCGTATGATTTCAGATGTCGACCATCGTGCTTATTCCTTACAGGCCTCAGAGCGTTTCACGGTACCTGCCGTGTTAAAAAGAATCATAGCTTTATAAAGCGCGAGTAGGACGTTGGACCACTCTGGAGAACCGCAAGCGACCTTCATCCGGTTCGATCACGGGGAGGGACGGATGTCCATTGCCCACGATGGACGACAACATTTTTGCAAGACTGCAGGGCTATGCGCAGCAGTTCCAGGCAAATGGCGCACGGCAGTTTCAGAGTGACAACGCAGCTGCCTCGGCATTCATCGCTCAGCAATTTCTTGATAATCCTCCGGAGCCGTTACCGAATGAGCGACCTCTGAAGTCCGTCCCAGTGGATACGTGGTCACCTTCATGTACGCACCCCCACCTCCTCATATCACCTGCGTAACAAGGGCGAAATCAATGCTAACAGTCTCCCAGCATGGCGCACCAAACCCATCAAACAAGAGGTCTCCTACACCGACCCCTCCGCCGTGACTTCCGCCCTCAGCCAACTCTCCCACCTCCCCCCAATCGTCACGCCCACCGAGATCCACAAACTCAAGTCCTCCCTCCGCGACGTCGCTCTGGGCAAAGCCTTCCTACTCCAAGGCGGCGACTGCGCCGAGCTCTTCTCCTACTGCTCCGACTCCCCCATCGACGCCAAGATCAAGCTCCTGCTGCAAATGTCGCTCGTGCTGATCTGGGGCGCCAATAAGCCTGTCGTCCGCATCGCACGCATGGCGGGGCAGTACGCCAAGCCGAGGTCCTCGCCCACGGAGACCGTGAACGGGGCTACTGTCCTTTCCTTTCGCGGGGATATCCTGAACGGCTTTGAGCCCGCCGCCAGAGACTTGGATCCCGGCCGGCTGGTTCAGGCGTACTTCCACTCCGCTGCAACGCTTAACTACGTCCGAGCGCAGTTGGCGTCGGGGATCGCGGATCTGCATAACCCGCTTGACTGGGGCCTTGGCCATGTCAGGGACCCGGCGCTGCAGGAAAGATACCAGCGCATCGTGAGCAGCATTACGGATTCTCTGCGCTTCATGCGCACGGTTGGCGTGGACACGGGCGCGGGACTGCAGACTGTGGAGCTGTTCACTAGTCACGAGGGGCTGGTGCTTGAGTACGAGGAGGCGCTGACTAGGCGATTGAGAAGGCCGGCTGGGTATCCGGCATCATTTGCAACAGATGATGCGCGCGTTGACAGCGACGAGAACGCTATCGATGGCGAGGCTGAGGGTGATGCCAAGGCATTCTACAACACCTCCGCCCATTTTCTCTGGATTGGGGACCGCACGCGTCAGCTCGAGGGCGCCCATGTCGAGTATTTCCGCGGCCTGGAGAACCCGATCGGCATCAAGGTCGGCCCGTCGATGAAGGCGTTGGAGTTGGTTGAGCTGTTGGACATCGTCAATCCGCAGAAGGAGATCGGTAAAGTGACGCTCATCACGAGGTATGGTCAGGACAAGGTGGAGACAATGCTGCCGGGACATATTGAGGCGGTTAAGGCGAGCGGGCATGTTGTTGTTTGGCAGTGTGATCCGATGCACGGGTGAGTCGACAAACTCCTGATGTGGAAATGGCTATGACTGGGAACATAATGTTGACGAAAATTCTGCAGTAATACACGGAGCACGCCCACGGGCATCAAGACTCGCCATTTCAGCAGCATTTTCTCGGAGCTCTCTTCGGCGCTGAAGATCCACAAGCTCCATGGCTCGTTCCTTGGAGGCGTGCATCTCGAGTTGACGGGTGATGCTGTCACGGAGTGCATCGGCGGTAGCGAAGGTCTGGTCGAAGAAGACTTGAGCCTGAACTATACCACGTTCTGCGATCCGAGACTGAACGAGAAGCAGGCCCTGGAGTTGGCGTTCCTGGTTGCTGGACATTATCGCGGGGAGAACGTGGTCTTGCGGCGAGACTCCAGAGCTGGGCGGGAGTAGTGTGTGTCGGTACTGTAAAAGCTTGTGATCTCCACATCTCTTATTTCAAAACTCTCGAGCATGATTTCTGCATTTTTTCCGGCGTACTTCTTAAGCTCATATACGTCTAATATCATATCATTTCCACGAACGGAAGATCAATCCTCTGCTGTATATACTCGAGAGCCTCAATGACTTTTTCGTCCTCGTACCTGCGAGCGACAAGTTGGAGGGAGATTGGTGCCCCGCGGTACTTTTCTGGCTTATCTGCATTCTTATTAGTCGACTGTGAGGAATGAAAAGGGAGATCGCCAGGCATCACATACAGAGCTCGTAGTTATACTTGTCTTTCTCATTCCTCGGCTCATGTCCCTCTTCCACTAGGTCGACCTCTGGTTCAACCTTTGTAACCTGCGCATATCAATGAAACGGGTCCCCCCTTTAGATCATTCTTGCGAGGCATACCGGAAACACCAATGCGGGATAATCCAACAGGTTCCACTGACTTGTATAGCCCCAATATCTGGCACAGTCCAATGGCGGCGCTGCCCCCGGCGTGACAGGACACAGAATTACATCTACCGCGCCTCCGGCGTTCGCTCCGCATGCGGTGTCGTTCCAGATCTTTGCATAATCGGCGCGGTATTGCTCGCGCATTTCTGTCAGCCGCCAGACGTCGGCAATCATGCGGTTCTTCACAAAAGGATTCTCCTTTATGATGAAAGAAGAGAGCGGTCGCCAGGGCTCGCCGGAGGCATCGATGGCTGCGGTCTCTCCGGCGCCAGCGTCGCAGAAGTAGAGGCTAGCCTGGGATCAAAATCAATATCATCTCATGACGGCTGCAGCACTAGCAAAGAAGTGGGCAACAAGGATTTCAGTCTTACGATAATCTCCCACGCCAAGTCGTGCTTCCACGGGTTCCACTCGACAACCTCGATGCCATCGACCTCCGCCAGCTTATCCACCACCTCCTTTAACGCCCTTGTGACCGGTGGGTGCGGTCTCACAACTCCATCATCCCAAATGACCCCAACCTTAAGCCTCTTCCTCCCCTCCCCATCCACCCTCAGCCAACTCTTCTCTTCCCTCCACTCAAAGGGTACACAACTCGGCTCTACTAACCACGGCTTCTGATCCAGTATAGCCCTCATAAACATCTTGACCCCGCCCAAACTCGTCGACATCGGTCCCACAGCCGGAACAACATGTTCCTGCCCAACCATCGTAGCCGTAAAGCCCCCAATCGGGAGTCTATAACTCGTCGGCTTCAGCGCATAAACCCCACAATTCCCCGCCGGGCTCCTCACACTGCCTCCAATATCGGTCCCCACGCCCAAACAGCTGCCCCGGCACCCCAACAGAGCACCTTCGCCCCCGGAACTCCCGCCAGAACTCAGTTCCCGCTGGAACGGGTTCACAGTCGCGCCGTATAGATTGCTGCTCGTCTCGAGGTGCATCAGCGTCTGCGGCTGAGTCGTACGTGCGTAGAAGACGGCGCCGGCGCGCCAGAGGAGCGTGCAGATATAGGCATCGCGGGGCGCGAGACGGCCGACCCAGGAGATGAAGCCGCCGTTGCAGTCGAGGCCCGCGAGGGAGATGTGTTCTTTTACAGAGATGGGGAGGCCGTGGAGGGGGCCGATGGGGCGGCGGTGCTTTTCGATGTAGTCGTCGAGCTCGGCGGCGCGAAGGAGGGCGCGAGCTGGGAGGAGCTCGGTTAAGCAGTTCGTCTGGGGGGAGGGTTATTGGTCCGCGCAGTTGGGGTTGCATGTATCTCGAGGGGGAGGGAATAATGAGTGCGTTGAACATCAAGGTCTTACCAGCTTCTGTGCTGATCCAGCACGCCGTAGAAAAGCGGTGGTGACTTCTGTGCTTGTGATGGTACCAGTGGACATAAGCTCCACTAAGTCCTCTGGTGCAGTCTCGGTGATCTCGATTTCTCGCTCGGAGAGCAGCTCCTTGGGGATGCCGGAAACGTTGAGTGGGAGGTCAGAGGCCACATCTGGGACTAGGGGCTGGACAGCTGCGATTGTTTCATCTCGGTGCTTCTGGGCTTGTTTGGCGATGTCTTGCCAGCTGCGCCGGTGAGATGAATGGGAGGTCATGACGGACAATTGATGAGACAACAGGGAAGTACGGGGCCCAGAATGACAAGGCGATGGTAGAAGATATTTAACTATCTACATCCGCGGCCAGGAAGGGCCTGTAGTGGGGTATCTCCGGCCTGTAGATGTGTTGATAGAGGCATGCTGGGTGTTGATAAGAAGGTGGAGCTTGGCTGCTGCAGCGCCGATCTTAGGTTCGTCCATTCAGCCCCGCTTGTCCTGCCGTATTGGCTGTTCTACTTGCCGCGCTGATGTTGGTCCACTTCGGTGTGCTCATTGGATCAAGATTCTAATATTGATAACGAGCATACGCAGGAAAGCCAAAGCATGTGAGACACGCGGAAAAAGAGATAATAACAGGAAGCGAAATCAAGAGCCAGGCACGCCTGAGGACATTGTTAAGTTGACATACGGGATTGATGTAAAAGAAATCGACGTGTTTAACGCGCCGATTAGATTCAGTGTCTTCGGAGTTGCTGACCACCATGCTATAGTAACATGTAAGTAATGATTTGTGAATAGGGGACTCCTGACATCTCTTACACCTAGCTTTGCCTGATCCATTCTAAATTTTCATGTGAGCTGAGGCCTAGTAGCAGCACGAATTCATACATTCGAGGTGAGATGTAGCACCAGGCGGAGCATGACTATTGCAGCACAAGCATATTCATAGAGAGCCTGAACCCCCGAGCTTTCCCCGGTGCAAATCCGTGATGACATGTAGAGCTCGATAGCTCCCCAGCTATACAAAAGCTCTAAAAACCCCTCCGGTTTGCCCCTGCAAATATGGGCTCATCTTCTTCAAAGGCAGCTCGTACAGCTAGCGGTGCAGCACGAAGATATCCCTCCCGAACACCTCCCACCACAGCTGCTCCACGAACTAGCAACGCGCCCTCACAACCACCACCGCCAGGCGATCCCTCGAGACCCGGACCTACCGTACGGCCACAAGCCAGAGCGAGCGAAACAAGAAATGAAGGTATGTTAGTTTCACTCCCCTCCTCTCTCCAGTTACCTTTGATTCCAAACCCCTCCAGCGCCACTCCAATTCCTTTATCCACGCACGGCTAACACAGCGAACCCACTAGCAATCAACCTCGACGCCTCCGACCCCGCCTACGCAGCCTCCCTCCGCTCCCTCGGCGCCGTAAACCCACACCCGCATTTCTCCCCCTCCTCGACCTCACCCTTTGACCCCTCCGCTACCTCCTCCACCGCCACTTCCTCGCCCTACGCCTCCCCCCTCCACCAATCCTCCTCCCACCCCACCCCCATCAACTCAGCTCTCGTGATGCTCGCGGCGCGCGACCGCCTGGCGCAAGAGGCCGAGCGCGAGTTCGACGAGGTGGCGCGGCGCGGGAGGGGAGCGCAGGGAAGGCAGTTCTTGGATGTGGGGTTGTTGCGGCATGTGTTGATGCTAAGGGATGAGAAGGGGTTGAGTGGGGAGGAGATTGAGCGGCGCTTAGGGCTGAGGAAGGGAATTGTGGGGAGGTTGGGGGCGAAGGGGGTGGTGGAGAGTATGTGAGGTGGATTGAAGAGGAGGACGATGAAGGGGCAGAGACGATAAGTGTGTGGGTTTGTTGAGGAAGAATGGGGATGAAGGACGGGAAGAGGGACGGTTTGCGGAGACGGCATTGCACTGGAGTTTTGGGGGTTGACGGTGTTGGTTTTTTCTGCCAGTACCAGGCGAACGTGTAGGCATGGTAGCGGAGCTGATACGTCAAATTTTGGAGGTTTTGTTGAACCATATCGCCGACTCCTCCCACGTGATAGGCTGCCAGACTCACTCAACTGGACCCAACATACCCACCAACCGCCCTACCAAGCAGTATGCCCCCCATCGATCTTCAAATCCGCGCCAGTCATAAAGCTACTAGCATCACTAAGCAAAAACACCGCCGCGCCCCTATACTCCTGCGGCTTGCTCAGCCGGCCCAACATATTCTGCGTCGCCCACTCCGTCTCGCGCTCCGGAAACTTCTCAAACAACATTGTTACCATCTGAGTCACAATATAGCCTGGTGAGATGGTATTGACGCGGATGCCGTACTGGCCCCACTCCATGGCGAGGTTGCGCGCAAGCTGTATGACGCCGGCCTTGGAGGTGTTGTAGGCGGGGCAGATTAGGCCCTGTATCACTGTTAGCGCCCGCATTCCCACGCACCAGGACTTCTACAATAGTGTGTGGTTGGAAGGGAGGGAGCACATACCCGATTCGCAACACTCCCACTCATACTCGCAATAAGCACAATACTTCCCCCGCTTCCGAACCTAACCATCTGCTTCGCCACCGCCTGCGCCGTCATGAACACGCCCGTGATGTTCACCTCGAACATGCGGTTCGCGTCCTCGGCTGTGTACTCCAGCGCTGGCGTCTCCTGCTGGATGCCTGCCGCTGCGATCAGCCCGTCGAGCCGCCCGTGCTCGGAGGCAATGTCCGCCACTATCTGGGTTAGGGAGCTGGCGTCTCGCACGTCGATCTGGCGGTAGTGGAGGGCGGTGCCTAGCTCGTTCTGCGCCTTTGCTTGGAGCTTGGGGAATTCTTCCGAGGGCTCGGGCAAGCGGTCCAGTGCATAGACTGCGGTATAGATGGTTAGCTGCCGGGCCTCTATGCGGCCTTTCTGATCTCTATCATTCTGCAATTCGGCGGCCGCTGGGAGGAGACTAAGATGAATGACATAATCTTACCTGTAGCCCCAGCCTCCAACAACGCCTCTGCTTGCGTCAATCCGAGCCCGCGCGCCCCGCCTGAGACCAAAATGACTTTATCGGTAAGGCTGAACTCTGGAAGCCGCTTTTGCGTGCCCAGGAAGGACCGCGCTGCGTCTGCCTTGTCGTCTGAAGGCGGTTGCGGCGGTCCACGGCCCTCAGCATTCTTCAGCGGGCGGGTGGTGCCGAAGCACCTTCGGTTGGCGAGAGCGGCGAGACATGATGCTCGAAGGGCAATTGGAGAGGCGAGTGGGACGCGGCGGATAAGATTAGGAAGGAGGCGGATTGGGGTGCTCATGGCGTATGGGGTCTCGAGTAGTAAAGTGAATTAAAAACCTTGGATCTTGGCCCTTCTTCTGCGGCTACTCAAGAGATTGAAGCAAGCTTCGTGTGTCTGCTAGTAATGGAAGGGTGTAGAAGATGCGATTGAAGTGGCTCTGGAGCACAAGCAGAAGGACTGAGAGGAGATCCGAAGTTGAGGGAGACAAGCGACAGAGGAAAGAAACCCGACTCCATACCTGCATTACCTACCTGCCTCTGCCGACTGCAGCCAAGCTACCAAAAGTGCTCTCGGTGGGCAACTCACCCGAGCCCACGGTGTTTGTGCCTCTCTAAAGTGGGTGCCAACAGGGGAACAGATGCGGAGGTATAACGCGGGGCTCGGGATACTGTTTTGGGCCTTCCGGTCGGAAACGCCAGGTTCGGCACTGAGAAAATAAAAAAGTCACCACCAGCAAAGATGCAAAAACATACAGCAGTGGGGATTCGCTAGTGGTCATCCACCTAAGTACTAATCTATCTTTAGCTGCCCGCAAAATCTCGATCTCGTGAGAGGCCTTCTTGTTGGGCGGCAGTCGAGGACAAGCTCCTGGGCAATCGTAGGGGTCTCAACATACACAGCGAGGTTCAAAATTTGAGATTCTTTATGCTTGAACGTCCGATCGGGAATAGAGGAGCCTGAAAAGGAAGCAATACAAAGCCGGTGTAAGGAAAGCGATTAGAGACATCAAGAGAAGAACAAGCGCGAGAGGGCAGAGTTCGAGAAAAGTGGGCGATCGAAGGGTCCCAGAATCCGGCTCTGAGAGGCCCGTGAGAAGATGATGTTCAAGCGGTAAACCGTAGCTGGGCCTGAGTCTTCTTCCGTCCTAGACTATCAGGCACATCGGTCTTGGAGAGTAGCATAGCCCTCTAGCCACACTGCCTGTCATTAGCCAATCAGGGACGGCAAAGCTAGTGTAGCTGATACAAGTATCATGGTGCACAGCCGCGGCTGCGGATATTATAAATAAATTCTACTTTTGCGACTCTGCCTAATCTTTCAGTCTTTCTCCCGTCGCTGTCTTGTGCCTTGGTACACTGAATGATACTAGTGTGCAGCTGATATTCAAGGACGCTTCCGGCAAGTCCGCTCCTCGCAATCTTGGTGCTAATGCTCAGCTGATTGACATACACGCCGTACTCTCTCAGCCCGTTCTGCGGATAAATCGCTGGACCAGTAGCAATTCACAAGTGTCACAGCTGGAGAATGCATTGCCATCATGGGCTGAACGGCGTTTCCGGAGAGAGAACGCCTTTTCCAAGTGCATTGCGACCAGTACGCCATGGACAGATTTCGCAGTCATAAGACTGTCATTATAAAAAGAAAGACATGTTTCCAAGTTCACAGTATCGATAAGTTGAACACCCGGCCACTTCTATTCATGCATACCTGAAGAACCTTTCACAAAGACTATAATGTTTTTTTTCCATTCTATCATCCTCGGGCTTCTAGCAGCTACATGCAGCTTGCAGAGCGGCGTAGCAGCCCGCGCTCTAACTGTAACGACGAGGTCTACGGACATTACCTGCGGAGGCCAATTCCCAAAAGCAGGCGACGGCTTTGCCCAGCGCCCCGACGGCTGTTCAAGCTGGAGCGACAACCCGAACCAGGTGCGTGACAAGTGGGGGAGTGCAAACTTCGGAGGCGTCTGCGACGAGCACGACCGCTGCTACTACACGATCGGCGCCAACGTCGACGGGTGCAACAGCAACTTCTGCGGTGGCCTCAGAAACGCATGCCGTAAAGCCTATTGCAGGAAGATCCTCGGTGCAACGGTGTGCGAGCCCGTGACCTACGGATCTTGTACGGCGATTGCAGAGACGTATTGCGCTGCAGTCAGATCAATGGCGGCTGGGACATATGCAAAAGCGCAAGACCTTCAAAAAAGATACGACATATGTATCGCGGAGAACGGTGGAATCACCCTGCCGCCGCCTCCAGTGCTGTGTAGTAATGGAAGGCCCGAAGGCGCAACGTGGAAAGAAAGGCCAGACGGCTTGAGATGCACAACCACCTCATATGTTTGCCGCAACGGCAAAATCACCGCGACCGGCTCGTTCCGCGCACCTAACTGCATCGAGCAGGGCTAGCTTCGGAAGGGATGAGGACATCCGAGGAGCGCCTAGACCTTGAGCCAGACCTTCAGCTCGACCTTCAGCTCAAAGTCGAGCTACCCCAGGGTGGACCATGAACTCTGTTTGCATGAACTCTCTTCATTGTTGCCGCAAGTGCCGACGACTGTCTTGTTCCTTCAGCGATGTATACTGTACCACAGTCGCTCCGTGGTTAGAACCGTTCTGTCTGCCTGAACGTATCTTGAGATCCGTTATATCAGTCTTTGCTGTGCCAATCAGTGTGTGGGTGAAGGAAGCACATAAGTACAAGTAGATTACCAAGATCGTGCCTACTTTTGATCGGATTCTGGCTTTTGCAGCTGAATGCGATGGTCCAATTTGATCCTTTCTGGGTTGGAGCTGTACACTTTGCCCCATGGTTAAGCTTCGCACTAGGTTACATAGCGAGGCCGGAACGCCATGCCGCGTCCAACGCCGTCTTTCATAAAGCCTCTCGCCGATTTCACACTCCTCACTCGAAACTCGGCCCCAACATCAGCACACTAAACCTCATTTCTCCACTCCCCGTTTCTTCCTCTCTCTTAAAGAATTTCCTGACCCCCATCTCCAGTGCCCTTTCCGAGAGCATATCCTCTCCCTCCTCCAGCGCCCCTCTCTTTACCGGTCCCTTGCTACCCCCTTCCAGCTCCCACAAACACCCATCCTTCCCCCTTACAAACGCCAGATAGTGCGTATCACCATGCGCATCCACATCAGGCACCGCTGAATCCCCCGTCCTCGCAGCAGCCATATGGGCCGCCTCTAACGCATCGCTATCCTCCAGCACCTTGGCCCTCCTGTCCGGAGTCAGCGGGATGGCTTGCTCTAACAGTTTGTCCAGCTCGCTGCCAGAAGTGATGGATTCACGCTCTACCCCGTTGCACACGCAGTGAAGCAGCCCGATCAGCCCGCACGCATTACCGATGGTTTGCTTGAACCAGATGACGGGCTCGTTGGCCCCGCTGCCGCGGTAGGTTGGAATCGTGGCTTGCTCTTCGTTGTAGGCAGCGAGGTAGGCTGGCGTGGCCGGGAAAACGAAGAGGAGGGCGAGCGCGGGCCGTGAAAGGAATGAGAGGAGGGTTGGGTCTGTAAGGGAGTAGACGTCGTGGAAGGCGAGTGTGGAAGAGAGACCAAGCGCATAGGAGAGCTGGTTCATCACATGCGGGTTACTCTCTGAGGGTCACATAAGCGCATGAATAGAGTGCAGTGGAAAGCCCAATTTCACTGAAGGAATTATTGGTCTTACCAAGCATGATGAACTTCTTTCCTGGTCTCTTGGGCTCATTTACGGGTAGAGGAGTTGAAATCGACATGATGGTGGACAGCCAAAACTCTTAAAACAGCGGCAGTGGGATGTTTTTGTTGATAGTGAGATTGTCTGTGATAATATAGACTCAAACGTGAGTGTTTTAGACTCCTATACATGTTGCATACGCGTATACGCGAATACGCGCATACGCAGTCCTTGTCTTTATCAGCCCGGCTGCCTAATCTAGAAGGCAATTTACCTAGACTAAGCTAAAAGTTCGGCTAACCAACGCGCTTATGCAAGAATCCTTGTAGTTGATCGTCTTGGCTCGAGCTGAAAAAGGAGCTAGTTAGCCGATAAAGTAGTTCGTTAGCTTAGCTAGATGCTTAAATAAGAATACTAGTACTACTATCTATATTATCCCTAATAGGGGTAAATAATAGAGGCTATAGAGACTATAGATATAGTCTAGTATATAGATAGTAAGTGTTTCTCTTATAAAAATCTTATACTTAATTTAGAATAAGAATCTTTATATTCTTATAATATACTTAGTTAAACTACTCTAGTAATATTAATCTATTATTATATCTTACACTATCCCCTATTCCTTAATTAGGATTATACTATATTCTAGTAGCTAGTATTATTATCTAGAGATACACTATATTATATAAGTAAAAAAAAAAGATTTTCTAATATTAGCATTTTGTTTTGCAGCTCAACTATCTCTAAGATGCTTGCGTGCAGCTCCGATAACTCTAGTAGCTTAAAGCTAGCTCCGAGCTGTTAGATTTCACTACTAGCAGCTCTATTATAACCTAGCTAGAAGAGAGTCTTAGTATAGTATTAAGCTATACTATACCTAGCTTATTACTAAGCTAGATATTATAACTCTGCCTTCTTAGTATTCTTTATATATCTATAGATGCCTACTATCTAATAGATAATAGGCTTTAGTCTTTATATATACTACTAGATACTATTTCTTAACTACTATAGAATATATCTTACTACTAGTAATTACCTAGCTCGATACTATTAAGCTACTAGCTACTTATATAAATATATTAACCCACTAGCCTATAGATCTCGCTAAGAGAATTCAGGTTACTAATAAGCTTTAAGCTATTAGATTTTACTACTAGTATCTTGGAGATAGCTCCGAGCTATCCGAGCTATTAGATTTCACTAGTAGCAGCTTAGAGCTAGCTCTAAGCCATTAGATTTCACCACTAGATTCTCAGAGCTATCTTAGAGCTGCTGTCTAGAGTTCCTTAGTTTTCACTCTCTAGCTAGTAGAAGCAGGACAGCTATGTTTTCAAAAACTGAACGGTTCAAACTCATTTTTCTCAAAAGTTTCACGGGCGTATAATGCAAGTAGAGCTGCCTCTACACGTAGTGGTGGTGGTGGTTGATTGAGGCTTGATAGAGCTCGATGGACGGAGTTAGATGGACGGGAGCTTTATGCAGCTTGGCATACGAGGTGGACGAGATAGCTCGAAGTGGACGAGATAGTTTAAGCTGGCGGTAAATCGAGCCATCTCGCGAGCCGCTCGCGAGAAGGATATAGGCTCGGCAGCTCTAAGATCTTAGAGGTAGCTCTAAGACCTTAGAGGTAACAAAAACTTTTGCTAATAAATATATTAGATGTAATAATATTATAAGCGCTATAGACTCTTTATAGCTGTATTTACCTTAGATACTAATATAAATTCAATCTTATATAAATGTAATAGGAGCTAGTCTAGCTTTAGTGGGCTTACTTTAAGTTCTAGAGGTATTAATATCTTATTATACTTAGAAATCGCTATTGTAAGTTACATCTTAACTATTACTACTAATATCTATATCTTTTATTTTTCTACTATACCACTATTTAATATTAATTGCTAGTAGTATAAAGTTTCTTTATCTATTATTCTACTAGATATACTACCGCTATTACTATTCTTATTATTTACTATAATAGAGCACGTTATTTAAGATAGTTAATTTATTACTAAATCTAAAACTAGAACTCTCTAAGAGTTTGCTAATAATGTAGCTAACGATCTAAATCTCTAAAACACTTTTATAGAGCCTTAAGTACTCGAAGTAGATTAGTAAAAAATAAATAGTAAATATTATATATTTACTAGAGTTTAGTTCTATATTCCTATATTAAAGTATTTTAGCTAAATGTTCTTAGATATTACGGGTACGCGAGTAACAATCTATTTAACTATAGTGACTTTCTACTACGCTAGTTATACTATAAAGAGCTTTTAGGAGAGAATTTAACACTTAATAGTAAAGCGCTAATTAATCAACTAACATTATAGAAAGGCTTTTGATCTTAGTAAAGAAGCTTGCAATCAAATAAGTTTTGAGTGTAAGTGCTATTAGTCTCTAGAACGGCTCCGTTAACCACCTAACCGGAAAACTTAGATCTCTAGTAAAAGGACTTGTAGTTCTGTATCCACCTGCTGTAGAGGAGTAGTACTCTGATAGATTTCAGTATTGCTTTGTTAGCAAGCTTTGCTTTGATGCTAGTGGAAAGAGGTCTTGGCACCAAAAACAACGCTCGGATTATACGTAGGTTATGCAGTCTGGTTAAAAGAACCTCACATGGTTGTTAGCGTTGTGTTTTTGTATAGCGTTGACTTCTCTTGTTAATGAACGCACCCTGCACAGGACTGCACTGTGATAATAATTCATAAACTTGAAAATTCAATCACCATTCGGAACAGATTAACTAAGCTCACCGCCCGACAGAATAACGAACACTAGAACTTAAGGAGTTGACTGTAAGATCACGACGTTTATGAGCAGGAAAAAGAGCTACATGTAAGTTTTTTTAGGTTTATCGCACCACGCCGTTGTGATGCACGCTGTTGTGGTGTTCCTGTACGAGACGGAACGCACAATTCTCTCAAAGGGTTAATAAAAAGGATAATGAGAGTTAGCTGCCTTGTAGCGCTTCAGACCGCCCTAGCCGCATTTCCCCTCAATCAAGTCTACACCACGAATTCGCTCACGCACAAAATGGCAGTGTCCTTTAATACGCCAAATTTGTACTTGCGATCCACGTCCTTGTAGCTTTCGCTATCTAGCATCTCTTCAAAATGTGTAATGCTCGGATAGTGCACGATTCCAACCGCTTCCCATCCTCCATGCTTCTCTGCGTCCACCGCACCGATCAGCTTCGCTGCGATGCCTGCGCTTTTGCCGGGCCCTGCAGCAAATGCCGGCACATACCCGCCCATGTAGCGCTCTCTGCCGCCTGGGTTAAAGGCGAGCCAGTTGAGCATCGTCACTGCACGGCGACCATCTGAAGTCGGTGCAAATGAACGGAACCATGAGCGCAGGGCCGGAGTGACGGCAAACTCGAAGTCCTTGTCGCCTGTATCGTCTGCATGATCGCTTTGCTTGCCCTCAGATCCTTTCAGCGGAGGTATGTCTCCTGGTTGCGGGTGCAGTATTCTCTGGTTCATGGCGGGCAAAGAGTCGAGCATCTCGGTAGACACATTGAAAGGTAAAGACCACTGGCCGCGGACGAGACCCTTCAGCGCTTGGGGCAGCGGTTCATTATTGGCGAAGACGATCACGGCGTCCCACGGATGAGGACTTCTGAGTAGCGGATCGACAGTGAGTTTCTCTGGCGCGATAACCCAGTGGTGAGGTGTTGCTACCAGTAATGGCTGAGCGGGTAGCGATGGTATGACGGACAGGAGGGGCTCAATTGAGGGATGAGAGGTGAGGGATAGGAGATGGAGCGTGCAGACTGACATGTTTACGATGAAAGTGAATAGAAGAATGGAAAGATCAGGAGAAGAAGAAAAGCCCGGACAAAACAATACACTTAATGCTTGCGTCCTAAGCGATTCTGCTGCTCACCCTCCGGAACGAATCCTGACCTTGATATCCTTTGCTGTACACCGGCTATCTATAGTCAAGATCGCCATTGTCGATGCATGATTAATATACCCTTACACGGAGTTCGGCGTTTATCTCATGCTGAGATCCTTGCTATCTCCGGTAATGGGGGCGAAGTGTTACGCTGTCGGCGCGCAGAATAGTAAGCCTCAAAAGCCGTGTGATTGATAATGTCTTAAGCTAGTCCTAGAAGGGGTAAATATATCAGCGCTAAGCTGAGCTATGTTTGCCGTGTTTGCGACAACGGTCAACAATCGGCGGGCAGGAGTGATAGCAGGGGCAGGTGCCGCTCGCTGTCAACGCTTGAAGTGCTTGAAGTGTTACGCGCGTAGCGACTAAATAAAGCAGCTATGCTAACTAACCGAGTCGGATGCTAAGGCGGTTAGGTTTCGTGGCAGACTACCTAGCATAGCCGCTTTATTTAGTCGCTACTTGCCCTCAACTCACCCTCTGCTCACCCTCGGGCTGCTCACCCTCTGCTCAGGTGATGCTCGCTCATGCTCAGTCACATTACTCCTCTCCTTGCGAACACGCTGAAATCTCGAGATCGTGTCAAGCAGTCTGCGTAGAAACTCTTACTAGCAGCTCTGTCGGTGCGGCCTACTGTAGCATGCGTAAGTACCGGTCTGAAACTGGTATAACTAGTACAGAGACAAAAGGTCGACCTTCTGGCTCTCCAGGCCAGAAGCTATATTAGCACTGAAAACGGCTTGCTTACTTCTGAATACGTAACCCGGAATCAGCAACCTGCTGCTGCCGCTGCATTGCATGAGGCTGAACACTGTCAATGACTCAGGACAAAATGATTAAGCCGCTGCAAGCTGTGGGAAAATCTTTGTGAGTTGTCTCTCAACCTACCGTTTACGGTTTTCTTTCCTATGTCCTTGTCACCGGGAGGAGTATGGGACGACCAAACAACAGCAACAGCAGACGTGTTGAGATTCTGGCGAAGGTCGCACCATTTCCCTGCGCGTTCCCGGTCAAGAGCTATGGCGCATTCAAGACACAGCTTCTTGATCACCTGAAGTTGACGTAAGCATTCGTTCTCATATTCTATTCTACATAATATTAACTATCCATTCATCGGCTTTATCGAAAGCGGACTGTGTTATTTGACTGGCAACTCCAATACGTCGGAACACTTTAGTGACCGCATCAATCTGCTCAAGTAACAATCCAAGGCCGTGCTTCGTTGTTCCTGAGTTTCGACTGGTAAACATCACGAGCAGGATAAAAGCCTGTGACATATCACCCGGACTACTGTCACGTTGAAGCTTCATTTGACAGGACTGATCTCCTAACTCTTCTTGAAGAAGACTAAGTTGTCGCATTCGGCCACGGAGAACGATGGATCCCTCTTAATAATGATCCCTTAGGATCATTGTCGATGTGATCCTAGCACAAGCCCCCTAATTAAGCTAGCTGGCCTTTGCGACTTCCTCGCAGTCGCAAAAAGTCAGCTAGCTTGTTTGGGCGGTTTGCGCTAGGACCACATCAATACCCCGGATCCACACTGTCTTTGGAGTAGGCCTCGAGGTCGTCGCGCAAGATTTGCCTACGCAAGATCTGCTTGTGCAAGATCTGCTTGTGTAAGACCTGCTTGTGCGCAATCTACCTACGCAAAGGTTGCTTGTGCGAGGTTTGCCCACGCAAGATCTGCTCGTGCGTAACTTGCCGACGCAAGATCTACTTGTGAGAGATCTGCTCACGCAAGACCTACTGGTTGCGAGATCTGTTCCTATAAGGTAAAACTTGTGGCGGCCATAGCTCAGCGGGGCTTCTGCCTAGACTGCCCTCTATTAAACTTTCCATCCCTAGTTCGGATAAATATCACCGAACTTTCCGGAAGTCGGTGATGTTCGTTTTTCCGTAATAGTGGTGGATTAATACGGCACGCGATTGGAGGGTAGCTGGCTTAGCAGAAGGCGAGGTTCATTAAAAAGGCAATAACGTCGGACCACGGGGTATTGCAATCGACCCCCATTTGCAAGCAGCCGTGCCGGATTACTTAATCGGATTATCCGCTAACACTATCTTTATTCTAGAACTTTTCATCAGATTGCCAACATATATTATAAACAGTATAACTAGCAATTGAATAACCACCAGTTCGTATTCCGCCCCAACCTTATGCCAAGAGCTAACATAGAATAGCTTGAACACCGTGTTCAACTCGCGATTAAATCGCTTCGCAGTAGCATGTCAAAGACCAGCAGCAAACTGCGGCTCGAGCCCACGGCCTCTATCCATCGACATTAGGCCGCCAAATAAAGGGCAAACATCAATCGAAAGCCCGCGCGCAGGAGTTTCAACGATACTTAACATCAGGGCATGAGAATGCGCTGAACCAGTATGTCCTGTACCTTATAGACCGCGGTTACCTCCCTCTCCCCCCGAATTGACACTATCCGGCAAATGGCGTACGAAGTCAAGTCAGCTATCTGTATAAGACGATAACTACCTGGGGTAGTAGCTCGATCTAGTGCCTATTAGCATAAAGGCTTCTTTGAAAGGCAGATAGAGCTAAAGCTAAAGTATATAAGAGCCCTTAAGTAGAAGCGCGCGCTAGTAAACAACTATCTGGCTACTGTACTCCACTATTTTAAGGAGTTTTGTAGGGCGATCGCTAAGTACGGCATCAATCACGATTAGTACTATAGTATAGACGAATCTAGCTTCTCGATTAGCGTTACTACTAGCTGCAAGGTCGTCGTTCGTAATACCTCTTAGTAGTTCTTTAAGGTAACACTAAGGCAGCACGAATAGGTATTAGTTATAGAGATTATTAGTAGCGGCAGTAAGAATTATCCTTCCTATACTATTCTCAAGAACAAGGAGTATTAGTAGGCTATAGTTGATGAAGCCAAGAGGCTACTACCTAGTAATAACCTCGGAGTATCTAAAAACGGCTGGATAAACTATTAACACGCTCTCTACTAGATCTAGTACTTCGATAAGGTGACGCGCCCCTCTTAGTAAGAGGACGATAGCTACCTCAAGCGCCTCCTTATAATAGATAGATATAGTATCTATATAACGCCCGATTTTCTTAAATACTATTAGGATTATAGTATTGTACCGTTCTTTCTACCTCTAGCACGATACACCTCCTCTAGCCGCTGGATCTATATATATATTCGGTCCCCTTAAGGTAAGCTACACTGTAGAGCTCGATAACTATATTAGAAGAGGCATTACCGGTATTACGAAGGAGATATTTGTTCGACTCTACGCTAATGCGCGCAAATACACCCTTATAGAGGATAACATTCTCAGCGCGTTTAGTGCGACTAGTCTACTACTACTAGACGAGTAGAAGGTACTAAATAAGCTACCGCTACAGGTAGTTTACCCTTCTACAGCACCTCCCTCCATCCCTTTAACTCCCTCACCTTCCAACAGCGATCCCTCTACTAATTCAGCTGCTGCTAGCTTCTTCTCCCCTCTATCAACTCCTCGAACTAAACGTGCGCGTCTATAATACGTAGATGATATCGAGATAATGTCACTATCTACTAGATAATACCGCGCTGTAGAACTAGTTAAGGTCTTTATAGAGATAGAGACGCAATTAATATTGACATAATAAGAGGTCGAAGAGCTGCTATCTATATAGAAGGAGTAGGACGAGCTAAAGAAGAAGCGAGCGGCATTAAGAGGCAAAAGGAGCTAGTTTAAGGGCGAGCCTATTATAACTCCCGAAATGCTAAAGGAGTGGCGTGACGCAACGAAGATTAAAGATGAGATTAAAGAGCTTAAAGATACAACCCTAAGGTCAAGAGCATCGAGAGGCCGCGCCGTGAGGCTATGAAGGAGTTTAGCAAGCGATGGAGAGGTAAGGGCAATTTGAAGCTGATGAGGGAGGTAAAGGGTAGAGAGCTTGCTGCTCTACAGGCTACCTGGACAAATGAGGCTGATTTGATGGAGGCAAAGGAGCGCCTGGTGATGGCAAAGCTAAAGAAGCCTAAGGGCAGCGAGGATGATACTCAGAATAACACGCAGGAAAGTATTGAGGGCACTAGCAGTTAGATGGGGGTCAGTCAAGCTAGCAGCACTCAGCCGGAGGTCCCTCCAGACGGCGGCGACGACGTTCAGCTTCAAGATGGTAATGAGGATAGCGATACAGAGCTCGAGAGGCTGTTCTTGAGGCCACCGGACGATGACGGCAGCGAGGGCAGTGAGGGGGGCAGCGATGACGATAATGTGATGCTGGAGGAGCGGTGCTAAGGCTTTTGCTACACCTTCTACGTCACCACTAATATAGACAGTCTGCATAGAGCGTTCTAGCTTCAATTTGACCGTTTTTGATGAATTATATGTCATGCGATTTATAGACACTATTCGACATCAATATCTCCAAAAATTACTATGGGAGCGCCATACAAATTGGTGGGGAACGAGGTGCGGCAGAATCTTGATGTTCTGCTTATTGATACGCGCTTGCAAATGGGGTCGATTGCAATACCCCGTGGTCGACGTTATGTTGAGCGTCAATCAACAACTCAACTCCTCTTTAGTATCTCTCACTATTAACCTTCCGCATGCAATCGTGCCTGTTAGTATACCTTAATCCTCCGACTGATCGGCGTGCATCGGCGAGGATAAGGCATAGTCTGCGTTGTGGACCATAGAGGAAGACCTATGGGCGCTACTACGGGTGTGAGGGAAGTCGGAAGTGAGAGCTGTGGCTTAGGATTTTGACTCGGTGCATGCGTTAACTATGTGACCCTTCGCTTAGTGAACTAGCGATCTTATACCAACCCACTAGCTGCATAGTCGCAGACGTGCCTGTTTTCCTTTTATAGAAGATTCGGCGAGTTTCCTTAAGGCTAAGAGATAGAAGGAAACGCTTTTT